AAGGAGAGCCTCTGAAAGTAGTGTTTCATGTGAGACGCGTTGCTGCCATTCTAATAATGCTCGAGCATGATGCTGCTAGAGTGATGATGATGGTGAAGTCGCGATCTCCCGACTTCTATTGCTTCTCCTTGCTACCCTTCCTCCCCTCGGTCACAAGAAAGCCCCTTGTCCCCTCCTCGCCAGCTCGACGACCTTCCACCCGCCCGTAACCTCATTATCCAGCTCAGCCTCAAGTCGCGTCAATACCACCGCATACCTGCAAAGGTCCGCTTGATCATCCCTACCCGCTTTCACCTCTCCCGTCTTTGGGTCCTTGAACCACATCAGCTCACTCGTTGTGAAGCTGACCACCAAGACGGGCACGTTGTTGTCAAGCATCCTCCCCTGCATGATGTCGACGTTGCGCATGTCCAAGAGCCGGCCGTTGGCAATCATTCCCTTGCTGACGTAGGGATCCACCGTAGCCATCAGCACATTGTAGGTGGCTTCGGAGCACCACTGCCTCAACAGATGGCGGGCAGCACCGTGGTAGGCATCTACAATCTCCGGCAGGACGTACTCCCTCAGCTCCCTTTGGAAGCTCTCGAGCGAGAATTGAGGGTCGAGCGATCTGAAGACACCTACTACCTGCGCCATCTCATTCTCCTCGAACCATCCGCCGATCGTCTCCGTTACGCTACGGAGCCGTTCGATGAAGGGGTTTTCGCTCTCGTCGTAGGCGGTGCGGAGGTCGGAGAGCTTGCGCATGATAGGATTGTTCTCTTTGAAGGTCGACCAGGCTTGCTTGTATGCTGGTTCGGGCCGGAGTACTAGAGATTGGCCAGCGTTGGGATCCTCGGAGAGGGAACGCACCCGGATAGCATAGCCGGAAGGCTTCTTGCGGGGCTGTGGCGTTGGCTTTGGGGCTCCTGCTGATGATGAGGAAGCCTCGCTTTGCTTGCCGCCTTCTTCTGCTGCCGATGAGGTGCTCGCACCATCCTCTTCGGCAGCTGCCCGGGCTCCTGCGGATCCAGCTGCAGCACCAGCGGCAGCCGCCTGCTGAATAGGGTCTGCCTCCTCCTTCGAAGCCGCATCATCGACGACAGTCTCCGCAGCCTGTTGTGGCGTCTCTGGGTCCATGCTAGGCGGAGGCCTGCCAATCTTCCTCAGTCGCGCCTCACGCTTCAACCTCCTCGCCTCCCTCGCATCCGCAGCTCCTGTATCGATGCGCAGCGCCGATCCTCCATCGTCAAAGGCTTCAGTCAACGTCTCACTGAAAGCCTTGTACGCCTCGGTATTCCTAATGGGTGCCGTGGAGTCGGCTAGCTGCCTTGCCATCCTCGACGAGATAGCTGAGAGCCCCTTGATGAGCTCAGAGTCCTCCATCTGCCGCAGTGCAGTCCCCACCGCATCGCCTACGGTGCCTCCACTCTTGCGAAGCTGCGCTGCTGCCTTTTGAAGTCGGGGATTCTCCTTGATGGAGGTGATGATGCGCGCTCGTTCGTAGGCTTCGCGCATGCGCTTCATTGTTTCGGAGTCTTGGATCTTGCCTGCTTCTCCCTGGAGTTGGCGCATGTTGTCCTGCATCTCTTGGGACTTCTTGAGCTCCTCTTTGAGCGTGTCTACAAAGACTTGGAAAGGAGAGCGGGCGGGTCCATCCCCACGAGGAGTTGAGGATGAGAAGTGACGATGAGAGTGATGTATGGCGAGTGCTGTGGGTGGACGATTGAGGGCGAGGGGGCGTGGCTGTATGCGCACGCCATTGCTGATGACTAGCGTAGGTGGGCGAGCCAGTGCCTTGCCTGCCGTCCTCGCTGAGGACGATGCTGCTGATGCCGCTGCTGATGATGAGCGGATCATGTTGTGATGTGGCGAAAAGGAAGTGGTGGGCCTGGGATATGCTGAGCAACCTCCGATGGATCGATGAAGAAGACTTGATTGCTTGCTTGCCTTGCCGCTCGGCGGCGAAAAGGTCCACCCACGGACCGATCCGAGTCCGGCCAAGGGACCAGCGGGGGACGCTCGCGTGGCACATGCTCGACGTGCCTGTTCCGTCGGTCCGTGTCAGAGTCGCTCGCTGCCTCGTCGCTCTCAACATCCAATCCTCAACCTTGATGATGGCGGCGCCGTATCAGACACCTGGACCTTCAGGACTGGGAAGAGCGCCTTCGACGTCCTCCCAGCGCAAGGTCGTCAGGTGGCAGGATGCCGGTCCATCTACCTCGATGACGAACAGGGACGCTATGCCATCCACGCCTGGACAACAAGTGGCTCCTCCTCGCCCTGCGCAACCAGTCAGCGCCGCGACGACGACTTCATCCTCAGTCACAGCATCTCCTGCATCACGTCAAGCATCCATGACACAAACACCCAGCAGGCCCTCTTCCGCAGCAGATTCCCGAATAGTGTCCGCTGGACCCGCGGCTTCATCAGCAGCCCTCTATGCCCGGCTAAGGTGGAACCTAGTTGCACTCCTCCTCCTTTTCCTTGTTCCCCGCATCACCCAATCAAAGCGCATATACTGGTCGCTTCTCGACCTCGTATACTCGGCGCTAGGAAACAGGGCAGACGAGCATCTCGACTCTTCCCTTGCGTGGCTAAGATGGGCAGCTAGCATCTTGTTCCTGATCAATGCTGTAGAGGCAGGAGCGCACTTGTTGTTCCACTCAACGACACAAAAGGAAATTGCAGCAGCAGGAGGGAAGACGGCGCCCAGCTTGGCACGACCTCCAGGCCACATCGATGTCAAGCCAGCACCACCACCAACGCGCAGCAAGGACGCTTCCGAAAAGGCTGCGCGGCGCTACTCTCCGCACTCTCCCCTCCGAGCCAGTCTGGAGGCAGCCGCTCGCAATGCCTCATCCTCTTCTCCTTCTTCTTCATCACCAGGCGGCAGCCCGCTTGCGCCGCGCTACAGCACGACTTCGTCCCCCTCTGGCGGTCTGCTACAGCAACGCCGTCTCCCCTCTGGTCCGCCGAGTAATGCCAGCCCTTTGGCCGCCTATCTGGCCAGACGCTCCTTGTCTTCTGCAACTCATGGTGGTCGGGCGGACATGTCTACTCTCAGTTTCGACAGTAGCGGTGCAGGAGGCGATGATTCGCTCGGGGACGTCTCATCGGATAGCTTCGAGGTGGATCGGGCACTCAGGGTCTTGAGCGGGAGCTATGCGAGGGAGCAAATGAACGTCTTGGTGGGGTCGACGGGAAAGGCGGCGACACCGGGACAGTCAGCGCCGGGGACGGACACGAAGTCAGCGTCGCAGGCTCCGGCTGGCATGCCGCCGCAGACGCCCCTCTTCCAACGGTCGGCATCAGGAGGCGTTGCTGCTCGGTGATGGTTGGGAGTAGGAATAGTCACGAAGACTTGGACAATATCCAGCATCAATCATACGCACACATGTACTCACGTGCCCCGTTTCAGCGACACTTCACGACGCGCAATGCAATACTCTGCCGAAGTGACTCCAACAGCCGCGTAGGCTCCTTGCCTTGATGGAGCTAGGGGGGCTCAGAGAGGGATCATGCTGCCTCGTCCATGTTCGCGGATGGTCCATCAGGGATGGAGTGGCCCGATGCAAGCACGAATGACGAAGAGACAGGAGTTCCATCCGACGCTATCCTCGAAATCAAGTCTGCTCAACGAACCAGCGGCCCTCGTACCTTTCTGATGATTGTACTCACCGGCAAGGGCGTGACCTCGAAGACAGCCCAACGCTGTGCCACTTCCTTGGTCCCTAGACGAGGGATAGTGAACAAGACCTTCCTGTCCATGCTCGACGCTTGACGTACGATGCTCTTCCATCGAATCACATCGCGATCACCCGACGACATTGCTGTGCGTGTCTGTACGAGTAGAAGTAGGAGCGCGAGTCTGGATGGAAACGGGCTAATATGGCTGTCTGTAGGTGCGCTGTGCTTGTGCGTGTACATCTTTGTTTGTCGAGGTTGAGCTTGACAGTAACGCCACGGCGACGATAAGGGCGAAAGCTCGTCCAATCTCCTATCGCCTGTGAGGCGATTCGGGGGCAAAGTAGCGCCGACTGCGCTATCCAGCATCACGCAGTGCAGTAGCATTGAACCATGACAGTCTTGGCTATTCCAGGTCGCAGGCCGTGATGAAGATCAAGACGCAGCTGTACGTCTCTCGAGCGACCGTTCAAGACCGGAAGTTTGCCGGCAACTGATGAGGCGAGAGGAGCCCCTTACTTGACAGCGCCTTCGGTAGCACGCTGCCCTCGCAACCATGATGCGACCACGATTAGATTTCGATTAAATCCAGAGAGTCAGGGGTTGAGGCGTACGTTACGCACGCCCTCGTTACTCTTCCGAGACTTCCGCAGCGCAACGTTCATGTCAACGTCTCCTGTCCGTAGCGAGATGCGAGTCGGACGTTCCGTCTTTTCCTCTTTGATATCTCAGGTTGAAACCATGAGCCGCGAATGGAATGAAACACGGAGATCGCGACCTGCGAAGACTAAGGTTGTATTTCCAGGTACACCGAGCTAGCTGACATGCTAGTGCCAGATTGGACGCGCAGATGTGTGCGCACTTGCGTGCGTTAGACTGAAAGAGTGAGACGAGACGAGCACGCAGACGCCTTCCGGCCGGGTGAGGTAGTGCTGCCGCGAGAAGATACTGGCTTCATATGAGTAGGTGGCGAGGACTTCCTTTCGGAGGGTCCGAGATGAAAGTGCTGGATGAGGAGGGCCAGGAGTAGCAAAGTGCCCGTAGGCGGAGAGGGAGGGGAGTGACAGGTGCTGATGAGTGAGCGCTGGGAAGAGGATTGGCATAGCGTGGCAGGATTGACGCCGCGTGGACAGGTAGACGACCAGACCCCGACACGATGGAGTCTTCTCGTCACACTTCACTACGGCGGCAATGAGCAAGGCAATGGAGTATCATTAGACTGGCATGGTGGTAGTGTGAGGGTGTGAGAGGATTAGACTGAATGAATGCCCAGATGATTGGAGAGAAGCAAAAGAGAGTGTGTTGTCTGACGTTGTCTGACGAGAGATCGAGGTCCGCACGATCCCACGGGCCGGCGTGGCTGACCGTCGCTGGTAGTCGGAATGGAATGCTTAGCTATTTGATGGATTTGGCCTTGTCGTAAAGGAGGGGAAAGAGGGTCTGTCGTTACTTCGAGAGGCGTAGGGTCACTATGGACGGTATCATTGAGAAGTCAGGGAGCTTGAGAAGAGTCTAAGACGACCATGATGGGTGGTCGCCGTATGCCTGCTGCTGCTGATAGCGGTAGGCTGCTGCAGCATTTGCTGCTTTTGATGCCTCTGCGGTGGAGGATGCGAACGGGTTCGATGTAAAGCGAGGAGCGGCTGCCTTGATCTGGTGGGCGCGCTGCTGCTGCTGCTGCTGCTGTTGCTGAGCGGCGTGCTGCTGGTAGGCTGCGTAAGCGTCGTACGTGCCAGCCGGGGCACCTTGGGGTGCGTCGAGCGGGTCGACTGCCTCCCAGACGAAGTCGTCGCCGTTAGAGGGCGAGTCGGCGAACTCCGAGGCGGGCGTCTGCGGTGTAGTACGGCTGCTCGAGGCGGCAGAGTCGTATGGGCTGGGCAGGTGGGACATAGCTGAGTCCGAAGATGACATGACAGAGCCGTAGGAGATGCTGCCGCGCGACGATGAGGGCGAGCCAGGGTTGTAGTAGACGGCCGGTGCTGCGCCGGGCACGCAGAGGTGCGTAGGCTGCGTTGAAGGAGGGACCGTGTATGCTCGCTGATGGCTGTTGTTGTACTGTTGAGAGACCGAGTGGCTGCGATAGTTGGCGCTCGCCCTGTCCAAGGCCGTGTCGCTGGAGCTAGCGCCAGGAACGCTGTTCGATGAGACCATAGGTTGTGATGCCATGGATGGGTAGCCTGCAATGCTGGCGCGGCTGCTGAAGGGTGCCACAGGGGCGTAGCGGTCCGGGAAGCATGGCTCCGAGGCTGCCGATGGCGAGACAGCGGAAGGTGCACCGACGATCTCAACGTCTTCGACGGCGGCGGCAAGGTGGTGGTGTCGAGGAGCCTCGAACTGGTCGTGATCGGCCATGGAGCTCATGTTGGGCGAAGGTGGCTCAACAGGTGCATGGATGCGGCCCTGCTCGAGTCCGGCGACAAAGTCGTCGAGCTCCTCAATCTCTACATTGACTCGGAAGCCGAGGTAGCCAAAGAGCTCGCGCTCCATCTGGTTGACTTCTCGGAGGGAGAAGAGCCCTTGGCCAACGATGGTCCAGCTCTTGTTCGAGTAGGTGTCATCGCAGGTGCTCTTGCTGGCAAGCATAAGGGCCGAGATGAACAGGCGGTGACCAGAAGAGCCCCGGGCGGCGGGGAACCTCGACTTGAGACGCTTGAGGAGGAAAAGGGCCTGGTGGGTGACGGCGAGGGGCAGGCGCGTACGGTGGAGGGCGTAGGCGATGAATTCGGAGAGTCGCGGTGCTGCCTTGGTCGTCGAGCTCGAAGGTGACGATGAGACAGACGACGATGTCGAGTCGAGAGGGCAAGAGAAGAGGGCGAGAATGACTCGCTCGCACAGCTCGGCGAGGTCTATAGCGCAGAGACGAAGGTGTGTTCAAGTGTCAGTTAAGGCGCTGATGGAATAGCATACACTCTGCCTCTGCACTCGTACTCACCTCGGTGGCCATAGAAGCGGTCATGCTCGATTGCTGAGTTGCTAGATCGGCTGGATCGCCTCGATGATGACGAGGCAACCTTGTGGTGTTGAGCGTAGCTGGCGGCGCCACATGACGATGTCGAGGCCGACGAAGACGACGAAGACGACGACGATGAGGGCCGGCAGTGGTATGCAGAAGCTACGGCGGCGGCCATTTTGAAGGTCTTGTTGCTAGGCCGGATAGGTGGAGTTGCTCTACTTGCTCTTCGATACTTGGGGCATACAATTGACGCAAGATGATCGTCGGATCAGGATCTCGAAGATAGCAAGATTGTTGAGGAGAGGACGAGTATTCCGGAGGTCACACCGAAAGGCCGAAGGAGTATTGGATGGAGGCAGCGGCAGCTCTGGCGGCGGCGGCAGCGGCGGCTGGATGTAGGAGGGATGACGGGGCGTGATTACCAAGGCAAAAAGGAGCTGCTAGCTAGTAATCACTGATGAGCCGGATAGTGAGTGGCTCGCGAGTGGGCGACGAAAAAGAATGGGAGATATGATGGGGATGAGAGAATGGAAGGAGCAATGAGATGTCGTGATGGTAGCGGCGTTAAGAGGGGACTGGTGGATAATTATACGAACATGAAACGTCGTCGTCGTCGTCCTGTCGCCTCTGCGTGGCCCGCCGCCGTCGTCGTACGGCTCCCGCCCGTCAGTCTCACCTCGTCTCGTCTCTCGGGCCCTTCTCTTCACACGCAGTCTCACTGATCCCCGCCCGTAGAGGCAGGCGGCTAGGCGCTAGTCTTTCGACTGCGACGACGCGGGCAGCAAGCAATCGGAGATGACCCCAAAGAAGGAGCAGCAGAAGCCAGCACAAAGCACCAAAAGCGTGCGTCCTTGTGCGTGCAGAGATAGAGGCAGGGGTTAACCCTCTCTTACCAGTGTCCTCTTCGGGAGAGTGCAAGAGGACAAAGAACAGGCCGGCAGGCGATGCAGCCGCGGTGACTGAGAGAGAAAGAGGAAAGGGGGCCCATGGGTGGCGACGTCTAGCGGCGGGCCGGCCTAGGCGAGGACGATGTGGCCTATAGTCGAATCACGAAGCGGAGAAGCAAATAAGGCGAAGGGGGCCAAGCGAGACCAGACGAGACCAGACGCGAACAAGCAAGGCAGAGAGAGTGCAGTGCATTTGCAGCGGCGGGCGGGCAAGCGGGCTAGCGACGCAGTGTGCAGCCCAGCGCCAGTCTGCAGCACACCTACACGCACACACAAGCAAAAGCAAGCAAGCTGTGGTCAGAGAGACGCCCAGAGATGGGCGCCCCGGCTACAGCAACGGCAAGTACGTCGATTCATCACACACACACACACACACACCTTGGCCCGCTCTCAGCTGCGTCACCAAGGCCCCCCCTGCTTCTCTGATCCTCGGCAAAGGATTGCGTAGGATAGGAAAGGACTCCGAAAGCTCCTAGTCTTCTACGCAAGCCAGTGTGAATCAGACAAATCGTGCGATAGAACGAAGACGAGTCGAGGCGGCTTTGTTTTTTCTCAGCCAGGTTTTCAGACGTATGTCTGCAAGCAACTCCACGTAGATGAGAGGACCAGAACGTCGACAGCGGAGCTTGGTCGATTCATCGGCCGGGTGTGATGGGGTGCTGCGACGGGTGGCTTCCTCGAACTCACGCTCACGCTTGGGCCCTTCCGAATGGGCCCCCTGAGTAGGCAATTAGAGCGCACGGCAGAGTCCGCAATATTCACCGCACACACCCAGCTCACAGTTCACTGATCCATGCTTCAAGGCTCTACTGCTCTCGCCACTCGGATTCTCACGACAGCGCTGGGACCTTTTCGTGTCCTCTTGCTCATACCTCGCTCAGGCCTCCGTGGGGACCTTGGAAGAAGTTCCTTTTTTTACACGTAGCGTGTCTAGCGTAAGCATCGTCAAAGAGTGTAGGCGTGAGCCAGCGTGGATTTGCGCCGCGGTGAGTCCTGCCCTGAGGAAGGACTGTCCCTTGCTCTTCCCTCAATAGCAGCTAGCAGCTGGTGGTCTGGCCTAGACTGGTACAGATGGTGCACTGAAACTTGGAACAAACAAAGGACCGGGCGCATCTCCGCTCACCGGCCAAGCAAGCGCCCGTCGTGTGTCGCGGGTGAAAGCTGCGCGGCAGGCCGGCCTGCAGGCAGCCTTGACCCATTTCATCGTCCGTGGGCCCTGCCTGGGCGGTCGATAGCGCCCCGCTCGGCCCTGCGACCTGCCTGAAGAAGCAGGTCGGAGACGCAGAATCGGTAGTCGTCGTCGTGGGTCCCTCTACCGCCCGACCGTCCGTCCTGCTTCTTTACCCTCTAAGGCAAGTACGCCAGTCAAACAGTCGATCAACTTGTCGCTTCCTTGAACAGGCGAGGGCGCATCGATCCGTACGGCGATCTCAGAGGTGCGTGATCGCACCATCAGTCTCGGGCAATCCTTGAAAGAGTGAAAAAAAAAACTGGTCTTAGCCCTAACGAGCATTGAGAGGGGCCTACGATCTCATGAGAATGCAAGACTCGGCGAGTGGGAAAACCAAGCTCACTTGCAGCGGCGAGCAGCATCGTACGACCAGCGATGGCGATTGTAGCCCAACCAAGGCTCACGCTGTGGGCTGCATCCCGTCAATGGATTCACTGATACGGCAGCGGGCTGCATCCGATGTCATGTCAACCACTTCGAGGACGCAGTGTGTGAAAGCAGAACTGTGGTGCTTACCTGCCTGCCAAGAGAAGGCACCATCGATGCCATGCGGCAGAGTGCAGAGTGAAGATCACGGGGAGGTCCTTCGTCCTGCTGGTCTAGCGTCTACATGTGACTTCATCGAGTAGACAAGCCGTGGGCGGACACGACATTTGACAGCTTAGCGCCCCCGGCTACGGCGGTGTTGGTGTCGACCGAGTGGAGAAGAGCACGCACGCAGCGGGGTCTCTGGCGGCGGCTAAACGCAACCCAATTCTTCGTACATCACTTTCGGCCCCTATCCAACAAATCACATCGACTAGCAAGAGATGCAAGCGGGCCAAATCTATCAATCAAATCCGTCAATCAAGTCCCCCCCACCTCTTGCACCGCAGATCTGGTTGAGGGATTCTCTCGTCGCCACCAGCATGCATGAGAAACAGCAGCAGCAGCAGCAGCAGCAGCAGCAGCATCGCCCTTCGGCCGGCGTCGCGGTGTAGCGACGTTGACCCACCGCGCTGTCCCCGCCGTCTTATCGCTACCGCCTGGCGAGGTGCCAAATGTCACGCACGCTAGTGTTCATGCGACGCCGTACTGTACGCCTAAAAACCCGGTGCCCGGCCTTGATTGAACAGCTTGTGCGGGGACATGGATCGAACGATGCCCGCCGCTACCCCTTGCTCCTCCTTTGATCATTGATCATACGAGCCTCGAAGTCTTCTTTGCAGGAAGCGACCCGATGCTGGGGGTCCAATGCGGGACGGTCGATCAATTCAATTCGACGGCCAAAGACGACCACAGCGACGGCGGTGGAGGTGGTAGTAATGGCTGGCGCGGGCTTGGGCTCGCCAGAGCTCCGTAGGACCTCGGTCATTGACGCGTCGCAGCTTCTCAACAACGCCTTACCGAGCTCCGTCGTGTCTACTGCTGCGCTCTTAGCTTGGTCATTCAGACTGCAAAGACGGCGCTCGTAAATCTTGTCTCAGTCGCACCACCGGGTACTTCCTTCCCACGACGAGAATCGCGTGGTCGGTAACGACATCGCGTGTGGCGTCCCTCGTTTTGCATTGAGCTTTGCGTGGCATGCCGTCGCTGTAGTCGCCGTAGTGATACGACCGGCGCTAAGCACGTAAAGTTGAAGCCACACACCATGTCTGCTTGTAGGATCCTCGGTCTCAGTCCAACTAGAACTCGAGCCACGCGACACGCGATGCGCCAAAGGGCGGAGTCAGTCAGAGCGGAGTTTGCCTGCCGGTCTCGCTGCTCTTCAATACCAATGCGCCGCTCCGCACCAGCGCAACTTCTCAACCGTCGTCTCACCAGGCTAGGCTTGGCTGTGGCAGCAGCAGGTCTAGACATGCTTTGTAGTTGGCAGGTCTCAGATCTCAGGCGATAAAATTCGCCGTTTGTCGCTTTGTTAGTTGTCTCGCGGAGCATGGACATCCATGGATTCGGGAGCTGGAGCGCAGGCGGATGCGGATGCGGACGCAGATGGCCATGCTCTGTCACGGGCCGGTCAAGAAGACTGTCTTGAATTCAAGGTTACGGCTATGTGCGGATCTCCGTCGATGCTCCGACCTCGAGGGAGATCCGTCTATTGTGCTGCTGGCTCCGTCGTCTGGAGGCAACACGGATGCTTGGCCGGACGCGAGGATTTCGAGTGGCCCTTGATGGCATGGTTGGTGGCTGGCTGGTACATTGATGCCCCGCCGTAGCGCAGCGCATGATGCAGCGTGGCATCGTCGTCGCTATACCTAGCAAAAAGGAAATCGATCTTCATGACCAATACCCGCTCAGGCTTGCTTTAGCAATCACGACGTCTTCTGATTCAAATTCTCCCATTGGCGAGGTCAAGATGTCGGGCGCCCTATTGAAAGCAAAAATGCAGGCAGACCGAGCATGCTGGCATGCTTTGATGAAGAGGGTAAGGGGAAGGTCAGGTCGCTCGGCAAGGGGCACCCGAACGTGTTCGTGAGATTGAGGGAGGGGAGGGGCAAGAGCCATCAACGTGAGATTACTGAGCCTTCTTGGTGATGCAGAGATCACGAGGCGATGGCGTTGCAAAGGCCCAAGCGAAGCTTTGTCTCCCTGGCTAGAGTCGATTGCCGATTGCCGCCTTGCACACGCATTCCCGAGGGCGCCGATTAGCTTTGGCGCCCTTGGCTTCCCCGTTGCGTGCGAAGAGTCCGAGACTCTCGTCCTGACCGAAGTCTGTGAATGCACAAGATCGTGATGGGAACAAGGGTGGGATGAATGGCTCATGAATCAAGCCGTGCTAGCGGCAAAAGAGCAACGAGGGAAGGGGGCCCCATTCTCGTATCGATGTGATCTAGCGTCCAGCTCAGCTCGGGCCTTTTTTTCTCTTGATTGCTCGCCCTTCTTTTGCTGTTCTTGACTACCCTTTACCCATTTCCCTCATGACAATGTTCCGAACAGGCAAGAGCATCGTGGGGACGGCGTGGGACGATCAGCAGCGCCACATGGGTTGTCACGAAGGAAAAGTCTTCTTTAGAGCGTGCATGCATGAATAGGATGGATTGAAGGGCTGCGTGCCACCCCTTGCCCTCGCGGGCGTCGCAGCGCCTCCATCTGGCCAAGGATTGCGCACGACATCATCCGGACGAATACGATGACCGGCGCAGGTAATGGTGACACATCGCATCGCATTGGAGATCACTGTCTCTCACGCCCCTGCATCCGACACCCATATCGGCCTCGACGCCGAGCCCTCCGGCCCGGCAGCAAGGGGTCCATCCATTCCGAGCTTGGAAGGTGCCGAGCTCCACCTTCTCCTTTTGCCATCAATCTTTGCAGCGTGTCGGACACCGAGGGACAGGAGGTTGCGATGGCTATCGAGTGTGCTGCGCAGTGGAGTTGCTACCATGTGATCGATCATAAGCTGAGGAGAAGTAGACGATGGCAAAGCTGGGGCTGCAAAGGCCACCTCCGCAGGGTAGCGCCCCAGGCTGCGCAACAGTCGAGCTACGCCGGCTAATGATACCCGGACGGTGTAGCTGATTTGGGGACGCACCTTCTCTTCTTTGCCCAATGCCAGGAGCTGACGGCAGCGCGCGGCCAGGATACCCAGCGCGAGGAGGTAACCAGCTGCGTGGTCGAGAGCTTGGACCGGGAGCGCTTTGGGGGACACATTGACCTTGCTCTCGTGACCCTGTGAGCTTTCGAATGCCAGCGCCTCAGAGTGATTGATTCCCGTAGCATTCTGTACAAGCGAATCGAAGCCGCGTATCTGGTGCCAGGGAGCTTCTCGGTCGTCGCCACCGTAGGCGCTCAGCGAGGCATAGATGAGGCCCGGTCGAATGCGATGAACGTCGTCAACGCCGAAGCCTCGAGATGCCAGACCTCCCGGGCGATAGCTCTGCAGTAGGACGTCTGCATTCTGAAGGGCGTGCTCGAGCGCGACTTTCCCGTGGCCAAGCCCGTCGTCGAGATTCAGCCAATGGGTCTGCTTGCCGCGCATCGTATCTGCCTCCAGGACCGGCAGGTTTGGCAGACGAGGCGATGACAGGAGTGTCACGGTATGACCATGTACGGCGAGAGCACGACCAGCAACAGGCGCCGCGATGACTCGGCTCATATCGATGATCCTCAGAGGGCCTTGCTGCGGTGACAGCTGAGCTCGGTCGTCTGAGTCGCCCTCCGAATTGATCGGCTCGACGTGCAGGGCTGCGTCAGCCGCGGTCCTCCTGCCGTGCTCCGACCGATCCCATTCTTCTTCTGAGCGAAATGCCGTAGCGCACATTCCCTCCTCCTGGGCCATGCGCTCGAACTCCAGCTTACCCCACTTGCGTAGAGCCTCTTCAACGTGAGAACGATGGACGGCCTCCATCTCGGCATGTACTTCTGGCTTTATATCTACAGGCCTTACCTGCCGCAGCTGAGACGAAGGTGGCAAGGAGGGCAGTAAGGCCAAAATTCGCAGCAGTCCGGCCTTGTGATGGGGAAAATTGGTGTGCAGACGGACGTAGCCGTCGCGACAAGGGTAGACGCCCGCTAATGGGTCCCATTCGCCCGTCAAGCCGTCGCGAGGAAGACCGAGTGCATCGAAGGCTTTCGATGATGTGATGCGATGTGACTTTGCTAGCAGTTCCGAGGACACTCTGCCCATCTGGGACCCTTCGTCGTCACGATCCACAACAGCGATGCCTGTGCAGACGCGACGATGATGTAGGTAAGACGCGGGTGCTCGACGCCGACACCTCAACTCACGTGTATACTTCTCGCTCGCAAATTCGAGCACTGCCTCTCGCTGATCAACGCTTATTGCTCGCTTCTCGAGGCGCGCAAGTAGGTCTTTTGCAGGCCCACTCTGCAGCTCCTCCGCCAGCACTTGAGCGCATGCCACGGCAGCGATGGTGGCCTGCGCAAGCAAGCCAACCTTGAAAGTCGAAGGCACGCTGGGCCCGGCGTCAGGCGCTGGCAGGCGCACTTGCAAGGCAGCGATACAGTCATATGGGAGGCCTGCCGTCATCCACAGATGCTCGAGAAGTGCGCGAGGAGTGATGCTCGCGTCTAACATGGTGGCATGAAAGTGGTAGTAGTTAGTTGGGCGGCGAGGAGGTGGAGTGCAGCAAGATGTGTCGGAAGCAGCCACGTGTCTCAAAGGGCGAGCGTACTCAGCCATTGATGGTCTCATGGCACTCAATCAGTGGAACGAAGAGGTGAGTGGCCATGGCTTCGCTGCGGGCGTGAGGCCATCTCTGATGCCATTCCTGCCCACCAACCTTGCTGTACAGGACCGCGTCGCTCAGCTTGACCTTCTAATGAGGCGCCGTGACGACCAAAGGCAGGCGTGACCAAATTCGCACGCCACCCTCTGATGGAATTTCTCCTCTCGCTGTGGTCGATCGACCTGCAGCGGCCACCTGATGCCTCGAGGCGCGGCGGCGCGGCGTGCCTGGGGACGGACCCGGCTCCCAAGCTGGCCTCAGGCCTATCGTCTGTCCGTCTGTGCTCCGCTCTGGTCGTGAGAAGAACGAGTCAGGCCACATCAAGTGCCTGACATCTCTCGACTTGGTGATGTGATCAGCACCACCCTCGAGAGGCTGGCGACCCAATCCTCTCCTCTTCACATCTCATCTTGGCGGACATACAGCGATCGGCAACGTCGCAAGCGCCTCTTTGCCCCACACCCATCGACATGGAAGGCAAGGACAACGCCTCGTTGGCGTCGCTACCATCACGGCGAAACATCGTGCGGCGGATCGACATTCTCCTGCTTCCTCTGCTCACAATTTGCTACGGCCTTCAATTCTACGACAAGGCCGTCCTAGGTTCAGCTACCATCTTTGGCATCCTCGATGACCTCGAGCTTGCAACTGTCAGTGGTGGCAAGAGGGATCTCAGCAGGTATAGTGCTGCGACTGCTGCCTTTGTGAGTGCAACGCCATTCGCAGATATCGATCCATGAGGCTCAGCTACTGACACGACGTCGTATCCTCCTCCTCCTCCTCCTCGCCCTTCCTACAAGTACTATGGCTATGTTGGAGCGGTGATTCCAGCGTCCTTTCTCGCCCAGCGACTACGCCCCAACTACTTCCTGGGCGGAGCCATCTTTCTCTGGGGATTCATCGTCCTCCTCACCCCCGCCATCGCATCGTGGCAAGGCCTAATAGCGCAGCGCGTCTTCCTAGGCGCCGTCGAGTCTACCGTCAGTCCTGGATTCCTCCTGGTGACGCGGCGCTTCTGGACGAGGCAGGAGATGCCTATGCGAGTCGGAGTGTGGTACTCTGCCACTGGATTGTTCAGTGTCTTTAGTGGGCTGGTCAATTATGGACTGGGCACGAGGAGTCATCCAGGAATTGCCACTTGGAAGACCCTCTTCCTAGTCCCCGGCTTCCTCACTGTCTTCTTTGGAGCCGTCGTGCTACTCTTCTTGCCTCCTGAGCCGGCGAGGGATGCAGTCATCAAAGTGCCCGGGTACAACACCTTTTCGCCCGCCGAGAGAGAGGCAATGCTGCGGGCTACACGTCTTGAAGCGCTGGGTCGCGAGTCGGACAAATGGGAGTGGAGCCAAGTGTTGGAGGCATTGTGCGACTACAAGGTGTGGATCTACTTCCTCCTCGCAACGGCAATCTACGTCTGCAACGGCGGCGTAACCGTCTTTGGTCCTTTGCTCATCAAGTCGTTTGGCTACTCGTCCACCAGAGCGATCCTGCTTCAGACGCCCGGTGGCGCCGTCACCGTCGTGGCCATCCTCCTCGCCTGCTGGATGTCACTGCGATTCCGCAACGCCCGCCTGCTCATTCTTGCCCTCAGCTGCTTGCCCGTCATCTTGGGAGCGGCACTGATCTGGGCTCCCTCTGTCAATTGGCAGAAGCATCAGGCTATGCCGCTCATCGGCTATTACCTCCTCCCTGCCTTTGGAGCGCCCTACGTTATGCTTCTCTCCTCTCTCGCAGCGAATGTAGCGGGCACAACCAAGGCGTCATTCGCCGCTGGGGCGGTATTCGTGGGCTACAACGTAGGCAACATCGCCTCGGCGTACATCCTGCTACCCTCTGAGGCCAGCGTGCACTACGCTACGACTTGGAAGATTATCATCTCGATGATGTGCGCATCGATTGGGCTTGCGGGAATATTGGCCGGCGCGATGACGTGGGAGAATAGGAGGAGAGACAAGAGGGCTGAACGGGACGGTAGCAGCGTGCCCCCTACGCCTGTAGAGGGCCAGCAGGAGAAGAAGTTGGACTCCGATGCTGGCCTGAACAAAGATGTCGAGGCGACGTCTTCTGACGCTGCTGCTGCGGTTGAGCAGAGGGACCTGACCGACTGGCAGAACAAGGCTTTCCGCTATGTGTTGTAGGGGAGCGAGCTCGGCCGTGGTAGATGGATTCACAGGCAGCACGTGTTCTAGATCCATCGCAGTGATGCAATCAACCTTGTCTCGATGTGAGCGATGATGCCTTGACGGCGGTGGCAGCACTACGCCAGACTACAGCTGAGGTGTACTCGTGACGGCCATGATTTCACTGGCTTCACTCTTTTCAATCGGCTCTCGCGGCGTGGTAGGCGGATATAGAAGGTGACATTGGCAGACTAGCAAAGATACGAAAGGGACACGTCTTGTGTGTCTGTGACGGATGGTAGTAGAGAAAATACAAGTGGAACAGCTGTACGTACGCGCACGCTTCTTCTTCTTCTTCAAGCAATGACGGCCCAAATCTTGCCCCAGAGAGTCGTGGGCTTCTCCTCTTCGTACTCGTTGTCCTCGAGCTCCTTGAGACCAGTGACAAAGTCGATCTGGTCCACCCTGAGGATGGAGCCTCGGCCGTAGTAGATGAGAGCTCCGATGAAGAGGACGAGGAAGAAGGGAATGGGCACGTAGTTTGTCCAGAAGTCCGACTGGCTGAAGGGCTTGTTGGCATCGAGGAAGTAGGCGAAGCCGGAGAAGAACATGACGATCGTCGTCATAAAGATGACCCAAGGGGCGTAGATGACCGAGAAGCGGGCCGTGAAGGGAAGGGTAGAGCGGGGGATGTTCTGTCGTGCCATTCCCTTGCGGAAGCGCAGGTGCATGATGGCGATGCAGGTCCAGGTGGAGAGACCAGCCATCGAGGTCATGTTGGCGAACCAGCCGAAGACGGTGGCGGCACCGTTAGATACGGACATGTAGGCGAGGGAAGAGAAGAGGATGGAAACACCAACGGCATAGTAGGGAAGACCACTCTTGGTAGTGCGGGCGAAGATGCGAGGAGCGTTGCCTGCGATGGCGAGACCGTAGAGGGCACGCGACGAGGTGAAGAGGTCGGATGACGCGGCGCTGACTGCGGACGTGATCAGGGCAGCGTTGATGACCGAGGGGAGTCCCTTGATGCCCGCAGCCTTGATGGCGATGACGAAGGGGGATCGGGTCGTCTTCTGGCCCGAAGTGAGGGCAGGGTCGTTGGAGGGGCAGATGAGACCGATGCAGAAGGTGCCCAGGATGTAGAAGATGAGAATACGGACCCACACCTTCTTGATGGCGGAGGGTACCGTCTTGCGCGGGTTGCGAGCTTCACCTGCGGCGATAGCGACGATCTCCGTGCCGATGAAACTGAAGCTCGCCTGCAAGAGGACGCTGAAGAAGCCAAGGAATCGTCCCCAAGAGCCAGCGATCTCGAGGTACTGAGCGAATGGGCCGGGGTTCTTCCAATATCGGAAGCCGAGACGGCCCTGGTCACCGGCGCCGAGGTCGATGCAGATGGAGAGGATGATGAGGCCGACGATGGTGATGACCTTGATGGATGCGAACCAGAACTCTGCTTCACCGTAGACGCGGGTGCCAGCACAGTTGATGGCGACTACGAGGACGAGGAAGATTGAAATCCAGATGGCGGGGTTCTTGTCGGTCCAGAAGGTCATGAGAACGGCAGCGGCAGAGAGTTCGGCGGGCAAGATGATCGTCCAGTTGTACCAGTAATTCCAACCAACAGCCAATGAAAAGGGCTTGCCGACGAGGCGTTCGGCCAGCTTGAGGTGTCCACCGGGTACCGGGTACTGCGAGATCATCTCACCGAGGCACATCATCATCGAGTAGCACACGGTGCCTGCGCGACGCAACGCAGTGGGGCAAAGCAGGTCAGCAAAGGGCAAGTAGGCGGCAGCGTCGATTGGAACTCACCGATGAGAATGTAACCCAGCCAGAGACCGAGGGGACCACCGTTGTGAAGGGAGCCACCAGAACCAAGGAAAAGACCGGTACCGATGACACCGCCGATGGAAATCATGGCAAGATGGCGAGGGAGGAGGGCGTGCTTGAGCTTCTCATGCTCCTGTTGCCCAAAGGCATTGGTCGGGTCTCGTCCGTATTCGCCAGTCTCGAGGGTGGGGACGACGTCTCCCTTCTCCTGGCCGGGGCTGAAGAAGGGCTTCTCCTTTGCATCGGGAGAGTAGGACATGTTGGGCGGGGGAGGTGAAGGGGTGAAGCAGGGGGTGGTCGTCTAGTGGCTGCGCTCTACGCTTGAGAGGTCGCCTGGATGGGGATGAGAGACAGCTCTGCTGTAGATGGACGATGGACGAGGGAGGAAGAAGACTGGGGGCTGGGGATCTCCCTCTATATACGAGGAGGGCAACGGCTCGAGATACGAGTGAGGCTGAATCGCCCGCCCTGCTACCCTTCGACCGACGGACATCGAGGGGCGGCCCGCCGTGAGAGCAAGGGCAACGGCGAGACACAATGGCCTAGCTCGGCGAGGCAATTGCCGTTGCACGACGAGGCGCAGTCCAGATCCTAGCGACCCAGCGAGCGAGCGAGGAGCGGCTGGTGATAGCGCGCTGCTCTGGAGATAGCAATGAGGCGACTGTCGTGGCGCCACTTGGCTGCACCTCCCCGCCTCAACGCCTCCTCGTCGATCAAGACTAGGCATCGAGCAGCTGTGCAAATGTGCTGCGAATAGCTCTTTCGCCACCTTCCCCACACCAAAGACGACGCCACTAAGCTCTCGGATGTCTCGCCCAGCGACAAGGATGGCGTCCGTCTGCACAGGACCCCGCGTCCTTCTCGTCGAGGTACTGTAATTGGGCTATTGTACCTGCTTCCCGCTCGGCGGGCGTGCAGTCGTCGTGGGGCCTAGGTCGTGAGACCACAAAAGCTTGAGCAACAGGAGGCTTCTCGTGCTGCTCCAAGACCGTCGCAGTGCTCTGCGATAATGAAAAGGGGACGACGATGTGAGCAATGAATCGGCGTACGCGCCGCGGCCGAGTAGACTGGCGGCACTAGACCTGGGGCTGGGCGCTGGAGTCCGGGTGGCGCTGGCCAGCTCTTGGATCACGGGTCTAGACTCCGCGACTTCACCGCTGCAGACGAGATACGAAAGGCGACCGCAGAAGACGAGCCATGGGTCAGCTCCTTGATCTCCTGCCGGTATCGCGATGAGCTCGCTCTTCTTCCCATGGCTGACGGCAAAGTCCTTCCCGCTCAAGCATGATCCGTAACGAGGTGGCTAGCGCGGATGCTCGGGCCCCCCTCGTACTCGTATCGCGAATCGTTTCATCATTTGTCATCGTAGCGAGAAGACTTGGCGCCATCATCCATATCTTTCTCTGCTCTCGTGACCCTCCTTCAAGCGATAGGAAGTTGTTGCTCCGGCCGACTTCGCTCGCACGACGGTCAGCCAGCCAGGCCACCATCAGTAACTCCGCCTCCCTCCTTCTTCTGACAGATCCAAGCTCCGTCCGGCGGTCAGGCCGAGGCAGCCCAAGACAGCGCTGTGTGAGCGGGAGGAGGAGTGGCTCGATGTCGCCATCGCAGTCCAATTGTAAAGTCGCGACGCAATGGCCGGAAGTTGCGAGAGGAGAGGACAGGAGCATGGTCTGCGGAGGACGAGGGCAACGAGTGGCCGACTGATCGCATCGTGAGAGCAGGTCAAGCTCAGGGTCTGATCTAGCTTCCGTCATTGGGCAGCGAGATCTTCAGCAGGCCGAGAAGCAATGGCAAGGTCGACGATGAGGGGCACTTCTATAGAGTCAGGATCAGCGGTGTCTTCTTTTCGTTCGAAAACGTGTCGAGGAGACGTCAGGGGCATAACAAGCGCCCGTCTTGACTGACGACCACTACCGTCAAGGCTGATCTTGATTGGATTGAAAAGATAGCAGCTTGATCGAGAAAGGGGAAAGAAGTCGAGCGAGAGGGAAACAGGAGAGGAAGAGGTGTTGTGAAAAGATGATGGTCGAGTCATAGTCATCATGATGTAGGCGCGAGACGAAGGAGACGGTCTCCTTGCTCGCTTCGATACCGTCTATATTGAGGAAGCACACTCCACCACGATCTCCCTGCTGTTCTCGCTCGCTTCTGATCCTCCTTGACTTCCTACGCTGCCTCTCAACCTTACGACAAATTGAACGCTCCGGCCCCCTCCCTGACTGCAGTCTGCAGTCTCCTCCTCATCGTCTCTTTGCTACTGTACTCGGGCAACTTCAAAAAGTTTGCGCACGACATGTTGCTGGCCAGGTAATCATCTGGCTTGAAGGGCGCCTCGTGGGGTCGCTTGACTACCGTCAATTGGGGCTGCAACCCTCCAAACCCGCCAATTGGCAACTTTGGACTGCCCGTCAACCACTGCAAGAACTCTCGCCTCTCCTCCAAGTTGAAGCTAGCCATCAGCGACAGCAAGTCACGGAAGGTAGCGCTCTCCGCATTGTATCCATGGTCGGGCTTGATAGAGGCGACGAGCGTGGACTCAGACCAGTCCTCGTCGGTATTGCCGAAGAGCATGACGAGCTCGTCTGCCGTAAAGGAGGCCATGGATTTGATAGGGAAGATGGAGTTGAAGCCAGCACGGAAGGACTTGATCAATGGAGCAATGCCCGAGCGCACCGTCGCATCGATGATCAGGTCGATGTACTCTGCAACATTGGCGGGCGTGACGGGAAGGGACTTGCCGTTGGGCTTGAGCTCGTAATCCTCATCGCCTGGCAGAGTGAAGTCAAAGGCCATTCCCGTCAGGTCATCCTCGCTCATGCTGAGCAGCTTCTCAAGGGACGATGCCAAAGCAGAGTCAACGGCCTTGAGCGTTGCCATGTTGGCTAGCGAGCCTCGATTGCCTGTGAGTACGGCACGCATGAAGACGGGCGAGAAGTCGCAGTCGATGATCCTCGAGTCGAGCAAGGCCTTGGCAACGAACTGACCGAGGATCTTAAAGGCGGCAATGCGACGCTTGCCCTCTTGCGTGGCGAACTTGGACTGCGAGAGGGGCAAGGGGAAGAGCCCGCGAGGAGCGTAGACAAACTTGCTTGCCGTCGTCGAGTCAGCAGGCGTACTGTCTCGCCAGAGCTGTAGATCCTTGCGCGCAAACTCCTTGGAGGTGAGGGCGTAGAATTCGAGCGTTGGGCCCAGTCCCGTGCCGACCTCGTTGAAGTATTCGACCTCGAGAATCGTTTCCTTGCTGCCGTAGAGGTCCATGACCCTAAATGCCGAAGGAAGGATGTTCTCACGCGCGATGCGCACCTTGGCACGGGGCAAGCGGACGAGATGGGCGAGCGACTGATCATCGTAGCGCGACGTCGAGGCGCTGGCACCGCCTGTAGCATTCTCCTGGTTGCGTGCCGCCATTGACTGCCAGCGGTGGAGCATGCGATTGTATCCGAAGGCCGTGAGCTGAAGGAAGGCATATCGGGCCTCGAAGGGGAAGAGGAATGGGAATTCCGTGGGCATCTGGACCGACCAGTCGGGCAGACACTTGCTCGCGACAATCATGGGCTCCTCGAGCTGGCGGTTCAGTTTGGCCGTGAGCTTGTTGTTGACAAAGGCAGACTCGCTCATGGGTCCAACCTTGCCGTCTGCAACAACGCTGCTGGCCACTGACGAGCCTACGCTGACGTCTCGCTGCTGGCGCCATTGTGCGTTTAAGCTGTGCAGGACCTTAAGGAGCTGGAGGATTTTGCCAAAGGGCGAGTCGGCTGGAATCGATTCGGGCAGCTCGGCCGGCGGGGTAATGGCCGTGATGCTGCTGCTGCTCGAGGCGTCTGCCCCGCTCTCGGGCTCGGGCGTTTGCTCGACGCCCGCTCTTGGTGCGGCGCCTACGACCTTCCTGAACTTGAGCGTGTAGACATTGTTCCAGATGTTCCGCCCGCCCAACAGGCTAGCTACGGCGCTGCTGCTGCTGCCAGGGATGCCGTTTGACGCTGCCGCCGTGGCTGCTGCTCGGCTGGGGCTATTCTCAAAAGTGTGGACAGCGCCATAAATCGTCGAGTCGACGGCAAGCTCGCGTCCGTCCATCGAGAAGCGGATGTGCCAGTCCGAGGGCTTGCGCTGAAGAGCAGCAGAGTACGATGGGCGACTGCCGCTGCTGGAGCCTGTTGCCGCCGACGAAGAGCTTGAGGCGCCTGCGTTAGAGTTCGAGGCGGGTCGAGAGGATGAAGATGAAGCGCCAGCGAGTGCAGTAGAGCTGCCTCCTGCTGGAGTGGGAACTCGAGTGCCGTCAGGTGTCTTGACTTCGACCTTCTTGCCGTCTTCGGCAACGGCGAGGTTGACTGTCTTGTCTGCGGCCGAGGTGTCGCCGATCATCTCGCCATCCGCAGGGCCAACCTCGTCCTCGAAGATCTCTTCGCCAAGTCCCTCTTCCTCCTCTGCATAGGCCTCGTCGTCCAGAGCGTCGCCCAGCAGACTTTGCATGAGAGAGCGTGCTGCGTCTCGAGATGGGTCTGATGACGAGGATGGTCCGTCGGCTGGGTCATGCGCGCCGCCGGTCGCTGCACTTGAGGACGAAACCGCTGGGTTGCCTGCGTCCTCAGCGCTGGTCGTGGCTGCAGCGCTGCTCTTGCCCTTGGTGTCGCTCTCAGCACTCTCCGCCTCCTCGCTCTTGCCGCTGCCCCCGGAATTCTTGCGAGTGAGCCTCGAGCTGCGACGCGGTGCCGTCTTCTTGGCCGCGCTTGATGAGGAGGAGCTATCCTCGTTGGTAGGAGCCGCAGTCGCCGACGCTGAAGTTGTGGACGGTAAGCCGCCCTGTCCCCCGCTGCCACCGGTAGCCGGGGCGGCACGCCCGAGCAGTGCAGCTCTCTCTGCTGCCAGTGCTCCTTCCAGTCCCCCCGCCCCGCCACTGAGTGCTGCAAGCATCGAGGTGAGGCGAGCGCTTCTCGACAGTCCACCGTCGTCTCCATTGGCTGCCTGCTGGAGCTTAGGACGGAGGAACTCTGCAAGTCGGTCCAGCGAGGCAATGGCATGAATGCCCACCACGAGGTTGCTAACGGACCTGGGCGTCTCAGTACCCTCCTCAGCCTGAAGTCGCAGGCGGATCTGACGGTGAATACCCGCGGCAGAGCCGTAGCGTCGCATGTCATCCTGTCCCGCACCAACGGCCGTGCTGATATCGAGGTTCTCCAGACGGTTGAGCGACTCCTGCAGACGACGGACGAGCGAGCTGCCCCTTGAATGATTCGCAGCGTCGGGTGCCATGAGGGCGTCGATGAGGAGCTGGCGTCGCGTCTCGGCAGGCACCTCGACGCTGTCCTCCGTGGCAAAGTTGTAAAGCCCGTCAATGAGGCCGGAGCGGAGTAGCTCAAAGCTAGAGATGGGCTCTTCGGGCTTGGAGAAGAGAGTGAGGATACGCTCCAGTGCTTCAGCTGCTTGAGTGGGGCCCGTGTGAGCTGCGTCGGCCAGAGTGGAGACGTTGGCCGAAACCTCCTCGAGCGCTCGCACAGCGTGGTTGGCACCGCCTTCGGCGTTGGCTGCTTCCTTGTTGAATCGGTCTCGTAGGATGCGCGAGCGCCAAATGAGGGCATCTTGCTGCTCCTGAGGGGTTGGAGTCGCGGCCGTGGTCGCGGATGCTCGACCAAGAGTGGCGGACGTCGACGAGCCGTAGGCACGACCCAAAGCTAGCCCCGCAGCACTGGTGGCGCCCAACTCATTGAGGGTCGGAATCGTGGGCACGCCCGTTGAGGCTGCTGCGGAGGCTGCCGCGTTGGTGGCGGCAGCGGAGGCATTGCTTGGTGAGGATGCGCCCTGTCCGACAGGGAGGGAGAGCTGAGCAGAAGAAGAAGCATTGGTCCCGTACTTGGTCGTGTTGGGCTGCTTGGAGGCAATGTCTTCAATCTCCCACATGACACCTTCGCGGCGAAGCAAGCTCTTGTAGACCTCGGGCAGCTTGTTGCAGAGTAGCTCTACCATCTGGAGCGAAGGCAGCACCACGGACGGGTCGTCGCGCGAGGAGAGAATGGCACCAATGAAGCCGGCGAGGGGAACATTATCGAGCACTGAATTGAGCTTCTCGGCGTCAACGAAGCTTATGATCTTCAGAATGCCCTGCAGTGCCTTGACGCGGACGTGGAGGGCGACGCTCGCAGCATAAACTTCCACGAGTGTAGGAAGAACCAGCTGCGTGAAGCGCTTGATGAGGCCATCCTGCTCTCGGAGCATCTCTGTGCGGCGATTTTGAGCTTGCTCGCGCATCAACTCTTTCTCGCTCTTGACTCGTTCCTGCTTGACGGGGAGTACGGCCGCCGCTTCGCCGCCCTCTGCAACGGCCGCAGCGGCGACGGGAGAGGCAGACGTCTCGATGGCGCCATCCGCCTCTGAGCCAGGCTCCGCCTTGATGGGTGTCGCAGCCTCCGCCTTGACGGTGCTACCGCTCGTCCTGCGCGAGCCGGCTTGGTCACGCGCGCTTTTCCTCTTCTTGTGCCACGCCTTTTCGCTGTATGCTCGATGGTCGAAGACGCCCTCCCTAGGCAATGGAGGGAGGAGTTCGCTGACCAGCGACAGAGCCTCTTGTACCTGTTCCTTGGGTCGATGTGCGAGATTCTGAAGGACAGCCATGTCCGCCACCGCGACACCTTGGCCAGCAGAATCACCATCAGCCGCGCCAACCACAGCAACCGCCGCATCGTCGGCAGTGGCAGGCACCGCTGCTTCGAGCTGCATTGCCGAAGCGGTCGTGCCCTGCGAATCGAATGCAGCAGGTCCACGTCCGCCCGTGCCGTCCTCTGCTGGTGGAGCCGAGCCAGTGAGCAGAGTGTAGAGAGTCTCGACGACGTTGGTCTCGAGGAGAATGACAGCAACCTTCGGGCTGGCCTTGACGGCTGAGCTAAATGACTTGAGCACATCTGTGTAAGTGCCTTGACCGATAGATGCACTGGCAGAAACGCCTGCAGCAGATGCCGAGCCAGGAGAGCCGTGAAGCAAGAGAGCGTTCAGTGCCTGGACGAGCTCCTTGTCAACGAGCTGCTCGAGGCAGTCGGGCTGATGACGGAAGCTCTCGATGATACGGACGACGCACTTGCAAGCGGACTCGACGAGGCGCTGATCGGCGTAGCCAAGGACGTTGCGAATGATCGGAATGATGTCCTTGACCTTCTCAAAGTGCGAGGCGCTGAGCCTGCGACAACAGTTGGCAGCTGCAGTCATTGCCGTGCGCTGGATGTGGATGTTGAAGAAATCGAGGAACTGAAGCATTGCCATCAAACCTCCCTCTTGAACGATGGACGTCGGCGTCTCTGCCGAGATCTTTTCGAGAGTCTGGAGCGTCTGCTCCGCAAGGTCGATGAACTCTATCTCAGTCAGCTTTGAGAGGAGGACGGGAATGGCTCCATAGGCGACTACGGTATGAGCGGCGTAGGGCATAGCCTCGATGAGATTCGCCAAGCATCGGCACGCAAGGAGGGTCATTTCTCCCTGATCGACTAGGCCAGAGGCGGTGAGGGCGACAGCCGCGGAGGCATCATCGTTCTCCTCGGCGGCTTGCTCGCCGTCGTCGCCCGTGCGCGGTCCGCCCATAATTGAGACGAGCTCAGAGACGAAAGACTCAGTCGAGAAGTGACCTTGCAAAGTGTCCTCGTTGGCCAGGCTGAGCGCCTCTGAGAGCTCTTGAAGCGCAATTAATTGGGTGGTGGGGTCCTTGCGGTTGCGGAGCGAAGCGAGTAGCTGACGATAGCGCGAGCCACCGCCGCCGAGGTAGCCTGCAAGTCTGGCGACGTTGGCGAAGTCGGACCCACCAAAGCCGTCTTCGAACATCTCCTCGTCGTCGAAGGGGTGTCCCTCGTCGTCGTCGTCGTCGTCGTCGGCGAGTGGATGACGATTCTCATTTGCCGCGTTGCGATCCCCGTTGCCCGAGTCTTGCTCTTCCTCGTCTTCACTGTCTTCGTCGACGTCCTCGTAGTCGTCTGCTTCATCGTCTTCGTCGTGGTCCACGATGTCAACGTGCATTGAGTCATCCTCGACGCCTTCGTCGGCGTTGCCGCAGGCAGCGCTGGATCCACTGGCGGCGTTGCCTGCACGGCTCGATGATTTGCGGCGAGTGGATGGTCCTGAGGCCGAAGTACGTCGACCGCTGCTGGACGACGCACCATCCTTGTTCGCAACCATCTTCCTCTTAGCGTTGCCTCGCGACTTGCTGCTGCTGCCGCTGCTGCTGCTAGTCGTCGAAGCTTTCCTGTCGGTCTTGACCGCTTTGCGTGCACGTGTAGCACCAGCGAGACTTTCTGTAGAAGGTTTGCTTCGCAGATTGTAAGCCAGGGACGAAGACGAGGTGCTAGCAGAACGCTTAGTCTTCTTGGCCGGCTGCTCGATGCTGCTCGTGCTGGTCGAAGCTTCTGGTGACTGTGCGGTGGGAAGGGACGCCCGGCGAGAAGACCTTCGAGGGAGTAGCGGCGAGTCGGTTGTGTCGACTGCTTTGGCTTTGCCCTTGGATGATGAGCTTGCTGAGGCTGATTGAGCACCAGAGACGGCTCGCTTGCGCTTGCTTCCCGAAGCTGAGTCTTTTGACGAAGAGGCTACGATGGCCGAGGCTGGACTTGTGGCAGCGGTGGCTGGCGTGGAGATTGACGAAATGCTGGATGTGTTGCTTTCGTCTGCGAGCGAGTCTGCCGTCGACGAGTTGAAGCTAAGAGCGGTGGATCGACGAGGTCGTCGAGCAGTGGGAGCTTGGGCGGATGAAGAGCTGTTGGAGATGGGTAGGTGTCGCGACGAAGAGGATGAGGATGAAGAGGAGGAAGTGGAGGGGGCGACGGCGTTGCCGCTAGAAGATGAAGATGCTTGGGTGGCTGCTTGGGACTTGATGGAGCGAGATCGAGTGGTTCGTCTTTCTCTGCCGCTCTCCATCAGAGGCTGGCGATGGAGCGGTCAGAGTGAGACGATCCCGAGGAGGGCTTGATGCTGAAAGCGCCGCGCGGAGGCAAACACCACGCTGTCAGTCTCGATGGTCTCACTACAAGCCCACACCACACCACGAGTGTTCGACTCTCACTTTGTCCAGCTCTTGATTCGGAGCTGCTTCTCTCACAATCGTTGGCGTGTGGTCAGACGGTCATCCGAGATCGTCAAGTTGCGTTATTGCTGCTGATGTGAGGTGTAACGACGATGGCGGCTGGTGCACGCTGGCGTCGTTATGGGGCGAATGGGTGCTTGCTTGCGAGTCACGTATCGGGACGGGACCCAGGGCCAAGGGCCGGTTGTGGTCGACGAGTAGTAAAGGTGGCAAGGCGGTGGACAGCCAAGATAGCAACGGCGAAGATGATCACTCGCCTCTTGATGTCGCTGAGGGGCGTGTCCAGTTTCTTGCTGCTGAACTACTGACCTTGTCAAAATCAGCACTTGGGAAAGGGATCCGGAGGAGATGGTCAAGAGGATTCGTCGTCAAGGAGCGCGCTGAGCGGACCCTTTGCCCTTTGATGAGGCTACCGACGGCCGGCTAGCCCTCGACGTTGCTCTCTCGCCCAGCCCGCTCCCTCTGGTTTGCTGCCCGCTCACTTCGCCGTTCCGGCCGCGCCCCGTTGAGATGATGATGATTGGCTCGTCGATCTCGCCGCCCAAAAAATGCCAGGCCCGTGCACGGCCATCTTGCCCTTCGAGCCATCAATGCCGTAGCTCGAATTGAGTCTTCATCTCAGCTGCGGCGACGATGACTGTGCAGTGGTCCTTCAACTCCAGGCAAGCAGAACTCGCAGACTTCTCTGACTCAGACGATGGCGAGACGAGCACTAGCGTCGCCGCGACGAGCAGCGATAAGAGCGACGGGGCTACGCACGATGCTGTCCGCTCTTCACGAGGTTCTGAAGGAGACCGCAAATCTGACCATAAGTTGTGCTGCTTCTCCTTCAGGATCTTCTCGACGACTTGAATGTTGATGAAGGAGATGTCAACTTTGTCGAAAGCCCCTTGTAGGTCGAAGCAATGATCGTGCGATAGCGCCGCCCGCTCCTGACTGGTGCACCTGGCATGCTGTGCATTCCCTTCTGCCCGTAGCACCATTGCTCAGCGGCGAGCAGCGCAGAGAAAGCGTAGCAAGCAGGCAGCAAGAACATCAGAAAAGCCCAACGAGCAGCTGAATGGCCCTTCGGCAGCGCCATCTCTTTCATCGCCATCAGCATATAAGCAGCCAGCAAGACTAGGGGGATCGCTTGCGACTGTCTCTCCTGCATACACGAAGTCGACTTCGAGCTTGAGCTCACCAGCGTCAGATGGGACCAGCTCTGCTTCAATTTTAGCAAGCTCCTTGACTCCTCCGAGCTCCATCAATGATGCCAATCGAGCTCCTTTCTCTCAGAAAGGCCCAGTGCCGGCCATGCTCAATCAAAGACGCTCTCACAGGGAGCGACCAGGCCTCCTGCCCGCACGGGTAGCGGTCAACAGGCATGCGCAGCAGCCTGCTGCAGCTATCTCAGGCCAAACGACGCTCTGTTTTTCACAAAGACTGCCTCCTGTCGGCGAGCAAGCAGCTTTGACCGAGCTCAATACGGGCAGCTGGCAGAACCCCAGCTTCGACCAAAGTGCGTCCGTCCCTCAGCCCAGACCCTCCAATCCTGCCGCATCGTCCATTCAGCAGCAGCAGTATCAGCAGCAGCAGCAGTATCAGCAACTAGCTACCTCAGATGGCTTTGACGCCTTCTTCTGCGACGATGAGTCGCTACAGATTTGGAAGGACGTCGTCACACCGCCTGCCGAGGACTATAATTGCTCCAATTGTCAATCAGCTGGTGATCCCTACGTCGAGAGGGGACACAGGAGTGACAGCAAGGAAGCCCGTCGTGACAAGGAGCGGCAACAGCGCCAGTGGATGAGGCAGTCTGTACACACTGATGAGGTCCCAGACCACAATCCCGTCGTCAAAGCAGGTCACCACTTGCACCCTCCAATGGCCCCTGAGATGCGGCTCCGACCTCATCTGCCAGCTCCTCAAGCCTTGATACAGACTGACCTTCCGCCCAACGGCACAGCCGCCGGCGAGGTGGATGATGATGCGCCCTTTGCATTCGATGCGGATCGTCAAACGGCCATCGTTGTGCCCAGCAGCTCGTCGCCATACATTGTCAACGACCACGTATACGCCACGCCTGAGCAGCAGTCTCATCAAAGAGCGCGCTTCGCTTGCTCTTGGCAGTATCAGGCCGATCATCAAAGCTCAGAAACTTCCTCTCAGCATATTGCCTCAAGCATCAATACGCCTTACATCCATGGCCAGCGCTTCACCTTCTCCTCCTCGCCCATCCGATCCTGGCACGTCTACCAAAACTCCGGCTCCAACGTGCAGCCCAACTCGCACTCTTCACCTTCGGTCGGCGATGGGCGTCAGAAACTTTCACACTTCGCCTTCGGCGACAATGCATGCAGTGGGAACTCCTCCAGCTCAAGCGGGTACCATCTTCCCTCACTCGACCCATCCATCACCGCTTCTCGCAGCGTGAGGGGCAGTGCAAAGGGACGCAAGACCTACCCTCGCCTCTCTGCTGCCAATGGCTTCCGGCCAGAGCCAACTGAACATTCTCGTGCGCATCGTCGCCCTTCATCTGCCTTCAACGGCGGCAGCGTCCGTGCTGGCCTATCCGCTGCAGCGCGTCGAGCAACGGTGAAGCGATTCGATATCCCTTACTTGGGCTCGTCAAGCCTTTCTGCTCGAGCGCGACTTGCCACGGCCAACAGCGTGGCTACGGCTCACGAGATCTCGGATGACGAAGGGGAGGTCGGAACCACGAGAGGAAGAGCCTCTCAGATGTCCTCCTCGCCTCAGCAACACGAGCCAGGCAAGCATCGCTACACTCTCAAGAGGCTACACCCAGATGTGAACGTCGAGGTGCATGAGTGGGAAGAAGAAGAGGAGGAGGGAGAGGGTAGGGTGCAGGAGAAAAGAAAAAAGACACGCCTCACTTTGTTCAAGCCTTCTGCGCCACGGGAGGGGTTGTAAGCCGGCTATACATGTCGTGAGAGAGGACAACAGAGTCCAGTGAGAAGAAGAATGATTGAAAGTCGTAGCACAGAATACAAATCGCGACTGGCTGAACAAGACGTAGCACGTCCGCCTCCCAGCCCTACGCTTCCCCACCTCTCCATCCGCTCAGCGATGCGCCTGATTGTAGGCATTGACCACCTTCGAGATGTTCCTAAAGAGCCAATTCCTCAATCCGACATCCTCGATCCTCAACAGCGGTCCCTTGACCCCATTCCTCAACATGAGTGCGATCCCCTCCTGCTCCAGGCTAACACTCGAAAGCTCATTGAGCCCGACCTCCCACGCGCACTTGAGCTGCAACGTCTGCACGTAGAGGATCTTCGCCGTAGTGAGGATGACGACCTCATCACGATGTCCCATATCCGCGTGAGCGACGTAGTACTCCTTGAGGTACTTGCCCTCCTCGAGATTCTTCAGCCAGGCGAGGCCTAGAGCCTCGCGAGAGCTGTACGGTCGAACAATGAGGTCAGGTGCAACATAGCGGGGCAGTCTGACTCGGTCGATGTCGTTGCTCGAATCGAAGACGGTCGTCGTGTTGCGCACCCCTTCGCCCAAAGAGGCGGCAAGGTCGAAAGCGCCCACAGCGGGCTTGACGAGCAGGCCTACTCCTCCCTTGCCCAAGCCACGCAGGAAGCCGAGAGCACCGCCACGCTCTGCGCCCTCAATTGGACGAAGGGCCACTCCTTCGACTGCGGAGGTGAGCGAGGTGAAGAAGCTGCTTGCACCGGCCGTCACGCCTGTCAGGGCATGGCGCGGCTTGTTGCGGAAACGGGCCATTCGGCGACGAGCTTCGAAGTCGCGATCGAGCGAGGCGGCGGCTAGACCGCTGCCTACAGACGAGGTGAGGCGGGAGATGGAGTCAGAGACACCGTAGACCGTCTTGCGGACGAAAGACCCGGCGCCGCGCGCGATGCTGAGTCCAAGCTCGCGGTTGCCATGCAGGACCAGCCCCTCGATGGGTGAGTAAAGCAGGTCAGACACTCCGCTGCCAATCCCGGAGATGAGGCCCAGCGGGTTGCCCAGCACATCGATGGCGCCGACGAGCTTGTAGACTTGGCCCACCGCACTCGAGACGTAGTGGGCTTGCAGGCGCGCAAGGAGCTCTTCAGGAGACAGGCGCGCATTCTCGATCGCGATGGCCGACAAGCGGATGGGCGCTTGGTTGAGGTTGCCCACGGCCGAGGTCACCGCTCCAACGAGGAAGGCGAGTGGGGAGCGGGATTGCGCGACTTGCTCCTCAGCGCTTCGCTCGTTTCGATCCGACATGAGGAAGGAAATGGTGAGGAACAATGGCTGCAGGAGAAGGAGCTCTAGATAGATCTCCTCGCGGACCGTCTCGACATGCTGTGGGTCAGGAATCGCCTCTGGGCTGTCTGTGTAGTCTCCCTCTGCCTCTGCAGGCAGACCGCGCTCGAAGGCCTTGCTGAAGTCGAGGAGAGCCATGAGCCATTCGAGCTCGATCTCGATCTGGATCTCTTGCAGCAGGACGGAGGCATACTTGAGGTGGCGCACGCCGTGCGTCTGATCTTTGCTCTCCACCACCGCCACCTGCAGCGTAGGCAAAGTCTCAAGGGCCGTCCTGTCTTTCGGCAAGTTGGCAGGGTACAAGCTGATCGGGAAAAGGGCGCCCCAAAGCTGGTTGTCGATTTGCATCCACTTGATCGTTAGGCCGTAAGAGCGCGTCGCTTGTGACTCGTTGTAGCGCACGTCGACGTCGGAGAAGCTCACGTAGGCGATCTCTTGCACGCGGCGGTCCATGAGGGAGATGCCTACGCCGGACAGAGTGACGCTGAACGACGACAGGATGTCCGTGTCTACATCGACGGACTCGAAGCCGATCTCAGTATTTGATCGACTGCTCATCGTATCAGAGCGCGAGTTCTGACGCTTGATCTTAAAGTTGGACAAGGCCTCCGAGTAATTGGAGAGGACAATCGTTTGCGTGGGGCCGTCGGCTCGCACATCAATGGAGACGACGCGATTGCCTCTACCGTCAGCCGAGGGGAAGCGGAAGGGCAGCTGGCTGCCGATCTCGAGCGGATTGACGTTGCGTTCTCGTCCATTTGCGACGAGCTTGATGAGCTTGCTCTTGTGGGATGGTTGATCCCATGCGAATTTCATCTTCGAGCGAGGCTTGAGCTCGTAGCGCTTGCCCACTTGCTGATCCTGGTCCTTGCCGCCGGTCACGCCACGATCGTCGCTACCTCTGCCGCTCGAGCTGGCATCAGCGACGACGTTGGCGGTGCCACCGCCAGTCTGGCTGCGATCCGTGGCTTGCATGAAGGTGATGGTGAAGTCGCTCTCATTGCGCAGCATGAATGGCCACGGGCCTTTCTCGTAGCTGAGCGTGATGAAGACTGTCGGACCTTCGGGCAAGACTTCGACCTTGACCAGCTGCTGATGCTGACCAGCTTTGGCGATGCGCAAGTGAACATGACCCACGTCTTCGATGTTGAAGGGTGCCGTCCACTTGTTGTTGATGCCGGGCCATGCGAGCGTCATCTGCTTGGTAGCACCTACGCGCAAGAAGTGCAAAGGCAAGCGAGTGCCAGCCTCTGATGTGACAAAGTCTGCTGCGCCTGCCTCACGCAAGTTGATAGGCTCATCGAGATGGTTGCGCACGATGTAGCGCGGACGAAGCTTGACGACTTTGGAGAGCTTGAACTTGCCGAGCCCATCAGCGACGGTCAGACCGAGGTGAATCTCCTCGTTCTTCGACGCTGATGGAAGGACAACTTCCATTTCGGATCCAATAGCTTCGAAGGATAGCGGCCTCGACCAGCCCGAGTCTCCAACACGCAGCAGCATACGGTTGCGCCTGTCATTGGAGCTGTGCGAGAAGATGAAGGGCACTGGCTCCTTGCGAATCGCCGTCGTTCCAGAAGCGCTGCTCTCCTGTCCAGCGACGAGCTTGGCAGATCCGAGCCAAGACTTGGTCTTGAGCGAGAAAGGCAAGCCTGTCTGGTTGATGAAGATGTATGGCGAGTAAATCGACACCTTGAACGCCCCGCCACTGTCCGGGTACATGTGGTAGAAGAGACGCAAATTGAGCTTCAGATTGTCCGCATCGGCTAGCGTGAGGTCCTTCTCGATGGGGAAGTCATCAGGATTGTCCGTCGAGATGATGGCGAACTCGCTGGGCGAGAAGACGGATGACTGGACGTCTACGCTCAGCAGAAGGAGGTGAGACAGCTCTACGACGTGAATGGGTGAGACGCCGCCCTTGCGCAAGAAGCTGGACCAGTTGTGGTTCATGTTCTTGTCAAAGATGCGGTACTGAACGTCGTAAGGGAGAAGATTTTCGACCTCGACTGGCGGGCGAAGACGCAGCGTTACCTTGGGATACTGCCTCGTCAGCGGGTCTTGACGGTCGAAAAGCGAGTAGCACTGGAAGCGGAAGGGAGCTTCATTGGCCTCGTTGGCCTTGCAGGCGATGGAGCGAGTCGACCGCTTGATGAGATCCTGCCAGCCGAAGCTCTCGGTCGACCAGTCGTATTCGAAGCCGGGGTCGGGGCGCAGCTTGATTCTACTGTGAAAGGCGGCCTCGATGGGCACAGGGCAGTCTTGGCCTGGCGCTATCTTGCGAATGTTGCTCGAGTCAGCCTTGCCCTCGGCGTCGAGTATCATCATCTCCACGGGCACCATAGTCCTGTTCTCGATCTTGAAGGCCGACCTGAACGTGATCACCTTGACATTGTCCTTCAGTCGGACATCACAGACGACGCGGTGTGCGACCTTGTCGATCTTGGGGCGAAGATTGTGGTACGTCTCGCCTTCTCGGTCGACGGAAAGATGCTTGAGCCTCTCCCACGGCATGCCCTCAAAGGCGACCGAGAGACGGTTTCCGCCGCCCTCAGCGATGTTCTCTCTCATCGACTTCCAGTCGTCGAACGACCACGGCATTTCCGCGCCATCATCGAGCGTCTGCCCCGCTGCTTTGACCTTACGGTCGTCGTGCTCAGCCCACAGTCGCAAGGGGTAGCCCGTCTCGTTACGGATCTGGAATGGCGCTTTGTGCTGTGTCCTAGATGAGCTGGACGTGGACGCAAGCTGCGGATCCTGGCTGAGCATGTCCATGCTGGTGAGCGCCGTCTCGATGAGCGTCGTCGTCACGTTGACCTCCATGCGGCGCTTCGACGAGATGGTCATGTGGGTGCTCGGCGGCGACAGCGAGTTGCGCATGGCCACGTCGACGACCCACGGCTCAATGAGCGGCTCCCAGTGGGAGCGCGACAGGTTGTAGTAGTTGAGGAAAGCACCGAGCGTCGTGTTGAACTGCATGTCGCCCGTCCAGTCGTTGACATTGACAGTGAACTTCTCGACGGTGAGGTCGAGGAGGGGCAGTGTGTGCACATCGCCAATCAGAATGACCTGTACGCCAGCGACGTCGGCCTTGAGGACCTCCTTTGAGATGATCAGCTCAGCCTCATAGCTACGTTGCGCCTCCTCTTCTGCATCCTTCATACTCTTGCCTCCGCCCGTCTTGGCCACCGACGAGGCAGACGATTGGCCTGCGGTGCTCTGCCTCTGATGCTGTGAAGGACGTCGGGATTCGGCAGCATCCTTAACGGATGACCCCGCCGTATCCGCGCTCGCCATTGACATTTGACGTCGCGTCGTCGGTCCAACAGCAGACTTTGACGTAGCTGCTGCGGCCGAGTCGTCTGATGATTTGGCTGAGAGTTCGATAGCCTTGTTGACGACAGATGACAGCAGGAAGACGTCGCCGGGCGAGACGCGGAGCACCAGGGGGTCCACATGAACCTCGATGCTCGTCGTTTGCCTTGTCGCAGATGAGCGCGTGTCCATCGACAGGGCGAGATTGAAATTGTCCAGCAGGCGTAGTGACGAGTCCTTTGGCCTGTTCATGCGCGTGACGAACATGCCCATCTGGTCGACGTTCATTGCCAGGATGCCCTGCTGCGAGACGAGGATCTGCTTGATTGAGAGGACGATCACCTCTGAGTCGCTCTTCTCGGGAGAGGCGAGGAGCAGAACCGACGGGTCGACAATATTGACTCGGAAGGAGATGCTTCCGGCTTGCTCTGCGGGGGCGTCGCCTGTCTGGCCGCCCTGCGAGGCTGACTGCCCACCTGTGCCTTGGGCTGCCACTGCAGTCGAGGCCGAACGACTGCCAGGCTTCGAGGTCGCTGCTCCAGTCTTTGCGACTGACTGAGCATCCGTCGCTGCCGCCTGATCAGCCTGCTCCACAGCATTGAAGGGCGCCATGGCGAACTCGAGCAGCGCAAAGAGAGGATCCAGCGAGAAGATGATCTTTGGAGAGTCGACGGTGACGAGCGCCAGAGCCGAACGATCCGAAGGGTCGCCAGACATGGTAAATGAGACCATGAGCTGGTGCCCGACATGTCTTGAAGCCGGAATGATCTCTCTGAACTTGGTGTCCTTGTCCGGCCTCGTGTCCGACACGGTAAACGACTTCAGCGCAAGCTCTGCCTCCAAGCTCGAGTCTGACAGCATCTTGAGCTTGGCTTCAGTATTGCTTAGCGTGAAGCGCGCCAAGCTAGCCTTGTACAGGCTCTCTTGCACCGTCGCCGCCTCAGAGAAGATCTCGAGATTGATGGTTCGCACGCTGAAGAGGAGGTCGAGCGTAGTGTTGAGGAGCTTCGTCTCGCCATTGGCCTGGTGGGAGACACTGCCCAGCTCAGGCAGCATGTCCGGGCCAGAGCGCTCCGTGCGAGTCGTTGCAGCTTCGCCGCCCTTGTTCGGACTTTGGCTGCCGTCCTTCCTCGGCGACGGCGAAGCACTGGCGGACGGAACGGCCTCGAGTGTTTGCTGATCAATATCGTCCGTGTCGCCCGTCTCGAAGGCAAAGGCGCGCGGCACGCTCTGCAACAGCTCCATGATGAAACAGTACTGCGCTTGAGTCATTTTGATCTGCACGTCCGACATGCGAGCGAGGATCTGCATCTCCGGCTCCGTCGACTCGTTGCTGTGGTCGACGTGCTGCTCTTGCGTCACGTCGACGGAGATGTTGACATCATCAATCATCTGGATGTGGTTGTTCTGACCGTTGCGCTGTAGCCGCGAGGCCAAGCGGATATGCCGCAGTCCCGCTTCTATCTTGGTCACGACGTGCCCATCGTCCTTCGGTGGGAAAGTATTGTGTGCGTAGATCTCTCCCAAGTTGGCCACGACCACATCCGTCGACGTTGTATTGCGGGGTAAAACCACGACGGGCGACTGGACGATGACGTCGTAGTGCATCTTGCTGACCTGCTGCTGTAGCTGCGTTGCCTGAGCCGTAGCGGCCTGCGTGGCAGCGTCGTAAACCTCCTTCATGCGGGCGAACTTGGAGAAGAAGGTGAGGAGGTCTCGGATCAGGTCCTCGAGGAAGGTGATGCGCAACGAGCCGCTGCGCAGCCAGATCGACGAGTCGTAACCGGGATAGGCGGCGTGGTCATTAGGGTCGAAGGTCTCGTAGGAGAAGTCGGCCAGCTCGTCGCCCTCAATGGAAAGCAGTTTCTTGAACTCGCCAGAGGCCGTGTCTCGCTGCGAATTGTCGAGGATGAGCAACGAGCCAAGTCGAGCGGCAACGCGCAAAGTAGCGCCTCTCAAAAAGACGGCGACGTCGGCCGTGGAGAGCGTCAACGTGGCGAGCAGGGCGCCATCGTTGTTGAGACGAAGGACGACCGATGTGAGCTTGACACGCACTCGCAGCTTCTCCTTGCGAGGCTCAGCAGGGGCAGCGGCAGCTGCACGTTTGGCCACTTCGCCTCCCTCGTCACCCTGGCCATCCGCGTCGGCGGGCGGCTGCTGCGGCGGCGCCGGATCTGATGGCACAAAGGTCGTCATGATCCAGTCGTAGACGGCAAGGATAGACACGCGCGTGAGCATGATGTTGATCGTGCTGAGCTCGACGTTGATCGACTGATCGATCCCCTCGTATACGCTCATGAATTCCGGGCTGTCCGGCTGCACGCGTACGTACTTGACGCTTACGAGATCCTTCTGCGGGGTCGAGACACCCGAAGACGAGGACTCGACGGACGCATTCTGACCCTCCTTCGCTGCACCAGGCTGGTTCTGCCCCTCTTTCACCTGCTTTGAAGTGATCAAATACTTGAACGCCGGCCCGTGATCGACTATCTTGTCCTCAAGCTCCAATGAGCGCAGCCCGACGTCGACGTTGAGCTGGTAGGGCAGGACGGCCAGCCCGAGGTAGAAGCCTTCGAAGTTGGCCTCGACTAGCAATCGATCGGGCTTGGAGGGGTCGGTGTTCGACTTGAAGATGGAGCCTTGCAGCGAGTCGACGACGAATTGGAGCTCGAACGTCTTCTGGTGAGCATTGATGCGGTCCGCCGTGGCGTCCTGTGCGTCCTCAAATGTGTCGTCATCGTCGTCCTCCACCACTACATCGTCATCGCCGCGCATCTGGCTCGCTATCCTCGAGCGTCGCTGCTTATTGAGGTCGAGAGCATCGCCGACGTCGCTCGGAACGCGAGAGGAGCGACGCTTTCGCAGCGTAGGCGAGGGTGGGGCGTCTGCTGATCGTGACTTTGAGCCGTCACGCTTGTGGCGTCGCGACTGATCTTCCTCCGGGATCTCGCTCAGCATCGATGTCTCTCCCGCCTGCTGCGGTTGCTTCTCTGGAACCTCGCTGATCTTCGCTGCGCCAGTTTCGTCCTCGTCGTCAAACGACGGAATAGCAACATCGACGATAGCCATCAGTTGATGGTACTTGCGATCGCTGAAATTGACACGAAGTGTAGGCAGGTGTCCTGTCAGCTTGACCTTGGTGAGGTTGGGCGCCGAGGGGAGAATCGAGTTGTGGATCGTAAAGTCGATGTTGATGCGCTCGAGGAGATGCAGATTGTGATCCATCGGCGTCGAGCCCTCCAGACTTTGCAGACACGACTCGAGGTCGTTGCCCATGACCAACTGCGCGGCCTCGAGCTTGACGAAGAAGCGGTCATACATGAGCTCCTCGAGCTGGCGGTAGTCCTCCGGAGTGTACTGTTTGCTCTGCTTGGAGCGAACCGTGTCCAGTGCTTCTTGCGGTGCCATGACTGAGCGCACGCCGATGTGGCCCGCGTCAAGAACAACGTGCTGACACTTCTTGAGCGTCACATCTTGAGGCACGATGATGATCGGTGCAGCGACGTCAAGTGCCACATCGATGGTCTTGTGGTTCTCGAGCGCATTCTCGAGTCCAGCTCTAGTCTCTTTGCGGATCCCCTCGAGCGTCTCGCTTGCCACATCGATGAGAGCACCAATGAGCTCGAGCTCGCTCTCTGGCGGCTTGAAGAAGCGCACGATTGACTCGACGTAACCGCGGTGATATATGATCTCCATAGATCGCATCTTGACCGTGAGTGCATTGTCTGCGCGCTTGTCTAGCGGCTTGTTCTCGAATCGCAGGAAGAAGAAGGGATTTTCTGGGTCGCTCTCTTGGCCGACTTGCTTCTCAATCTCGCGAATGTCGTCCTCGTTGGAGTTTTGGCGATTGGGAACGTTCGTCTCGTCCTCTTTGACTCGGACTATCTGTGGATAGAGCGAGTTGGGTGTGGTGCCGTCGTAGACGCGCAGACCTCCGAGAGATAACGCTGCCTCGAGATTGTCCACGCGCTGGACAACGTCGGCTTGCAGGGTGTCAAAGACGAGAGCAACGATGTCCGAGTCGCGTGAATGATCGCGCAGGGCGAATGATCCCGTCTGCAGCTTCGTCGAGAGGCGTAGCTTCATGGCATCGCCCGGCGCATCGACGGCCTCGGTGACGGCTTGTGACCCCATCGACTCGTCCCACTCGATGGCCTCGTACAGCTCCTTGCGCTGCTCCTCGTTGAGGACGCCGCTGTTCTGCTGCTGCGAAGACGACGATGAGCTGCCCCAGATCCAGCTCATCCATCCCCCGCCTCCGCCGCCGCCAGACTGCGTCGAGTCACTGCTGTGACCGCCATTATGCTCAATCTCATCGCGCTTCTTTGCCGCACGCTCCTTGCGCATCTCGTTGCGGGCGATGGAACGATAGAAGCGGATGTCTCGGTACGAGAGTCGTCGCTCCAGGTCACGCAGCTGATCATTGTCGTCGCTCGTAGTAGGCTGGACCGCAGCCTGCTTCTGATTCTGCTTCTGCTGCTGCTCGTCCTTCTTCTTGAAGAGGGCAACGTACGCTCGACGATCATCTCTGCGTTGCTTGAAGTAGTCCCAAGTCCAGACGCGATGCTTCTCGTGCACTTCGTTGACGATGGCACGCCCAGCAAAACGGAAGAGAGCTCGTGGGCGGTTCTCTTCGAGCTCCTTGGCTTCTGGTCTGAAGCGACGGTATTGAGCTTGGCGCGTGTAGAAGTGGAAGAGATCTGCGACCGAGATGACGTCACGATACTGTTCGTCATCGAAGGCAAAACCGAGCTCGTCGAACAGCAGCTGTGCGTCCATCTTGGCAATCTCTGGTGTCATCTTCCGTCTGACAATGAGTCGCCCTGCGCCAGAGACTGGCTTGAGGATGTACTGATGTGAGGGACTCTGTCCTTCCTTTGGAATGAGCTCATCGAAGCGTTGCTTTGATTCTGCGACGTCTGAAAGGCCTGACAAAGAGATGGAGTCCGTGTCCCAATACAACGAGAGGGATTCGAGGCGGGCAAGCTTGTGAATGCCCTCGGCGCTGTTCTGGATGAAGGTAGGGTTCCAGTTGGCGTCCGTTGAGACTGCTGAGAATTCTGAGAGGGTGAAACCGGCCGCGAAGGGGTGCTCGGGATTTGACAAACTGTCCTCGTAGCGTACGTGGATGTTGCGGACAGTGATCTGCAAGTTGTCGACAATCTTGGTGACGAGGGATGAGGTGAAGCTCTCATTCTTCTGTGCCTCCTCTGCGCTCATCCCTACAGACGCTTGCGAGTCCCTCCCCAAAAGCTCAGCATTTGCCAGCTTCTCCTGCTTGGCTGCCTGCGCCCTTTCTTCCTCCTCTTCCTCGTCGACTTCGACCGAGGCATTCTTGGGTGCTGCAAGAAGGTGGACATTCTCGACGAGGACTCGGACAGGCTTTCCCTTGAGATTTGACCAAGGGATGGAGAGGGTCAGAGCGCCCAAGTATCCCTCTTTGACGTCGATTGGCAAACGAAACTTGTCGAGGGCCGACGTCTTGAGGCGGAGACTGGGCGATTGGGGGCTCAAGGATCAGCCTGCGATGGCGAAGGTGTTTGCGCTCGCCTGCCGGACTCACTTTCTAAGCTTGACATCTCCGGACCAGATACCGACGTTGAGTTGACTAGTGTTGAGTCCATCGACGTATGATGCGAGGAAGCGGTTAAGGACCGAGGCCAGTACGCCTTCAAGCATGGCGGCGTTGGCGGGTCAGCCCGCGATGGGCTCCTAAGTCGAGTCGAGGGAGGCGCACGCAAGTCAAGGCGAAGGTCCAAGTGAAAAAGGGGTATCGATGGGCAATGGTCCACGCAAGGTGATGATGACGTAGCAGTTGGTTGGGCACGACACGACACGACGCAGCAACGATGGAAGAGAGGATTCAAGGTTGAGGAGCAAAAGCAGGAGCGAGGAGTGGAGTCGGTCGAGGCCTCGTCTCGCTCTCCCTCTTCAGCCACCGCCGCCCCGACAAGCGTCCGTGCGGAGAGACCCTGAACACGCGCCGAAGCACAACGCACAAAGAAGCTCAACTCAGCACTCTTGGGTCACGCGCCGCCATTGATCAAGACGACAACGACGAGGAGGGCAATAAATAGTCATTAAGACATGGAAGAACAGGTCGTCGAGGCGTGTCGCCGACGGAGGCAGAGCCAGAGCTGCTGTCCAAGGCAGCTTGGGTCGCAATCAGTCTCAGATGAAGACGTAATTGCCCTCGAAGGTGCCCTGATCGAGGTTTTCAAACTGCTTGAACAGGGCAGGGCTAAGGTTGAGGGCACCATTCTGGGCGCTGCGGAGGCCAGATGTTGAGAGATCAAGTGTGGTGATCAGCAAGCTGGCAGATCATCTACTTCCCATCGCCAGGCCACCCACCCCAGGTCAACAACCATGCCGACGCGAACGCGACCGTTGGGGGCGGTGATCTTGACCTTCGTACCGCTGACAGCGACCACAGGGCAGCGAGCAGCACCAGTCACCATCGAGAGACATCGCTGTGGTAGTGCTCACCAGGTTCCCTTCCCGAATTTGGTATCGACGCCCAACGTGTTCTTGCTGTTCAAGCTCTTGTCGTGTCGCTGCCCACAGGCGGTAATACCCGTCGAGAAGTCAGCATAGGCCACACGCTTGTTGTATTGCACACCGAAGGGGATGCCTCGGCTCTCGAGACTGGTGGGAGTGGGAGCGGACACCGAGGGTTGAGCCATCAAGCAGAGGATGAGCAGCATGCCGATGAAGGCGACAAGGTGGGAGGAGCGAAGGGAGAGCATGGCAGGCAGTAGCTGTGGTGAAGGAGGAAGAGGAGGCTCAACTTTCAAGATGAATGATGTACCCTCGAAGCCCTGACAGAACAGAGCGTCATGAACGGCTAACGACGACCGAATAGAAGAAGCGGGCCGCTCGCAACGCAAAAGCAGATCGATTTGGCTACGGTAGCCCGCGTGACGGTAGACCAGCGCCGTGTCCACCATTATGCCGGCGAAGGCAAATTGCCGGACGCCTCACGGTGCTACACAGGCGTGCTCGAGTCAAAACGTTTGGGATTGCATTGCAAGCAGGCGGTGGCAACACGCCACGAACGGCGCCTCCGCCGACTCTCAACTAGTCAAGCTTGTAGTCACCCTGGAAGACACCCTGGTCCAGGTTGTAGAACTGCGAGAACATGCTTGGGCTGATATTGAGGTTACCATTCTCGGCGCTATCGGTCAGAAGCAGGCTTGACAGGTCAGCAGGCTGATGGTCGTCATTACTGATCTGGAGCACACTCACCCGAGGTCGACGACAATCCCTGAGTGGACCTGGCCGTTAGGCGCCGTGATGGTGACGGAGCGGCCGCTACAAATCACGCAAAGTAGGAGGGGTCAGCACCATAGGACTGACAGTTGGTGTCAAAACCCCAGCCTGGACTCACCACGCCTCAACGCCGAACCCGGTATCGACTCCAATAGAGTTCTGCTCGTTCAGGCTTGAGTCGTAGCTCTGGCCGCAGGCGGTGACACCGGTTGAGAAATCAGTGTACGAGATCGTCTTGTCGGTCACCGTGCCGGAGGGGACGTCGCGGCGGACCAGGGGGCTGGCAGAAGCAGCCAAAGCGCCGGCGAGTAGGGCGAGGTAGAGAGAGCGGGTGGTGAACATGGTGAGAGAGGCAAGGATGGTTGACTGTTAGGCTTTGATGAGTTGAGAGGGAGCTGGAATTGTCGACGAGATGGCTTCTTATAGAACTCATCGTGTCCAATCCTTCGACTCTGGCCCCAAGGTCGCCGTGACTCCGGAATCAAGTCGTCCTGAGCTCGCGTCGCCTAGTTTTGACAGCGTGCACTGCCTCGTCTATCCATCTCACTCAAAACTGACTGCTTGCGATGGTTAGCTCGAGCCGCTGAAGGTTTATCAGTACCCTTGTGCACGTCGGGCCCGTGACGAAGCGATGAGGTGTTGTAGCTTCGGCTCACGTTGGCGCCGACGTCGCAGATCCGCCGTCGAGAGGATCCGCGAGCCGACCCAGGTTCGTCTCACCCAATTCTCTGTCCGTCCGTGTCGGTCCGTCGATGCTTGCCTCCGCTCCACTCGACCAAAGCCAACCTTACAACTACACACTTCGCAGCACAGCAACTCCTGACTAGCCTCTTTTCCCAGCTCTCGAAACCCCTTCTCGGCTCATCGAACCAGCCTGCACGACCATCATGTTCCACCCAACCCGCGGCGGCACCCGTGGAGGGCAAGCCGAATTCTCTTGGGAGGCCGTCAAAGCGGACAAGGATCGTGAGGCCTACCTAGGCGCTTCTGTTCACGCTCCTCAGGGGCGATGGCAGAAGGGAAGGGATGTGAATTGGTACAACAAGGAGAAGAGCAGTATTGGCGGAGAGGATGAAAGGGAGAAGAGGAGGGAAGAGTTGAGGGAGATCAAGAGGAGGGAAGAGGAGGAGATGCTGCGCAGATTGGGACAGGGTGGGGGAAGGTTGCCCCCCTCAATGACTGGAGGCTCGTCTAATGGGGAGCCAAAGGTGGGAGACAACCTCCTCGGAGGATCGAGGAACGGTACTGGCCCACTTGCATCAGGCAGCTCAACAGGCGCGAATCGCGCTCACCTTGATCCATCAAAGGCGAGGAGGTGGGGTGGTGGGGAGGATGCCGGAAGTGCAGCATCAAGAGGGGCAGGTGACGAGGATGACAGTGATGGCGCCACCTCGGGACTGACAAAGGAGGATAAGGCCTTCGCTCGTAAGCTGGCGCACAAGGAGGCAAAGAACGCTAGACATGAGGAGAGGGAGAGGATTAGGGAGGAGAGGAGACGAAGGAGGGAGAGGGAGGGGGATTGGCACAGGGATGATGAGCGTGCGGACGAGAGGGACAAAGATAGGAGGAGGCGGGCTTCAAGCTCCCGTAGCCACGATGATTCGCCACGTAGGCGCAGTCAACCTCATCACGAGAGGAAGGAGAGGGGAAGCAGGCGTCGATACGATGAGGACGATGGACGTTACCGGTCAGATGCGCGACATCGTAGCCTCAGCCGCAGCCACTCGCCCGACAGGAGGCGAAGGTATGATCGCAACGAGGACGGCAGAAGAGAGCAACACAGCAGGCGCAGAGACGAGCGATCCATCCGGCCGCGAGACGATCGCTCGCCGTAAGCATACTACCCTTCACAATCAATCGACATGTGGCTTAACATCATCCTATTCACATCAGCGTCAACATCATGCCCCTGCTGTCTTTCCCTTATTCTTCTTCCTCCTACTCTTTTTCTGCTTCTTCGACCCGGTCGCCGTCGTTGAACCCGTCCCTCTGTCCTCCTCGAGGTCATCTCCACGATCCTGATCAGCAAAAGATTCGTCGAGCAAGCTTGCCTCCAAAGAAGCATCGTCTTCTTCATCCTTGAAGCTCTTCGGCTTCCTGAAACCCTCATTCCCTTCTGCCGCAGCCTTCTTTGCCTTCTTGCTCCCCTTGTCCTGCTTAGCCTTCTTATCCCTCATGGTGACAGGGCCAGAGTGCCGGCTACTGCTCGTGTCTTGATCAAAGGCGGGCTCCAGTCCATCTTCATCATCACGTTTGCGTCGCTTGCCTGCAGAGGAGGAAGAGGCTCCCGATGCACGAGGTCCTCGTCCTCCTCTGCTCCGGCCCTGCTGCTGCTCTGAGTTCTCCTCGTCGTCTTCCTGCTCCGGATCCTCTTCCCCCTGGAAGCGCCCAAATTTCCTTCTCGCTGTGCCTGTTTGTCCTACGGATGACTTGGAAGCTCCACCGCTGCTGCTGCTGCCGCTGCTGGACGAGAGAAGCCACGAGTCCCATCCCTGTGCGTGCTGATCCTCGTCTAGAATGGCTGCTGCTCTGGACGTCGAAGGGGCGAAAGACCAGTGCTCCTCGTTGCCATCTATCGACGTCGCAATCGCGGGTGTGGCAGCCGTCGAAGCCTTGACTGCCTCTTCGTCTGGCTTGGCCTCCTTCGAAGACGGTGCATTTCCCTTGCTCTCGACGGGTCGCTCGTCCTCATCCTGTCTGGACTGCTGCTGGACAGCTGCCGCGCGTTGCATGAACTTCAAGCCCTGTACCTTGCCGCTCAGCGATGTAACATGAGCCGGACGAGCATTTCCGCTGAACGAGGCGGGGGAGCTTGTCGAAGATGGGGCCATCAGTGTAGTGTGGGAGGGAAGGTAAGTGAGATGGGTCGAGGCGGAGGCGGAGGCGGAGGACAATTTCAAGAGCGCATATCATACGGAAGGAGCCACGCGTGTCGAGTGTGAGGCGGACTGAGGGTCAAGCCTGCAGCTAAACCCCCAAGCTGCGATCTTGGCGTGCTCAGCATCAAGACATCAAGCCTCAATGTCCTCGGCTCAGCCAGCCCAACAGCAGCAGTACGGCACACGCAACGTCTTTGTGAGCTCCCCATCGCGCCCTTCCCAGCTCTGACCATCCTCTGACCCCTCCACCTGCCCTCCGCACTACGCAGTACCTTCGCCTCTCCCCTCGCATCGTCCTCTCCTCCACCCTCTATCTCGACGCCCGCCATGTCCCCTGGCTAAACGCCCATCCTTCCATCTTCCACTCTGCCCTCGGCGAGCTCCGAGATCGTCTCGTCAAGAAGCTGGAGAGGGAGGCCAAGGTCATCACCAAGCACGGCCTGGGTAGCTCTCGAGGAGGTGGGCGAGGAGGCAAGAGGGGAGAAGCGCTAGGTGGAGGCTGGACGAAGCGTCTCTGGGGTGAAATGAGCGGCAATGAGCAGGTCGATGTGGTTAGGAAGGGCGACTTTCATCTTGCCTTTTTCTTCAAGAAGATGAATGCAGCGCACGGGGTGTTGTTGAAGGAGGTGGAGAAGACTTTTCCGAAGCAGAAAGCTACGACGAGCAGCGGCAGCAGCAGCAGCAGCAAGAGAAGACGTACTGAGGATCCAGGGGTCGTGCGATTGGAAGAGGAAGAAGAAGGCGCGGGCGGGATTGAGGTCAAACCTGATCCTGAGGATGAGGAGGCAAATGGACTAGGCGGCCTCCCTGCTCCTGGGCAAGGACTGGACAGCGATAACGATGAAGAAGACGACGAAGGCTTCACTATGCATCCCGGAGCCATGTACGAGGACGAGGACACAAAGCCCAAGTTCAAGCTCAAGGTACGATACAATGGATTCCAGATGTAAGTCAAAGATCACCGCGAGCAAAGCTACTCTCTCCCATCAAGGCTGACCCATCTCTCGCCAGCTTCCCCAAATCCCTCACCTTGGTTCTCGAGCCCTCACCCTCTGCTCGTGCGCGCTCACCGCACCTCTTCGCTACCCAAGCAAGCCAAGAGCGACGACAACTTTCTGCCACTCCGGCAATGATGAGCGCCACACGTCGACAAGGCGCAAGCAATGGCAGAGGCCAGAGTATCAGAGATGGATCCACCATGAGGGATGGTAGTGCAGCAAGGGGCACGCCATTATTCCGAGGTAGTGCGACACCCAGTGATGCTGGCGATGAGCAGGAGGAGCCGACGGCGATGGCAGGACCGTCTTCCCTCTCAGGGGCGGCGAAGGGTACCACGATGGCTCCGCCGCCTGTGCCGCAACGGGCGAGGAGAGCGGCGGGTGAGGCAAGGGAGGATGAAGAGGCAGAGCAAGCGCAAGAAGCTGCTGCTGAGCGGGATGGTGATGGCTATTCGCTGGCTGAGCAGATGCTTCTTTCCCAAGATGACGTGAGCCACTTCGTAGTCAATGAGCGGGCGGCAGATGAGGGTGATTGACGGCGCGATGCCTACCAATGTACATGTATCATATCCAAGGTATACGACGGCGATAGCGTGGCTTCGTGTGCCAGCCTACAGCTTTCCCCCGTCTCCCCTCCTCGCATTTCTCACGCCCTCCGTTTCGATCGTCTCCATCTCCTCATCCACCACATCAGCTGGGCCGGCTCCCCCCGCCCCACCGCGCTTCCTCACACCAGCAGCCGCTCCACCACTTGCAGACGCAGTGCTCGAGGCCCAGTCATCGCCATACTCTCCCTCCTCATCTCCAGACTCCATCATTTCCTGTAATGCCTCCTTCTCCCCGCGCGTTGCCGGCACTCCCCCCGGGTTCGCCCCTGGCCCACTCATCGTCTTCTCGTTGAACCCACCGGCAATCGCCTCCCGTGATAGGTCAGTCTCGTGTCCAAGGTGGCGATGTAGGAAGGAGGCGAGGGCGGGCCAATAGCCTCTTGCCATGCAAGTATCATTGTGCGTTCCCTTTGGGAAGAGGAGCCACTCCCTCCCTGCTTGAGAGCGCTTAGTCGCCACCTCCCAGAGCTCTCTCATCTGCGAAGGCGGAACAAGCTCATCTTGCCCGCCCGACAGGAAAAGGACCTTGATCTTTGGATCTACTCGAGCGAGAGTCTGATCGCTTTGCCATACTTCGCGGCAGAGGAAAGAAAAGAACCTGGCTGGTGGGAGAACGGTTGGGATTAGGGCCGGGATGGAAGTGAAGGTATTTTCCAGTACCAAGGCTGCGATGCCAGTTGAAGAAGCATTGCGAGCAGCCGTAGCTATTGCGACTGCTCCACCCAGCGACTGGCCGTACAGCACCAATTTAGCCTGCGTGGCAGCGTTTCGCTTTCGCACCCAGTCGAGGACAACTTGCGCATCGATTTGGATCCCTTTCTCGCTCGCTGTCCCACTCGAGAGGCCATAACCCCTGTAGGAGAACATGACTACATCGCAACCTATCTTCTTGAACAGCATAGCCGCAATCGGTAGCCTGTGGGCGATATTGCCAGCATTCGCCTGGAACATCATGACGACTACCCGGCTCCTCTTGTTAGGGCGAGAGATGAACCAGGCATGTAGTTGCTCCCCATCTGGAGTGGGGAGGAGCTCTTCTTCGAATGGAAGCTGGTACGCATCAGGACGTGTGCGATCCTCTCTTGAGCCGGGCGGTAGGTTGGAGGGGTAGATGAGTTTTCCCTGGTAGGTGTAGAGGAGGGTGCCGAGTGTGGAGATGGTGAGGACCGAGAGGAGGGAGAAGAGGCGGAAGAGGGTGGACAGAGTGGGGAGGTACGAGGGCATTGTGGGCCGGATGCGAGTCTGCTGTACGCTGAAGGGAATAGAGGGGAACAAGGGAAAGAAGGGCGCCTCTGTGTCGTCGTCTGAGGTTGTGGTAGGGCGCAAAGGGGAAAAGGGCATTCCATCAAAGTGGCCCATGCGCCATCTTCAACCCCGCCGCTCGCGTGGCCTGACAAAATTGAATTGGCCTTGAGCGGAGGCGAGGCGAAAGTCAAGCTCTTCTTTCCGTTTGCCTCTTCTCCACCACCTCGCACGCACAGCATGGCGTCCACCTCTGCCTTTCAGGTGGTCACGCCAACAGCTTCCTCGTCCAAGGCTTCGACCTCGACACGCCCAGCCTCCTACCATGTCCACCTGTCTGGGCACAGCGACCCGCGTCTAGAAGACGACGACGAAGAAACTGGCGGCGAGTACGGCGATGACTACACCTCATCGCGCACTCTCGCCACCCCCGGCCAACCGCTGGGATCCCTCACAACCTACATGCGCGGGCATGGCACACATCTGGTCGCCCCTCCTACATCCTCATCGCAACAAGCAGCAGCAGCAGCAGCAGCGACAATCTCCTCCTCCCTTGCCGGGCGAGTCCTCCTAACCAATCGTCTCCTCTCCCTCTCCCCTCTCTCTCATCGTTACACCCCCGAGACGGGTGATCTCCTCCTCGGAAGAGTCAAGTCTGTCCTCCCTGGTGCGCGCAAATGGAAGATCGACATCTCCTCCAGCTCGGGATCCGCTTCGCTTGCATTATCCGCCATCAACTTGCCAGGAGGAGTGCAAAGAAGGAAACTCGCCTCCGACGAGTTACAGATGCGTACCTTCCTCCGCGAAGGGGATTTGCTAGTCGCAGAAGTGCAAGGAGTCTTTGCTGATGGCGGTGTAGGTTTGCATACTCGCTCTTTGCGATATGGCAAGCTGAGGAATGGCCGGCTGGTGCGCGTGCCAGTGGGGTTGGTCAGGAGGGGGCGTAGTCATTTCATCAAGCTTGTGAGACCCGGCGGTGAAGGAGGCGAGGTGGAGATGATTCTTGGCCTCAATGGATGGATTTGGCTGAGCGCTGTCGGTGCGAGAGAGGGGACCCCAGCGGGCGCTCAGTCCGCGGGTGAGGGAGAGGAAAACGGTGATGAGGCGACTGGTATGGGGGGCAGAGGAGTAGGAAGAGATGTAGATGCGTCAGGCACGTATAGTGACGAGCTCAAGGTGGGTGAAGCGATGCAGCGACTGGCTCAACATACAAGCCGCTGACAAAAGCTCTCCTCTTCGCGAACGCAGCTCCCACCGGCCTCCCTTCTGGACGACCTTGCGCTGCTCTCCTCCCTCCTCTCCCTGCTAGGCGACGCATACCTTCCCATATCAGACGCTTCTGTCCAGCTCGCATGGGACGTAGCTGTGCAGCAGCAGGCAAAGAAGGCAGAGAGGTCGTCTTCGCAACAGCAAAGATTGTTGGCGGCCATCCAGGCCGAGTTCAGGGCAAAGGGTATCCTGGGTGGCAGCGGTGCGAGAGGACAGGATGAGGATGGTGATGTTAGGATGGACTGACGTGAGAGGGGGGCTATGTACTTGTAGTGCGAGGAGCGAAGCAATGAACCATCGGTAGACACGAGCCAGCGAAAGACGTGCTTCGTCCACGAATGAGGAGCAAGAAAGTGCAAAGACTTGGTCTGCGATTTTGGCGTTGAATTGATGACACTCTCTCCTCTGGCACTCCGTTCACCACCCCCTTCTTCCTCTATTGCGCCAAGACACCCTCCATTGGCACGCCTGCTGCCCCATTTGTCGCTGCGGCCTGCGCTGCCGCCGCTGGCTCAACAGGAAGGCCGTCCGGCGCCACGTCCGGGTTGAAGTCCTCATCTGCCATGAACTCCTTTGCGTGCGCCGTCAAGTACTCGACGGAGCGCTTCTCATCGAGGAAGAGGCCTGTGTGCGTGCGAGACGGGAGAGAGAATATCAGGATATTTGCTCACTGCTCTGCTCATCTTCGCAGACCCCATGGCAACTCACCATACACCCTCCTGACGTCTGGCACCTCGACCTTTTGTCCCTTTCTCCTCCTGCAGGCCAATCCACTAGTCGTGATCAGGTTGATCGCGTACCTCAAGCTCGTCTCGGCACCAATGCGCGTCAGAACGCTGAGGGCCTCAGCGCTGAGTTCCACATCCTCCTCTTGGGCGCGAAGCTGAAGAATGGCGCCAATCTCCTCCTCTGCGTACTTTGTCGTGGCGACGATGAGAGCGCGATCCAGAAGGTCGATGGGAATGCCATGTGGTGACCTGAAGCGAGTGCCACGGATGCGCGCAAGGCCCCTGTTGCTAGCCATTACGACAAGCGGCGCCATCTCTCCCTCCAGTGCTCGGTTGAGGAAGCTGAAGCATTCGACATCCAGCATGTGCACCTCATCAATGAACAGGACACCCGGTACTACGGTCGCCTTGCCCTCCTCCTTCCACTCCTCGACCTTGCCATCAATCTGCGCCCTCAACTCAGGCTTGATCTCTCCCGTATCGCCCGCGAAAAGGGCAAGGAAGCCCTGCGTCCGCGAATTGATGACATCGATCTCGTGCAGCGTCACGGTATGCGTGACAGTTCGACGATGCTGCAGCTCTCCCTCGGGGCAGGCGACGAACTTGGTGTCCGGCCCGCCGGCATCATAGTCACGGGCGCGGGTGTAGGATCGACCGATCTTGGAGATGCGACCAGAGGACTTGTCGATTGAAACTACATCGCCTGCGGTGATCTTCTCTTTGGAGAGGGTGTCGATCATCTTGCTGCCGAGGTCATAGATTGTCTCCATGTCTGTGGTTTTGAGGGTAAGCTTGCCCTGCGAGCGTGACGCAAGGGAGATCAGTATATCTGCTTGGTTCAAGCTGGACAGAGTGCGCTACTCACCGTCTTGGTCGCTCCTGTCAGACTACGGTCCACGATGATCTCCACCACCTCTCCCTCCAGCACCTCGGCCTCCTCCTTGATCCGCACGCCAATGGCCTTTCGGAAAGCTTGCGTGAGGGCTTCTGTCTTGGACATTTCGAGGGAAAAGACTTCGGATGAGGACAGCATCACGAAGGGCACGTCTGGGCCTAGCGATTGGGACATTGCTGTGAGCAATAAATGAGAGTCAGAGAATGGTGCATGTCAGTCAAGACTCCAAAGTCGAGCCTATCTTGGTACTGGCGCGCGCTCACCCATCCCAATGGCCGTCTTGCCGGAGCTGGGCGGGCCTGCCATCAAGATGGCCCTTCCGGCAATCCTGGCGCTCTTGACCATCTCGACTACCAGACCTGCCGCCCTGCGAGCACTCTTCTGTCCTATGAGACCCTGAGCGGGCCCAGAGAGGGGCTGGAGGTGCTCATCGAGGCCTAGTCCACGGATGTGAGAGTGGGCGCCGATTCGTTCGAGGGTTTGGATGGATGACGAGGAAGCGCCCGCTGTGGTTTGGATGTTGGCCTGGTGAGGCGCCAAAAGGAAGGGCAGGGAGAAGTGAGTCAGTGACAAGCCTCAGAGGGAAGCACTCGGCCTACTCACCATCTTGGGCGAGGTTGATGGTGAGGAAGCGGAGGAAGGAATGGAATGCGATTCGTCGCTCTTGCCGCCCTCTGGACTGGACTGTCTCGACTCGCGCGTGGGCCCGTCCGCCTCGTCTGTCCGTCCGTCGACGACGAAGGCGCATCCATTGCTTCTCATCTCGCCTCGACCACCATCAAATCTCAAAACGCAAGATCAAGATGGCACAAGGCAGTCGTCACAACGGACGGGATGACCCTGAGATGGACGTCGACTTCTCAGATGATGAGAGAGGTGAGCTTCGGCAGCCACAATCCGCATATAGCCAGGCAGCAACTGATCAACAACGCTACCTCCTCCTCTCGCTCACTTCTTCACGCTCGCTCGCAAAAGACGCCAATGTGCAGCAGAAAGGCAGGGGCTTCAACGTTCGTGGCGCTGCAGCGGCATCCTCTTCACAGTCTCGTCGCGATGCAGACGACGATGCGGTGATGCAGACGGATGGAGTCCGCAACGAGGACAAGCAGTTCGACCGGCTCGACGCAGAGGGTGACGACGAGAAGAGGGATGGCGCAGCGGCTGGGGAGGCGAGACCTGCGAGGTGTGAGTAGGCGAGGGGCAGTGTCGATTGGGGAAAGGGAGGAAGAGGGACTGACAACATCCTCCCCCGCCGCCGCCGTGCAGCAATCGAAGGCTGGATCGTCCTTGTCACAAACGTCCACGAAGAGGCAACGGAGGAGGACCTGACGGACAAATTCCTCGACTTTGGTGATGTCAAGAACTGCCATCTCAATCTGGATCGTCGCACTGGATACGTCAAGGTGAGCAGCAGCGCGCCGCTTCCACCGTCGACAGCCCCGTACTCACGTATCTCCCCTCCCACGCCGTGACATCGCAGGGCTACGCTCTCCTCGAGTACTCTTCGCAAGAGGAGGCCCGCGAGGCAATCGAGGCGTCCAAGAAGGGCGAGATTACGCTGATGGAGCAAGAGTTGAGCGCAGACTTTGCCTTTGTGCAGCCGCCACCGTCTGGACCGAGGGGTGGTAACAGAGCGGGAGGACAGAGGCAACGGGGAGCAAGAGATGCGAGGGATCGAAGTCCGGGGAGGAGATGATGGCGGGCAACGAAATGACAAGGAATCATACCACTTCACATCATCACTCGTCTCACGCTAGTGTCACTCTCAATCTCGAGCCTGGTGATCGCTGTGCAAAGGATTGACTGATTGCTAACAGCGAAGAAGAGAAGGCGTCGACGACGAGGCGGACAAGATCGCATCCACACCTCGCGTCACACCGCCGTGCACGCTTGCAGCACGCTTAGGCGGTAGGGGGCTTCTCTCCAGGGGTGAAGAGGTAGGTGAGGTGGCACTTGCCGCAGTACTGGCGGTCGTTGTGCCAGGCCATGAAGACACCAGCTCCGCACTCGGGAGCGGGGCACTCGCGACGAAGACGCTTGAGGGCTCCGTCAGCGTCGACCTTGTAGTACTTGAGGACGGCCATCTTCGTCTTCTTCCTCTTGTGCTTGATCTTCTTGGGCGTAGTGTACTGCTTCTTCTTCCTCTTCTTGGCGCCTCCACGAAGACGAAGGACGAGGTGCAACGTCGACTCCTTCTGGATGTTGTAGTCGGCGAGCGTGCGGCCGTCCTCGAGCTGCTTGCCGGCGAAAATCAGACGCTGCTGGTCGGGAGGGATGCTGCGGTGGCCAGGGGAGGATGCGCGTCAACTCGCTGCTCGCTACCAGCACAATTAGCAACTCCTACCGCGGCGATACCAACCCTTCCTTGTCCTGAATTTTCGCCTTGACATTGTCGATCGTGTCCGAGGACTCGACCTCCAAGGTGATGGTTTTGCCAGTGAGAGTCTTGACGAAGATTTGCATCTAAAAGCATTGCATGAGCAAGGGAGGGGGGAGGAGGTGTTAGCAGGGCAGGACGAGGTGGCATCGAGGTGGAGCCAAGTGGGCAAGCCTTGCCTAGACGATGATGCTCTTGAGGCTCAAAGACGGGACGACTCACCTTGGATCACTCAGCCTAGCCAGCGAATGCGTTGGGTCCTCGGAGAGCGGATGGTAGAAGGGCGAGGTGGACGGCGTTGCTCGCAGCCGTTTTCACTTTGCCCTCGCACTGGTTTTGCGCCAGCGCCACGTGTTTGAAGGCCACGTGGCCCCCACCACGTGCGCATCATCCACGTGAGGGGCAGTGATGCGGCCGGTCCGGGTTCTCGGCCTCCTGGACGTCTCCCCTCAACTCGCATGCCGTCGATGATCACCCTATTGAGGGAGGGTCAATGGATCACCATCCCTATCGCTTGCGCTCGAGCGCACCGATGTCAGACGCAGCGCTGCCGATCCACCCGTCACTATATTTCAACGCTGAGGTAGCCAATGCAACCTCAGCCATGAGCTGCCGGCGCAGCAAATTCGCGAGTCCGTCGTCTTGCTCAATGCAGCCTATCGCCTTCACCAACGCCTGCACCACACCAAGCTTACGTCTCAATCCGCCTGCTGACAATGGTGGTTGCTCGACAATAGGATTCGCAGCGTAGTAGCCTACCCCAATTTCAGCGCCGCTTGTAGGCGCTTACCTCTACGGCTAGCTGCTCAAAGAAGGCACTGACCAACAGCGTGATCAAGAGATACGGCGGCTGCATGATCAAGCTAGCATCAGGCTGTGCGAGGATGATGATAATGATGTGGCTATTGATGTATGAAGTAGATGGTATTATGTTGTTGGCGCTTGCCGGTTTGGCGCTTGCCATCGCTCCTGATATGCCGACCTGTGGTACTGAGGCCCACTCGGTGACTGCCTGCCCCGACATGGACTCAGCGAAGTAACCATTCGAATCGGCAGCCCGTCTATGTGGTCTTACGGGGCTCCTCGTCTCTTCAGCACCCTTGACCGGTGTCTCTCCTCTCACCTCCTCCTCCCTGTAAGCTCTTCTCGCTCCTGTCCGTCGTCATCTTCAGATACGTCCTCAGTACCCTCTTCGTTTTCTTCTTCTGTTTCTTCTTCTGTTTCTTCCTCCTACTCAAACTCCTACTCCTCTTCGCTACCCGGTAGCGCCCTCTTCTTGCCTCTGCGCTTGCTGCCATCGCCCTTACCGACCTTCTTCGCCTCCCCTTTCGCCTCCCCTTTGGCCTTCCCTTTGGCCTTGGCCCTGTGCTTTCGCACGGCATCGGCCACCTTAGCCCTCTTCCTCTGCTTGCCTCGTTCGTCCGCGCCTTTCATCCAATCAATAACAGCGCCAATACTCCCATTCGCCCTTGGCAAAGAGAGCGGCGCCGGCCTGCTCGTCTTGCACGCCCTTCTCTAGCGCAGGGCCCATTGCGCCGGAAACGATAGCGAGGATGACCATACTCGATGCGACGTCGCGGTGAGCATCTTTGGCGGCCAGGCTGCCAAAGCCCCACGAGGTGGCAAGCGTGTCCCCGTGCACACGCGCCTGATTGGCGTCGAACCGTCTTGGGGGGGGGGGGCAGCTTGCTCTGTTCTGCCGACTCGAAGGGAGAGAGCAAGGCGTCTGATGGGCCAGTCTCGCTCCAGTGCCCCGCGTCAGCGGACAAGGAGGACGGGCCGGCCACGGGCGTTGCGAGGTTCTGGTGGAACGGCCGCTGAATGGTCGTTGTTCCATTGACTGCAAAAGAATGCAACATAGTCGCCCAGAATCCAATGTCATCGATCTAGATCGGGCGCTCTGCCTTCATGTCGGTGATCAACTGTGCGCGGGGCCTCCTCGCTTGCCTCCTTGCCTTGCTTTGACGCGATGATCCAGTCGAGCAGCCAACGGCTGCGCTACCGAGCGAGCCTTTGCTCCGAGTTGGAGGTGTGCCACTTTGGCACAATCACGGACACTTCCAACTCTGACACGGTGTGACCTTTACTTTGCAGGTTCGCCATCTCTGCAAATGCGTCACAGCGCCGCATGGATCTTCGCGAAGCATTAGCTGCTGCAAAGGGGAGTGGTTCCACCCAGCATTCTCATAAAACTTCGTTGAGCATACCGCAAAAGAAACCGCGGACCAAGTTGGAGCCTATGCCGTGGACATGGCGCGCGGAGCGAGTGCGCCGGTGTTATTGGGGATCTTAGATGAGGGACCGCTAGCGCGCGATCTGGTGTTGCTGACTTGGCCTCTTCGACGATCGACCAGATGATGAGCATTGGCGGAGCGTTGTTGCACTGTCCCGCAGCTCAGCAATGGCGCACTTTGAGTGTCGACCATGCGTCATAGCCAAAGACCTCTGCGTTCGCCTTCTTGCGCGTCGCGTGTAACGACAAGGCTGAGCGAGATAATCCCTCCCGCTTGAGGAAGGCGAGATGATGAAAATGCCTGCAAGGAAGACTCAAATAGCCATACAGGGTCCTCATGATGTCTCGACATGGATGCTGGTCGCTTGAATCAGCCTCGCACCAGCGTCAATCGTGAAGCTCGATCGTGCCGAGCACATCGCGTCGAGGTGGATGCCACGGCAGGCGGTCGGCCATGAGCTCGTGTTGATTACGTCCCTGCCTTTTGTACACACTGCCGGCAGCATTGATGAAGGTGATGGGTGCGAGAAAGCACGGTGCTTGACGGCTGAGCCATTGCGATGAGCGATGAAGTCAGGTGATAGGATGTTGATGAGCTTGGATGATTGGGTGGAGGTGGAAAAGGGAAGGAGGCGAGGAGTTGGGGCCAGCCCGGTGCCTTTGCGCGTGTGATGCGGTTTGCTGGAAGGGGAAGGGGAAGGGGTAAGAAGAGAAAGGAGGAGATGGCGATGGTGAAGAGGAAAGAGGGATGTCGAGAGCTTGGAGGAGATGATTGGGCCGGTGATGAAGTTGCCGGTGCGCTCCAACACATATCCTTGCGCCGGCTCCATCGCTTTGTTCCACTCGTCTCGGAGCGGGTGGATCTCGCCTGTGCCCTGTGCTGGACCAACGGACCCACGGACCCACGCGGTCGGAGGCACGGACAGGGACGGACGGGCTCGCGGCCTCGGCGCTTTCAAGCTTCGACTCGCCCCAACACGAGCCGTACACTTCTTCTCATCACTCCACAACTCCACTACAGCAACCATGTCTCTTTCCAACAAGCTCTCCATCAACGATGTCGACCTCAAGGACAAGCGCGTCTTGATCCGGTGCGTGTGCGCGAGGCAAGATGACAAATGCAGCACGTCTTGACACTACCTCCTATTATCGCAGCGTCGACTTCAATGTCCCTATGGACGGCGACAAGGTCACCAACCCTCAGCGCATCGTCGCTGCTCTGCCTACTGTCAAGTACGCTCTTGAGCAGAGTGAGTGCTGCGAGGTGGCGTAGCAGACTGGGACGTCCTCAAGACTGACAGCATATATCGTGCCATTCCGCTTGCAGAGGCCAAGTCGGTCATCCTCATGTCCCACCTCGGTCGCCCCGATGGCAAGCCCGTCTCCAAGTACTCGCTCAAGCCCGTCACCTCCAAGGTCTCGCGAGTATCTGCGCGCTCTCAACCCTCACCTCGCCTGCTTTGCTGACCAGTTCATCTCCCACCCCACCCTCACCCACAGCGAGCTTCTCGGCAAGGACGTCACCTTCCTCCCAGACTGCGTTGGCGCTGAGACCGAGAAGGCCGTCAGCGAGGGCAAAGATGGCCAAGTCTTCCTGCTCGAGAACTTGCGCTTCCACGTCGAGGAGGAGGGCAAGGGTGTCAACGAGAAGGTGCGTGAGGTGCCGCAATGATGCGCCAAAACTGCGTTCCTCTTCGAACTGACATAGACCTGCTTCTTTCGCGGCTACTCACGCGCAGGGCGAGAAGGTCAAGGCCGAGAAGAGCGACGTCGACGCCTTCCGTGCCTCGCTCACCAAGCTCGCAGACGTCTACATCAACGACGCCTTCGGAACCGCTCACCGTGCTCACTCGTCCATGGTGGGCGTGCAGCTCGACCAGCGCGCCTCTGGCTTCCTCATGAAGAAGGAGCTCGAGTTCTTCGCCAAGGCCCTCGAGAACCCGGACAGGCCTTTCCTTGCCATCCTCGGTGGTGCCAAGGTCAGCGACAAGCTGAAGCTCATCGACAATGTCCTCGACAAGGTGCGTGCTCGTGCGCGGCTCCCCGCCTTCTACCTTTCCAATTTCCCGGCTCACTCTCTCCCCCTCTGACCCACATCGGCACAGGTCAACAAGCTCATCATCTGCGGAGGCATGGCCTTCACCTTCAAGAAGACGCTCGAGAATGTCAAGATCGGCACTTCCCTCTTTGACGAGGAGGGCTCCAAGAACGTCGCCGCTCTGGTTGAGAAGGCCAAGAGCAAGGGCGTTGAACTCATCCTGCCCGTCGACTACGTGACTGCAGACAAGTGAGTGCGAGCAAGCAGCCAGTCTTGCCGAAACAAGAGGCGAAATTGACCATCACTTCGCGATTCGCGCTTCGCCTCGCCCCACTCGCGCCGCAGGTTCGACAAGAATGCCCAGGTCGGCTCTGCTACGGACGAGGAGGGTATCCCCGACGACCGTATGGGCCTCGACGCTGGACCCAAGAGCCGTGAACTCTTCAAAAAGGCCATTCTCTCGTCGAAACTCATCCTCTGGAATGGACCGGCGGGCGTCTTTGAGTTTGAGAACTTTGCCGGGGGCAGCAAGGCGATGCTGGATGCCTGTCTCGAGGCAGAGTCTAAGGGCTCCACGGTGGTCATCGGTGGTGGTGACACAGCCACCGTTGCTGCTAAGTACGATGCTGACACCAAGGTCGCGCACTGCTCGACGGTACGTAGCGATCCGGGACGAGGGAGAGTTAGATGCGCCGTCTTCTGACCAACCTTACCCTTCTTGCGTACAGGGTGGAGGTGCATCCGTTGAGCTTCTTGAGGGCAAGCAGCTGCCCGGTGTTGTTGCGCTCAGCGAGAGGAAGTGACTTCAAGGCGGCTTTGGTACCAAGTTGTAGAAGCGGAGAGGAAGGAGTATGGATGTCGTAGATGCGTGAAATCTATTCGTTTGAGATTCCTTTTGCGGCTACGCGCTTGAACAAAGAGGAGGAGAGGGTCTTAGAGCGCCCAACGAGTGTGGCTCTTGACAATGTTACATACTCCTCGATTTTGTGATCGGTTTGAGCACACCAGCCGGTAGGCGTAGCTGCGGGAGGAAGGCGTTACGCTGGAGCGTACACAGACTTGCGCGCCAGACTTCACTCAGACAACACAAGTCATGACAGCGATGTGTTTGAAAACTGATTGTTAAGCTTTACAATCTTACAATCTCATTAGCCGGCACATTGTATGTGTTGATGCGCAAGGTTTAGTCGTGGCCGCGATCCGCAGTCACTGAATCTCGTCAGTACTCGGGCGACGGGCTCGCCGGTCGACGTCTTGATCGCGAGCAGCACGGAGATGTGCTGAGACTTGATGATGCAATTGAAGACGCTAATCTGAACTTGGATGTTGAGATATTTGATCTCGGCGACCGGAACGTCCTTCCCGTCCCACATCAAGGAGCCATGCTCCTTGTGTGCGGCCAATGTCGGCTTCGTCGACGTGAGAAAGCCACTGAGGTTGAGCCTCAGACCCAGGGTAGGGTCTGCGTGGCCGTACTGAAGGAAGTGAACGCACCACACCTCGATGAGGACCGTAAATGCGAGGAAGCTGATGGTGATCTCGAATTCTTCGTCTCTGACGACTTGCTCCTGATCGCATTTGAAGAGCATTCGAGAGAGAGCCCGGTGTGCTAGCTGGTAGACTTGAGAGAAGTCGTCGGTGCACAACCCGAACCACAGCAGGGGGTAGCCGTGGTTATCCTTAGGCACCTCGCCGCCGTAGTGTGCCTCGATTTCTTCTATACGCTTTAGGTAGCGGCCTCCAAGCCGCGTCGCCGGGTCGAACAGTTGGTTGATTAGGTTGCCGTCCCCACACGCGCGGCGAATGACGCCTCGAAGGCGGTCATTGTCTTGAAGGCCGCGACTCTTCAACCAGTCTTCCTCCACGAAGACCTTGTATCCTTTTATCATTCTCTCGATGTTCGGCGCAGTGTCGCGCATATACTCGCAGTCGATATCGTCGGCCAATTCGCGTAGATAGGGCAAGTCTTCGGGGTCGACGGCCTCGATCGTTGCCGTCATATCAGTAGCGACGCCGCGCAAGTCGTCAGGAAGGTAGCTCTTATGACCGCCTGCGTGGTAGGCTATGTCGACCGGCGCAATGCGGGCCAGAAGATCGTCGATCCCTTCCAGGGCGAGATGTTGGTCACCATCGATGATCTTAAAATGCCAGGCGGCGAGAAGTAGGCCGAGGCAAAAAAGAGAGGTTGTCAAGCGCGCCTGCGCCCAAGAAGGGAGCTGGCCTGTGCTTGCGACGGTGTGCGCCAGGCGCATGCTCGTTTGCGCTCCCGGCCGCTTATCGCATTGGACTGTAAGATCGAGTGACTCCGACAAGGCGAGAGCGATGGAGGAAACGGTCCACGTTGTGCAAGAGGTATGACCCTCGAAAGGCGAAGCCAGGAATACGTCTCGCGGCAGGCTCATCAGGGCGGCAGCAGTTGAAGCCAGATCCTGGTCAACGACCCTCCGACGTGCTCGCATCGCATCCGTGAGGGCTCTCGAGCCGGCTCGCCCGGGGACCAAAGATGGTTGAGCTTGGGTTCAGGCGGCCGAGAAGTAGATGATACTAGCGGCCAAAAAAACTGCGCCCATTGTATCGGTCTGTGATCTCCTTTCATTGAACCGTCAGCGGTAGTCGTTCAAGCAGTTTCTGATGTGTAACGCTTGGCTGAGCGGTGTTCCTTCGTTCTCTCTTTGTGCTCTGACCCTGTGGACCCTCCACGAGGAGTCCTACGGTGAGATTGAAAGGGTCTTGCTGGCACGTGCAGTGCTCCCTACACTTGAGTTCCTCGCAGGATGCCCCAGCGAAGGGAAGACGTCTCCTTGAGCACGCGTTGCTGACTCGATTGCAGGCGGGCTCGATCATCGCCTGAACGCGAAAGCAGCACATCCTAGAATTGGGAGGCAGTGGCTTGGATGAGCCGAGTACGCAGAAACAAGCGCGTATTGTCGATTGCCGAGAATTTGTGCAAACTTGATTGAGTGGTGTTGATGGTGGAAGGCTTGAGTCCAGATGCGAGCGAGGCGAGGACAGGCGAGGCGAGTGCACTGTCCCGCGCAGCGTGGCAGGTAAGGAGGGGGTGGCTTAGGCGGTGGTCGCTCCTTGGAGGTCATGGTGTCGCAACGGTGCAGAGGAGCCTGAAGGCGGAGGGAAAGAAGGGTCGACGCAATCGCTGGCTCCAACTCGCCGGCACCGCCTCGTCCAATCATCGAGATCAGGGCAAGATGATTGATGGCGGCAGCAAATGAGTAGCGCACGGGCCGCACGCATTACGCCTGCGGCGCGGTGACGGCGAGCATTTGTGGGCGGGACGATTCACGACAAGCACAACGACGGCAAGGCAGACCATATTCTGATTGTTCAATTGCACGAGTTGGTGAAGAAGAGACGACGACACTTCACTCCATCAACACCTCATCCTCGTCCTCGTCCTCGTCATCTCCTCCCGCCTTCATCAGCAACGCCAAGTAATCCCCAGCAGCATTCTGCACATGCTCAGCCTCCACCGCCACACCAGGTGCCATAGCCGGCACTCCACCGACTTCCTTTCCATCTCCCGCACCCGGCAGCAACGCACGCACGGTAAGGACGCGCTGCAAATTGTGCAGGGCAGCAAGCATGTCACTCCGTGCCACCAGTTGACCAAGGGAGGCAAAGCCTTCCTGCGGGGCGCGACCGCTGGCGACGGTAGGTGGCGGTGGAGGGAAGAGGTGCTCCGGTACGAGGTCGAGCAGCTCGGCCACTCGCGGGGCGAGACGGTTGAGTCGCTCAAGGGCTACAGGGTCTGTTGCAGCCTTGACGTTGTCGCCTCCCTCGGCCGCTTCTCTTGACGCCGACACCACGGAGATCAAATGAGGAAGCTGCTCCACGCACGCCACGTAGTCCAAGTAAAGTTGCCCACCGACCGTCCAGCCCGGCAGATCGTCGCCCACTTGCTCCTCGAAGGCCTCGGTGAAGGGGGCAAACAGCTCGAATAGCACGTTGACGTCGCCGCGGATGATGGCCTCCGGTGCCAGATCACGGACAGCAATAGCGTGTGCACGCTCAAAGAGCTCTGCTTTGAGCAAGAGCGAGTACTCATCATAGCGGTCCTCACGCTGGCGTGCTTGGAGAGCTTGTGCCTCGTAAAGCCATGACGACGGAACCTTGAGGCGCAAGGTGAGGAAGTCCCACTCCTTCCCACCCTCCTCGCCGAGACGCGCGACGCTGCGGCTGAGCAAGGCTTTGACCGCCGCGCGTCTGCTCGCTGGCAATTCGAGGTGGAGCAGCACAAATGCAGCCCAAGTCCATTGCCCCTGCAACTCCAGTTGATGCGCATAATCCGCTGTCAAGTTGTCTGCGCGCGTCGAGTTGCCTTCAACCCCTTCCGGCGCATCAATCCCCAGCTCCAGCCTGTCGCTGAAGTCGCGGCGTCGCAGCACGCGAGACAGGAGGACGTAGAGGTGCCAAGGCAGTCTGTAGTCGGCGAGTGTAGGGCCAAAGCCAAAGGGAGAGAGGGCTGTCTCCAGGTCGAAAGTAGGGTGGGCGTAGAGCTTGACGAGGTAGAAGAGCGCGTCTCGATCGTAGCTGCCCGTCTTGAGTAGCTCGCGCAGTCGAAGAGTGCCGAGGTTGGACTTTTCGCGATACGGCGGCAAGGGAGGAGCCGTATCCCCCGACGAGGTCGATGAGGCTGCCTCGTACCGATCGAACGCAGCAGTGAGTGGGGAGTCAAAGGACGTCCCATACCAGAGATGCAGACCGAATGCGCGCTTCCAGTCCAAGCCGGCGGCGATGGGCACATCTTCCACTCTATCCATCGGGTCGCGAGCGCTGCGATTGCCCGCGCCCGTATTGCCTTGCGACACAGTCACGTTGCCCGCCAACAGCTCATACACGCGGCGATGCTCCCGATCGATGTGTGCATCCACCCCTTGGGCACGCCAGATGGCCAGCTGCTCCGCCACGTCTGCGCGAGTCTCATCATCTCCTCCGCCCAGCTGAGCGAGGAGAGTAGCCAGGCGTACGTCGCCCGCGTCCAGAGCGGCCACACAAGCCTTCTCCACCTGATTGGCGGTCAAGTGGCTGAATACGACTTGAGCAGCGGAACGATTGGCCGCTACATGGCCGCGACACTCTTGCTCCGCTGAAGGGCTGACAGCGTGGGCGAGCCAGGAAGAGAGGGCAGCTTTGCGGCGCAGCGTCGTGATCGTCTGAGTGAGATCGTTGCTTGCATTCGTGGGCAGGCGCAGGTGGTCGACCTCGTCGAATAGCGCCTTGCCTAATCGCCAAAGGAGGGCTTCATGACTGCGATCGGAGGCTTCGAACTTGCTGGCAAAGTGCTGGAAGCGGAGCGAGGACTGCGGGTAGATAAAGGGGCAGTCGTCCGTGTCGACGAGCTCCTCCATGTCCTCTGCGTCCTCCTGCTCTTCGCTGCTGCTGACAACAATCGATTGAGCAAGCTGTAACTCGAGCAGTCGCTCAGCCTTCTTTGCCTCCTCCTCCTCCGCTGTATGGCCTTTCCCAAACACACGGGCCTTCTCCAGCGTCAACGTCGAGGATTGAGCTGGCTTCTCGGCTGCAGCCTTGACGCGATCAGCACTCAACACCCCCTGCACGGTCCCAGCATGCACCAGCATCCCTCCTGGGCCCCACCCAACACGGAAGCTACGCCCGAGCGCAAAACCTGCGTCTAGCGGTGGGGGAACCGTGTCGTTGCCGAACGCAACCGAGTGATGAAGGTCGACGCGGGTGAGCTTGCGCGTAACGCTTTGCACTGTCGTCAAGTGAGGGATCTTGGCCTCCTCCTCCAGTCGCCGTGCTGTGTCTCGCGATTCGCTGTAATCCTTGCTCTGTGCATCGGTGCCGGCGCTTGGGGCAGTCTTCCTCTTGCCGCCAATTGCTGATGTCTCTTCCTCCTTGCTTTCCTTCCACCTGGGCGTCCTGGCCTGCTCTTCTCGCTCGTCCTCCTCCGTCACTTCTCCAGGCGCCCTACGTCCAAAAAAAGACGCTTGCATCACTTGCACGCGTCGTGGCTCAACACCGACCTGTGCTGCCCACGGCTGCGGCTGAGGAGTGGCGCGAGACACGCTTTCCCCACGACGAGGCGTTGCGCTGCTTTGTCGTTGCGCTCGCGAAGACGCTAGCGGGCGCCGCCGCGGGGTCGACTCCTTGATGTCGTCCAGCGCTGGCATCTCGACGGAGGATGCCTGAGAGGCAAGCTCCTCATCGTCGTCATCGTACGTGCCATCTTCTGAGGAAGCCGAGGTGAGGGAGGGAGGGCCACGAAGAGTGCGCCGCGGTGGTGGTGCGTCGTCATCCTCCGCGGAGTCTCCATCGCTGGATCCGTCCTGAGCGGTACGTCGCTGCTGCTGTCCCTTCTTCCCGCGCACTTTCCTCTTCTCCTCTTCGCTATCACTCGTGTCATTCGGGTCCAACCCATAACGCGAGAAATGATCAACCTCGAAGGTCCATCTCCCGCTCGCAGCATCGTACTCGATGAAGCGCGTCTCTGCCTTCTTCTTCAACTTGCCAATATGCTGCTTCACGCGCGGGTGATTGGCATCGCCCTTAACGGGTTGCTTCGTCGCCTTATCCAGAGGCCAACAGAGCTCAAGGGATACCTCTGCAGGGACGTTGAGTCCCTTGCCTTCCTCGGCCTTGGGGACGGGCCTACGCTCGTAACCGGACTGCATACCGTCCTGCCCTGCAGCGAGGTCTTCGCGCTGTGGGTAGACCCAGATCTCCTTTTCGCGTAGCTGAACAATTCCGCCTGGGATGGTTGCGAGATCATTGATGCCTGTGAGATCGACAGGGTCGAGGAAGCGCACAGAGCCGAAGCCTTTGCGGGTGACGGTGAGATCGGGGACGGAAGAGAGACGTTGGAAGCTCAGTTGCCTCAACTGACGTAGAGAAGGGGAGACGTGGTAAGCTCCTTCCGGCAACTCGTCCAGCGTAGGCTCGCGTTCAGAAGCTGGCGCAGCAGAGGTAGCAAAGAGGTCGCGACCTTTCGAGGGCAGGACGTGATTTGCTTTGGAGGGCGTCTCGGCGAAGAGATTGCTGCGGCTGCGCTGCAGAGACGTGTCGCCAAAGGAAGTCTCGTCGGCTGGTGCAGCGTTGCCACGACGACCCAAGCCGGTCTCGAGTGCGGGGCTAAAGGCGATACTTTTGCCGGCCGATCCGACGCCGCCAAGAGCCTTGGGAGGGACTGTGCCGGATCGACCGCCGAACACGGACTCCTTGCCCGCCGTACCAGGCGTACCGTCAACTGCCTCCGTCCCAGCGCGCACGCTGCGCCCGCCCCATGTTGATCGATCGCCGCCATTGTCGTTGAGGATCAGGCGCTTCACGTTGGAGCGACCCACAAAGGCCTGCGAGGGGAGACCAGAGTCTGCCGAGGGGCTCCCGACTTCATCGCTGAGCCCTTGGAAGAGACCTCCAGGTCCGTTGAGAGCAGGGCTAGACCGTCGACCGAACAGACCGTTGGCCCCCGCCGAGGGCGAGGAGTCTCGCGCCGGAGTGCCACCAGCGCGAAGGCGGGCGATGCGGCTTGCGTTCTTTGGGTTTGCACGGAAGGGGCTCATCATTGGTGCGGGAAGGGGCTTGCTGCGCACGCTCGCTGAGAGTGGGGATGGACCTTGTTGCGGGCCACTTGTCGAGACGTTGAATGGCAGTGCCGGTTGGTTCACTGCACCTCCCGCGCCAATCGACTTGAAGAGGGCGTCGGTGCCGTAGGGATCCGAGGTGAGGCCCACGCCTTGAGGAGGAAGATTGGCTGGCTGACCTGATTGCGAGCCAAAGAGTCCACCGGCTTGGCCTCCAGCTGTTGACGAGCCGAAAAGGCCGCCACCGCCGGCACCTGCCTGACCTGCCGTGTTGTTGCCGAAGAGCGAGCTTCCACCTGCGCCTGTCGTTGAGCTTCCAAAGAGTCCACCGCCGCCTGTCGCTCCTGCTCCACCACCGAATAGACCACCACCACCCGCTGCGCCCGTAGTGGATTGTCCAAAGGAGAAACCTCCGGGCTTCTGCTGCTGCTGGCCCTGCTGCTGGTTGTTGGCGCCACCAAAGCTGAACCCGCCCGTCGTCCCGCCAGCACCAAATCCAGTCTGGCCAGTTGGTTGCGAAGTCGTTGTGCTACTGCCGAAGAGCCCTCCAGGCTTGGCCGCCCCAGCTGCTCCGCCAAAGAGACCACCGCTGGTTCCTCCAGCACCACCGCCAAAGAGGCCGCCCGTTTGACCAGGCTGTTGACCTTGTTGACCAGGTTGCTGCTGGTCGTTTTGCTGCCCAAAGCCGCCGAAGAGACTTCCACCTGCTGCAGGCGCGCTTGTCGTCATGGGCTGCGAGGTTGCGGCCCCGCCGCCGAACAGACCGCCGCCAGTCGAGGGCGCAGGCTGAGCGCCAAAGCCGGTGCCGGATGAGGATGTGCCGCCAAAAGAGAAGGCGGGCTTGTTGGCAGTGGCTGCGCCAGAAGATGCTGCTGCGCCAAAGCCGCCAAAGGCTGGCGCAGACGAGGTAGCCGCGGGCTGCGAGGAGCCGAAGAGGCCGCCAGGCTTGGGAGCATTATTCGCTGCGCCGCCAAATGAGAAGCCTCCGCCTGTTGCACCCGTGCTGCCGAAGGCGCCCGTCTGCCCCGGCTGCTGTTGCGGTTGCTGCTGCTGCCCGCCGAAGGAGAATCCACCCCCTGTGCCAGTGTTTGTAGACGGCTGCGTCGAGCCAAACCCGCCAAAGAGGGGCTTGTTGGCGGTATTGCTGTTGCTTTGTGCGGCCCCGCCGAATGAGAATCCAGTTGAGGCGGGCTGCTGTTGCTGCTGCGTGTTGTTCCCGCCAAAGCTAAAGCCGGTCGATGCAGGTTGCTGCTGCTGTTGCTGCTGACCGCCAAACAGTCCGCCAGACTGCTGGTTACTCTGCTGGCCGAACAAGCCTCCTGACGCAGGCTGCTGCTGCTGCTGTCCACCGAACAGGCCACCGCTTTGCTGCTGATTATTCTGCGCTCCGAACAGCCCGCCTCCCTGCTGCGGTTGCTGTTGCTGCTGTCCAAAGGCCCCTCCCCCACCGAATGTCGAGGTCTGACCCTGCTGCTGGTTCTGCTGGCCGAATCCAAACCCACCAGACGTGGAAGGCCCGCTGGCATTGCCACTCTTTCTTCCCTGCTCATAGTCCTGCACGCGGAGCTCTTCGAAGCTCATGCCCTTGTACGGCTGCATACAGCTGATGGACTGATACGCAAAAGACGTCGTATTGTTGGACGCGTCCTTCTCCTGCAGCACACTGACCTGGTAGGGCGGATTGGAGCTGCCCTGCGTAACCTGTGCCCCGGGAGCTCCAGCCGCACCAGCGCCGCCAAAGAGACCACCGCCGGCGGCTTGCTGAGGCTGTTGTCCGAAGAGACCACCACTTGCCGGCTGCTGCTGCTGCTGCTGAGGAGCTGCCCCGCCGAACAGCCCGCCACCGGCAGGCTTTGCTCCAAAGGGATTGTTAGCGGCAGGAGCAGCACCGAAGGGATTGGACTGGGGCTGCTGTTGCTGCGCATTGTTATTCGCGCCGAAGGAGAAGGTCGAGCCCGTATTGCTGGTCGCTCCGCCGCCGAAGCCGCCGCCAAATGTGGTAGCTGGTCTTGCTGCGGCGCCAAAACCACCTGCTGCGGGCTGCTGTTGTTGCTGACCGCCAAAGGAGAAGCCTCCGGATGCCGGTTGGGCGTTGTTGTTGGCTTGGCCGAATAGACCTCCGCCGGCGGGCTGCGACTGCTGCTGGGCGCCGAAGCCGCCAGAGCCAAAGGCTGGATGAGAAGAGAGAAGACGTCAGTCGTCTTGCGCCCGGTTTACAACGATGTTTCACACTTCTCTTGTGTCTCACCTCCCGACGACTGCGGCTGACCAAAGGCATTCTGTTGAGGCTGCTGCTGTTGCTGTCCGAACAAGCCGCCAGTCTGGCCCTGCTGCTGCCCTTGCTGCTGCTGCTGCCCTTGTGGCTGGCCGAAGGTGAAGCCCGAGTTGCCCCCACCGCCGAACATCTTGGGCAGGCGACGAGGGTGGGATGAGGGTGTGGGGCAGAAGGAGCTGGTAGTGAGGATGAGGGACGCGATGTGATTCTGGATGGATGGACTGACTGAGCTTCAAGACGCCTCTTCGCGTTGGCAGACAGAGACCAAGTCGGGCCGCGCAGAGTGACAGGCGCCATCTCAGGCCACGTGGTTGGAGACGAGACGGAAAGGGCTTCAAAAGTGGCGGCGAGGCGCAGGTTGCAACGCTACGCTCCCGGTCACCATCACCATCACCAAATCAAGCCCATCATGACGAGTGTGGCCCAGCAGCACAAGGAGCTGCCCAGGATAGATGATGGAGACGCGTTGAAGGTCCAGCGCGAAGGTCAGGCTTATGAAGAAGTGGAGGAAGACGACGACGATGACGATGACGACTCAATGGACGAGGAAGAACTGGAGGCCGTTCGAGCATTGGCAGTGGACGATGCTGACTGGGACCTGGCAAGAGGAGGTAAATTGGCGATGCCAAATGTCATGATACATTCGCTCACTCTGCTCATCCTTCACCCTCGCAGACTTCACGAAGCTATACAATCGCTCACGGCAGATTCAGTCCGTCGCAGAAGGCTCGTCCGGCTCTTCGGTCCCACTGCCAGCCATGAACGCGCCGCGAAGAGTCATCGCAGCCAAGGAGGCGCGAGAGGCAGCCAATGCAGCCTCGCCATCAGTGTCAGGCAGTCACTCCAGCAAGAGTAAGCCCAACACCAACAACGAAGGTCAAGCCAACGCCTCCTCTCAGGATCAGCCCACGTCGTCCTCCACCACTCCTCATGACCGCACGACGGCTCAATTGAACTCCCTATCCTCATACGCCTCTCGCATCTCCCTCTCCTCGTCGATTTCAGGATCCGTCCCTCGCAAGACCGGCGGATCAGGCGCAGCAGGGAGCTCGGCCTCGACGACCCGCGAGAAGGACAAGGCAGACCGAGCCACAAACCAACAGGTCCTCGACCCACGCACCCTCGTCATCCTCTTCAAGATGCTTCAAAGGGGCTTCCTCGAGCATATAGACGGTGTCATTTCCACAGGCAAAGAGGCCAACGTCTACCATGCTTCTCTGCCTCCGCCACTTTCGGAGGGGGAGACGGACGCTACTCCACTGAGCGAGAGGCAACTGCAAAAGCGCGGCCACGTAGCAATCAAGATCTACAAGACTTCCATTTTGGTATTCAAAGATCGACATCAGTACGTCTCCGGAGAATTCAGATTTAGGAACGGGTACACCGGGTCCAACCCGAGGAAGATGGTCAAGACTTGGGCAGAAAAGGAGGCCCGCAATCTCAAGAGATTGGCGAGTGCTGGAGTGAGAGCGCCCAAGCCGCTCGAGTTGAGGGATCATGTTCTCGTCATGGATTTTGTAGGTGACGACGATGGATGGGCCAGTCCGCGACTTAAAGACGCCGAGAAGGTGATCGATCAGATTGACAGGGAACGTCATGATGCTGCGCAGGAGTCAGGCCAACCTCCGGCGGGCGACTCCAAGTGGGAGTTCCTCTACCGCGAAATGCTCGTCGCAATTCGCACAATGTGGCACTCCTGTCGTTTAGTCCACGCCGATCTTAGCGAGTACAACGTCCTCTACCACTCGGATGGGCATCTATGGATCATCGACGTCTCGCAGTCTGTGGAGCATGATCATCCCAAAGCGCTCGACTTTTTGCGCGCGGACATTGCCCATGTTGAGGCGTACTTCGCGAAGCGTGGTGGTGTCAGAGTGATGGGACTGCGCAAGGTGTTTGATTGGGTGTTAAAAGAGCCGAGCGGGCTGAGGAGAGGAGGTGGAGGGAGGGTAGGGGTGGAGCAGGAGAGGGAGGATGACGCGTATGGGGATGCTGCAGCATCAGCATCGGCGGAGGGAGGCGTGAAGGGACCAGAGTCGACAGGCAGCAATGTCGTTGAGACGGGCGGGACCGGTCCGTTCGCTCTCCTTGAGGTCAGGCAGCGCGAGGCTGGAGAGAGCGAGGATGAGCTGATGGCCGAGCTCAAGACCATGATGGAGGCCAGCGCCACCAGCAGCAAGGCTACGCCATCCTCATCTTCAGCGGCGGCAGATACGCCGTCTTCTACCGCCGGCCAGGACACCACCGAGACGGCCAGCGCGAACGCGAATGGCAGCGGCTCAGCAGACTCGGATCGTGTCTTCCTTTCCTCGTACATTCCGCGCACGCTCAACGACGTCTATGATCCCGAGAGGGACATCGAGCGTCTGAAGCGCAACAAGCAAGACGGGGTGCAAGGCGACGGTGATGCTGCGGATGGGGAGGGGCTCATCTACGCGGGCGGGGTGACTGGGCTGGACGAGGCACAGGCAAAGGGTGCTCAACCCCACTCGACCAAGCCGGAAGACGGCGAGGGCGGCGAGGAAAGTGGTCAGGATTCGTCCGGCTCCTCTTCAGGCTCGGAATCATCAGACGAGGAAGACGGAGAACGACACCCGGATCGACCTCCACGCGGACATCGTCATGAGGATCGCGACGCGAAGAAGGAGCGGAAGGCTGCGGTGAAGTCTGCGCAGAAGGAGAGGAGAGCGAACAAGACGAGCAAGAAGGACAAGAACAAGGCGATTGCGAAGGTTGACAAGAAGAAGGGGAAGAAGTAGGTATGAGAGAACGAGTCGCAATGTCATGTTCGCGGCGTTTGTGTGGATATGAGTGAATCGTGTTGCAGATGTGTCGTGTCTCATTGCTCATGGAGGGGACCGCCTATGCCACACTCCCTCCCTCAAACGTAATGACCAGCGTCAACTGGAATGGCAGCCCCGCATCTGTAACATCAACCTCATCCCCCTCCTCGAATACCTCAGCGCACTTCCTCTCCAAGTTGGGCCTCGTAGCCTCCTCCAACTGCTTTGGCGCCTGGAAATATAGTGGCTTGCCCGCTTTGCCCGCGTCGCTTGCATCGCCTGAAAAAGCGAGGGAGGGACGCTTGATCTGCAGGTCTTGCACTTCTTTCAGTCGCTCCACCACATCGCCTACAGTCTCCTCCGCTTTGACAGGGAAGGAGCGTGCCTCTCCCCCACAGACCGGGCATTCCGCCCGCTTTTGGTGCTCGAAAGTGTAGGTGTACACCCCTTCATTTCCCGTGTACATAGTATAGTTGTTCAGGAAAGGGTTGCATCCCGTAGCGATCTTGAGAGCTTCTTGCGTGCATGCCGCCGCGATGACTGCGTTCGTTGATGCAATGGCGGGGATGATGTTCTTGACTACTCCTTGAGTGAGCTCCCAAGTGACGCCAGTGATGCCGTGCTCCTTTGCCCGCTCTTGAGCTCGTGAGAGGAGCCAGCTAATGTGCTCTGGATCGTCGCCGTCCACCTTTTTGCCTTCACCATGCACTTTGGGCCACTCGAGGACGGAGGCCCATTCGATACAGTGCTCCGGCAGGCGGGGCGTATTGGCTATGGTGCAGATGGGGAAGGTGGTCTGTCGCGTGAGCATGTCGAGGGAACATTCGTAGCAGCTCGTGATGGTGGGGAGGATGACTCGTGCTTGACCCTTGAATCCTTCTGTCCCACCATCGATGAGGGGCTTGAGGGACTTTGGATTCTCGTCGTCCACGAGGTTGACGAGCGTGGCGGATATCCAACGTCGTGCGTCTACGCTGTCCAGGCCGCATACAATGACATCGAATGAGAGATAGTAATCGTCCCCCTTGTCCTGGATCTTGCCATGATAAGGTGTAACTGTCACGCCGGGGCAGCGCTTCATGACGAATGCGGCAGCTGTCTCTGCCTTGCTCTGCCCTACATCCTTCTCTCTGAACAGGAACTGGCGATTGAGGTTTGAAACATCGATGGTGTCCATGTCGATTACGTGGATGTCTCTGAACCCGCTCAGAGCTAGATTGCACAGAATCTCGCATCCCAGACCGCCTGCGCCGATGACGAGGATCTTACATTGCGTTGTGAGGAAGTGTGAGGGCGAGGGATCGGCGGGTGGGTACGAGGTGGGTGAGTCGCAGTAGGGTCCTGGGCGGGTTAGGAGCTTGCGAATGTGTGGGTTGGGGTGGCGCGGGCGTGAGGGGCCCGCAATCGAAGATGGCGCTACCATGGCGGCTGCGGCCATGCTTGATCGAGACGACGTGGTGAACGTGGTGCTGAGCAAGACGACGATGTCGCTCGAGTCCCGAGTACCGCCCGCCTCCACGAAATCGTCTGGCTCGAGCGTCGATTCGCGAGCGACGGTCGGATCGGAGGGCCGAAGATGCAGAAGCGGTGAGAGGCAAAGGGCAAAGACAAGAGCGAGCTCGCAGCTTTCGCAACTTTCCTGTCTTCAATTGTATCCCTCCATACCCGTCCACCTCTCCGCTCGCGATGCCTTGTAAGTACCCACGTTTAGGCGCATCACACCACTGCACTGTCCCTCCCTCGGGCTCGCGCGCCCCATCTCGCTCTCACACCCGACCAGAGGATGACCAAATGCTTAGACAAAAATGACATGCATAGCTTTCAGACCCACCCTTGGCGGGGTGGGAAAGGAAGAGACGTCTACCACGTCTGATCTCGGCGAGAGAAGAGAGGGCCACGTAGGCGAGGGAGAACGAAGGCTGTGTACCCTCAAGCAGACGAAGAGAGCTGTTTGCTGACCACACCTGGACCCCACCCCTTCGCCCTCTCTCTCGTCATCCTCTAGGACCCCACACCTTCTCGCCTTTGTACGCACCACGCTGTAGCAATACGAGCTCGATTCCTGCGACTTCTCTTTAATTGATTGTTATGATGGAAAGGAGAGATACACTTCATTGGTAGGCCACGACGGGAGTGATTGACAAGATGAGGGAATGAGGCTTCGTTAGATGGGGAAAAGAGACGAGGCAAGAGAAGGGGAGGATGGATGCTGATGCTGATAGATGTCCAAGCTGACTGCTACCATCTACTGCCACTCCGCGAACTTAAGTGAGGGTCGCGTTGTTGAACACAAGCAGGTTGACAGTGTCCTTCTCGAGCTGGTGGAGGGCCCCCTTGGTGGCTACCTTCTCAATGAGCGTCTTGAGCGAGTCGGGGCTGATGGCCGTCATGATGGGGAAGCCGGCAGCGTATCCCTTCCAAGCATTGGTAGTCTCGAGCACGGCGCCAGTACCAAAGAGCCACTGAGTGGCCTTGTAGGCAGCCAGAGCGAGGGACTCCTGCAGGGGAAGGAAGCGGAGCAGAGAGTTCGACGCAGCGTCAAAGGAAGCCGTGGCAGCCTTGGAGCTGCCATCGTCTTGCAGGCTGAGGTAGTAGGCGAGAATACCGCAGACGTGGGGAGAGGCCATCGAGGTGCCCGAGATGGTGTTGGTCGAGGTGTTGCCCGTGTTCCAGGTGGAGAGAATGTTCAAGCCAGGGCCGAAGACGTCGACGCACTTGCCCTTGTTGGAAAAGTAGGCACGCTCGTCGTTGATCGTCGAGGCACCCACAGTGACGGGGCCCTCGGCGCCGGCGGGCGATGTGTTGCATGCATCCTGGTTCTCATTACCAGCAGCGACGGCAAAGGAAAGGCCAGACTTGGTAGCACCGTCTACAGCGCGGTCGAGAGTGGGGGACTTGCCGCCACCGAGAGACATGTTAGCGACGAAGCCCTTGTGCTTCTTGGCCTTGGTCGACGATGGGTTGGCAGCAAAGGCGGCAGACTGCTTCTTGGCGTCCTCGACGGCCCAGAGGACACCGCCCGTGACGTCGGACATGGAGCCAGAGCCAGAGTCGGACAGGACCTTGACGGCAACGACGTCGGCCTTCTTGGCTACGCCGTACTTGCGAGAGACGACGGTGCCAGCGCAGTGGGTGCCGTGTCCGTTGCCTACGCGAGCGTGGTGTGGCAGAAAGTAAGATCAGTTACGGTGACGCGCTCAGGGTGTGGCTGCGCGACGTGCTCACCATCCTTGTCAGTGGAGCCGGCGGGCATAGTCTTGCCCCAACGAGCACGACCCTCGAACTCGACGTGGTTGATGTTGATACCGGTGCTGCGAAGCGGGAGTGGAGGCGAGGACACGTCAGCCTTGTGCCTTATCGCTACTTTCGAGATGCTCTCGCTACTTACTCGATGATGTATGCGGTCACACCCTCTCCGGCGTCCTCGTCGTAGAGGTACCTGGAGAACGATCCGAGACCAAGCTCCTTGCGGTGCGAGACACGAGCAAGACCCTGCGATGCGACAGCGGACGTGTCAGACACTCGTCTCAAGATAAGGCAAGCGGTCAAGCGTGGCGCCACTCACCCAGGGAGCACCCTTCTCAACAGCCTGTTGGTGGTCAGAAGCGATGGCGACGTTGTCGACGGAAACGTCGTAAGGGGTATCCCAGATCATGGACTCGTCGTAGGGCATCTCCATCGTCTTAACGACGGAGTCCCTCTCGACGTACGCCACCTCAGGCAGCGAGCGAATGTAGTCGACGACGTCATCGGTGAACTTGCCAGCGTAACCCTGGAGGTGCTGCTCAAGCTCGTAGATGTGGCCGATGCCGGCAGCGTCGTCCGCCGTGGTGGCATGGAACGCATTGGCCGACTGCTGAGCGGCGGTGATCATGGCACGGTGCGCAAAGAAGTCAACGGTCGAGACGCCGTCTTTGAGGATGACCATGTAAGAGCCCTCGATGGTGGGGTGGGTCTCTTGAGCATGGAGGGGTGCAGGCTCAGCGCCAGTGGCCGAGACGTAGGTAGACAGGGTCTGACCGGGCTTGAATGACGCAGCATGCTGAGCAGCTGGGGCGGCTACTGCGAATGAAGCAGCAGCCAAGGCGGTTGCCAAGGTGCCAAGGTACGATGTCCGCATGGCGATGATCAACTGAGAGAGGAGGAGTTGTTGTCGGTGGTGGTGATAATGGTGGTAAGGAGAGATGAGAGAGAGGGGGGGATTGCGTTGGTCGCTGCAATAGGTCAGGAGTAGAGGTTGGCTGGCTGGCGGTCGGGCGGGTCCAGGGTCGCGAGATACGGGCGGTCAGCCGTGTGGAGCTCGCGGCGAGCGTCGTCGTATGCGGACTGAGCCTTGGCCGCGTCGTCGTCAGCTCGGCGGTCAGGGCACTGCGTCACTCTGGTGGTCGGTAGAGTCGCGAGGCGCTCTAAGAGCAGGGCGGAGATGAAGAGGGCGGAGGCGGAGGCGGGCGGCGGCTGGTGCAGGAGGCGGGGCGAGCGAGAGGGACTCGAGTGCAGCAATGAGCAACGAGGAGTGTGGCTCACCAGCTACGACGAGGCTAACGAACGAACATTGACACCAACGACGGCGAGTTCAAATCACGACTACGTACGAGCGACGAAGAACCAACATCACAAACGGCGTCGCGATATATCATCATCTTTACTATTCATCATCGTCCGGCACTCGCTTCGCGAGCGCTCCACTTGCTCGCGGGTCTCGTCTTTCTGAACCCCTCTTCGTCTCGTGACGTCTCGTCTCGGAAGACCGCAGAGAGGAGTGAGGCGTAACAGACGTAGCAGCCATCGCCCCGACTACAGCCGCAAAGCAATGACGACGGCCCGTCTCACCATCAACAGCGACGCTTAGGTCAGCCTTCCAGCTGCATACACGGCTACCCATTCTCCTCGTCCTTCATTCTCATCCTTGCTCCTGCCCAGCTCATGACCTGGACGCAGCAGCCGGACAACGTCGAGTCTCATCATCATTATCCTTCTTCCAGCCAGGCAATGGACCTGCTGAATCCGCGACACCACTTCAGCAGCAGCAGCAGGCATCGGCGCAATAGCACCTCTGCCGCAAGCGCATCGACGTCCCCATCACCGCGGCTGCGTCACAGCCCCTTGCTCTCGCAGGGCAACGTCAGCGACAGCACCGACTCCATTCTGACTGACCCCTCGGCGGCGCACCAGCAGCATCGTTTGAGAAAAAGCAAGTCCAAGTCGCGCCTTCTGTCGAAGCAGAGGAGCTCGGGCGAGCTGTCCACGAAATCGGCTAGCGCTGCCGCAGCAGCTGCTGTTACTGGGAACGGCGGATCGCCTGCTCTTGAGGGAGGGCATACGCTGGCGAAGAGCAGAAGCGGGTCTTTCTTTGGTTTGCTGCGTCCAGTCAGCAGCAAGCAGCGTATGAATGCTAGCTGGATCCCGACGGAGCCAATGCCACAGCTTCAGGCAGTCCACGGCGTCGAGAATGCCAACGTCAATGGCTCCAAAGCGAGGCAGCCTAGCGAGCTCGTAGCATCTCGTCAGCCAGCTACAGATGTGGCGAGCAATGGTGCGCAAGGCTTGATCCCCCTGCCCTCATTCGAAGGCATTGGCAGCTTCGACGTATCACATTGGTCTCAACCAGACGCAGTCTCCAATGAGCAGACGCAGTCCACGAGCAGCACAATGCCAACCTCCTCGAAGCCCTCCATCGCCCGATCGCAAGCAATGGCGCGCGACACCTCGTCGAATCTCGACATACCCAGCGACGGCCCTCCAGGCTCCGCCATGTATGCCACAGCTCCACCTTCAATAGCCGGCACAGACACTCCAAGCGGTCACGACAGCCCAGCGTTGGACGCAGAGAGGAAGATCAATTCAGCCTCTGCATCAAGAGGGCCGTCGTTTGCAGATGATACGCCCAGGCCCGCTCAGGCGTCGGACGAGGATGCGAGAGATGCGGGGCCGTCCTCAAATGCGAGAGTTTGGCAGAGAGCTGTCAGCCAGGAGGCTGCGACCACAGCAGCCGGTATACACTCGGGAGAACCAAGCTCGAGCTTGAGCGGGAGCGGAAGCGTGGCAACACCCTCGACGTCACTCAAAGAGATCCGACGTAAAGCTGCGCAACGAGCCAGTGCCCTGCCAGCGCTCGACGTCTCGGCTGCCGACGGTATAGCAGTTCCTGCATCTTCATCGCTGGGCGTCTCGAGCTCACCCTCACGAGCGCGGTACTCAGGCTTGAGCCCTCGATCAGCAGGAGGAGGTAACATGCTCGGCGACGAGTCCGATGGAGACGAGGCTAATCGCGAGCTCATGGATGAGGACCTGGAAGACGACCTCCCGAACACCCGCCGCGCTCGTCGTAATGATCGACGCATGACAATGATGGACTTCCTCAGCGCCGAGCCCCCAGCTTCATCATCAGCGCCAGCGCCACGTTCTGCCTCAGGACCAACTCTGTCCGTCGCCCGCGGCGCGGCTGGTGGACCCTCGTCTCTGGTTGTCCCTGGCCCGTCTTCGTCACCCAATCGACCACGACCGCGACCAGTGTCTATGGTAGCCAGCTCGCCTGTGCGCGAGCGTGATGCTAGCCCTAGCGGTGGTGGGGCAGGTATGTCAGCGATGGAGTTTCTGGCTGCCACTGAGCCTCCCACAGCCACTGCCGCCAGTCATGACTCGCCACTGGAGTCACGCCAGTCAGCAGCTGACCAGCTCCGTGCAATTGCCAAAGCGCAAGAGAAGGAGGCGCGTAGGAAGAAGAGGGAAGAGCAGCGCGCGCGTGAGGTAACTCTTTCGATTGATCCGATGGTGGACACGGTCAATATGTTTGGATCCACGCAGACCAGCGCCAACTACTCGCTGTCAGGCCATGTCCTAGTCACCGTACCGCGTCCGCAACGATCAGCTGATCCGTCGAGGCCGGTCACCGTCAAATCTCTGACGCTCACCTTCTCTGGCTTCTCCACGTACGCCGATCTCTCTGGTCGCTACTCCGGCATCAAGCTGTGCGAGGTTCCGCAGGAGCTTCTCGCTGACGATGCCACGCTGCCGCTAGCTTCCGACCTTGAAGCGGACGAGACAACAAGCAACGAGCCACTCCGCTACAAGATTCAATTCGACCTCAACATCCCCGGCTGGTTGCCTGGCTCAGCCTACTCGCGCTTTGGTGCCACCTTCTACTGCGTAGGGGCCTCCGCTGTCGTGCTGAATGCGCAAGGTGCGCCCTCAACCGTCACCACAGAGAGACATAATTTGACTGCCGAGCCCGAGTCGATGATGGTCGGCGAGCATGGTGAGCTTCTACCTACGACGTCTAGCCCGACGCAGCACGTGCAGCAGCTGCCAGACCTAGACCTCGGTGGGTCGTCGAGTCAGCGGAACCGAGGCAGGGAAAGCTGGCTCAGCAAGCGCGCGAAGCAGCTCTCCCTCAAAGCTCGCACTTCATCCACCTCAGCCAATGAGAGCGGAGAGCAGCAGCGCAACGTCTCTGGAGGGTCACTTGTACCGCCTCACCGCCCATCGCTTTCTGCTCGACTTGATGGAGGAGGGACGAAGCGCCAGGCAGATGGTACGCTGCTGGTCAAGAGCAACAAGTATTTGATTGTGGTGCGGAGGTGTCGTGACGTGATCCCAGTGCCCGTGGCAAGACTCGCAGTTGTAGGCGACTCGCTACCTGCCGGGGCGCAGGATCCTCCGCCGGCGAGACAACAGGCTGAGTCACAGCAGCCACCTCAACCTGTCAGAGAGCAGCGCGAATTGCCACCCGTGCCAGAGGCAACGCCGGCGCCGGCGTCTACCACTCTTGGTCCTGCTGTCGTTGCTCAGAGCACGCCAACCTTCAGTAGCACGAGCACGCCCGCCATGGCGCCTGCAATCGAGCCAGCAGCAGCTCCTACCACAGTGTCTGCTCCCCAGCCGGCTGTACCTGACAGAGCTCCACCAGCCCCCCTGCCCATTGCCCCCAGCGCTCTCAACGGCCCGACCGACCCATCGAAGCAGGCAATGGCGGCTCGTCATCCTCCTCCTCCCCCCGTCCGGACCAGCTCCGCCATGGGTGCAACACACGAATTTGGCGCCCAACCGGGCTCAAATACAGACAATGCAGCTTCCTCGACCAATAACGGAGCCCCGCCGATGCGTCACTTCCTGCATCGTCCCATCCTTCACCCACCGATCGACTCCGGCATTGAGGAAGGAGACGGACTGCCCTTCAGCCTAACCATCTCCGTCCCATCGCATATTCAAGTCCAGAATGCAGAGATTCTCACCTTCGGCATCCAAGTCGAGGTTGGTCGCACCCCTGGCTGGACCAAAGTGCGCGAGTTGGGCGGCTTGAGGTTGAGGGACATGGAGCTCATGTGCACCCAGTCTGAGCGGCACACATCTGTACCTTCGCGCACTTTCTGCGCAACATTCCCCGTGCCACCCGAGCCGAAGATCAAGGCCGTAGAGTTACCAGTTCTGCCGGCATACACGCCGCCGATGGGAAACAGGCCGGTGGAAAGCTCTCAGGAGGTCCGCGTGAGGTCAGCGTATGACCCTGAGCCGATGAGGAGCCATCTGGCATTGCTTGATAGTGGACGCAGGCTGACGTCGGAGGAGAATGACGTGGAGCGCGTGAGGAGTAATGTAGTGGGGCCGCCACCGAGCTTCCAGCAGAAGGACAAGGAGAGGGAAGGCCAACAGGGCACCTCTGCAGAGGCAGGTGATCGCAAAGGCAAGGGCAAAGAAAAGGGAAACAGACGTAAGTCTCTCGTTCCCGTCGGAGGCAACAATGGCAGTGGCAGTGGCAGCGCTGGGCCGTCGAGAACTCATGGCGGTGTAGCCACACCACCGCCGCCTGTTCCCCCTCTGCCTACCGCCGTCGAGCAGACGTCGTCCTCGTCCTCAGCCGCAGCATCTCAAAGTACGGCAAGCACCATCCGGTCGGAGGGCCTTCAGACGCAGCAGCGCGAGCTCTTCGCTGACGCACAAGGTCGTCGAGGCTCCTCAAGCATTGTCCGGGGGGCCTCTCCCAGCCGCGCACCTGCTGCAGAAGGACCAGCACCCGCTCTTGCTCAGCCTCAAAGCTCCTCTCTTCCGCTCGCCCCTGCTGGAGCTCCGACCCCTCGTCGGCCGAGCGGCCCGCCTCTTGCCATTCCCCAAGTCACCACGGCAAGCGGGGCAGTCCTACAATCTTCTGCTCCTCTGTCCGCCTCCGTCTCCGTGGGCAACGGCAGCAGCAGCAGCAGCAACTCACCTACAACACCGAGGCGGACAGGGCGCGGTCGACGAGCCTACGAAGCTGCGGTGCGGGGCCTCAGCACCTTTGCGACGGCAGTCATGGAAGGTGGATACGAGGAAGGCGCTTCCGGCAACGCAGGCAACGGCAGTGGACCCAACGGCTCAGCAGTCATAGGCTCGAACGGCGGCATCGGTGGTGGTCTCGATCAACTCGATGTAGACCAACCGCGAGCCACCTACAACTTCAGTGGTGACGACTCTCACGGGGTGGATCTCACCAAGGGCAGAATCCGCATGACGGTCAACCTTCCTCTCGTTCCATCATCTGCTTCTGCAGCCCGTCGTGAGGGCACACCTCAACTCCTGTCAGACTATGAAAGCCCGCACATGCGCATTCGCCACAAGCTGAAAGTCAAGCTCGGCTTCGGTTTCGGAGCCAAGCCCCTTGGAGGCGAAGGCGAATGGGGTCAAGCCCTTGTAATGTGTGTCCCTGTGCGTTTCACGGAGGCTCCGCCTAGGGAGGTCAGGGAGCAATTCGCTCCGATGCCCATTACTGTAACCACGAGTGGGCAGGACTCCGAGGATGGTGGGCCAGGCAGGACAACCTTGCAGCCGCCTATGATCAGTATGGGTGCGCCAGGTGATGCTCCTGTGCTGCCGGCTTATACGCAGCTGTTCAGGGACGATGGGTCGAGATTGAACGAGGCCGAGGACTTGCCTGCGTACCCTGGTCCAAGGCAGGCCATTCCCGCTCCTGCTGCTGCCGTCCCTGCAGGTGGACGCCCTGCTCTTCCCCATCGTGGTTCCGTCACTGGGCCGATGACGCCCAGGCTGGGAACGAGGGTTGCTAGCTTGGGAGACTTGACGGCTGCCGCGGCAACGGCTTCAAGTAGCGCAGCCATGCCTCAATCGCCTGGACCCTCTGCAGTCATCGCTGGCTTCAATTCCCTCGCACCCGAATCAGTGGTGGACGAAGCCATTCGCGGTATCACGGACCCAGATGAGTCTCTGGCAGCGATGCGCGAGCAGGAGCGGGAACTGCGGGAGCTTTCTGCCGGCGAAGAGGAGGACGGGGAGGACGATGATGCAGAGAACAGGGAAGAAGTAGCAGTAGCACGCCCACAGCGCCCAACGCTGGGATCGCGCGCTCCAACCACACTTGTGGAGATGGGGACGGCTTCCAACGTGGGCTTCGCGTCTGCTGCTGAGGACGGTGGGAACGGAGACGCGGGAGACGACACCGTCATTGTGGGCGAAGCAGGACACGAGGATGAGGACAGGGTGAGGGAGATGGAAGAGGAGCTGGGAATCTGAGCTTGCGTGGCACGGGCACCAAGGAGCGGATCGTGATGCCTTTGAAGGGAGACACGCGGATTTGTCTTCTATCCAATAGCTTGTCTTCGGGTGACCTACACATCTAGGTTGCCGTTGTCTTTTACTATACTCTTCATTCTCACCTCTCTGGCCCTTCACCAAGCTGCTATTTTATTGAACATGACGCTACCTTGAGGAGGAATGAGTCGAACCCATTCCCCTCTGATCGACGCGTCGAGCCGTGTGGCCCGTGCTACGTGCTCGACGTGAGAGGGCGGACTGACGAGTCGACGTTGTTCCTCTTCCTCTCCCTCACTCCCTCTCGATACAAGATACTACCAGAATTCGACCGCCTTCAGCTCGATATTTCACAATCACAATAGCTGGGCAAGGTCCAAACCTGCACAGAGCTGACAATTCTAGTCTCACAGGCATCCTTGCGCCCGCAGTTGAGGCGTCTCGCCTTGCTACGTCTGGGTCCATTGCTGCCGTTCCTAATAGGACGAGCGTGCCGTCTGCCCATCGTCTCCGTCAACAAGGAATCGTTGGAGGCAAAGAGAGGTTCTTCGCTTCATCGCGCTCTCAGCATGGCGGGTAAGCGCAAGGTCGAGGAAGGGACGAACTCGAGCGCTATGGCGGTGGGCAATGACCCGGAGAGCTGCACAGAGGATGAGGAGGAGCCTACGCAGCCAAAAAAGGTTCTCAAGAAGGAGACCAGCGTAGCTGCTTCTCAACGACGCAATGTCGAGGCAAACAATGGCGGGGTCAAGCAGTCCATTGAGGTCCCGGCAGCTACTTCAGCTGCGCGTACGGGAAACGGCGATGTCTTTGGCAACTGGAGCGCCGTCAACGGCAAGAAGGGCTTCTTTGCTCCACGCTCCGCAGGCCCTGTCCCCAGAATCCATTGGCGCACGCCCCTCGGACATGATCAGTCCTGCCTCCTGGGGGTCTTCGGCGATCCATTCGCATATGCCATCGACCGTGCCACCATTCTGGCCGCCGCTGACCCTTCCTCCTCTCACGCCAAACGCCATCCTCGCCTCTCGGGCAAACACAAGGTCGCCGCGTTTGATCTCGATGATACGCTCATTCGAACAGCATCGGGGAAAATGAGCTACAATTTCGAAAGTGCCTCGGATTGGAAATTCTGCGGCCAAAGTGAGCTCGAACAGGACTCGCTCCTCGAGGCCGTAAGGAGTGAGAGCGACGCCGGCGCTTTGCTCGTCCTGGTGACGAATCAAAAGAACCTCGACGTGCCGAGAAAGGCCGACAAGTTTGAGAGGCTGAAAGTGTGGAAAGAGAGGCTGAGTTTGGTCGCAGTGAGGATCGGAAGACCTTTTGTCGTCTTTGCCCCCGTGCGAGACGACGAGTACCGCAAGCCTCGCCCGGGATGGATTGGGATGCTCAAGGAGATGTGGCGGGTCGCTGGCGGGGAGGATGCAATTGCGCCGCTAGACATGGGATCGATGGGATCAGACGGTTCACAAGAGCGAGCGCATTCCTTCTACGTCGGAGATGCGGCGGGACGTGGGCCAGGAGGGCATCGGTCCAAGGCCGACCACGGAGATGGAGATCGCAAGCTCGCTGCGAATTTAGGATGGAAGTTCCACACTCCGGAGGAATTCTTTTTCAAGGAGCAGCCGGCGTAAGTAGCATTCTCTGAGAAGGCTAAAGGGTGTGATGAAGTGCGTCAGCGCCTTTGATCACGTCACTCACACTCACACTCCTACGCACGCCCGCCGCAGCCCATTTCAGTTCAAGGGGTATCACCCCGTCGTCCTCCCCAGTCCCGCGACCACGGCTGTCGTCTCCTCCTCCTCGTTCACCATTCCTGACCTCGTCGAGCGTCTCCTCCTCCCCACCAACCCGCAAACCCTGCTCATCCTGGTCGGCCCGCAAGCCTCCGGCAAAAGCCGCATCGCTCGCGCCCTCTGCTCTTCCCGCAAAACACAATGGGTGCGGGCCAACAGGGATCTGCTGAAGACCCCCGCTCGCTGCCTCTCTACTGCGGCCGAGGCTCTCAAAGCTGGCAAGAGCGTCGTGATAGACAACACCAACCCCACGCGCCAAGCGCGCAAGCCGTATATCGACCTCCTCTCCACGACTCCCGGTGTGGATCGCAAGAAGGTACACCTCCTCGCCATCCACCTCAACGTTCCGCAGGCGATTGCCGTGCATAATGACGCTTTTAGGGCTGAGTGGGGTCACGCGGAGGAAGAAGCTGGAGAGGCCAAGAGGGGTAAATTGCCTGGCATGGCATTTGCCACGTATTACAAGACGTTGCAGCCGCCTGTGATGGGGAGTGGGGAAGGAGAGGGATGGGACGAGGTTATGAAGCTGGATGGATTTACTTTTGAAGGGAATGAGGAGGAGAGGAAAAGATGGGAGCAGTGGTACACGTAGATGTAGACGAGGGGACAAAGTCAGACAACGAGGATAAGACTGCGGCAGACAGGCAATCCTCATACGAGGCGATACCATGCAAATCATCGATCGGCTTCACATCGAGCATCAATCAAATATCTCCATCGCGCATCACACTGCCCAGTCTGTTCATCATGTCTCGATTACCGTCATCAGGAGACAAAGAAGAGAGAGCAAAAAAGACCTTTGCAGGGGAACATAGCCGTCGTAGTGAATATCCGCCCTACCCGAGAGAGGAGTCTGCATAGTCGTGAAAGTAGAAGAGGAAAGAAGAAGAGCGGGTGACCTCGTGGTGCCGCTGGGTATTGTTGTGTGTTGTGGTGTTGGTTTGACTTTATTGTAGACTCATAGATGTGATTCTTCAAACAGCCGTGACCATCTCATAGCCATCCCTGTCTCCTCCTTTCACGATCCAACCGACTGCTGCTGCTGCTGTTGCCCTCTCCTGATCGACCCCGGCGTCTGATGCATATCGCTTCCCGCCCTTCCCTGCAGTGACGCTCTCTTGCCTGGAGTTGAAGGCACATGACCGTGATGACTGGTAGGCTGCGTAACCGTCGACGCCCTGGCGGCCATGACGCTTGCGGCACTCGTGGAAGACGAGGTGATCAAGCTTGCTCTGGCCGTGCGTGGCGTGGAACTCACCCCTGCACCAGAGCTGGACGCAACGGTCGAGCTGTTGGCTCCTGCAGCAGCGTTGCGCAGCGAAAGGGATGTCTGCCTCACATGTCCGACCGTAGATGGTCCCCCTCCAGCAGCCGAGCGAATCCACGCATGCCTCAATGCTGCCTCCGGCTTGATTCGTCGCTCTGGATCCCACACGAGACACCTAGCCAAGAAGTCCAAGAAGAGCTCGTCTCCACACTTCAATGCCTGCCCTAGGGTCCTGGTTCCCGCTCTCCTCCGCTTGCCCTTGTTGCTCACGTACGGGCGCGGGCTGCCTGTGGAGTCGAAGAACAGCTTCTTGCGGGAAGAGCGGTCGACGAGGTAGCGGTCGGGTACACCGAGGACTTCCATGATGCAGGAGAGCTGTTCTTGTTCGTTTTCGCCAGGGAAAAGCGGGTAGCCCGTGTAGAGCTCGGCGAGGATGCAGCCGAGAGACCAGATATCGATCGCTGTGTGGTAGTTCATGCCGAGGATCACCTCGGGACTGCGGTAGAAGCGTGACTGGATGTAGGTATAGACTCTGCGCGTGGGGCAAGCAAGGGTCAGCGTGAGTCAAGAGGCGTGGCGATCTCGCTGCGCCCACACTCACTTTTCGTGCTCAAAGCAGCTCGATCCGAAATCGATAACCTTGATCGCGCTCTTCCGAGGATGCTTGAGCAAGATGTTCTCCGGCTTCAAATCGCAGTGCACGACGCGGTGATGCTTCATCAGAACCAAGCTGAGCAGCACCTGACTGCTGAACCTGCGAATCAACCCAGTCGTGAACCCAGCAAAGCTGTTGGCCTTGATCAGCTCGTACAGATTGATGCTCAATAACTCCATGGAGATGCAGAGGTGATTGCGGAAGTAAAAGGAGTCCGTCATCTTGATGACATTGTACTGCTCATCCGGGTCCCATTGCACCAGGTTCTGCAGGATCTTGACCTCCACGAGGGCTTGGTGATGGAAACGCTTCTTGTTGCGAATGAGCTTGATGGCCACGCTTCGACCAGTCTTGTGGTCCTTGCATTGCAGTACTTGACCAAAAGAGCCTCGACCGAGGGTGCCGACGATCTCGTAGCGATAGGCGAGGTGATCCCGGTCCACCACAATGTAGTCCCCGCGCTCATCGTCGTACCCGTGATTGCTCGATGATTTGTCGGGCGTGGCCATGATCTTGGAGCGAGGGTTGCCGACGTAGTAGATCTCCTGATACTGGAACATCTCCTTGGCCTCAAACTCACTCAGCTGATTCCCGTACAAAGCCTCAGCCTGCCGAGGCGAATAAGCCTTGGAGGGTGGCTCCGGCTCGGGGAACTTCAGCATCTTGTCCAGCTCGTCTTGCGAGACGCCTTGCGCCAGCTTCTTGGCGTGTGAGCGGCGGATGTACGCCTCCATTTCCTCGTCTCCCAGACGCTCCTCTTCGTCCACGGCGGTGGACGCGGCAGAGGTGGAGCGACTGTCTAGGAGGGTGGCGGGGGAGCCGCGTGATAGCGCGCGACTGGCTGTGCGGGCAGCGCTCGAGGCCGAAGCCGACGGCGTGCTGCCGGAGGTGCTGTTGCTCAGGGCAGATTCGCGAGCGGCGCGGGCGGCCGAGGAGCCAGCTACGGTGGAAGACGTCTTTACACGGCGTGGTACACCGCTTGACGTCTGACTCGAAGAGAGAGCTTCGCGTGAAGTTGTGGATGGCTGACGTTGCATCCTGGCCGGTACGCCCTCGCTGATCTTCGCCTTGATGACCGGTGCGGCCTGAGTCTGAGGTTGTTGCTGATCGCTCGCCCCAGCTTTGGTCTTCTGCTCATGTCGTGCAAATAAGTTGTTGAGCGCCTCGCGATCCGTGGTGGACAGATTACTCGAGTAAGCCGTGATCCTGGCGCGACGTAGAGCCCCATCCACCTCGCTTGTTGTTTTGGCTGCGTTGTAGGCGTTGAGAATTGGCTGAATCGTGGATGACACACCGCTGCCACTCGTTGATGAAGACAAGGCCGATGACCCGGGACCCTGCGCTGCCGCAGTGGCAGACTTGCGCCGAGCCTCTTTGCCCTTCTGTATCGTCTCTGAGCTGGCAACCGAGGCACTGTCGTCCTCGGGGCCAGTCGTTCCATTCTGGATCCCGAAGTTGGACGCCAACGACGCCATCGTCGCGCTTTTACTAAGCGAGGGCAATGCACTTCCACCATAGCTGCTTAATCGTCGCACACTCGCGAACGAGGCCGAAGGGGTCATCTCACTGCCATTGTTGGCGCCCTCATTGGCGGTCCGCAGCGGCGTACGGCGAATCGAGCCCGTGGCGCGCGGGATGCGACTGACGGCAGAAGTGGTGGGCGTTTGCAAGTCCGTGTTGGGCAGCGGCTGCATCGTTTGTCCCTTGGGCGAGTTGTCCTGAATGGTGGGCATAGCAGTGCGCGGCGTCTGCGGCTGGGATTCCTCAGCCGACGGACGCGTCTTGGCCTGCAGGTCGCCCGTCGAATTGCTATTGGCCAGTCTGCGTCGCACAGTATTGGTGTCGTCTACCGTGGTCGCTGCACCCGATAGATCTGGCTTGCTCGTCATGTTGCGCAGACTGGGCGTGGTACCGATCGGGGCTAGCTGCATAGGTGGCAGAGTAGCTGGAGGAACCACAGGCGGGTCAGTTGAGGAAGGCAAGGTCTTGCCACGTCTTCGTCCAATAAGGCTCGTACGGCGAGAGGCCTTGGGCGTTTTGCTGCTCGGCGTGGGAGGCTCATCCGTGCTAAGACTGGGCAACGTGGCAGAGGATGACAGGTTCGACGTCTGCGACTCGTCGTTGGAGACTGCGACGCTCTTCCTCGATCCGCTCCCTTTGAGCAGGCTGCCCAGTCCGAGGATAGACTTGCGGGATGAGCGACCAGCGGACGGTTGCGGGCTACGTCTGGAAGAGGAGAGATCAGGGGATTGCTTCGCTCCTGCAGAGAGCCCGCCGCTAGAGGATGAGCTAGAAGCTTGGAAGGGCGCATCACTGCTGCTTCCTCCCGTTTGACGCCTGCGGAAGAAGGACGGTGTACGACGCGCAGGGCTCTGTGGCTTGGTACTTGGACGGGAAGAAGACTCAAAGCTGCTGTTGGCCACGTCCACACTCGCATCTTTGAGCGTTCCCGCCGTCGAGCCCGTCTCAACACTCGACCTTGGCCCAGCGCGCGTGCTTGAGTTGGTCGTCATCACCGGTGAAGTGGGCAGCTGAGGACTGTTGAAGCTGTCTGCATTGCCTTTTCGATGGGACGAAGGGCTGCGACCGAGGGCGTTGGAGAGGCTGGATAGGCTCCACTTCTTTGCTACGGAGCGGCTGCCTGCCCCGCTTGAAGCCGAGTCGATCTGTGGTGAGGTGACGGAACTCTCGTTGCCAGTTTTGCCGCCGAAGGAGGATGTTGACTGAGCCATTGGCGATGAGCCCGGGTATGCGTCAGCTGCCTCAGCTCCAGTGGTAGGAGCAGCTGCCAGTGCGCGAAGATTGGTGTTCGATGCAGAGCGAGATGACTCCCATGCCTTGGGCAAGGGAGGGACAGGTGGGATGACCAGAGCGCTGCCACCAGGCGTCGCACCTCCTGATCGACTGCCCGAACCTTGTATACCATGCTGTTGCATGGTTGAACGATCATCCTCCTCAAACGACTCTGATCGCGGCGTGTCAATAGAGCCAGTCCAGTGCGAAGAGGCGTCGCTAGCTCGCCCAGCCTTGTTGGAGCCAGTCAAGGAGAGACGCGAAGCTGCAGTGGTGGGCGTAGCTGCCGTGGCTGCCGCATCCTTGTTCGACGAATCCCTAGATGCAGTGGACACCGCGGACACCCTCTTACTGGAGTTGGTAGCAATGGAAGGCGAGTAGCTAGCAGCGGCCATGACTGAGCTGCTCGTCGGCAGGGGAGGAAGCGCTGACTTGCGAGTGCGCGGACTGGAGAGCCCTGCAGCCGTAGGACTATCGAGGCTGATCTTTGGCGAAATGCCACCAAGCTCGTCGTAGCGGGGCCTCGAAAGATTGCGGGATGTCCTTCTGTTACGTGACTCCTCAGAGGTACGCTGACGCGAGGTGGCATCAGTTGATCGCTGGGCTCGTATCGAGGTGCTAGCAGGCGATGATGGCCTGCTGTTGGAGCCAGGCGTGCGGCGACCAGCGCTGCCTGGCCTAGACTGAGTGGAGTAGGACTTGCTCGCTCGAGGGCTCTTGACCGACGGCGCTTCCGTAGACGGACGCTCACGGCTCCCGCTCCTACGTCTCGACCCTGCACTGCCAATACCGTCCAGCTTCCTGAGCGCCTCCGCAGCCTCTATTGTCTCATTCTCTGAAGCGCCAAAGTGCAGCGAGCCACCACGTAGCAACGTGTGGCCGATGCTGGAACTCGACGCACGCTTGCTTCCGTTGCGAGCAACCGTGCTGCCACCTCCAGCACTGCTTTGCGAGTTGGATGGGACCATTGCTGCTGAGACAGCCGTGGAGTGACGAGGGCCGCTGGCTCGAGGAGCAGCAGCTGAGGAGCCGCCAGAGAGCACATGACCTGGCGAGCTGGAGTGACGACTACGCTGAACAGGTTTCTCGCTGCCCTCTGTCGCAGCACCACTAGCCTTACTAAATCGACTCTGACGCTCCGTCATGTTCGGTAGGTCGGTCGGTTTGCGCAGCGGTGAGGCATGGTGAGAGGGTGGCTTCGAAGATGAAGCACCTGCGACACTCCTGGTCGACTTCTCCAGCGATCCTCTCGCGGACTCGGTGTCGGACTCGATGCCTGCGTCTTTGCGACGTTGGCGCCTGTCTTCGTCGTCCTTGAGCAGGTCAGCAATGGCCGAATTAAGGTCAAACGATCCGCGATACTCGTCTTCGCTGACGCCGTAGGGGTCCACCACTTGCGGCAAGGCTGACTTGTCCGTCCTACGGGGCGACGAGGAACTGACGCCAAAGGGTCCAGTCTCTTCACCCGACCAGGCCAGGTCGCCAATTCGAGGCGATGATTGGTATGCTTTTCGCGGCGACGATGTCGGTTCTCCTCGCGGTCGCAACGTCGTGGCCGAGCTGTTCTGCGGCGAAGACACAGTGCCTGCTGCTCCCCCCGGTCTTGACCTTCCCTTCGCCTGACTCTGCGCAATTGCCGTTTTAAGTCCCGCGAGCTCTTCGTTGCCATGCGCGATGCTCGAGTCGGACTCGGACATGGCATTTATGGAAAAGGGCGGGCTGTCTGCGCCTCCTCCAGACATTTCGTGCAAGCTGCGCATGTACTCGGTGGGGTCATTGCCGAAGTCCCGAGTGAGGGAAGAGATGGAGGCCAGGTTCGTCACATTGTGAACTGGCATCGAGGGGGAGGTAGAGAGCGTGGCTTTAGATGACGGAGGCCCAGATGGGTTACGCTGCGTTGCGTGTGGCGCCGCGGACGAAGTGAGCGAGATGGCTCGCGAGTGACGCTGGGCAGCGCTCGTAGCAGATGTGTCGCGGTACTTTGCTGAAGCACGAGCAGGTGTGGGTTGCTGCTCGCCACTGCGTGAGCTCTTGCCCCACGTGCGACTGTTCATTGAGGTATCTCCTGCCCATCTTGGTGTTGATAGCTCTCCGAGTCCAATCTGCCCTGCACGATCATAGCCGCTGGGTGAGATTGTTGGTGATAGCTCGCCGCGTCTCTCCGGCGTCTGTGGAATGACAGCCAAGCTCGAAGAGGCTGATAGCCCTCCACTACCGCTCTGACTTGAGCCTAGACTGGACGGAAGACCTAGACCTAGCCCAGCCATGCTCTGGGTTAGCTCTCGAGCCGGCGTCGTTGCCGAAGAGGATGAGCCTGACTTTCCGCTGGCTGAGAGTGTCGAGTTCACCCTGCCCGCCGTCTTGCGATCTGACACGTCAGGCGTGGCATTGGTCGGAGAGAAGGCCGAGAATCTTGATGAGGGCGCCTGGCCTGCACTGGGCTCGTCGAGCTTAATGTGCAGGTCGGGCCTGCGAGCTGAGAGGGCGCCGAGGACCTTGGCATCATTGCGCGGTGAGGCAGCAACGTCAGGGCCTGGTGTCGATCGCGGTGGCGGAGTGAGGCCAGAGAGAGAAGGGAAGGAGGACATCGAGTCGTCGAACAGGGCAGTCTCGTTCGTCTCGTCGTCCATGCCGCTGCCGAAGATGGGCGAATGGATCGAGGCGTCAAAGTTAGGCAGGGTCGGCAACGGTGGCTGCGATTGTGGGGAACGCGCAGCATGACTTCCACTCGCTACTCTGCCAGCCGACGGGCGGGCTTTCGGAGGTCCCATCAATGACGTCGAGGGTGAGGTGGCTGCGGTGAAGAGGCCATTGGACGCGCTACTGCTAGGCGTCATACCTGCCCCTGGCGTCGCTTTTGAGCTCGACATTGATGATGACCGTGACTCAGGAGCTTTCGCCGCCGCAGAGAGATGCTGCTGCTGCTGTTGTGGTTGCTGCTGGCCGGAGCTGGAGAAGGTGCGAGTCGATGCCGTTATGGGGCTGCTCTTGCGCAGCAGGGTGTCCCCCAAACGAGCGCTCGAGCCGGCAGTGGACCCATACGATGGCCCTCTGTTACCTGTGTTTGAAGTCGACGACGAGGTAGCTGAGTATCTGGTGGTCGGGTACCGATCTTCGCCAGCCGATGGATTGGACTGAGGAGCTGCGGCTCTGCTGGTGAGGCTTAGCCTCGTCGGTCTTGACGTGGCAGCCGAGCCACTCATCGAGGAGCCTTGGGTGTTCGCGCGATCAGTCGACGAAGACGACGTCGATGGCGGGGAATTTGGCGTGCCGCTCGACGATGGTCTTCCGCGCAGAGAGCGACGAGGGCTGCTGGGCACACCTTGTTGACCTGGCGAAGATGGCCTGCGATGGCGCTGAGATGGTGGGAGGGCAGCCATGCTCGCAAGTCTGGCCAGTCAGAGATCTTGACCAGTACTTGCGTCTTCTGACGCGCTTGCCCCGCTGGCTTGTGTCTGGACCGAGGTGCCGTCGTATTGCAGCGTAGCTCAGGGGCGGGGGCGATGTCGTGAGTGAGATAAGATGGGTAGTAGCGCTGACTCGATCGATGCTGCGTTGAGCCGATGGGGTATCCAGTGTAGTTGCTTATTCGAAGGGGTCTTCTTCAGTGGGTCGTCGTCGTCGTCAGGATGCTTGGACGTGCACAGCTGGCGCTCGAAGACGAAGAGGAGCGCAGCCGCTGTCCGGCCAATGCGAATCGCTGAGACCCACAAGTGACAGCGTCGTCTCGGGCACGCGGGTGAGATGTGCCTGCAGCCCTGTAGGCTGAGTGAAGAAGAAGGAGAAGAATAGAGTTCAACCTCGTATTCGAGGTGATGATGAGGAAGAGATGGAGAGGAGACGAGGCGTCTGTTCGTCTTGTCTGCCGTTGACCCGACTCGCTACTCCAACACTTCGGTCTGCCTGCTTGGCCTGCCCACGTCGTCGTCGACGTCGCTCCTCGCTGCCTGCCCGCTCGCTCCGCTCAAGTCCAGCGCTGCCTGGCCCGCCCTCGCCGCCCTGCCCTGCCTGCCCGCCCTTGGACACAGCTCGCCGTTGGTCTCACTTTTGGGCCCTTGGGCGCAGCCGCCGCTGCGACGACGACGACGCCCGCCGACTTCTCTTCCTCCGCCGCTTGCAGTCCATCAATCGTTGAGCGCGGGCCACCAAACTCGGCGAGCTGCGAGGGGGGCTGCTAGTCTATCGCACACGACCCTACCACTCCATCTCATCTTCATTCACGTCTTCACGTCCGCAACACAGAGCAGAGCAGAGCAAAGTCCTTTTGTTCTCGCTACGCCTTACGGCCACGTACGCATCTCTCTCTCCTTGAGACATCAACGTCTGCCGGAGGGCCAAGATGTCATCTAACGGTCCTCGAGCCCCGAGCAATGGCAGGCCACAACATCAAGATACCCAGGCAGCAGCCTCATCATCAACAGAGCCAAACGGCAACAACGCCCGCTCAGTCTCCATTTCGATACCACCAGCAGTCGCTCGCCCCCGCAAAACATCCTTCGACGGAGGCAATGCCTCTCTCGTCTCCTCTATCGCCAATCTATGCAACACAATCATAGGCACGGGCATGGTTGCCCTGCCCGGCGCTTTTGTCTACACTGGCTGGCTCCTAGGCGTCTTCCTCATTATCCTCTGTGGCTGCACTGGGGCACTGGGACTATACCTGCTCACCAGGTGTGCAAATAAGCTGGGTGGCAGGAGACAGAGTTTCTTCAGCGTGGCTTTGAAGACGTGAGTCGGCAGAGCGGTAAAGAAGGGCCCAAGAGCGGTAAAGAAGGGCGATTGGGCTTGGTCATTTACAATCCACCTCGTCCCGCAGCATCCCAAAAGGAGCCAGGTGGTTTGATCTGGCCATTGCACTAAAGGTAAGATTGAGCGTCCCGCTCTTACCGTCGCTTTCCAGCAGCCGACTGACCACCAGCGTACTTCTTTGCCGACCCACAGTGCTACGGCGTCTCCATCTCCTACCTTATCATTTCCGGCCAACTTATGCCACAAGTGGTGCTCTCATTCCTCAAAGCTGCTGGTCACGAGCACGAGGCCATACCGCCTCTTCTCCTCGACAGGGACTTCTGGGTGACCCTCCTCGTTGTCCTCCTCATGCCGCTCTGCTTCCTCCGCAAACTCGACTCGCTCCGCCATACTTCCTATTTGAGTTTGACAGCAGTGGCATATCTGGTGGTGATCGTGGTAGTCTTTGCGGCGAGCCCCACTGCGAGGAGCACACTGCCCGAAAGGGGGGAGGTGCATGCACTGGTGTTCTCGCCGCACATCCTGGCCATCTTCCCGTGAGTGCCAGACAGACAAGCAACGAGGCCAGCACGAGCAGCGGCGCGTCTTTCTAACGCCTCAGGATACCACACTTGCACAGCGTCTTCGTCTTCGCCTTCACCTGCGCGCAGAATATGCTGCCCGTCTACAACGAGCTCTCTGCCTCTGACCCGCTCATGCACCTCGATCGAGCCAAGTCTGCCATTGGGTCCGCGATTGGTGGGGCTGGGAGCGTCTACGTCGCCGTAGGCGTGTTGGGCTACTTGGAGTTCGGGAGCAACCTGGGAGATAACATGTGGGTGCAATAGCGAAGGCAGCGCCGTCAGCAGAATCATAGCTGATGTTGTCTCCGCGACTCCACTTCGCAGCATCGCCATGTACCCCTCCTCCTCCGTCTTCGTCGCAGTAGGCCGCCTCTCCATCGTGCTCCTCACAATCTTCTCCTACCCCTTGCAAGTCCATCCTTGTCGTGCAGCTCTGGACAAGGTCATTTCTCCACCGTCACAAAGGCCGGGGATTGAGCTGCCAGCAGGGGACGACGAGCGTCGCAACACGCGAAACGATGAAGACGAGGATGAAGACGATGAGGATGACGCGCGCGGGTACGAGACGCTTCTGGCCAGCCAAACGTCCCTTATCTCATCAGCGGGCGGCTCTCCACCCGACGAGATCTCTCTCCAACGTTGGGTGAGCCTGACCGCCTTTCTCCTCGCAACGACCTTTTCCGTTGCCCTTCTTGTAGACGACCTCTCCATCATCCTAGGCTTTGTGGGCGGGATGGGCTCAACGACCATTTCCTTCATCCTGCCTGGCATTCTGTACAGCAGCCTGCACGACGATGGCGATCGCTTCAAGAGGCCGGCGAAGGTGTTGGCTTGCTGGGGTCTGTTTGTGGGGGTAGTTAGTGTGACGAGTAATGTGGTCAAGTTGACGCACAGCGCGGTGAATAACGGTGGGGATGGCAAGGCGGATCGACTGGCGGCCTTGGTCGGGAGGAGCGCCGAGGTTTGGAAGCTCGCTGCTGAGGCTAGGCGTGCACAGAAGTAGCGTAGAGTTCGTCATGTCATCGTAATGGATTGCATCTCTCCGTCCTCCTTGTCTACTCGGCCACCTTCATGTCTTCCACGGGCAGCTCCTCGACTCCGAAATTGGTCTGACGCGTCGCGGGCGGACAGAGCGTGGAGCGAGCCGGAGACGGAGACGGAGAAGGAGAAAGGTGGCGGGCTGGACAAAGTGTTGGATTCCTTCGTGTCGTACCCACCAGTCCAATCATCTCTGACCTCTCGACGAATTATCTGACGCACGGCGTCAAACGTCGCCATGCCCGATCTTGCGCGAGCAGTCTGGCTCCAAGCCATGATGACGCATCGCATCGTGACGGAGAAGCAGGGACGTGCTCTGCATAAGGCAGCTGCGGGCGCGGCGCGAGGTGAGTGCAGCGATCCCCAGCGAGGGATGTTGACTGTCCCCAGGCTAAGATTCGACTTTATTGCTCTTGGCTCCATCCCATCCAAGTCGACTATCGAGCCTCGCAATACAACAACTTTGTGCATGAGGCTTCCACTGCTATCTCCGGTCTCGGCCTCGAAGTTCGCCGCATTGTGGACGAGTGGACTGGCAAGCCTCTCCTGGCCATCGTAAACACAAAGGGGGACGAGATCGCTCAGCTGGCTACCACGTACTCACCTAATGAAATCGGAGTGGTTAAGCGACTGGTGAGTATGACGCGAAGGGGCATTGTATGCTTCGCGCGGCAAAGCTGATCCTTCTCTACTCATTGCCGCCTGTGCAGGCCGAAGTCATCTTCACCGCTCAAGACGAGACGTTTAGTTGCACCATGATGCTCGCCCTCAATGTTGCTACAAGGGACAAGACGTCCTCTATGACCAAAAAGGCGGCGGAGGAGCTGGTACACAATCTCGTACGGCATCAGTGGTTGCGAATGTCGCCATCCGGACGTCTCTTCCTCACTCCACGCAGTCTACTCGAGCTCGAGCCATGGTTGAAGGAGCAATTCCCTGAGCATGTCCTCGAGTGTGCCAAGTGCCATGATATCGTGACGAAGGTGCGTAGCGCGCGAGGTCACGACCACCGTGCCTGCTGCAGACGGCTCACTCGATGCTTTCCCTTGGTCTTCGTCACCTCACGCAGGGTTCGGCATGCTCCCGCTCCAACTGCTCAGGGCGGCTGCACCACTTCTGCGAGCGCGGCATGCCAGGCAGCCACAACGGCACAGCCAAATGCTACGTCTGCAAGGCCAACTGGGAGCCCCTGCCTGTTGGAGAGGAGAGTCTGGGTACGGGAAGAAGGCCGAGGGCTAGTCAGGCTACTCAAGCGCGCGATGATGATGACGATGAGGGGTTGGACAATGAGGAGACAGAGGAAGACGCGGAGGAGGCCATGACGAGTACAGAGCGAAGGAAGCGACAGAGGAGGAGCAACGGCAACACAGTAGCGGCCAATGGGCGCCGTGGCAGCACGAGCAGCTTTGGTGTGGCAGCAGGACGTCGTCGTAGCAGTCAGTCAGGCCCGTCTGGTGCTGCCGCAAAAAGGCGCAGGTCTTCGCGGAGCAACGTAGTCGAGGATGACGAGGGTGACGAGGGTGACGAGGATGAGAATGAGGACCAGGACGACGAGGTGGACAACTCATTACCACCAGCCCGACGCTCCTCGTCAAGGCGAGCCAGTACGACTCGAGGACAAGGAAGGAACTTCATTGATGACGATGCCCGAGACGACGACGATGACGATGAAGGCGAGGAGGAAGAAGGGGAAGACGATGACGATGATTAGCAAGGGCACGGACGCGTCAGCGTTTCATGCCGCTCACCAGCACTACCGCCAACAGCCGCCTCCACGTCACCTATATTCAGCGTTCCCTCATTACGCGACCGCGATCGACTATCAAGCGACCCATCATACCTCTTCTCGCGATTTCCTGTCAATTTGAAACCAATTACGCCTCCCTAATCATCGTTGTCTTCCTCTTGGCGTCGAGCACACCATTCATCTACGTCGCGAGCGATGGTACACACGTGCGCGAATGTATTCACCGCCCGCTCGCTGCAGCGCTGCGAGGCTTGCGAGACTGTGTTGCCAGAAAGCCTATTAAAAAATGCGAGGCTTGCGGGACCGTCGGCGCTTGGCGTAGACCGCCGGCGCTGTCTGAACGAGGCGATACACGGAGAGGAGCCGGGAGAACACCGAGGAGCAAGTAGCGGCGAGCAGTGACGATAACGATGATCGATGCATCCCAACGTCTTGTTCGTCAGACGGCTTTGAGCTTCGTATTCAGCGCATCTAGTACGAGGCATCAAGCGAAGAACCCACGACGCTCAATGATGGGAAAGGGAGGGCGCCAAATAGCCCTCGCTGGCGATGCCGTCCATGCCACCCTCCTCTGCTCCGCTGCCCGTGCTGTGCGCAGCCGCCGGCTCATCGGCGGACCAACGCTTCGAGGCAGGCGGCGTAACCACCCACTTGCAAATTGACTCTCTCGATCGAAGAAGCACCTCGTACGAAGCGACGTCGTCTTGGCATGACTCAAAATGGGAGTCGAGCACTAGTTTACCAGTGACGATGTCGTGACTGACTCAAGCTCACGAGAAAGGCGAAGGGAAGGAGGAAAGAGAGGCTCATCTTGTGCCTGCAGCGTGGCGGCTCCTCGTTGTCCACCGTCGGCTTCTCTCTCGCCGCCCCTAATCGCGTCGCTCCAGGGTGAGAAGACGCTTCCCTTCTGGGCCGAGTCAGGGTGTTGACGGTGACCCTGATTCATCATAAAGCATGAAGGCTCCTCGCAGGTAGGTTGGCTCCTCGCTGCTGACAGGCCATTCGTCGGGCTAAGACTTTGCGCCAAGTGAAAGCCAGAGAAAGGGAGACGACGACGGAGCTGCTCAGGGCAGCCGCGGTAGCCTGCGATGACGAGATTAGCATCATCGCCGTAACAGGACACACAGAGACGCACCACGCATGGTAAGCGCCTCGTCGACAAGCAAAGCCTAGTCCGGCCCTGAGCTCCCGTAGCTACTCCTCCGTCGCCTGTCGCAGCGTCTCTGTGTGCTGCCGTCGCCCTCGCCCTCGTCTTCGCCCTCGTCTCTGCTTCCTCTCGCCTGATTCGCCCATCTCTCTTTTCGCGGCTGCGCCAAGCTTTTTTCCCTCGTTCAACGTCCGCGTCGCACGTCGTCGACGACTGCCTCCGCCTCCGCCTGATCTGCCTGCCGCTTCTTGCCCTGTTTCATCGCCTCAACTGCTCCTCCCGCTCTCCGCCCGGCTGTTTGCCGCCCGCCGCCTGTCTTCGACACACACACCCTCGACGCCCCCTTCTGTCCCGAGTCAGCTTCAGCAGTCGCAAAGTCGCAGAGAAGATCGATCATCGGGCACTTCGTCTGTGCGATATCGAGCGCTAACTTGAGGTCAAGGCCACAACCGGCGGTGCCAGTCAACGAGGCGGCGGCGGCGTCGCTGCTCCCACTTCCCGGAGTGTCTCGTCTCGAGGGAGCCAAGACAAAGCCAGCTGCTGCCAGTCTCGTCTGCCATCCAGCTGCCCCTTCCTATCCTCACCACCATCACCATCCTCCATCCTCAACACTCGTCGTTGTCATTATCGTCACCACCATCGACACACATTCCTGCGGCCTTGCTCCCTTTGACGACAGTCGTTGCTAAGCGCCGCAACTGGCCGCATCCGCCTTCCATCGTTCCTTCCGCCGCCTCCAAGGCAGCCGCCGACGTTGCCGCCGGCCCACGCTCAGTCGATTCCTTTGGCGGCAAATTCACCCTTCATCCTTCGACTACTTTGCCATCTTTGTGAATGACAAATCATCTGTACGGCACTGCCTCTCATTCGATGTCAGCTGCTCCACGCTACCAGCAATCACCAGCGGCCCCAGCCTCGTCCTCGTCATCATCCTCGTCATCGGCGTACCCGCCTTACTCGCGTCCGACTCTCGGCGCTCCACGACAGAATGGACCTCATCGCTCGTCATGGCCTCCCTTTCTTCCGCCAATCGACGTAGCCGGACCATCCAGCAAGCAGCAGCAGCCACAGCAGCAAGGCTATCCAGGCCAGCCTCAGAGCTATCCTCACCACCATCAGTATGGAGGGCACCACCCGCATTCACTCTCCGTGTCCACGTCCCACTCTGCTACGAGCCCCGTCTCGCCAAGCAGCCACTCGGATCCCTCTCCCGTAGAGGACAGCCGACAGGGAGGACAAGATCAAAAGAGTAGTGACGGTAGTGGTAGTGCTTTCGGTCAGACAGTCGGCGAGACGGGCATGGTAGCCTCCCTCACTGGTACCGGTCGCAAGCGAAAGCGTCTACAAAGGGTGAGTAATGGTGCTAATCGATCAAATTCTCAAATTGCAGTTGCATTGAGCTGACATCGGTAACCCCCATCCCGTTGCCAACAGGCCTGTGTACCCTGCCACAAAGCCAAGCGACGCTGCGACGGCGGTCTGCCCTGCAGCAACTGCGACTTCAGCGGACGAGGTTGCTCCTACTCTGACAGTCACGGCAATGCCGTCCAGCCCACGGCACGAGCCAAGCCTCCCGCGAGCAAAGACGAGTCGGCCCACTCCTCGACTGGTATCAATGACTACCGCCAGAGCTCAGCCGCAGCGCATACTGCGGGCCCGGCTTCCAACCTCAGCTCCGCGTCCACCGAGAACTTCGACGCCTTTCGCACCTTGAACGGCATCGCCCCTTTTAACGCCTTGATTCCGCTCGCATACACGCATGGAACGACCCAGCCCAGCGTCTTCATCACACACTGCGCAAACGCCATGGTCTCGCCGCACAACCACGCCGCCGTGGCAGCCGCCCGCCGTCTCATGCTCGACGAGGATCAAGCCGCCTTTTCCATCCTGGACCGCCCCTCAGCAGACAGCGTCCTCGCCCTGGTCCTTCTCGCCCTCTGTGAGGCCCGCAGCGGCAAGTTGACTCGCGCCGTGGCCCACACGGCAGTCATGTGCCGCATGATGCAGCAGCTCAACCTGCCAGACGTCTCCGTGTCCACCGAGCCTTTCCATGCCGGCGAGCTCTGCCGCTTGGTAGCTGTGGCTTACACGGTGGACATCGTTCTATCGTCACTGGCCGGGCAGAGCTTTGCCGTCTCCCACACGGACTTGGAAGTTGCCGCAATGCGCATTTCGCAGATCGGCACGCAGGATCCGGATACTGCCCCCTACGCGGCCCTGCTTCGCTCGAGCATCGTTTTCGCGCAGGCGGTCGAGCATCAGCGCAAGCTGGCACACAGAATTGGTACCAACAACACGGGTAGCACCAGCTCTTTCGCCGACTCACATGGGAGTGCCGCGTGCCACCACGCTCTCAGCGCCTGGGCGGACAGCTTGCCTTCCCACCTTGCATTTGAGGACGGGAATCTCTCCCGCGCGTCTCGTGCGGCTCGCAGCAGCGGAGGTGTAGGATCAATTTCAGCCGTGGGCCGCGACGGAGCTTCGTCATGGGCGTGGGCGTGGTCGCTCATGCACTGCTTCGCCGAGATGGCTGTATGCGTCCTCGATGGGGGAGGGAGGCAGAGCGCAACAGCTGCGAGCAACCTCTCTGTCCTATGCCTCGATACGGTCAATCTGGAGTCTCAGCCGAGCGCCATTCTGGCACTCTTGCCCCTCACGTTCGCGCATGCCATCGTGGCTAAGAGCGGGGCAGGAGGAGCCACAGCAGGCTCGTCCAGCGCGAGTACGACAGCTGCGGCCGTTGGGCCGGTCTTCACATCGCTGCAGAAGACGTTCGACTTCGAAGAGTGGCAGCTGCGTCGAACCAGGGCTTTCCTTGGTATCTCAGCTCCGAGCCACAGCGTCTCTACTCCAGGACTCAACGCGGGCCACTCGAGCGTCACCTCCTCTTACGCCACCAACAGCAACAGTAATGCCTATGCTTCTCCGGCGCACCACTATCCGCACTACTCGTCTCGCTCCCCATCGATGGGATACACCAATAGTAGCCTGTCGAACGGACACGGGCACGGGCACGGGCATAGCCTCGCCCCGCCGCCTCCTCCAGGTGGACCGCTAAGCTCAAGCGCATCCCTCTCCTCGCTCCCGTCTCTCCGTGCCCGTGGCATTAGTGACCCGAGGCCACGCCCTCCGTCCGTGTCACCACCGCATCGCAGCAGCCAGCTCCTCGCACCGCTCAGCGAGGATGGCAGCGCCAGCAACGGATCGAAGGTGAGCGGTGCGCCCGTCTCGCCCTACAACGGTACCAGGCCCTCACTGGCGCCCATGGCGTCGCCAGGAAGCAACGGTGGAGCTGGAACGGGGACAGGTCCTACTTCGCCTCACTCTTTTGCTGCGGCTAGACGTCTCCCTGGGTTGGCTAGTAGCGCGAACGGGAATGGGACGAGGTTGCCCTCAATCAACGGTGTGGGGAGCGCAAAGGGCGACGAGTAGAAACCCTTCCCACCCCATGACCGTCTCAAGTTTCTACGACCATCAATCTTCTAGCACTCTGCTTCGGTTCCCTTTCCATTTGTAAATTTTCTGAACTCTTCGCATCTACCATATCCAACGAGACAAATAGCTTGCTTGCACGAAATTGGGCTATGGACTGACTGTGTGACAAGGGCCGCCGACGTTGGGACCGCTGCCTGGCCTTCGATCTTCTCGATGCCTTGTAGTTTCTCGCGGGCCTGCACCAGCAGCTCACTTGGGAGCCATTCAACTTGATTTGTTCGATTCAGCCACCATACCGGGCTTAGAGTAATACTGTCTCGCTGGACCCTGAAGCACGAACTCCCCGCCAGTCACAGTGAGTGGCGTGGCTTGGCGTAGCGAGATGGTCGCGATCGCCGTTCTTTAGCTAGCGTGCCAATATCGGCGGTCGCTTCTTGGGTGCTGATTCAGCTCTCGGCGCTACGAGGACCAAAGCTCTATCTGCCCATGGGGCTCCTCTCCCTGGTAGGAGGACCATGTGGCAGCTCTATTCAAGGGTCCACGCTTACTATTGCATCGACCGATGGACCTGACCTGACGGAGGCGATCGCCCGAGACAGTGAGCTGGGAGTGGCGGGGCGTGCGAGGATGCCTTGCTCCATCTATTCCTCACTCTCCCACGAGGCTGGTGGCTCGGCCATTGACTGAGCATCATTGCGGCCGAGGTAGCGGCCAGTCGCAGAGTCATCTCTCGCTTTCATTCGAGCCCGAGGCTTTCACGTCGGAGCGAAGAGCGTTGTGCGTCATCGAGCGAATGCAGAGATGCAGCCGTGTCGCGCGGCCTCGGCAGGAGAGGACTCTTGAATCGTGCGGGATCGATGCTTGCCAATCGCGGGCTCCACTGCCTAGCCTAGCGCGAGACACGGCCTTCGACGATCGAAGAGAGAGCAAAAGTCTGAGAGCAGTGCCACTGCAGAGGGCGGGGTACGCCGTGCGTCGTACGTTCGCGGGGCGTCCGTCGCCGTCGCCGTCGCCGTCGCCGCTTGCCACTCGCATGATGAGTAGACGGAGGATGGGGGTGCGATGCGATGTCATGTCGATGACTGCACTGGTGGGCGGAGGTTTGAAAATCGACGCTTTCAACTGGCTTATGCAAAGCAAGGGGATGCGGGGGCCAGACAATGATATGAAGTCGTGGGTGACATTTATCTCTTCTTTCTCTTCCTTACCATCGCCACTGCGTAGTCACAACTCAATACCCCTGGAAGACCTCAATTTTTCGCAAGCAAGCGCACATTCAAATCACATCCATCGCAGCGCGCACGCCGCCACTATGACATCCAAGGCCGACATCCCCAAGGAGGCAGGTCGCCCACCTCTCAACGTCCGCCCTTCAATGGAAGGTCAACGTCGTGACTCAGGCTCACAAATGCCCACTCTTCCCCCCGACAATGCCTGCGACGAGCCCGCTCCCGAGGCACCGGGAGGAGCAGGTAAGGGCGCCATCGCCACGGACCCTGCCACCGGCAAGGGCTTCGACAAGGTGTACGGTGTCCGCCCCAAGACCACTTGGCATTTGAAGCCTTCGATGGAGAAGAATCTGTGGGAGTACATTTGCTCGCTCGACATCGGTCCGGACACGGCCTATCAGCGTCGCGATGACAACAGCGAGCTGAGGGGCCCTCCGCCTATCAGGCCGATGTGGGAGGAGAACCTCTTCATCATCTCGACCGGCTCGATTCCCCTCCTGCTCCACACTGCATGGAACTTCCTCCTCCCAGGTGAGTGCGCTGAGCAGTATTGCGAGGTACCTTCCTTCCATCAAAAGGCTAATCATCTTTCGTCTCTCTTCTCCGCGCACAGAGCACCCCATGCACTGGGCTCCCGCTTGGGTCATGTACCACCTCAGCTTCATCGTCTTCGCCAAGGTGATGATCCGTCGCCTCCACTACTTCATGGCCGAGTACGGCTGCTTTGATGAGCAGAACCGCGGTCGTGACATGGTCGACGACAAGCACGTCAACCACTTGGGACGCTCCATTTTCATCTACACCGTCTTCCGTACTCTCGGCCCTTTCCTCCTCGCCTGGCGCGGTGACATGGCCAACCCTCTCGCTGGCCTGTCATGGGCTACTCCGTTCAAGATGGCTTGGTGGGAGATTGCTCTCGACTACTGGTTCTACCTTTACCACCGATCTACCCACGAGTTCGACGCCCTCTGGTTTATCCACAGGCAGCACCACGCCACCAAGCACCCGACGCCCATCCTCTCCATCCTCGCAGACGACATCCAGGAGTGCCTCGAGATCTTCATCATCCCCTTCCTCGCTACGGCAGTCTCTCCCAAGTTGTCCTTCGCTGAGCTGCACCTCCTCGTCGTCTACACTCTGTACGTCGAGGCCCTCGGCCACTCCGGCATTAGGGCAATCTGGCGTCACCCTATCCTCGGCCAGTTCCTCCGCGTCATGGGCGCCGAGCTCGCTGTCGAGGACCATGACCTGCACCACCGCTTCGGCAAGTCGGGCAGGAACTACGGAAAGCAGACGAGGATTTGGGACAGGCTGTTCGGCACTATCGGAGAGAGGATTGAGACGCCTCTCAACTAAAAGGAGCGGACGCAGTCATGCGTATTTACTATTTCCAACGGAGTCTCGTCTTTGCTTGACCACACCTTTCCTTTAATCACTCTTTGCTATGCGATGCTACTACTGTGTTTCCTCACGTCTTCATGATGAATGATATACGTTGATCAATCTATGCTTGTGTGCGTGTATGAAAACGGCCTCTACTCCTCGTCCTCGTCATCGTCCCCTTCCTCAAGGGCGTCACCCCCGACCCATTCCTCCTTAGGAATTCCCTCGTACAGCCTCCTCATCTCCTGTAGCGCTACCATGGCCTTCTCCTTTCCGGCTGATGCCTCGACGAGTCTTTGCGCAGCCATAAGGTAATCCTCAGCGACTGCCGAGCGATCCCATCCCTCCTGATCGCTCTCCTCATCCTCATCATCTTCTCTCTCCGGCCTCTCATCATAGAGAACCGCGGCGACGAGGTCATCCTGTGCCGTCGCAACTGCCTCGGCGCACTCATCTAGCTCGTCCACATCCAGCTTCAACGCCTCCCCGTCCGTCAAGCAGAGCTCGCCCGTCCTGTCGTGGAGTAAGCGTCCCAAGCGTATAAGGGGGAGAACCTTGCCCAGTAGCTGGCGATCACGTTCGTCCAGTCCGCCAAGGGCGGAAAGACCAAACTCGTCGTCCTGCTCAGCGGCCGTAGAGTTGCCGCTGGGCTGCCCTTCTGCCTCCTCGCTCATCTCGCGCTCCCCATCCTCCATCAAGGCTCGACGTTGAGCCCACCTAGTCCGAACAGCAGCCACGTTATCCATCGGTAGTGTCTTGGAAGCTTCATCGCACGCCTCCCAAACTGCAGCCGTTCGAGACAGGCATTGCTGTCGCATAGCAGCTGGCGTCCTCGCTGCCTGTGGTGTAGCCTCTTCTGAGGCAGTCATTGCCGCCCCACCTTCGCGCCGTTCTCTCGCAATTTTCGCAGCCTTGACAGCCTTCTTCGTCCTTTCATCCATGCAGGCTTCCCCCAACTGCGCAATTGCTGTGCTCACAGCTTGGACGTGTGTGCGCAGCGCCCGAGTCCAAGTGGAACCCACCCCTAGCCCAGGGAGCTTGCGTAGCTGTTGACTCGAGGGCAGGCCGAGCTCTGATGCCGTCATGACTTGTCCGCCCATTGACTTTGCCAACTCTTCGAGCTCTTTGCGACTCTGAGTGGCTGAGGCTGAGGCGTCTTGGTCGCTGCCAGAAGATGCCTTGGACTTGTCGTCCATTTGCTCGTCTTCTTGAATGTACACGCCTCTCTCCTTCATAGCCTTGCCCCAGATGAAGAACAATTTGGGCAAAACATCGTTGGTGAAGGCATCAATCTGCTGCTGCGCCGCCGCAATGGACGCCGCATCCAGCCCACTCAGAGGGGACGTTGAGCTCGATCCACCAGCCTCGGTGTCGCTCTGTTGCTGTTTCGCAGACTTCTTGAGCGCCAAGCTCAAGTTGGTGGCTCGCTTGGCCGCATCCGTGACCAGGGCCAGGGCATCGTTGCGTAGTTGGGAGCGCAGCTTGTTGAAGGCCGCGTGCGGTGGTGCTGAGGCATGGCTTGAGACGATGTGTAGTGATGAGGGGTCAAAGTCTTCCGACGATTGAGCGAAGGAGGAGAGACCCGTGGAGCAGAGGATGACTAGCCGGAGCAGGCTTCCTTGAAAAGCTGAGAGCGCGATACGCGGGAATCATTTTCAGCTCACAGCGTCGTTGTTGCAAGGGCACGGCGAGATGCTCACCTTGCTCTGCCATTTTGGATCGTGAATATATGCTGGTAACGACCACTTTGCAGCTTCGATGCGCTCATCCAGCTCGCTCGGCCAAATAATTCTATCCGCGCTTACGTCAGCCTCACGCCACTCAATGTGGCCCTCCCCGACCGAGCGGTGCCGTGTCGGTGGGGCTGAATTGAAATCCCAAAGACAAGGCTCGACTCCATTCCACCGTTAACCCCACAACTCTCCTCTCCTCATCCTCACCATCGCCACCATGTCATCCAGCATGGTTGCATCCTCATCGAGGCAGCTGCTCACTCGTTCGAGGAGCGCATCCCTCCTTACGGTCGCTGCCTCATCGTCGCAGCAGCTGGGAGCACGCAGCTTTGCCACCGTGCCCGAGTCGCCTACGCCCGTCCCTTCGTCCTCGTCTCAATCACAACCACGTCTGGCAGCCCTCCGTGCCCGTCTGGCAGACGAAAAACTGGCATCCGACGCCGTTCACTCCTCTCCTCTTCCCCCACCAGGCAGCCGTGTAGCCTTTGGCCGTACAAATGCCCCTCGTCTCCCTTCGTACCTCAAGACCTCGATCCCTACCGGCGACTCCTTCAAGCAGATCAAGAAGGACCTGCGTGGTTTGGGGCTAAGCACCGTCTGCGAGGAGGCACGTTGCCCGAACATAGGCGAATGCTGGGGTGGAGGAGGCAAGGAGAAGGCTACTGCCACCATCATGCTAATGGGGGATACCTGCACGCGTGCCTGTCGATTCTGCTCCATCAAGACCAGCCGCACACCAGGTGCATTGGATCCACACGAGCCAGAGAACACGGCAGAGGCGATCCGTCGATGGGGATTGGGGTACATTGTGTTGACCAGCGTGGACAGGGACGATCTACCTGATGGCGGTAGCAAGCATATTGCCGAGACCATTGCCAAAATCAAGAGCAAGGCGCCCGGTACGCTGGTGGAGGCGCTTGTGCCAGACTTTCAGGGGAAGTTCGATGAGGTGGACCGCGTAGCTAGGAGTGGATTGGACGTTTATGCACACAACGTCGAGACGGTGGAGCGTACTACACCGCGGGTGAGGGACAGGCGCGCAGGATATCGTCAGACCTTGAGCGTTCTCAAGCGCGCCAAGGAGGCTCAACCTGGCCTCATCACCAAGACGAGCATCATGCTCGGCTGTGATGAGACGGATGAGGAAGTTCTGCAAACTCTCAAGGACCTCCGCAACGAGGCAGACGTAGACGTTGTCACTTTGGGCCAGTACATGCGCTCTAGTAAGCGCTTGATGCCCGTGAGCGAGTATGTGCCGCCAGAGAAGTTTGAGTATTGGAAGCAAAAGGCGGAAGAGTTGGGTTTCCTCTACGTGGCGAGCGGGCCGCTCGTGAGGTCGTCGTACAGGGCTGGAGAGTTCTTCATTGAGAATGTCTTGAAGAAGAGGAAGGAGCAGATGGGACAGGGTAGCGCAATCAATGCCGCTGCTGTTGAGGGGGCTGAGGCGAAGTCAGAGGAGATTAGGGCGAGGTGAGAAAGCGAGGTCGAGGAAGTCCAGAGGGGTCAATCAACTACATGTCACGCAGCTACAACAATTTCATCACATCACACATTCGAGTAGGATCTTACGTAGTGGTATTTTGCGCGAGCATATACAGGTGGAGCGCAAATCAGGAGGTCGAGACGAAGGTGAAGCCAAAGGGAGAAGAGCGGCGAGGTCGATGACGGAGGGTGGAGCGGCGAAACGAGGAGGAAGAGGAAGCAGAAATGGGTACTAGAAGTGCCGTACTTGCTGTGTGGATCAGCTGAGGATCTGCGGGGGTCAAGAAGGCATCGAAGTCGTCAGCATTGCTCTCGCTGCCTACCACCCAAGCTCTGTCTCCTACTCACTGCCACCAACACCACGGCGACCACAAATCCAACGACCAGCATCAAGCATGCCGCCCTGCGTCCAGCCTTTCTCTGATAATCACTAGCTTGCACCAATTCTCGATCTGCGCCCTCGGTATTGGTCGCAATCTCCCCAATGTTGTACTCGATGTTATCGATCATTCCGCCCTGCTCTTGCACTATCGTGCCCAAATCGCGGAAGATCTCATTGAGCTCGTGGATCCCTGACTCGATCTCTCGGATCTCGGACTCGCGCTCGGCGATGAGAGATTCTTGGAACTCGAGATCAGCTTGAGATGGACCGGCTGTTGCTTGAGTCTGGGTCTGGGTCTGAGTCTGCTCCTGGAGAGCAGAGTCACTGTCCTCATCGCCTTGTTTGGCAGCCTGCTCGTCCGCCTCAATCTGTACCAGCGAGCTACTCGTAGCCGGTCCAGCGTCTGCATTCGCAGCCGCAGCGGTTGCTGCCCTTCTCTTTGCCCCTTCGAGGTCCTCCTTCGTCCTCCTAGCGCTCTGCCTCTGCGCTTCGGCGAAGGCCTGGACCGCCTGTTCGAAGTCGCGCTGGAGCTTGGAGAGGGTGAGGCGATATTGCGGTGGGCAGCGAGACTCATAGCTGACGATGAGCGTGGAGAGTTGCTTGAGTTGAGGGGTGGTAGACTTGATGACTGAGCGGGTGGATTCGACGAGGTCGTGGCTATGGGATGGTGGAGTTCGACAGTCAATCAGCACGAGTGAAAGTGAGGTCGCGGATTGATTGTGCTACTCACGCCCTCTTTGTCCAGTCTCTATTGCTTTGCTGCTGTGTCCCTCCCCTCGCCCCCTTCTTGGCTTCGTCTCCTGCCAACTTGACCAGCTTCTCCACAGCAGCCGTGTTACTATTGACCTTGAACAGCTGCGCCCCAATCCCATCTGACAAGCGCTTCAATTCCGCCAGCTGCTCGGCAGAGAGGGACTCCTCGTCCTCATCGTCTGTCGAAGGTGATATGCTAGAGGCAGAAGCATGATAGAGGGGTAGGGAGGAACCTCCGCCTGTTGAGGCGTTATTGGCATCGTTGCGGCGTGAGGGTGAGCCACGAATGGAGCCCGGGCCGGAGGTGATGGCGCCGCTGTTGTTCTTGGCACCATACCCGCCGCGAGTGCTGCTGCTGCCGCCTGTCCCTCTTTCTAAGTCGTTGAAGGACATTTCAGTACGGGGATGGGAGTCAAAGGACAAGATGGATGGAATGGATGGCTGGCTCAGGAGTTCAAGTTCATTGGCCGGCGAGATGCATCGCTGAACGCATCACCCGCTCGGCTGCTCTGGTTCCGCCCTCGACCATCAGGTGCCGCACGCCACAGAAGCCAAAGACCAGATTGGACTTCATGACGATGCTTTCAGGCAGATACAATTTCGACAGAGTTGAGATGCATTGCGATTGCGACTGCGTGGGTATGATGATACAGAGAGTGAGGTCGGCGAAGACGAGACTACGAGAGGAGGCAAGAGGAGCTACGCGAGCAGCCGCCGTTGCGAGGGGGTCTAAGGGCCATGGCCAGGTAGAGGGCTGGCGGATGCTGCTTGGCCGAGCTGATTACCATTTACGACCCATCTGAGCAGCAGCGGCGCAAGAGAGGGAGACGAGAGAAAAGGTCCCAGTCAGCATCGTATCGTCTCTCGTGTCAGCTGGCTGCTGTATCGCAGGCTCTGCCGACCCAAACCTCCTCTTCGGACGCTCACCTTCTGTTGGACACATTCCTTGAATTCCCTGAACTCCTTCTCGCACATATTCTTGTCCACAGCCTCGTACTGAGCAAGGACACAAGCCCCGTATGCCTTGCTGGCCGAAGCGCAAGCTGCTGCTGATCGGCCTAGGGTCATGACTGGCTGGAGGTCCCGCGGCTTGCCAGCCTTGGTGACGGCAGATGCGGCGGCAGTAGCAGAGGTTGGGAGCATGACTGGATCTTGTTGAAGTCGAGGTAGAAAAGCGAGGTTTGCAGTGAGGCAAATGAATGAAGCTCTAGTCTCACGAAGCTGTGAAATGGCAATAAAGTGAGGGACAGCTCGTGGAGGCTTTCTTGGGTCAGCGGAAGGAGCGGCGTGTGCTTCCGATCCGATGGCCACGCGAAGAAGATTTGACCTCGTCCGCTTCCCGCTCAGCGTCGATCATCATCGTCCTTTCCATCCGTATCATCGATCACCCTCAACGACCAGACATCTGTCTTCTGACGTGAGCATAGCCTTTGCCTTCATACCCAGCTGCAAAAGAGCATCCACTGACATCGTCTCCTCCTCTTCACCCGCACACACAGCCGTGATCCCTAGTCGTGAGGTCCTCCCGCAACTCCCTCCAACCCACACCACACCCGCTTCCAACCTCCTCGCAAACATGTCCGGCGCAGCAAACCCCAAGGCCTTTCCCCTGGCCGATGCCTCTCTCACCTCCCAGATCCTCGACCTGGTCCAACAAGCTTCTCACTACAAGCAGCTCAAAAAGGGAGCCAACGAAGCCACCAAGACGCTGAATCGCGGTATCTGCGAGTTCATCATCATGACCGCAGACGTTGAGCCCATCGAGATTGTACTGCATCTCCCTCTCCTCTGCGAGGACAAGAATGTGCCTTACGTCTTTGTGCCATCCAAGACGGCTTTGGGTAGGGCCTGCGGTGTGAGCAGGCCTGTTGTGGCGGCTAGTGTTACGACGAATGAAAACAGGGAGTTGCAGGGACAGATCACTACGATCAAGAACGCGGTGAGTAGAAATCATTTATTGAGAGGGCGCAGTGCCAAAGATACCGTACTGACATTCTCGCTCTTCTCCTTCCCCTCGCCGTTGCAGATCGAGCGTCTTCTCATCTAGATGGATTCTCCAGCAGCGTGGGCGTTTGCAGTCTGACTTGGAGAAGCGGCGGGAAAAGGGCGTGGATGGCAAGGAGCGGTAGAGGGCTCGTTGTCGGTTGTCTTGACAGGCTCAGTAATGGCCACAGCTCATTCATGCCGACCTTCTCCGAGCTTGGTTCGTGTTGATTGATGTCATCGATTAGGGAAGGAAGTCTACATTCGCTGCTACATGCTGTTCACCCCTGGCCCCTTTTCGAATTCCTCTTCCTTTCCTTCATCACCCTGTCAGAGACGATCTGGCTCTCGCCTCCTACATGCGCTGCAGCGGCGACAGGGTGAGCCTGTCGAGCGGAAAAGAAGGGATAAAAGAATGGTCAGCTTCGACGGCTTCTGCTCATTCCATCCCCCTGCATGCTATACTCACAACTCCAAAGCCGCGGCCAGTACGACCCTAGTCGAGTCAAACAGGTACAGCCTCGCCATAGCGGTATCCCTCTCTGCTCCCTTGACAATAAGCACCTCCCACGCACTAGAAATCGCCCTAGCCAACCTGAAGGCAAAGTGCACGACGGTCGAAGGCTGCTGGTCGCGCGTGGCCGAACGAACCACATCGGGCCATGAGGCAAGGAGCATGACGACGGTTTGGGCCTTGGGCTCCGACGAGAAGAGGGTGGTGTCGATGTCGTGCAGGCCAGAAGAGGTGGAAGGCAGCGTGAAGCCATACTCTGATGCGGCCTTTCGGACGACGGAGCAGAGGCGGACGTGGTTGCTTTAGATGGGTCAAGGAGTTCGAAATCGTGGGTCAGCTTCGCCTCACATGCAGTGCCCGCGCTCGCTCGTACTTACTACTGCAAGAAGACGCCCGTGTCTCCCTCGTTGCTGAGACACCTCTTCCACGAGAACTCGTAGTTCAAATGCCTCTTACCCGTCAGGTCCTGAATCTTCACTCCCGACTCTCCAAGCACATACGCGACACGCTGCGGGTCCTCGATGAGCTTGTACCTGTCCTCATTCTGCTTCATGATAGACTCCATAGTCTCTTGCGCCTCCTCCAGGATCTTGTCCAAGAAGACTGCCGTCCCCTTACGAGTGGACATGCCAAGGACCATACCGAAGTTGACGTGCTGCAAAGCTTTGGCGCCCTCGAAACCGGAGAGATCGAGGATCTTGAAGAATTGGGCAAGGTGCAAGTCCTGCTGCGAGGCAACGACGTAGATCATCTTGTCGAAACCGGCTCCGTACTTCTCTTTGAACAGGTTCCATCGCTTCTTCGCTTCAGCGAGGTCACGCGAGATGTAGAGGGCGGTTCCGTCTGCGCGTTCAATGACCGTCTTCTCCAGCTTGTACTTGGTCAGGTCGATGAGCATTGCCCCGTTCTCTGCCCTCTCGACGTACTCGGAGTCACGCACGGCGTCCAGAGCGGAGGAGATGGACTGCTTTGTGACCTGTGATTCGCCAGAGTAGACGTCAAAGTGGATGTTGAGGCGTGCATAGGTCTCTTCGTACTTGGCGATGCTCAAGTCGCGGAACTTGCGCCAGAGAGCCAAGGCAGACTCGTCGCCATCCTCCATTCCCTTGAAGTAAACGCGAGCCTTTTCGTGGAGCGAAGGGTCGGCCTCGGCAGCTGCATTTACCTCGACGTAGACGTCGTAGAGGTGCTTGATGGGGTCTTCCTTCAGCTTCGCCTCGTCACCGGATCGCTCCCATCCAACGGCGAGGAGACCAAATTGCTTCCCCCAGTCACCAAGGTAGTTCCATCGCTCGACGTACCATCCGTTTGCTTCGTAGAGGTTGGAGAGGAATGCGCCAATAATGGTGGAGCGCAGATGCCCTGCATGGAAGGGCTTTGCAATGTTCGGTGACGAGAACTCAATGATCATCCTCTGGCCCTTGCCCGACTCGTTGTGTCCGTATGCTGACTTGATTGAGCCCTTTGACTTGCTAGCAGAAGGAGCGTCGCCCTTGTCCTCTCCACGGCTGGAAAGCTCCGTGATGGTCGCGAGGGTCAGCTTTGCCATCGTCTCATGGTTGACCTTATAGTGAACAAAGGCTCCCTGATGGCTCGCCTCAGCAATGTACGCCGAGGGCTGGAAGTCTCTGTACGCCTTCTCTGCAACATCATTGGGCTTCCCGGGAAGCTTGAAGCGGGGGAACGCAACGGAGAAGTCTGCGACTTTGCTGGCGGTAGAGACGGCCTCGAATGCTTTCTCTACGGGAATGTCAAGGCTGGAGTGCAGCTGGCGAGCCACATCCAGGCGGAAGGCGTCCAGCGGATTGCGAAGCGGGTCTGCCTCGGGGACGTCGTTCGAGGGCAAGTCGCCAAAGGTAGCGACGAGGGAGCGGATGTGGTCGGTCATTGCGAGCGAAGGGGAGGTGGTCAAGGTGCGACGACCGATGAGGGGGAGAGGAAGAGAGGGCGCTCGAAGGAGGTGCCTGCGCGTGGTCGGAGCGAGGCAGAAGAAGAGGGAGGAGGAGGAAGAGAAGCGACCTGCAGTGGCGTGAAGGAATGGCCGTATGATCGCGGCGTTTGGCTTGGTAATCGTGGTGGGCGAGGTTGTATGCGGTCTGAAGCGCTGAAGTCGCTACGAGTCAAATCTTCGACCTGGGGCTCGCTCGCTCGTCTTCCGTTCGCCTGAGACCTCGCAGCCATTGCCACATGGCGTTGCTTCCGTCCAACACTTGGAAGCGGAGGTCCAAGTAGTGTGGGCGGCGAGGAGTGTGCGTCTGGCCGTGCCATCGATCTGGGGGCGGCGGGGCACGACGAGGCTCCTGACCTGCCTTGCATTGATTTACCCTCGAATAGCGCCCTCCAGATACCCTTGCTCCTCTCCCCTCTCCATAACGAGTCCCTCTTGGCTCGACGTCATGAACGACTTCGAAGATTACGACCCCTACGACGTTGAGCTTAGCGGCAGTCAAGGTGCTAGTGGACACGAGGAGCATCTCGACGACTCACCAGCTCGTTCATCTCGCCGTAGACGTCGAAGCAACGACCATGGTAGTCACGACGCCTCGGTAGATGCAGACGAGCTTGCAGGCCTGGGTAGCCAGCAACTGGACGCCTCCCATGCGTACGGCTACGATCAGCAACATGGCACGACTGCCGAGGCTGGTGGCCTTTCCCTTGCTGATGAGCTTGGTGGGCTCAGTGGTGGGAATGACGGCTCAGTGGATCCTTCTCACGATGCCTCGACGCTTGCAGACGAGATGAATCGGCTCAACACCACAACCTCAACAGTAGCGCCAAAGGCTTTGGCTAGTGATCTGAACGACGGCCTGCCCTCCTCTTCCTCTGCGGCGGCACCATCGTCCTCCCAGGACTCAGCGTATACAGCGGCACCAGCCACAACCTCGGCCTCTTCCTCCTACGACGATGACATTGCCGAGGCTCGGGCGCGCCAGCAAGAGGCAAGCCTGCAGGATCTCTCCAAGTCCATCGCCGAGAGTGTCGCTCATACGGACGAGTTTCTTGCCAAGCTGCGAGCGGGGGATGAGGATGGCCAAGCGCCTGTCGCAAGTACCGCTACTGCTTCATCGTCCTCGTCATCAAGGCCGAGCTCAGCCGCCGCCCGCGATATCTCTCATCTAGAATCACTCGGACACTCGCTGGGCTTATCCCTGCGCGAACAGGCAGAGCTGCGTGTCAACCAGACGCGCGAGCTCCGGGATATCGAGCGAGCGCTGAGTAGGGACGACCCGGCTCTTTGGATGGCACTGGCCCATGTCGTGGGCTCAGCGGCTGCAGCAGCTGCTCACGAATCTTACCAAGTCAACGGTGATGGGCCAGATGGTTTGCAGGCGATGGCTCTCGATCTAGATCGGGACCTTACCCCACCAGCAGCGCAAGACGTGCTTGGCTACTCTCGCGACCCTGTTTCCGCCCCTTCGACGTCATGCTCTTCAGCAGGCCCCAGCCCCTCCTCCCCGCTTCACGCGCACCTCACCCACCTTTCCTCCCTAACAGCCTCCCTCACCACCTCGTTACGCTCCATCTCCGAGACACTCCAAGTATCCGCAGCTTCCTCCCGCGAAGCGGCCAAACGTCTTCGCTCACTTCGCAAGGCTGTCGAGGAGGCAAGGCGCGAAGCGGAGGAGACGGAGCGGGCGAGCAGGGCAATTGAAGCTGAGAGGAGTGAGACTACTGAAGGGGTTGGGGAAAGCAGGCGAAGAAAGAGCGAGGCAATCAGGCGCGAGATGGACGAGGTGCGCAAGGCCTTTGAGCGGGCGGAGGGGCTAGTTAAGGAGAAGGGATGGGGAAGGACGTGGATCGAGAGCGAGCTCATGGATGATAGATTAGAGAAGCTGCCGAAGGAGAGTTGGGGGAAAGGATATCTCAGAGTGGTAGATCAGCACCCTGCCGTCGCGGGACTCGTGTGAGCGGTAGAGGGCAGAGTGGGTAAAGGAGACGACTTCGACGACGATAGACACGACGGACCACATACAGTTACAAGGCTCACGACGACAAGCCCATGTAGAGGCGATGAGCGCCTCAACGATCTCACAGAGCACTCAATCTCAATAATTGGCGTCTAGACTTCTTCGATTGATGCAACTCCGCGCTGTTCGACTCTCCTCAATCCTCCCCTCCGGCCACCTCGTCCCCTTCATCATCACTTTCCTCCTCCCTCGAGAACTTCTCCCCTCTCCCCTCCCTCCTCTCCCCAACTTTGGCCCCACAGCCCAAATCGCAGTCCTTGAGCGCGCTTCTTTCCCCGACTCTCGCCCTCGGTCCAACGATGCAGTTCTCCAGCTTAGCCCCATCCCCAACGACTGCGCCGTCCATGAGGACACAGCCGGATAGACGGACATTCTTGCCGATGGTGACGCGGGGTGAGAGGAGACAACGTTTAATGCTTGAGCGGTCGCCGATTTTGAGCGTCGAGGACGAGGATGAGGAAGTAGCAGGCGGTAGAAGCGTATCTGGTGAGAGCTGAGCTGTTGAGCTTATGTCGTGCCCTGTCCCTGAACCGGCACCCGCAGCATTGCCGTCCATCGAGCCAACAAGCAGTGGGATCGCTCCGCCACTGACTGGCCTGCCCGACTGGCCTGCTGCGACCAAGGCACGAAGAAGGTATCGGTTGCACTCCAGGTAGGTAGGAAGAGTGTTTGCGCGTGCGAGGAAGTGCGAAGCCTCTTCTGCTGCCGCTTCAGCCGCTGCAGTGGCGGCAGCCGAGGCGTTGTTGTTGCCCTTGCCACCACCTTGCTTGCCGCCCCCGCCGCTACCTGTAGGCACCGACGTTGCCGTGAACATTGACGCCGTAGGCGCGATGCAGGTCACAGCTCTCACCAGCTGAGCGCCACCAGCCTTTCGTGGCTTCGAAAGTGAGCTACGCTCGAATGCCAGCCGCATCAATGCCTGCCCTTGCCTCGCAATCGTCTTCTCGCTCGGTCTGTCGAGATCCTCCTCCTCGTCCTCCTCCATACCGGATCCCTCTGAGCCGGTCTTCCTCGCCTCACCATCCGCGGCAAGCTTCCAACCGGCCTTCTCTGGCAGGCCCTTCTGCCAGCTCGCCTTGGCAAGAAAGGGGACAACATGCTCTCTCAGACTGGTGAAGTCTCGCCTGGCCTCCAAGAGCGGCAGAACGTGGTCGCGGCGCAGCACATAGACGTGTGAGTCGAGCAACGCGGTACTGATTTTTGCGCGTGGGTGGGCGTGCAGCATGCCCGTTCGGATGGGGAGAGAGGGCATGGCGGCCGCTCCTGTCGCTGGTGGCTCGCTGAGGAGCAGCAGCGGGTGGGTTGCTAGAGGCGCGCTGCTGGATGATGAAGAAGTGCCGTAAGCTGCGAGCAGGCGCGCCGGTCCTTCCTTTTCTCTTTCACGGCCGACAGCCTCGCCTGCGCCGCGTTGGTATAGGAGAGACATGAGTGTTGGTGGAGTCGGGTCGCATTCTGAGTAGTAGGAGAGGAGGAAGGATGAGAGAGGGACGGACGGGGAGACGAGGTCGAGGGGAAGGACGAGAGGGTCGGTCTGTACATTTGAATGGAAGGTAGAGTCTGTCAGAGATTGGTTGACATCGTCGAGTGATCGCGCTCGCTCGTACGCACCTCCAGCTTTCCTATGCTAGCCACCCATCTGAGCAGCTCTGCAGTTCCGGGTCGGGCGATCCTCCTGAAACCGTCGTTCTCGTCTTGCCCATCACCTGCAGCGGTATCCTTTGAGCTCTGGTTGCTGTCCTTGCCATCGTAAGGGCCGAGAGGAAGCAGCTCGACGACGATCGCTGCATTGGTCGAAGACTCCCAGTGCTTGGATCCTGCAGAGAGACCATCAACTACTGCGATGTTGGACGAAGTAGATGACGAGGCTGCCGCTGCAGCAGCAGCAGCCGCTCCCTTCTGCCCAACGACGGCTGGCGGGTGAAGCCTGACGCCCTTGAGGGCCCCTTCGATGGCCTTGTGCTGATGCGAAGGAGCGAGGACAATGGCATGTTTGAATCCTGCTGAGACCAAATGCTGCAAGGGGAAGGAAATGAGCGGTCTGTTGGCCAGAGGAAGCAAGGCCTTGGGCAGCGCGTCGGTTGTAGAGGAAGAATAGGGATCACAAAGAGGGTAGAGGTTGCTTCCTGGCCCAGCGAAGATGATGGGCGTGAGTGGTCTACGCCCTCGCGAGGCAAGGTTGTTGTCTCCGAGAGAGGAGCTGCCACCACCTCCTATCGAAGAGGCGTTGAGGAGGTCCATCTGCGATGGCATATACTGAGGAAGAAAGTGAATGACTAGAAGGAAAGGAAAGCGCCGCGCAAGTCGCAATCAAGTCCTTCCGCCGGAAGACGAGAAAGTCGAGGCGAGGCGGAGGCGAAGCTGCAAAGTGGATTGGCGTCATCTTCCACTCCATCTTCATTGCGCAACAATGTCAGCGCCCAAAGACGCAGCAGCTTCGGCCTCCTCCTCCTCCTCAGCGCCCAAAGACGGTGCGGCTCCCTCCGCTAGCCTATCATCTAAGGACGCCAAGGCTGCGGCAAAGGCAGCAAAGGCAGCCAAGAGGGCTGCTGCCAAGGGCCTTGCCGTTGGAGAGAGGCAGCATCCTCCCAAGAATGAGGCAGGGACAACAGCTGGCCAACAAGCAGCTGCTGCTGGTGGACAGGCGACCCATCAGGGGCGAGGGCCAAAGGAATCGTCTTCAGCAGCTGGCGCGGCATCGGCGTCGTCATCAGCTCCAGCTTCGAGCGGCGCAGCAGCTGCCACTCCTTCTCAGACTCTTGCTTCGCTCGCCTCAACCAACGCCTCCCTCCTTCAGCCTACCCAAACCGCAGCAGCAGGTCCGTCCTCATCCACTGGAACTCTCTCCTCACACGACCTCATTACCACCGTCCACCCTCCCTCGACCTCCCACTCGACACGCTCCACTCTCCTCACGACGTCCCTCACCCGCTCACTCCACCCGTCAATCCTTCAACTACAACAACACCTCGCGTCCCACACCTTGCTGGGCTCTTCAGCTCGAGCCATTGCCACCTTGGCCGCTCTGAGAGACTTCATTGCTGACTATAAGACACCGCGAGGTGCGGTGCTTAATCGTGACTTGGTAGGGAAATTGGGAGCACAGATTGGCGGTATCACCGCTGCTAGGCCTTTAGGTACGAGTGCCGGCAATGCTGTCAGGTATCTCAAGTACGAGATCGGAGTCGTGCCTGCGGACATGGGCGAGGACGAGGTGAGAGCGCAAGTGGGGAGCTGTAGCTCGCTCGCTAGCGGATACTGACCTGCCCATCCCTCACCTTCTCGCACCCAGGCGAAGAACCACCTCATCTCCCGAATCGACCACTTTGTTCGCGATCGCATCGTCCTCGCCTCTCGAGTCATCTCATCTCACATATCCTCCAAACTCCGTTCACACGGAGACGTGGTAGTCACCTTTGCCCGCTCCTCAGTCGTAGAGCGTTGTCTCCTCGATGCGTGGCAAGTCGAAGGCAAGAGATTCGAGGTCATCTGCGTCTCGGGTGAGACCTTCGACGAAGGGCCTAGGATGGCAGAAGCGCTGCTGAGCAAGGGGATCCCGACTAGCTGTGTGCCGCTTACGGCCTTGGGGAGCGTTATGCCGCGAGCGAGCCTAGTGCTGCTGGGTACGGCCAGTCTCCTCGCCGACGGGGCGTTGTACTCGAGGGCGGGGACAGCTACCGTCGCTATGGTGGCGAACAGGAGGAAGGTCCCTGTCATCGTGTGTTGTGAGACGTACAAGTTTAGTGAGAGGGTGAGGCTCGAAGGGGTAGGAGGCAACGAAAGGGGTGAGTAGCGCGACGTCATTGCCCGCCAGATAGCCAAGCTGACCATCTTCTTCTCCTATTCTCACGCGCCAACAGCCGACGGTCACGACGATGACTTGGAGGACGGTTCCTCGACCCCGTCCAACCTCACGAAGCTCAACCTCGTCTACGACCTCACGCCCGCAAAGTACATCACCGCTGTAGCGTCCGAGGTCGGGCTCAGTGGGCCAGAGAGTGTGGCCATCTTGCTACGAGACTACAAGAGCATCTTGTTCGGCAGCTAGTCAAGTCAAGGGTCAGGAGAGAGACTCAATCGTATCGTTTGGTCATACATGCTTTGGATTGCTTTGTGTCTCGCTCTGGTCTGATATGGAAGGCTATAGGATCGGAGGATGACGCCGAGGAAGATGGTCAATCGTCTGCTGGATCAGGGAACAGAGGCTTCGAGTACGTGACGGAGCGTTGCGCGTTGTGGTCGTATCTGAAGGTGAGGGAAAGACGAAAGAGGAAAGAGTGCATGCTGAAGAGTCGTCGCGGTCGTGTATGCTCCGCTAGCTGCTGTTCGTCGTGTTTGAAGTGCGTGTGTGCCATCATGCTTGGAGGGAATCGTGAGATGGGCAAGTAAGATTGAGGGGATGCTGAGTGGGCCTTATATTCTGAGAGGATGAAAGCGTCTGCTTGGAAACCGCGAGCGACCTCGGTCTTGTAGGAGATGGCCTCGATCGTAGTTTCCCGATGCGACTACGATATCTTGGCCTGTACTTTCTCGATTGGCTGCTCTGGCGGCGAGGCGGCTACTGTCGTGTTCCCATGGCCGTCACTGGCCTCAACGTCACCTCCTGAGCTCTTGTCTGCAGCCTGGCAGACTCCTCAGGACAGGGTCAACCCCCTCTCAGTGGGCTCAAGCGTCGAGTTCATTGTGGCGGAAATGCTGGCGTTTGCTACGGGGAGAATAGGACTACCGTCTCCAGGTGCATTTGCTCCATTCTTTTTGACGGCAACAGCTCGAGGATCAGACACCGTCTCGTCCTTGTGACCAGCCGGAGAGGAAGGACCCGAGATGGTCTGCCGATTTTGAGCCATCGTGAGCTGCTCGGTGGTCTTGGTCGCGGACGATGCGTAGGAAGAAGCGAAGAGCTGTCCCTTACCACCAGCGGTGGGAGCAAGGTCACGGGATCCAGAAGCAAAGCCGCTGTCCTTGCTATATGCATCATTGGTGGCATCGAAGTGTGAGCCTCCAGCGCTTGAAAGACTAGGATGGCGATATCGCTGCAGATCAATCGACTGCTGAAGCTGCTGTTGATCCTGGCTGTGTGAGCGCAGGTGATACCCTCCGCTGCTTGCACCATAGCTGCCGCTTCCCCTTCTCTCATGCCCATTGTTAAGACCGGAGGCCTGCTGCACGAATGCGCCGCGCAGGTAGTCGGCATCGAGAAGTCCGCGGAGGCTGCTGTACGAGTTGGGAGAGAATTGAGGTAGATTAGGGAGAGTTGGGTACTGTTGAAGAGGATGCGAGTCATGCTGCCTCACAGGGAGGGATTGGTGCTGAGCGTCCGAGGAAGAGCGAGAGGAGAGGTTGGCAAGCTGAAAGAGGCGATCGGGGCTGTTGTTAGCGGGCTGCGCCGCTGTGTGACTGAGGTCGACCCCACTGTCCCTGCCGCTCATGGTGGCGAGGGAATTGCCACTTCCACTGTCTCCATCGAGCGGGACGAGATCCATGGTGGAGTTGGCTTGACGCTCGTCTGCTGCGTCACCTGGCTTGCTGTTGGCAGTGGCGAAGGATTGGTCGAGAGAGCGGTCGTGAGAAGCCGTGCCACTGACGGCGTAATGAGAGTTGCTCTGATGAGCTGGAGCATCAGGATCCATGCCTCCCTGTCGTTCGGCACGTTGCTGCTTCTGAGGCAGAAGCTGCTCAGAGAGCATAGAAGAAGAGGTCCCAGCAGTGATTGATGCCGCAGCGCTTCGTCCTCTGCCGTCTCTCCCTTTCCCATCAGCCTCTCGCGCCGCAGCCCCCCACGTCCTGACTACCCTGTCCACGACGTCGTCAGCACAATTGATGCCATTAGGCAACAGTGAGTCTACCCACCTGCCCTCGATCCACGCGCGGATCTCTGAACAGGTCATGGCGTCCGAGGTGAGCTTATAGCCTCGGGCAAGAAGGGCGGCAGAGAGTTGCTGTTCTTTGACGTCGCGCATGATCTGACGGCGACTTTCGTCTGTGTTGGCAAAGAGGGCAGAGGAAGAGGCAGAGTCTGATTCATCCCGCTCAACGGAGGCATCTTCGTCCTGTTCGTCAGCCTCCTCAGGCTCTTCATCGTCGTCCTGCGGGCTCTCAGCAAGCTCGTCGAATTGAGAGTCAACGTATCCGCCTGCTGGGAGGGAGGATCCTTTGGTCACTTGCTTCTTCAGTGCGGGTGCGGAGGAGCTTCCGCTAGGACCAGCCTTGGGGGCAGGGCTGCCACTGGGACCAGCCTCGTCGGCGTCGTCCTCGTCCGAAGTAGGCTGTCTTTTGGCCTTACGCTTGCGGGAAGGAGTGGTCCTCTTCTTCTTTGGCATGGCCGGCTGAGCCTGGCGTCTCCTCGCCTGACGCTCGGCTGCGGCGGCAGCAGCGGCTTCAGCCTTCTCCTGCGCAACCCTGCGCAGTTCAGCCTGCCTAGCCGCACGCTCAGCGGTCTGCTTCTGGATCTCTGCTTGCTTGCGGGCGATCCTTCGCTGGTTCTCTTTCTCACGCTCAGCCGCCCTGCGTTGCTTCTCGCGCTCACGCTCTTCGGCACGGACACGCTTGGCTTCATCGCGTTCGGCTTGCCGGGCAGCCTTCTCCTCCAGCGTCTTGGCGGCAGGTCGACGGGTCTTCTTTGCCGGCGGCTGGGCAGGAGATGTGCTAGCTTTGTCAGGCTGACTGATGCTTGCGTTGGCGGCGCTGCTGCCGGTGTCCTTGACTTTGGCGCTGGAGCTAGCCTCAGCCACGGACTCGCCTCCCAAAGGAGCGGCAGGAGCAGCTCGGAGGCCAGGTGTTGAGCCTGCGGCTGGCTGAGGTGACTTGGGCTTGATTTCCCCCGTCCCTTGGCCCGCAACAGACGTGGCAGTATCGGGTGTGGCAGTGACCGGCTCACGAGAAGAGGTCATCGAGTTATCGCCGGTGGTAGGAGGACGCGGTAGGCTGCATTCGACGTCGCTGCCGCTGCCAGCACCCTCAGTAGAGGTGGGTCGGTGGTCAAACGCTGGCAGGAGATAGTTGCGCCAGAAGTAGTCGTCGCTGGACTGGGCGCTGTTTGTGGCGAGGGAGGGACGACTCTGTGTGCGAGAGTGGCCGACATGGCTTGTAGCGTCGGCGTGACCCAGAGCCATCCGCACCATATTCTCGGCGGCCTGAGACGACGTTGCGTAATCTTGATAGAGCTGCTGCTGATGTTGATGATGAGATTGAGCGTACTGGGGCCAGAGCTCGAAGGGGAGTACATTGCTATGGGCTGGGCCTGCGGGAGGAGGTGCCGCATCTGACGTGCCGTGACCATGGGCTGGAGGGACAGCTGTGTCTTGACGGTGAACGATGTCGTTGATAGAGGTGGCCTGAGGGTTGCCGATGTCGGCGAGGAGGCGCAAGCTGTTTGCCTCAGCAAACAGGCTCTCGCTCGAAGAGTCGGCGAAGAAGACACTGCGCTCCATCTCAAGCGACGGCTGAGCCTGAGCTTGAGCGGTAGCCCAGCGCAGGATGTCGGCCTTGACACGGAGCACATCGACGTAGCGATACCAGCGCACTCCATCGACAAGGATGGATTCCTCATTCATGACGGCAAGTGAAGTGAGCTGCCAGAGGTTCAGATGGTTCTCAGAGATGAATTGCCAGATTGGAAGCTTGATGCAAGTTGAGCAGAACCAGCGCTTGATGATCCAATGAGCCAAGGCATCGGGCCACATGTTGGAGTCGCGACCGATGAAGACGGGAAAGCCTCGCCTTGCGACCGACTCCCACGATACGAGAAGCGGCGTGTGGCAGCCGTGACAGAAGGCTTGAATGACGCCGAAGAGTTGGCAGATGGCTGTGGCATGAGGCTTGAGGGTGACACCGAGAGACTGGGCCCGTTGTCGCCAGTAAGTCTCTCCCTGGTAGCGAGCGCGAGGGGCAGGATGGTCAATGTGAGGCTAGGGCTTGAAGGAGGCGGATCTGTGTTGGCATTTACCAATAAGCTGTGCAGTCGCGAATTGCATACGCTCAGGCAGAAGACGTCTTGGGGGTAAGCCATCGAACAGACTTGAAGCAGCAGGTCGTCGGAGAGGAGCATGAGCGGCGAGGTGATAGACGGCGTAGAGCACAGGCGCGAACCCCTGATAGTGGGAGGCGTGAGCGCCATGCTGAACAATCGTAGAGCAGTCGCGATGAAGCTGAAGAAGGTAGGAGTGGAACGAGGTGGCGCAAAGGCGAGAGTAGCCTAAAGACGCCGTCCTCGACGATGAGCGGGAGTGGTGGAGGCGTTGAGCTTGAGGGAGTAACGGTGATGGGGCGTCCGATGGTACGACGATTCTAATGGCGAGTGGACGACTTGTGGTTGGTCGATGATGACGACGTCGTTGGCGCTACAAGCTGATGTGTTGTGGCGAGTTGTGTCGAGGCAGGGAAACGAGGCCGCCTGCTTGAGGCAGGTGGACGATGATGTTGGGAAGTGGGACAGAGCGGGATATACAGGTGAAGGGGAGGGAGTAGGGAGGGAGGGGGAGGGGAACTGGTGGTTTGGTATCAAAAAGGGATGTAGGGAAAGGGAAGGAAGAAGAGAAGCAGCGAAGCGGCGAAGCACCTATCGAGAGAGCAAACGAGGGAGAGGCCAGAGCCGCTGAGCGGGTGCAGAGAGGCGGTTGAGCGGTACGCGGAAGTACGCCCATCGATCGAGACGCGTCACTTTCGCAGACGTAGGCAGGCAGAGCTTGATCTGCACCAGGGCGGCGAGGGAGCAGCAGCCTGGCTACGTCGTGTTGGAAAGCGGCCAGAGTAGGCAGACCAGTGTGGCCATGAGTGAAGGCACGATGTGTACGATATTAACCATTGCAGCCTTGGGCAAGTGGGTGACTCTACGAAGCGTTCCTACATTATCATCTCTGGCGTCGAAGCGTAGGCAATCCCGCCCTCCTGAAAATGAGCGTGATGGCCAAAAACACTGACAAGGCCGTAGCGACCGCCGTGATCTCGAACGCCGCTCGATAGCACTCCTCGCCGTCCGGGCACTGGTGGCTAGGAGACGTCTCTGGCACATGCCTATCGAAGATGGTCCCAAACAACAAGTTGAAGATGTTGCCGGAGAAGACGGGCGCCAAGCTCGCCAGACCCCAGTTGAGAGCCGCATACTTGAGGCCCCAGATCTCGAAGGTCAGGCAGGGTGCGATGCCGAAAAGGCCGCCGTACATGAGCCCAGTAGCGAATGAGGCGGGTAGCAGGACCGTGACATTGTCGATCGTGTTGGGCAGGGCAAAGACGACTTGCGAGGAAAACGCGAGGAGGGTCACGGGCAGAAGAAGCCAGACACGTTGGCGCGCTGAGCCCACGTATGAAACAAAGACGTCTGATAGGAAGCCGATGAGTATGCGGCCAGAGGCGTTGCCGAGCGAGATGGCAGAAACTTGGTGCGCTTGCTCTTGTTGAATCATGGCGTTGGGCTCGTGCTTGCGCAATGCTTCGGCAAAGGAGTCTACTGCGACGCTGGCTGCACGCTTGGCCGTCTGGCCAAGCGCTTGCACTCGGTCAATGGCTGCGGCCGCCTCCTCCAGGTCCGCAAGGGCACTGCCACCCGAGGAAGAAGGTGGCTTGGGCGCAATGCCGTGGTTGTACTCGTAGAGCGTGCGAGTGACTGTGCCCACATTGTTGATGAGGAGCAGTCCCGAGCCAGAGATGAGGCACATGATGAGGAAGAGGAGCTGGAAGTCGTGGTGCTTGATGAGCTTGCGGCCTGTGATGTCCAGCGGCTGCTGCGAATCAGTGTCTCCGCTTGACGGCTTTGGTGTCGCTCCTGTTCGGCCGCGGCCACCAAGCAGCCCTCTCCTCTCTGCATCGCCGTCATCTGCTCCTTCGTCCTCGTCTGGGCTGCCATCGTCTGAGTGCAGGTATGCACGAGCTGACAGGTCGGACGATGTACGCCTTCGCCCCACCGATGCCAGCGTTGGTCTATTGATCCCTTCCTCCAGCGCTCCATCCTCGGCATCATCCACAGCAGACGCATCCGCCTCCTCTGCGGGTGAAGGGGCAATGATCTGAATGAGAACAGCGCCGACGAGGAAGGACAGGGAGCTGCCGAATGCGAGGAGCATCAGGTAGTCGCCCGTATTGCCCGGGAAGAGTTCGTGTGACAAGGTCGAGTACATAAAGGCTGAAAGCCCGAAGCCCGCCAGCACAGTAGCCGTTGCCGACCCTCTCTGCGAACCCAGCCACGTTTTGGCCTGAGCATTCATCGCGGCTGTGAACGCGGCTGAATTGCCTACGCCGGTCATCAAATTAAGGACGGCAGGCAAAACAGCTGATCGCTGCCAGTAAGAATGAGTGTAGGTCAAGCTGAGGCCGCCATAGCCGCAAAGAACGACTGCTGCGCCGATGAGGATGGCGACTTTGGGTCCTCGCTTGTCCACCCAACGGCCCCAGAGGACGCCAGACAGGTAGACGCCCATGTTACCGAGCACGCCTACTACATTGAGCTGTGTACTGGTGAGGTGTAGCGACTGCGGGCGAGCGAAAGTGGACAAGTAGGTCAGCATAGGCGAGGAAAGGCTTGACTCCTGAGACGAAAGCCAACCCACTTCTTGAAGCTGCGGAGCGAAGCTGCTGAATGCATAGTTGGATCCAGCGCTCAAAGCGACGAGCACCGACCCCGCAAGCGAAAGCAGCTTCCTCTGCGTGTGCTTGCTAGGCATCTTGAAGCGCCTCCGACTCTCCTGCTGCGGCTGATGATGAAGGCCTGAAGAGGACGAAGCGCTGTGGCGCGAGGAGAGGGCTCGTCTGGTCCTGCTCGTCGGCCGCGGTGGAGTGAGAGAGGAGTCGACGTTGGATGCCATGATGTCCAGCAGCGACGACCGAGCAGGAGTGATCACGTCGCAGAATTGACAGCGATAGGTGAAATTACGGGCCGGCTGGAGGTTGATGAGCAATGAAAGAGGGCAGCGTCGTCGTAGTCTCGTCGTCGTCTGACCCTCGACCCTGCGCCGATGTCGGTCCGACGCTGCGAGACTTGAGACGATCCGCTGCACGCGAGTTGAGCGAGCAACGCCCAGGCCTCCTCCCGCGCGAGCCATGACGGAAGCGCGGCGGCTGGGCACGCTTCTTGGTCTGCAACCGCAATGCTCAAGCGCAAGAGGATCGTCCCAGGCCAAGGCAGCGCAGCGCAGACTCAAGTAGCAGCAGCATCGTCAAGCCAGCCCTCGAGCTGGAGATACCGCAGCAGGGCTGCTGCACCGCAGTCCGCCCCGCACCAAGGAGACACGAGACGTCGCAGAAGAGACTCTACCACGCCTGCGTCGCCCGCTGATCAGACGCCGAGTCGAGGAGCTCATTCAAGGAGAGAAGATACTGAGGAGCCACAAGGAGCGACTATTGATGAGGAGGACGATCAGCCTGTAGATCGGCCACTGAGGCGGATCGATCAGCTGCAGGAGTATAGACAGCTTGGCCCCCTGGCAGCCCACGCTTTGAGTGGTGAGTGACGATGACGACTTGCGCAAGATGGGGCCTGACCAGGGTAAACCCACTTTGCAGTTCAATCACCATCGCGCGACGATCAATTGCTTAATCTGGCCGGTGCTATCGACTTCTACTCTCAAGCGTACTACACAAGCAGAGGATCGCTACGGGGACCCGAGAAGATCGGACGACGACGACGCCCCAAACTCGAGCAGAAGCAACTGCACGCCAGCCAAGTGAACGTCAGCCAGGATGACCTCGATGGGGGGGCATCAGCTCGCGCCCAATCCGAAGAGAGCTACCAGGAGGAGGGTAGCGATGACAGCGCCAGCGAGGCTGCCGAACCGGTCAGAGCATCCGGCTCCCTGCAAAAGAAACGTCGCACAAGCTCGCGACATGGCGAAGATGAGGTTGTTAACATGGACGGCGCCTTTGATGACTCTGCCATGTTTGTCTTCTGTGAGCACACGCCGTCCCGATTCTAGCAATATCTGCACCACATCATCTGACTCCGTCCACCCTTCTCCTCGTCAGGCGCCTTCGTCGAGGAGCTGATCCGCCATCAGATGGGAGACCATTCTCTATCCAACAAAATTCGGCCTTGATCAGCCAAGCATTCTCCACCTGTCACTGTCAAATACCATCCATATCCTGCCGCTGTCCTCACGGGCCTAACCCTCGTCGTGACAGCGCCCATTCCGTCCTCACGCTCGCACGCACTGAGGGCCTCCGTTGTCCTCCTCCTCTTAAAAAAGCTTCCCACCGCCTCCGCAGGGCCCTTATGTGAGATCTGGTTCTCTTTCTTGACGCGAGCATTCCAAGCAAGCCACGGTCTCCGCGTCCGCGTCCGCGTCTCTTGTCAACCTTCAACCCCGCTTGCCGATGGACGCTTGGCCGCTGGCTGTTCAGCGAGCTCGTGCGAATTCGTTGTCGCCGCTCTCACGTGTTCACTTTTGATTCAAGGTCAGAAAGAGCATGGCGATAAGGACCGCACGAGGGTGGCGTCACGTTGAGCTTCACTATCTTTTACTGGACCCTAAGCATGAGAGCATGATGCAGGATAGGAGCTCCAGCAAGAGGGGAAATCGGGCGGGCCTCCTTTCTCCGCGCGTCGTGTTGTCTGTTCGGCGCGCCTTGTGTTGCTTGCCCGCTTGCCGCCCGCTTCTCGTGAAAATGCAAAGCCACGAGCTGCTCTCAGGCCGATGCGAGACGTGCAAGGCGGAAAGTGTTGCTTTCGTCTGTCTTTCTCGGCAGGCACGCAGAGGGGCTCCAAGCTTGCAAGCTTGCAAGCGTGGACGTGAGAGATGGGCCCGAGCGTGTTGCATTGCGATTGATCTGAGACAGCTTAACCCGAGGTGAGACTTCACTCGACACCTCAACTCCAGCTTTGCCTCTCATCTGCTTCGCTCCTACCCTAATGACTCTATTCTACTCGACCCTACCCCTCACCACCACCTATTACACCGCCTAGCTCTGCCCATCCATTCCCCTAGAGTAAAGGAGCAGGCATCGTAACCTCCTGGGCATCATTGTCAGCATCGCACTCAGCCATTACGCGGCCAGATGATGTCCAGCGGTCCTCACCTCGATGTGACGGCATCAAGACCTCGTCCAAGACCGCCAGGAGCAAGGCGCATTAGCAATACAAACCAGCGCATCGACCACGATGACATCGACGTAGGACAGCCATCTTCGTCCTCCTCGCAACCTTCCTCATCGACTGCAGGCCCACCATCCCCTCGCAAGGCCATTCCCAAGATCGCCTCACATTCGCACCTCGACCTCGATTTAGACCTCGACCTGCCCTCTCACCTTACAGCCGCACTTCAGGAGAGCGCGCGGGTCGGTCACAGCGGCGGCCAAGGCCATGAACGCAGGAGTACAGCTGGCGCGGCTTCATCGCCATCGCCCGAGATGATCGCTGCCCTATGGGAGAGAGCGAGAAGCCCAGGTCTCAGCCAGGCAGATCCATTCGCTGCGGTGGCCAGTTTAGGTGCTGCCTCGCAACAGGGCAGTGACCTCGCTGAAGCGGCAGCACCGGGCGGCGAGGTGCTGGATCAAGAGTGGGTCGGAGGTCTGGCCCGCGAAGAGCTCGAGGCTATGCTGTTCCACGCAAGCTCAGTCATTCGCGATCGAGAGCGAGATCTAGGCATCGCTGCTGCCATCGGGCAGGCGCTGCTCCAAAAGAACATATCCCTTCGTGGCCGCCATGAGAAGGTCATGAATGAGCTTGACTCATCGATGGCGTACGACGACGACGACGACGATGACGAAGACATGGACGACGTCGCCGAGAATTTCACTCCTCCAACCAATGATACCGTCGGAGAGGATGAAACGCCTCTCGCCACCGAGCGCAGCGGCTACTTTGGCACAAGCTCTCCCGTCAAGGCCTTCCGACCAACTTACACTCCGTCACCCGCGAAGCAACGCCCGCCACTAAGCCAAGTGGTCTTCAATGCTGGTCCAAATACAGATGGTCTCATCCACTCACCGAGCGCTACAAGCCTTGCCGACTCTCAGCTCTCAAGCACGAGCGGATACCGCAGCGCTACCCAACGTGGCGGGCGTGCATCAACGCCGTATGGCATGCAGACTTCGGAGACGCAAAAGCAACTCTCCCTCCTCTCGACGCAGAATGAGAAGCTCCTCGGCCAGCTGACAGAGCTGCAGGACGAAGCAGAAGATGCCAAGCGTGAGGGCGGGAAAAAGCTGCGCAAATTGAACAAAGAGATCGAGGTTCTGCAAATGGAGTTGGAGGCTGCGACGCAGAGAAACAGCGAGTTGGAGCAAGAGAACAATGCGGCGAGTGGTGATCGTGCAAGAGCCTCGCCAGACAAGGCTAGGAAAAGCTGGGCCTTCTCTCAGCCTGCTTCCCCTTCCATCAGTCGCCGCTCCACCTCTCTCTCCCTCTCTACCAGCATCTCGGGCGGAATCGACGCTTTGCTGAGCAAGACAGGCGGCCACGACTTCGATGATGCCCAACGCGCCCTCGTAGTACGCCTGCTAGACAAGATGAAGGAGCTCGAAGCGACAAATAAGGTGCTGGAGGGCGAGAAGAAAGAGAGGGAGAGTCGCCTCGGAGCTGCGCTGGAGAAGGGAGTGCGCATTTCGGACGAGTACGACGCTGTGCTCCACGCCCACGAAAGCACGTGGAGTCTCCGCGATCACTTCAGTGGGGACACCAGCAGGGGTGGCTCACAGCTTTCGTCGGCGGTCAATAGCCCGCAGCGTCACACCCAGCAGTCCAAGAGAGCGATAGGAAATCGGGTGCAGGTAGAGGGGAGGAAGACTGTAAGAACGGCAATGCGTTACCATGACGGCGAGGGAATAGAGGTTGCCGGCATAACTCCCTCCTCGACACTATCGAGCTTGGCAAGCTCTTCTTCCTCCCTCTCCTCGCTCGCGGCGGGTCGAAAGCCTCGCCGCAAGCGCAGTGCCTTGGCTCTCAATCGGCCACGCATCCTTATCACCCCGAGCATGGAGGATCTGGCTACTAGACGACGCGAACAAGCGGAAGGGTGGGAAGATGAGAATGTGGCAAGGTCTGCACAAGGCGCAGCACCGGACGCTGGCGAGCCTGGCGCTTCGTCCAAGGACGAGACGGCTGACACGCTGATGCGCAGGACAAGGGAGAACTCACTCGACCCCAGCGACGCGAATAAGATCGCCTGGCAGATGCGACGCTCCAGTCTTGAGAGCATCGACGACAATGCGCCTCGTACACCGGCCAAGCAGCGCAGAGCGTCTCCACCAAGCGCGGCCGCCTCTCCTGCCTCGGCAGCAGCGACGAGCGATGGTGCCTACGATCGGTACATGGCCCATTTCTCCAGCACTCCGGTCAAAGACGACAACGCTCAGCCGATGACCACCCCCAGCGCTTCGCCTTGGCAGCGTCGTCCCTCTTCTCGCTTCTACCGGCGAAATAGTGACGCGTCGCTCCATCAGAGCCAGGAGGAGGGAGGTCGTCGTCACCAGCAGACCTTGGGCAGCGAGCTAGGTAGCGTATTTGGAGATCAGCGTACCCTAGACGGTGGGGACGACACACTGCGCGTCAACGAGACGCCTGCTTCAGGTCGCCACTTGCGAGCGGTCACCAGCTTCGAAAGCTTGCGGGCGCCCAGCGAGGCCATGTCCGATATCGCTCATCTCCGCTGGTCGTCGTACGGCGGCAAAGAGCTGGGCGGCCAGTCTTCGTCAAATCACACGATCGACGCTGGAGGATACGAGGGCGCTGCTTCTTCTCCCTTGCGACTCACCGGAGCGGACAGCAGCCGTCAACTAGTACACCGTCGCACAACTCCCCACCTTTCTTCTTCTCTTGAAGGAGAAGAAGCTGACGACTCCCTCTGGTCCACCTCCCTTTCTCATCCGCTCATCTCTCCCGGCTCCCTCCGCGATCGCCACCAAGAGCCAGGGGAAGAGCAGTACACTCTCCTCGGACAGATGAGTAAAGATCAGCCGGTGATGTGGGCTGATGATGAGGACTACGGCGTGCCATTGAAGGAGAGTGAGGCTCGACGCTTAGGCCTGGCACCAAGGAGAAAGGCGCTCCCCGCTTCGATGACGGCAGGAGGAGGTAGTGGTGTGAGGAGGATGCTTAGGGGGAGAACAAGTACAGCTGCCCTTGGGCTACTGAACTGGGTCACCGGTGCAGGCACTAGGGCAAACACGACGGACTCTCGCCCCTCTGCTGCTATTCAGAGTGCCGAGCAGCTTCGCGAGGAGCGAGAGAGGGAAGAGATGCTACGCGAGAAGTACCACATTGCTCGGCAGCGGCGTATCGGGCACCGCGCCCAAGAAGAACTACATGAGGAGGACGACGACTGGGAAGTGCAGGAGCGCTCCATGGCTCTGGCCTCTGCTGGAGCACTGACAACGCCGCAAAGACGTAAGGCGTGGTACAATCGTCCCCGACCCATGGGATCACCAGTAAAAGGTGTAACGTACGAGCAGCCCCTCGTCGACTCCCAGCCTGGCCCGCATCTTCCCTCTTCACCCTGCCCGACGCAGCCCAACCTTCCCACATCATCATCAGCTCTCGCTCTTCGCTCCGTAACCTCTGCATCTGTCCGACGCGGGCGACGCTCCACAGCCTCCGCAGCAGTGGAAGAAGTGACAGCGTGGGTCTCCCTCGTCTTCGTCCTTATCCTCGCCTTCTTCGTCTCTGCAAGTAGGGGACCGAAGAGGATCTTGGGTGGAGAAGAGGGACAAGAGTGGCGAGGCAAACAGAGGGCTGAAAGGAGAGATCAAGAGGCTAGGAGGTATATCCAGTATCGCAGCAAGCAGCAGGGAATGGAGCGCGATGATGAAGGGAGTGAGGGACGCTTTCCTCGCTCTGCGCTCGCGGGCGCGAGGAGGAGAGGGCAGCGAGGAGCGCCGGAGGACGCCGCGTCCAGGAGCTCGAGATAGTGCTTTGATCGCCGATGATTGAGATCTTGCGGTGCTCTACATATTTGAACCATCACACACATATGCTATAGCATTTACCCTGCCTTGCCTTTTGGTCTGTCTCCTCTCGCACTCGCACCCCTCTGCATGCATGCAAAGGCGTGGTGCGCTCGAGCCATCCTGTTTTTCTCCCCCACGCACCGCACACCGCCTTGCCCCGCATGCATGACCCCGGTCTGCTGCCGCTCCAAAGCTCCGTCGGGCCCTCGATCCGCATCTCTCCTCCCTAGCCACTCACTCGATTTCAATGTCAAGCAATATCCCCTCCTCCTCCTCCTCAGCATCATCCGCACCGACGATCCATCTGCCCCTCGTAGCCGGTCAGTCCGCCGGCCCCTTTGTGCTTGGATCCTCCCTCCCCCGGACACTTGCCTACTTGCGATCCGGCTCATCTCCACCTGGCAGCGTGCCACCCAACCTCCTCTTTCCCAGCGTCAACATCTGCTACGATGAGGGAAGTGAGTCAGGGCAATCCCCGCCAAGCAGTAGCCAGAGTCTAGCCGGCAATAAGCAGGGAAGCAGCAGCAAGCCATGGAGCATACATCCAGCCTCCTCCTCGACGAGCGGAGGGCTGGCGCCAATACGCATCCAGCCCTGCCCTGGTGTAGATCTGATCTTCGCCACATCGCAGGCCGGAGATATGGTAGCTGGAGCGCCAAGGCTGCAGTGTATAGTCGTGTCCCTTGACGATGATGAGGAGGCGGCGGGCGCGGACCCCACCGATCAGCAACAATACCATCGGCCCATCTCTCTGACCTATCGCGGCCAAAAGCTGGAGGATCTGCGTCCTGGTAGAGGTGCCAAGACCACTGAAAAGCTGACGCGAGGAGCGATACAGCAAATCTTTGGACCTACGTATCCGGCAACGCGATACGTCCAGGGGGACGGACTGCACGCCTTAGAGGACGTAATGTCAAAGAGTGGCGCCTCAGGTACCAGTAGCAAGAAGATGGCAAGCAATGGCACAACAGTACCGATGACGGGTAGCAGTGTTCCTCCTCGAAGCAAGTGGATGATCGCCTATGCGGGTCTGACCTTCGTCTTCGATGGAGACTCATCCGCGCCCAATACGAGTCGAGGCGGACAACGCAGTACCAGCTCAACTACCAACACCTCGGGCGGCGGCGATGTCTCCAAAAGTACCCACCCAACGCATCTCATCATCCATCATGGCGATGATGTGCTTCACCCGACAGAGCTGGCTTGGCCCGTCGCGGCGCCGCAGCACGGAGAGGACCCGGCGGGAGGCCAGGTGAGCCTACCCCGGCACACTACCGCATACTCCGCTAGGAGCACCGAACCTATCGCGGCAGGCCAGCTGCTCCTCCACTCCGCACGGCTACTACCAGGAAGTGGAATGGATCTCTTCCTCTTAGCTGCGCCTTTTCCTCCGCCATCGACGGCGGCCCCGAACTTGGCGAAGGTGGAGCTCAGACTGGGCGAGACGAGGCAGCAGGATGTGCTACTGGAGCTAGGAGCTGCAGAGAGGAAGTGGACGAAGGATGGAGCAAGTTCTGCGAGAAGGACTGCCAGCAGCAGTGGTACCCAGAGTGCTGGGCGTCGCGAGCGTCAAGGTGGGGTCGATGTAGCTGATGGCATCAATGGCCACATCTCCCCGAGGCGACAGAGCAACGGAGAACATGGCCGAGCAGAGTTCTGGTCCTACCCTTCACTTGGTCTCGACCTTCTCTTCTACCACCAAAGGCCTCAGAGCCCATCTTGCGGCCGCCGCGCCGCTGCTCAACAGGACGATGACGACGCGTCCGACTTTGACGACTTCGTCGGCGACAGTGAGGATGGACGAGACGGTGTAGACGGCGGCGCGGTACTGGCCAAGATCGTTGTCCACTCTGACGTGCCCGGCTCAGCGCTCTGGGGACGGTACGAGTGTGTGCCCTGGTACATGGAGGAGCAGGACCAAGAGGCCGGGAACAAGGCAAGGAGCAAGAGGATCGACCGCACCACACCTGTAAGCCTGGCTTCCACTTATCGACTTTGTCTCTCCACGGTCTCACTGACACCTGTTCATTCCCCATCGCACAGCCCTCCCAATTGCGTTCCCTCACTTCATACTTCCCTCGCACCAAGACGTCCTCTCCTTCCACGTCCACGCACGAAACAATGCACCTCGACCGATCAGCCGACGTGGGCGAGTTTTGCCCCACACGCGGGACCTTGAAGCTGGACGTGAGGACGAGCCTCGAGGGATTCCCGGGCGCAGTGGCGGAGGTATTGCTGAGGGGCGCGAGAGGTGGGGAGGTAGGGCACGAAGATGGAAAGGCAACGGATCACGGTCAGGGTCAAGGTCAAGGTGAGGGAGGGGTCGTTGTGGCTTGGACGATCGTGAGGGCATGACAAGGAGCCGGAGGGGCGAGCACGTGGTGCAACATCCTGCGCTATTGAATTTGGAAGTGAACACAAGCCATATCGAGCGTCTAGCATGAGAGGAAGCAAGAGGAGACTGAAGGGGGGAAAAATATTGCTCATGAAGAGAGGAGGAAGGACGTCCGGGTAACGGAACGCCACGGAACGCGGGACGGGAAGGTCGTAGGTGTAGGAGGGATGGAATAGCGACAAACGATCCAACGAGCTGCTCCTCAAGCCGCAGCAGCAGGCGTGGCACCAGCTGCCTTTCCACCAGCTGGGGTAGACGTCCCACTCTCCCCCGCCTTCTCGCCAGCCGACTTATCCTTCTTATGCTTGTCTTTGCCATGCTTTGACTTCCCAGCCGCCTCAGCAACTAGCCTCTCCAACTCTCGCCTCTCCTCATCGCTCTCGTCCGGCTTGACCTGCTTGTAGATGGTCCCTAGCAGCGCCAATGCCCTAGCGCGATGCAGGAGGGTCTTCTGGTCTACCCCCTTCTCATTGAGAACAGCATCACATACCCTCCTCAGCACGCCCGTTACCTCCCACCTCGTGCCACGCCAGGTAGCGAGGAGCATCTTGCCGCTCATCTCCTGTTCGAGCTGACGAAGCTCGTCTTCAGGGATTTCCCCCTTCTCTTGTCGTTTGGCCAGATCCTCCATTGACATCTGAACAGAGACGGCTGATCCTAGGAGGTTCCATGTCTCCTTGACCATTCCTCCCTTTTCCTTGAGGCGGCTGAAGAAGCCAGGCAAGCCGAGGAAGTGGTGTCGCTGCGACTTGATCCAGGTAGTGGACTTGGAGAGGTAGACGGATCCGATGACGTGGAGGAGCTCAACGCCGAACGACTCGAGTTTGAGGTCCTCAGCTTCTTGGCGCATCTTCTTCTCGAAGAGCTGCGTCTCGCTGTCGTTTGCGTCTCCGGGGTTGCGCGAGGTGACAAAGGGCCTGATGCGCTCGAGGAGCTTTGCGGTGAGGTCTTTGATGCGCTGTTGCTCCGCGGCGCTCTTCTGTGTCTCGAGCTCCTCGAGCTTGGCTTTTTGCTCGGGAGTGAGCTTAGTTGAGGGGGTAGAAGAGGATGAGGGGCGTTTGCTAGACTTGGGGTCGTGCGCTTGCAGGTGGGTGTCCCCAGCCGAGGATGGCGTGGAGCCAGAGGCGCTGGCCGTCTCTGATGTTGCGGTCGCATTGGTAGTCGCGGTGGTAGCTTCACCTTTACCCGCAGGGGTCGATGCCGCCGCTGTAGCAGCAGCAGCAGCGGGCGTGGCGCTTGCTCCAGGCTCAGTCGCCCCCGTGGCCGCCTCACCGCTCTTGCCTTGTTCTTCTTTCAACTTTGCCTCCATTTCAGCCTTTTCCTCTTCGCTCATCATAATCTCGCTCGCCTTTCCAAAGTCCTTGAGCAGCGAAATCTCGCCAATGTAATCCACAAATCTCTCCCCACCAAACAAGTTGCCAAACATCTCCGTCGCCTCTTTGAGTCCTACTTCATCTGTTGGCTTCTTCTTTCCATGACGATCGTAATCAGCGCGCAGATTAGAATCAGAAAGGACGCGATATGCTTCTCCGACGAGCTTGAACTTCTCCTCATCACCACCTTTGTCCGGATGATTTACTATGGCGGCTTTACGATAGGCCTTCTTGAGCTCGAGATCAGACGCTGAGGCGGGGACAGAGAGGAGGTCGTAGTATTCCATGTCGGCGACCTTGCCATCTCGTCCTTGATCGCGGGGCTTGTCAGCCGCGGGCGCTGTCGCTGTAGAGGGAGCAGGCTCTGTCATGATGAGAATAGAGCGATGATTGTAATGATAATAGGGAAGAGGAGAGAAAAAGAAAGTGTCGTTGAATCAAGTCGTCTGTCTGCGAGCTCCTCTCCTCTCTCTCTTGCTCAGCCGCCCGCCCTGCACAGCCGTCTTGTTTCGTCTCATCTCGCCTCGCCTCGCCTCACCTCGTCTTCGCCCTCCACCCGGCACTGGGCCGCCGACTTTGCATCTCGACGATCCGTCGTCCTCGTTGCCTTGTCAGAGAGCTCGGACGGAACGACGTTGGGAGTACTGATCTTCCTCACAACACAACACCTCGTTCACGATGTCCTGGTTCTCGAATCAGTGGGATCGCCTATCCAAAGCATGGGACGGGCAGGGCAATCAAGCTGACCCAGAAGCTCCCATTCATGACTTGGAGATTACATGGGGTAGAGAGAGGTATGTAGTACGCAACCTGCAAGCACCTCTGCGGCGGCCATTGGTCAATCTATGCTAACCTCATCACCCTCTCGCACAGGCTTCGTCTCAATCTCCCGCCCCGTTCCACTCTTGGCTCTCTCCGCTCAGCAATCACACACCACACCTCCGTACCCCCGGAGCAGCAGAAGTTGATCTATCACGGACTGATCCTCAGAGGAGACGAGGCTACCCTCCTGGCCAACTATGGCTTAGCTTCAGGCTCAAGGCTGGTACTAGTCGGCTCCACCACCACGGGCGATCGGGTGGGGAACAAAGCGTATGCCGCATCCTCGAGCAAGAGGAAAGGGGCAGACGGGGGAGCGCGAGCGATGACAAAGGGCGAAGCGTTGGCGGAGGAGAAGAAGAGGAAGGAAGAGGATAGGACTGAAGCCGGAGTGACGGGGAGGATCAAGGATGTCGTAGACAGGACAAAGAAGGAGCTAGAGCCGCAGTTGAGAGGCTTCGAGGAAGCCGTGAGCGGGACCAACAACGTGACGCCAGCAGCGGCAGCGACTTCAGAAGCGCCGCAAACTACTTCGACCGCCACGCCCACGCCCACCCCCACCAGCACGGCCTCAGCTCCGCAACCGGCGGCGACCCCCTCAGTGGCCCCTTCCACCTCCCTCCCGCACACACATCGCTATCTCAATGAGCTCTTATCCCGCTCTCTCCTCGACTTGGACGCAATCCCTGCTGTATCCGAAACTACGCGCGCCCTACGAAAGGAAGCAGTCAGGACCGTTCAGGGTTTCATCGATAGACTGGACAAGGCTTGGGAAGGCGTGTCTGAAGCGGAGAGAAAAGCGGATGGCAGGGCGAAGAGTTGATAGAAGTCAGAGAAAGGGGGGTAAATGAAAGAAAATTCGCATCAAGCACATGACACGATGCATTGAACGGATAGTCTACGAGCCTAGTTGAGCGCCTCCCACCCTCTCCTCCTGCCCTCGCCCTCCCACTTGGCCTCTACCTTGCCTTCCAAGTACGCCTCCCCACCCACCGGTCGATAGATGTACAGCTTGCCCCTCATCAACTGACTCAGATCAAGCGTACTCCTCGTCACTACCACACCAGCAGACTGGTCCAGCACCTCGACCCAGCCGATCTCCTCCGGTCGCAGGGCGGTTTCGCCAGAGGGATCGGGCTGACGCTGCGAGGGGGGCGCGGGAGCGGAGACGACGATGGCGGTGTGCTCAGGGCAGGCCTTGGCTTGGTTGCCATAGTTGACCGTCGCCCCCTTGACAGGTGAGAGTTGCTTGCACTGCGCATACTCGTCCCACTCCAGTACGTCGCCCCTTTGCACACAACCAACGTCTCCACCCCTCCAGAGTCCCCCCTTACCCGCCTCAGCATAGTACATCAAGTGTCCATGCGTCCTTTCGACCGTCTGGAGCATCTTGCTCTCCTCTCCCCACCCCTGACTCTCATTGCACTGCTTGATCGCTTCGTTGGCTAGGGTCCAGCACTCCCCGTCTCCTACGATTTGCCCCTCCCACGCTTCGCACGCACGCGCGACGAGCTCTCCATACGAAGCTGCACTGCTCTGTAGTAGGCTGGAGTCGAGCCATGGTTGAGGAGGCTCGGCATAGGCTACCTTGCATTGCATGCTCTCCGCGGGGTTTGAGGGGGAGTAGGAGATCTTGTACCAGAGCGAGCTCAAGTCTCCAAATAGAATAGCACCCACTTGCTCCTCCTCCTCCACCCTACCCGCACTACGTCGCATGACCGACGCGCTCCAGACTCGGTCATTTTTCCCCATCATGGTCGGGGGCATGTTGACTGGGCTGCTCTGCGTGAGACGGAAGTACCATGGTTGGTTGCTGTTGGCCGGGTGAGAGGACCATTCGGCGTAATGCGTCGGGTAGCAGAAGAAGGTTGCGGATTCGAGAGCGGAGCAGGGGGAGGTGGAAGGCCGACGGGAGGCGGTTAGGGGACCTAGTGGCTCGGGTGAAGCAATGGGTGGAGGGGGAGGTGTGGAGGTGCTGATGGATACGCTAGCCAAAGCAGCCGTGGGAGGCTGGGTATTGATGCTGGTGCGCTGCGGTACAGCTGGTGGCTTTGGTTTGTTGGTAGGGATGGCTGGCGCGGGCTTTCTTCCTGCTGCGGGAACTGGTGGTGGACCACGACGTGCTGGAGGCGGTGGAGCAGGTCTTGATGATGCTTCTGGCTCCGTGTAAGGGGGCGGAGGGTTGGGGGTACCAGCATCATTGTTCATTCGTGGGGGCAGGCGTGGCGGTGGTGCAGGGGCCGAGGCGCTGGAAGAGGAAGTGGCAGAGTTGCCTCTTGCTGGGAGTGGCGGACGAGAAGACGAGCCATTGCGCTGCGGTGGTGGTGGGGGCGGACCCGTTCCTGCGCCAGCTCTTTGAGGAGGCGGTGGTGGCCTGGCAGGAAAGGGAGCAGCAGCAGGTGCCTGTCTCCTCGCTGGCGGTGGAGGGGCTCCTCCATCTTCCTCTCCCTCTTCTCCTTCAGCCCTACCAGCAGCTACCCTTCTAGCGTTCTGCTCCTTGTTCCATCTCGCTCCGATGGCCGTCTGTCCCTGGCCGGATCGTGCCACCTTGAGCCTCTCCCCCATGGAGCCCTCAGCATTCTGCGAAGCTCGCAGCCGATTCTGGGCCTTTTCGCCCAGCTCGTCCAGCTTCGCCATGTGTTTTGCTGCGGGATTCCAGGGCATGCTGGATGAGTGAGAATGGGGACGTCGGGATGGAGTGAGAAAAGGGGCAGAGAGTGAGGTGCCGAGTCAGGAAAGAAGTTGCCAAGAGAGAGATGCTACACTCGCGGCAACCGGCCATCGCTCCGTTGAACCTGTCTGCACGGACGGGCCGACGAGGCCGATTCGCTTCAAGGCTGTGCCGACCACGTGGAGGATGAGCATCCTTGGTTGGCTCCAAGCTCAGGGCAGCCTCACCTTCTCGAGAAGTCAGCCATCACTCGCAAATACTAGCACATCTGCAATGCCGTCGGATCCTTTGTATTGCCTCCAGCTTTCGACATAAAGGTTCAACATCCTTTTGTTCGTGAGATGGGCTCAAGGGACCAGCTGACGCCCAGACGTTTCGGCAACGCTAGGCAGCCTTGCTTTGTCCCAATCCGAGACGCGCTGCGCCACGGCGCCAGGGAACAAGGCAATGACTGAGACGTCAGCATGCTTTGTGCTCGAGGGCATCGTGACGAGACGATACGATCAAAGACATATGATCAAGCCCAATAGATCCTTCTTGAACATCATACTACACCAGACAGCAACGAGACTCTCTCAGCCTCCTTACCACTTCTCATCATCGACCGGCAGGCCCGCATCACCACTTTTCTCTGCCCTTTGACAAGCCCCAGGGCCATCTCAGCAACATCGTCGCGATGCTTGACCCGACCGCGTCCAAGCCATCTCGTCGTCCTTGGCTTCCACTCTTGCAGCCTCTTATACTCCTCAGCTGCTTCTTTCTCACACTCATCGTATTCTCTTGCCCAGACCCGCTTAGCCCCAGTAGTGGGATAACGCTCTTGACTGTGCGACCGTACAATATCTCAGCAGCAGCCGCTAGCTCCTCCGACCTGGACGGCTCAGGTAACAAGACTTCGTCGGCTGGTTCGACGATCACCTTCGGTGGCGCAAACGCTACGGCCACGACTCTGCCCGCGAATGCGACGGAGCCTACAGCTCTTGCCACCTCGTCTTCCAGCGAGAACAGTGTCACAGCTTCAGCGGCCTCGACACCTACCGTGGACCCTTCATCTGCAAACAATCGCACCCTCGCAGCGCAGACATCCATCGCTGCTCCGGCACAGGCCGCAAGCACTCAACCGCAAGGTCAAACAGCAGACAAGAGATCTTCTCATGTCAATGAACCGCGAGCTGAGATTCAGCCGCTGATGTCCAACTCCACCACCTCACGCGGCCCGACCCTAGTCAGCTTTGAACGAGTGCCCGAATCCAACGGCACCAACGAAAGCAACTCCCCCCTTGCCTCACCTTTCACTCCTAGCACTCCCCTCCTCACAGGCGAGGCTCTGTCTTTAATCGAGCTCAAGATCTCCCCTCTCGGATCATGTTTCCGCACCTGGTCTGGCGCAAGAAGCTGCACGCCCGCCTCCCTCCGGCCTACGTACGATTCCAGCCACCTGACGATGAAGGCGCTCGGAGGGTACGATACGAAGGGCTTGCCCAGCACGATCAAGACGACCCCAATCCTCCTCGTGGTAGTGGTCAGTCTACTTGGTTCGCTCTCTCTATCCTCGACCTTGGGTGCATCGCTCCGTGTCTGGCCAGGCGCCACCTTCGGCCAGCCGCTCCTTCAAGGCGGTGCAGCTCAGCGTGCGTGGGCAAGTACGCAACGCGTAGCCCTCTGGCTGCGTTTGGGGGTGGCCCTCCTTCTCCTCGGTACTGCAGTCAGCATGCGCCTCGTAGTCAGCAAAGCCGCCTACGCATTCAATGCCTCGAATGCAGCGCGCACCCTCAACACGGCCTACCTCACACCGGAAGCGATGGCCCTCCCTGGCGCTGGTCAACAGGTGGGCCTCCAGGCTGTGACGGGTCGAGCTTTTGGTTTGCTATGGGCTAGCGTGGTACTGCTGCTTGCGGAGTTCTGGTGGGAGAGAAGGAGGCTGAGGATGGAACAGGCCATCGCCGTTGCGAGAGCGGATCTCGAGGCTGCTTGGGGTCGAGATGCGGCTGTTGCGATGAACAATCTTGGCCGAGACGACGTGAAGCGGCAGAAGAGTACGAAGATCGTCAATATGCCACCCAAGCAGGACGAAGAGACTTGGTCTGACGACGGCTACGAGCAAAGCTCTGAGGCAGCCAAGCAGCAGCAACCGGGCTTCTTCTGGCCCGCCACCACGACTCCCCACGCGCCACCTTACGTGGCGCGTAAGGCCGTGCCGAGCTACAAGGGCGGGCTTGCGCCTGTGCTGGGCCCGCTCTTCAAACCTGCTCCCGCAGCCGCTCGCGCCATGGATCTCAAATTGCGAGGAGCTACCGCTGCTGATGGGCAAGGAGGAGGTGCAGTCTACTACATCCAGGGCAATGCCCCTTGTGCTGCTCCTGCGCAACGTGTAGTGACGCGTACGATCGAGAAGGGGCAAAATCACCATTACCATAACTATCAACAACTCCAGCCGCAGCTCGCACCAACGCTCTCGCGCAAGGACTCCTACTCTTCTTCCTCGTACGCCGCCCCATCTCTTGTGGGCTCGACTCGCAGCTGCCACCCCTACCAGCCGGCCTACCCACCTCAGCAGCAACAACACCTCCACCCCTCAGCAGCAGCAGGCATCATGCCTTACGAAAGCACGGCGAGCGGGCTCTCTACGCCACCTTGGGCCAGCACCTCCGGTCACTCACAGCAGCAGCAACAGCGTGGCCCTCATCCTCTTGTCTATCACGCTGCCGCGGCAAGCAGTGACGCCCTCCCTGCGTACGTAGCTGAGCCCCAGCCGGGAGCGCCTTTTGGACAGTACCATCGCCACGGGAAGACAGATGGCGACTACGATGAGGACGCAGAAAGGTGGCACCGTAAGCTTCGAGCCGCGGGTATCGAGCATCCGCTCGCACGAGCGGCCAGTGTTGACTCGCCCCGCGGCCTTGCCTTTACGGTGAAGCCAATCGGCAGGGCAGAGCAGTATCATCACCAAGGCGACGAGCATCCGATTCAGCGCAGTAACAGCCTCACGGGCCTCGCAGATGGCACGACTCGTCGTGAGGGTGCCGCGTTTCCCAGCTGGAAGACGCACGAGGCTTTCGAGCTTCAGGCTGCCCCTGCTCCCAGGACTCAGCAGCAGAGGGGCCGACACGGGAGGAGCAACTCTGTCTCATCGGCTAACTCAATGGGAATGCGATCCGTCGCGGGTATGGGGATTGGGTTGCGATATGTGCGCTCTTGATGAGAGTAGGCGGGAAGAAGAGATAGGAGAGGGGGAAGGGTGAGACTCACGGACTTACTTTATTCTTGCGCGAATTGTCAGTCAAGTCAATACATGCTCTGGTCTCACTCTGACATCTCAATCGTGCCCCACATCGCCATCGATGTTCCCAGAGCTTGCTGAATCTCGAAAAGCGTTCGTTTCACTGTGAAGGCGTGAGCCGGACATGCAGCACTGCTACCATACTTCATCTCCGAGCTGCGGCCTACTGCCCCTTGGACTTGCCCATGACTCTTCCCACGAGATCCTGCACCACCTTAGCCCCGCCATTCTGCCACCACAGGCTTCCATTCAAGTACGTAGCGTACGTGCTCCAAATCGCATACGGCAAGTTGAGCCAGAGGACTCGCTCATCGACATGACGGGCCGTGTCCAGCCACACGAAGATGGTGGAGGTTAAAGCCGTGATATCGAGCAGGGCGAAGCCGAGCGATCCGAAGCCGAAGTTGAGAGGCGTCCAAGATTGGTTGAGAGCGAGTTGAATGTAGTAGAGGGAGAGGGAGCGAAGAGCACGCTGACGACCGAGACCGGATGGGGTGCGGTCCAGAGCTTTGACGAGGAGATGGGATGACCATCCCATTGCTGCGTAGAGAGTTGGCCAGACGACGCCAAATGCCCACCTGTTGCAGCGGATCACCATCCATGCGATGCGAGTCAGATCAGCCCACCGCCCTACCTGGCATCTCCCTCCTTGCCGCTCTGTCCCACTCACTTAGGCGGGTCAAATCTCGGCTTGTTCAGACTCTTGTACCAGAGACTGTTGGGCCCGTAAGTGCCATTGCGAGTCAGCAGCCCCGTGCCTGCTCCGCCGATTGATGAGCATGTCAGTCCCACCTCGAACGAAGCTGCGAGCGATCCCCCTGTCTTTTGAGTGCTGCAGACTCACCGATGCCCAAGCCGACGGGGATGCCCACCGCGACGAGTGGGTTGCGAGGAAGATCGATCAGAAGTGGAGGAAGAGATGCCATTGTTGCGCTGAATGCAATGGTGATGGTGAGGATGAGGAGGAGAGAAAGAAAGATTAGAGTGTGACCGTGCGAGGGGCGCCTGGGCGGATGGGCGGGCGGACGGGCTTGGCGAGGGTCCACCGCATTTCAGATGCGGGCAGCGGGGCAATGACACAAGGGCCGAGACAGGCGCAGCGCAGATGCGCTGCGTGTTGGTTTCGACTGAGGTGGAGCGGAGCGAGCCAAAGTCAAGTCAAACAGAGCTTGTCTTGGGGCGTTGCGCTCACGAGACCAAAACAGGCTACGACGTAGGGGCAGCCGAGCAACAGCGCATCGTTCGGGCCATCGCGACCATCCATGTTAGCATGCAGGCGTCGCCCATGAAGCTGTCAGCAGCTGTATGGATTGCTTGAGCGATGCAAGGCTATCGTCTTCAATGAATGTGCAGGATGAAGAGATGCAGGCACACAACAAGAGCAGACCAAAGAGGCTGACAATCTTGGTGGTGCATCCCGGCGCAGCGACCTCTGCGCACTCCTCCTGGCCTTGCTTTGTTCAGACTTCTTGCTTGCCACGGTCTGAACTTGCTCATGTCACTGGCCTGCTCTCGTCTTCCAATCTTCCCATCGCAATTCTCAAGGCAAGCCTCCTCTCCCTAACTGACCCGTCACGAAGCCGGCCTTCCCCTTCGGCCAGACACCGTACATCAGCCCGTCCCTCCAATTCGCTTCGTTCCTGTCGGTGACGAGCAAGATGATCTCCTGCGGTCCACCATCAGGCAGCGGATCAACCTTCAGTCGTCCCCGGCCTGCGCTTCCGCTTTCATTGCGGGAAGAGCCAGCTCCTGCTGCCTTGCCATTGTGCCCGCCCAGCTGAGGGTAGCGAAGATACTCTTCCGAATAACCAGGCAAGACAAACTCGGACCATCCACCGCCACAGTTTTCCAGGGGCAGACGAGCTCCACCGTCTCGCAGCCGGGCGGCAATACCGGCAGTGAGATCCCCCGCGGGCTTTGAGACGTATTGGTGGCAATAGAGGAGACGATCTTTGTCAGTGCTGTCGACTGTGACGGCCTCAGCGATGATCTTGAAGAGCTTCTCCCACTCCTGGTTGACTTGAGCGGCGCATGGGTTGTAAATGCGACGCTTCTGGTTCCTTGCCTCGACGTGAAGCTCGTAGCGGTTGAGAACGAAGGAGGCTTCGGGGCTGCAAGCCATGGGCTGATATTTGGCCGTGAACAGTCTCGAAGCGATGGGATGAAGCTTGACGCGCGCGTTGATGCCATCGTCGAAGGGCTGAGGCGAGATGTGCTCTTGAACCAAGGTGAGCGTCCTGCCGCAGACTGCCAGGCAGACCTTGCCGTCAGCTATGCGGCAGGGCCAGCCGGTGGTGGCGAAAGCGTAGCGGATCTGCTTGCGCTGCTCATGGTAAAGGGATGCCTCGCGTGTGATGGTGTAGGGCTCTTCCTTACCACTGGCGGGTTTAGAGCGCGAGGACAGGTGACCGCACTCTTTGACAAAGTAGATTAAGTCTTCCTGCTTGATGCGAGAGACAATGCGAACCCAGTTGGTCCTTGGTGGGGCCATTGTTGTATCTTGAGAGCTTTCTTCCCAGTCGACAAGGATGGAGTGACCTTTGGTCAAAGCTTCGTAGGCGCTGTCGCTGCCGACGGGTAGCTGTGCTCTGAGGTCAGGGTCTTTGAGGGCGTCGGCAAGATACTTGTTGCGAACAGAGATCATTGAGCCGTCCATGTTGAGGAGTCCCGTTCCTGAAGGTGAAGAAGATACGTGAGTTGCACTGAGATTGTACACAGCATCGTCTCCAGCGCAATTGACAGCTTGCTCACCTGCTGGAGCTACTGAGATACTGCGGCGTATGGGCTCGACTGTCATGTCAAGGGAGGGTAAATTCGGTGATGGCTGATGAGTGACGCTCTCGGTAGACTGAGCTGATTGGGTCTTTTGCTCCGACCGGCTTTCGAAGCCCATGCGATCGTACATGGCCCTCAATTGATTCGCCGTCTCCTTCGCATGATCGTAGATTTGGCGTTTGACCTCGAGGTTGAAGAGTTGAGTCTCGCCGGGGCGAGGTCTGCCGGCCGGATTGACGAACATGAGTATCTCCACTGCTCTTGCGATGAGAAATTTCGGAGGGACACCGGTAATTGTGAGCTCAACGGCCCTTGAAGGGAGGTCACAACCGGTGGCACGCGCATCATCGGCAAGCCAGCGGCGGACTTCAGCGACAACGACGTCCCCCTCAGGTGGTGCAATGAAGGGGCCCGATGGGAACCTGACGCAGTACGTCATCCCGAAGAGGGTGGTGTGGTAGTCACTTGAGCATGACATTGGACGAATGCAGGTGGGGCGTCGTGGATTGGGAGGCAACCTGTGCAGCGGTGTCGCAAGACTTCATTAAGCGGCGCTTGCTCGGTCGAGGAACGCGTCGTTGGTCGCCCTCTACGGCTTCCCTTTCCGTCCCAGGTATGAGGCGCGGGACACAGCTCTCGTGCCTGGAGTCAGCGCCCGCTCGCTCGCAGACGACATCCGACTCATCAATGACCGTTGAGCGCAATCAAGGTTGCCTTCTCTCCTCCTCAACGACGACCAACACCACGATCAGCACCATGACGTGCCCAGGCCGCCACATTACCATTCGTGGCGTCACGTACTGCATCGTCCTCCCTCCCAGTAACACGACGCCTCCTCTCGATGGAGACTTTGTCACGGGTGAGGTCAGACGCTGGCTCGAGGCCAACGACTCTGGCCCCGGCTGCTCCTTTCCCGCGAACACTGAGCGTGTGACGCTAGACTTCGACGAAGGTGAGGTGAGCTTCGACTACCCACCCTATTTTCTAGCCTTCGCTCCTCCCAAGGGAAAGCCTGCGCCCGAGCAGACCCAGTATTTTCGTCTTCCCATCGAGCGTCGTCCATCTCTAGAGAGTACGCTCAACGTGTCGAGGATGGTGGAGAAGATGTCGGCGACTCGACTGTTCGACAAGCAAAGTAGTGCCTCTACAGGCAGGTCAGCAGTGGACGGGGAAGCCGCTCACCAGGCCAACATGACAAGCACCGACGGCGAGAGTGAGTTGCGTTCTGTCATGTTGATGCTCAATCTGCTAAGGAATCACTCATTGTGCCCGCTCGCAGGCGTTCTCAAGTCCCCTTCGTCCCTTTCCACCATCAAGGAGAAGCGGCGCCAGATTGTCATCGCTCCTGCTACGGTCAAAGCCAGCTCCACCGCCGACGTACAGACGGGCGAGAAGTACTCTAGCCAGACAGCTGCGCAGCAAAAGCTCTCTGTGCTCAAGGGTGAGTGAACTTGACGACGACCGGCGCAGCCTTCACTCGCACGCTGCTCACCTTCTTTCTTCGGTCCCTGTGTACTGTAGCATCGGGCGTCAAGCTTGGCGACTCGCCCCTCGTTGTCCGCAACAAGTACCTGATTGACGCCCTCAGGGACCCCAGCCTGAGAATTACGTCGCCCTGCGACATCGACACGGCCATCGAAGGCCTGACTCAAGGTCAAACCGTCACCATCGAATGGCAAGAGCCCCAAGATGACGAGCAGCAAGAAGTCGATGATCTCTGCTGGCTGCGCATTGTACCTCAGATCAAGGCAGACGACGCCATCTACTACGTCACCGAAAGTGGGCAGCTCTCGTGCCGCCCGCCTTTGCGAGTCCAGGAGCACAACACCATCACCCGCCCTGCAGTTCTCACCGAAGAGCAGCGCAAGGAGCTCCGAGACAAGCTCGTGACTGCAGGTTGCCCATGCCGGGTCGTGCAAGGCCAGATTGTAGTTGACCTCCCCAACGGCAAGACGATCACTCTTGGCCAAGCTCATTTGCGCCCTAAGCCCCTCCAAACAGGCATCAATGGTCGTCTGAAGCTTCGCCGCCTGCGTTGCGGCTACAACGAGTTTGTCTGCCAGCCTATGGCTACGAGCCCTGAGGCCTCGTGGGTCATCCGTCGCTACGAGATCACCTTTGAGTACAAGTCCATCCGACGACGCTATGAGCCCTTCGCTGCTGTCCTCGAAGCCCCTTGGGAGGCCCTCTTTTCTTTCTTGGCCGAAGCGATGACCGTCAATCTCACCAACAACGCAGACGGTCGCCTTGTCTGCTGCAACCGCAAAGACACAGGCCCGGAGGCTGATCTCATCAAAGGCGTCTTCGTTCGTCTGTACGACGGGGGCACGCGAATCCCGCTGAAGAATGTCGGCGACGGCTGGGGTGAATACCACTTGCCAGGTACGGCGGCAGCGTACTCTCGTCGAGGCGTGTACAAGACGCTGCTGGGCATGAAGGACCAGGGGCCGGACACAGAGAGGATCAAGGGGCCAGCGACGATGAGTAGCAACGCACCGCATGATATGCTTATGGATGCTAGGGACAGTAGCGAAACCGATGTGATGGACGGGATGTGGTTTGCTGTCGTGCCAAGTGGAGTGCCAGCCCACACCACGCACAAGATGTCTCCCATCCTCCATTCCTTTTGAGCACTGTAGCAGCGGTACATGTGTGGGCGGGAGAGAAGTCTGGAGACAGTGAGACCAAGGAGGTGGGAGCCGGCAGGGAGAGGGGCGCTTGGAGAGCAGCGGCACATGACATGCTCACATCCTCCGGCGGCGATCAGCGTTGAGCGTGGCATCCATTTGAGGTCGATCTCAACGTCTCAAGTTCAGGCAGATCCAATCCCAATCTAAATTTCTTGACAAGCTTTGTACTCGCAGCATGGCCTGAATTGCAAGTCGCCTGCTTCTGTCTCCCTTGCACTGTGCGTTGGCCTGATCATGGTCGCAACGGGCCTCTGCTATACGCCTTTGCGTTCCTCAGAGAGCGGGCAAGCGGCAGTCGTGTGCCTGAAGTCTCCGCTTGTGTCTCCCAGCCATGTCGTTCGCCTGCTCTTTTCGGTAAGTCTGGGCTGATCGATCTTGCCTATCAAGACCACACCATCAATCCACCACGTTTGGCTGACAAGATGTCCTGCACTGGTCCACACACGACCGTCCGTGGCGTGCAGTACTGCATCCTTCTACCTCAGATCCCTTTATCATCCAGTGGCAGCGACATGGTCTTGGCTCAAGTCCGTCGTTGGCTGGAGGATACCTCAAGCGTCGCTTGTCTCTCTCCACCCGATACTCAACAGCTCTGCTGGGACGTCGAGAACTTCACCGTGTCTCTCAATTGTGACCCCCTCTACGTCACCTTTGCACCACCCAAAGGTTGGCCAGCGCCGGGCGAGACGGACTTCTTCCAATTGATGCTTCACCGCCAACACATGGCGCAAGTGTTCGGGCCTGACTACAAGGAGACCTTGAGAGAGCACTTGAAGGCAACGCAGTCATCGAAAGGCGAAGCGAATGATACTGTGGCGAAGCCTGCCCCTGGAAAGGCAGGCACGGCAGCTGAGCTGCCCAAGATGGAAAGCCAGAACAAGGGTGAGTCTCGATGCGCAACAGATCCACTCACATGAGAGTGACTGACGTGGATACGCTTGCTCATCCCAGAAGAGCGCCGCCAAATCCTCATCGCTCCGGCAGACGCCAGAGCCGACCAAAGTGGGGACGTAGAAATGGTAGACGACAACTACAAGGGTACAAGTGAGCGTTCTGAGCAGCAAATGACTTCGTATACACTCACTGAATGTCTCTGCTCTCTCTCAACCGCATTGATAGGCGTCCTGAAGCTTCTCATTGACGGCTCCCTCGTGCTGGGCAACAAGTACCTGATCGATGCACTCAAGGACCCTGATCTCAAGTACTCCACTTCACACAGCGCCGATAACGCCCTCGAGGCTATCCAACAAGGCTACAAGATTGTTGTTGAATGGCAAGAGCCTCAGGAGGACGGCGGTGAAGATATCCCATCTGACACTGAGTGGCTTCGCATCATCCCTCGAACCAAGCCAGAGGATACGGTCTATTTTGTCACCGAGGATGGCCACCTCTCATCTTCCTCCTCTGGAGACCGTTCGGAAGTCCGTGACGAGTACAACACCATTGATCGACCCGCCGTCCTTTTCGAGTCGGAGCGCAGGGAGCTTCAGGCCGCGATCACGGGCGAAGGATGGCCATGCAAAGTCGAACAGAACAAGGTTGTTGTCGAGCTCTTGGGCCAGACGCTCCACCTGAGCCAACAGAATATCCAGCCTCAACCGATTGTAGACGCCGCCGCTGGACGCATCAAGGTTCGCCGCTTGAAAGGTAGGGCCAGCGACGGCGCTGCATGTCAGCCAATGTCGTGCAGCTCGGAAGCCTCGTGGGTCTTGCACCGTTACGAGCTAGTCATCGAGCTCGAAGGCAATGCTGAGCAACTTCGACTCTACATGCCCTTCGCGATCCAAGTTGACACCGAATGGGAGCGCTTGCTCTCCCCGTTCGCCGAAGCTCTGACGGTAGACTTGCTCCACAAAGAGGACGGTCGCCTTGTCTACTACAAGCAGCGTGACTCCGGCACGCAAGCTGAGCTGCTTCGTGGCATTCACGTCCGCATCCGAGAAGGAGGAGCACGCTGCCCTCTCACGACTACGGAGGATGGCTACTGGCAGTTCGTCCTGCCTGGCGGACAAGACAAGTCGATTGGTGGGATCACGGAGCCGCATGGCTTTAAGTCTCACGATCCCATGGCCGCCTTCACTGGGTTGAGGATCAAAGGCCCACCGGAGAAGATGATCGAGCCGCATGACGTGCTGCTGACAGGGAACGATAGTGCGGATGAGGTAGCATTCTGGGGCGGGGGCATCAGTTTTGACTTGGTGAGGCGGGGGAAAGCCCAGCCTAATTTCGACGTGAGGGTGTGCTAATGGAACAGCCCTGATCGCTGGCGGGCAAGGCTGAGATGGGCCCGAGAAGCGCAATGCTTCGAGAATGAAAAGTTTCAAGCCAGCCGTAGTGTTCCGGCAATGCGATGATCATCTCTTCGCCAACTAGGAGGAGGAGAATGAGAAAGAGAAAGAGAAAGGGGGGGTCCGACCTGACGCGTCTGTGCAGCGCATCCACCGGCGCGGTCCGACTGAGGCGCCGCACGACCAACGCACGACCAACGCACGACCAACGCACGACCAACCACCTCGGCTCCTTCCGATCTCCTCCATCTCGCCTCCCCGTCCATCTCTTCTATCTTCTCCTCTCCTACTACTTTATCCTTCTACTCGCCTCGCGCGCATCCATGTCGCAGGCAGTCAAGGAGGCCATAGCGCAGCGTCGAGCGGCGCTTGCGCAGGCGCAAAAGGCAGCCGCTGATTCTCCTCTGCCATCGCCAACCAAAAGCACCTTCGAGGGTGCGGACATTGTCCAGCGAACAGAGGAAGATCTCCTGTATCGTTCTACCTCTACTGCCCGCCTCAATCTCTCCTCTCGCCTTCCTGCCCTCACCTCTCTCCCTTCTGCCCTCTTCAGCCTCCTCGATGGCGAGGCACCAGCCTGGTACCTCGAGTCAGAGCCAGACGAGTCGAAGCGTCGCCCCTGGTACGAACGCGAGGATCTGCGGGTTCTCTCTTGCGCCAATAATGATCTCACCGGCACGTCCGATGAGCGAATGGGCGACTTCAGAGGTCTCGCGAGGCTCGAGCTGCAGAACAATGCCCTCACCTCAATACCTCGCACAACCTTCCAACTCGTCAACCTCACGACCTTGAACCTCTCCAAGAACAAGTTCACCTCAATACCCTCATCTCTCCTTGCCCTCGACTCCCTGATTGAGCTGGACGTCTCGCACAATGCCATTTCCCAGCTCTGGAGCGACGCAGAGGTCGACCAGGCTAGGCAGGATCGGCGTGAATGGGACGAGGAGAATGCAGACGAGGAAGGTGGGGTGTGGGCCGGCTTGATTGCGAGGACAGGCAGCCCAACTAAGCGTGAGCGCCCCGGCCCACCCAAGACGCAGCGACAGCGCAGTCAGCCTATGCGCTCGCTCAGGATCTTGAATCTTGCCAACAACAGGCTGGACGATGCGGCCTTGCACGCGGCGAGGGGGACATGGACTTGGCCACCCACTCTGACAGACTTGGACGTCAGCGACAATCGCTTCCGCTCTTCGCTGCCACTCAATACCTTCGGACGACTAAAGGACCTACGTCGCCTCTCGTTGGGCGGTAATGGCTTTGGCGACGTAGTTTTCTCCCTCGACGAGACTCGCGGGGACAGGCCTGAGACGACACCCTTCGGCGGAAGGGAGAAGCAGACATTTTTCCCAGCGCTGGTAGCGCTAGACCTTCAGAGATGCGAGATGGACGATCTGACGTCGCTGCAGGGCGTGTTTGAGACAGGTTGCGAAGGCAACATTGAGCAGCGCAAGCTTGTGAGGGTAAATGCGATGGCGAACGCCCAGGGCGAAGCTACTGAAGGCAACGAGGACGGCTCAAAGGTGCTCAGCGTAGTGCTAGAGGGCAATCCCCTGCGCGAAGAGATGTACAAGAAGAAAAGAGGTGGCGCACGGCCTGTCAAGCCGGACACGACGAGCTCGGCAGAGGCAGCAGCTCCAGTTACATCAGCTCCCTTACACCAGCCAACGTCCGTACGCGCACCTACGGCTGCTTCATCAACATCGGCAGCGACCAGTGTGGCTCCTGCGCAAGCGTCACCCCGGAAAGAAGCCTGGGAGCTCGAAGCAGAGGCTGGCCTCTCGACTGAAGGAGGGCGTAGGAGAGCGAGGGCAGAAGCAGCAAGGAGGGAAAGAGAGGCGGCAGCTGGCGGCGCTGCCCCCTCAACAACCTCCACAGCACCAACTGCGCCCCTTCACAACGGCAACCGCTCACAGGGCATCAACCGTACAGGGCTAAGCGACTGGGATGGAACTCCGGCCCCGTCTCCCCGCAGGAACCAGACCAACAACGCAAGAGGTGAGGAGCGTGAGCAGACGCGAAACGGAGTAGGGGCGTCAGGCAGCCGCACTACCAGCCTAGGCTCTACGCTCGCGAATGCGAAGCTCACAAAGCGGCAAAGCGAGGCGCTAGGACGAGTCCCGTGCAAATTCTTTCGCTCAGCGAACGGATGTTCTGCGGGGACAGCTTGTCCCTTCTCGCACACGCTGCCTGGTGAAGGTCGTAATGGCGGTGGCCCTGGTGGCGTCAATGGTGCAGGAGAGAATGGCGGCGGTGGCAAGGCCGTGTGCGAATTCTTCCTCAAGGGCAACTGCCGCTTCGGTCACAAGTGTGCTCTGGCGCACGTCAGGGAGGGAGAGCCTATGAGCGTGCGTGTCGTCGTGGCGTGGCGTGGCGTGGCGTGGCATGGCATGGTGGCTAGCGGTGCGGTCGTGCGAGCTCCAGGGTACGTTAGTGGCACGAAGAGCTGACACCGTCCTCCTCTTGCCCTCTTCGCGTGCACAGATGGATAGACATAACAAGAAGATGCAAGCAGCAGCACAACGGGCGGGTACGGCTGCTGCTGCGGGGGGTTTTCAGTCAGGAGGAGTAACAGGAGGAAATGCATCGTATCAACAGCAATCATCGTCATCTCAGCACTTCGCACCATACGCAATGCACAACAACAGTCAACAGCATCAGCATCAGCATCAGCATCCTCAGCCTTCCAGCCAGCATCAGCAAATCCCTTCCCTCAACCACAGCACAGCGCCCTGGCCACCCCGAGACGACTTTGCTTTCGGGCTTCCCGATGACATGCAAGGACCTCAGATCACGCAGCAGCAGCAGTACCGTGCCTCTCTTGCCCTGCCCACTCCCGATGTCGCACAAACCGCGCAGAGTTCTCAACCCTACGCTATCTCTCGACCAATGCCCTTCAGCTCAGGCTCTTTCGGGGCACGCGGAACTCCCCTCCAGAGCAATGGCTTAGGTACCAGCCCCTTTGGCACCAGCCCCTTCGGGCAGACGGTCTTCTTCTCCGGCTCTCACGATGATCGCAGTGCTACTGGTCTAGATGCTCCCTCCACAGTTTCCGGCTCCTTTGCGGCCCGCAACAAAGCTCACCGTGGTGGGGTCCAGAGCGCGCTCCACGACGATGACGACGACGACCATAATGGCGAGGACTTCCTACCCTCGAGCTTGTCGGACCTCTTGACCCCGGCAGAGCTGGAACGGAGGAGGAGAACGAGCTTCAATGCTCAAGGCCTTGCTGCGGGTAGCTTCGGGGCCTCTACGGCATTGACGCAGAGCATGCCTGCCGGTTACGGCCTCGATGAGGACGAAGAAGTAGTGGGTGGTGGGATCTGGCATGTGGGAGGGAATGCTAGGCAGAGGCCAGCGGCTAGGATGAGTGTGGGCGGGTACGAAGATGAGGACGAGGAGGGGTACGGCCTTGCGAGCGCTGGCATGGGCCCTACGGCTGCAGCAGCACGTCGCCGCGATTTAGACCGCCTCTCGCATCACCATAGCCCTGGTCAGAGCTTGCCAAAGGGTCTCGCCGCTGCCGGTTTAAGCCGACTACGCATATCAAGCGATGGACGTGGTGGCGCTACACCCTCTGAGCCAGTGCAAGCAGCCTCGCGCATTCCGTCATACTCGCACTCGCAAGCTCAAGTCCACGCATCTCCACATCGTCGTGCCCTTTCCAACGCGCAAGCAACGTCCTCGTCATCTTCGTTCAAGGCTGCTTCGCTCCTCACAGCCGACCTAGGCCCGATAGCGCCGTCCAGCTTGCACCCTCATCTGCCAGGTGGAGTGCTGGCTGCGAGGAGCGGGACGCCTTCAAAGGGTGGTGGCTGGGCGAGCGGATCGCCGCTGGGGGTCACACCTCCGCCGACTCAGCGTGAGGCCATCGCTATTGGTTCGATTTTGGTATCACCGCCCGCGGGCGAAGATAGAGGCATGGAAAAGGGCGGCATGGGAGGCAGAGGAAGGACTGGTGCGCCTTCCTTCCGAACAGCGAGCAAAGAGGGGCTCAGCGTGGGTGGTGGTGGTGGTGGTATTCGAGGTAATGCTGCTGGTAGCCCGCTAGCATTGCAGCCGCGTGATAGTGAGGATGATGCTGGTGAGGAGGGTGTCTTTGAGCTGGAGTAATTGCTGCGCAGAGAAGAGAGAGAAGGTGAAGACGGGCCATTTTCTGCGAGCAAATGCCTATCCAACTTTCCTCCAATTACTCCCCTTGCATCCGTGCCCTCTTGTCTCACACACACACACCCGCACATCCCACCCATCCATCCCTCTTTCGGTCTTCAAGATCCGAAGGGATGTGGGAGACGTCACTAGTCACCAACCCCGCTGCGCTCCCAGCCTTTATTAGTGAGCCTAGGCCCTTGACACGGGACGTTTCTGCTGCCGCTCGATTTCTTGGGACCGCGATGCGATGAAAGTGCGCAGCGGGCCAAAGAAGAAGTGAATGACACTCTAGACGTGACCATTCGAGGTGGGATCAGTAATGGCAACGGAGCTGTCGCGACCTCTAGATTTGAAAAAGGATGCAGCTTCGTTGCTCCGTGGGGATCAGCTGGTGGTCCGATGGACGACGTGGGAATGCTCGCCCCCAGCTAGGCAGCCGCTGCCAGTCAGGTCCGTCCTGTCTTTTCTCTTTGCTGGCTCTTCCCTATTCATTGGTGTCCAATCCCGATCATGTCGCTCATTCACTCGTAGACACATTCAGATTTCCGGCTCGTCAATGACGTGAGAAAGGGGACAAGGTTTCAGATCTCACACTTCCTGTCGGGTGCGCAGGCGTGGCGTGCGTGCATCTCTGACGCCGCCTACCTACGAGAAGAGAGACATCGGCGTTTATTTGTGGGCTCACGCGAGCGCGAGAAGAGCAGACCTGGCTGCCGCTCGACTCAGCTCTTCTTCTCTCTTTCTCTCCCTGGGTCTTCTTGTCTTCTCATCATCGTCATTGCGTCTTCGCCTCTCAACAGCCTCACTGTAGCCCAGTCTTGCATCCCTCCCGTCGCTCCATCGACGAGGGATGCGAGGACTCGAGTGAGCGCCAGGCCATCATTCTACCACCAAGAGCTCAGCAGCGTGCTCGAGGTCAGCGCTGACTTTGCGACTTTGCCCGCCAGGAACCAATCACGACGCGCTTCAGCCCTCGCGGCTCGACAAAGTCGATAGGCAGCAGCAACGACGGCAGTAGAGGAGCTTCATCACATCCTCTGCTTCATCACATCCTCTTATCACCAACCGTCGTACGGAGATTGACGTCGAAGCCGTCTTCATCTCTCTTCCCCCAACGCCTCCTATGAGGATGTCGTCGTTCAATCAGCCACAGGCAATGCAGCTCTCACAAGACGCAGCAGCAGCAGTACCACCAGCTGCAAGAGCTGCTACAATGACACAACTCAGCCATCGGGAGCCGGCTTCAGCCTCGACGCCACCCTCATCAGCCTCTTCCTCTTCGTCATCAGCAATCAGAGCGAATGGCTCTGTATTGGTCGATCCAGCTTTAGAAATGTCTGCCATCCCCTCGCCCTCCGTAGCCACCTCTTCGCTCAAGCGCCGACAGACTGAAAGTCCAGAGAGGGAGACTTGGGAGGACTGTGATACCGGTGTCGAGAACGAGAAGCGCCCTCATTCGCAGCCCGCCACACTACGACCTTCGCCTGTCGTTGATCCGGACATCGCTCGCTTTCCCCTCTCCCTCTTCCAGTCAGACAACAGCGATGATGCGGCCACAAGTGGGCAGAGTGCCTCTACTATCAGCAATGGAGATCGACAGGGGAGCGCGCCATCTCCCGAGGTTCAACAGCAGCATGAGTTTTCCCCGCAGGTAGAGCAGCGTGAGATCCGACCAATACCAGCAGCACGTCGAGCGGGCAAACAACGAGCCCTGTCACCTAGACAAAGCAGACCGCCTGGCTCCTGGGGAGCAGGAGTGGGAAGCAGTCGTAGCGGTGACAGCGGCGGCAGTGGCAGCAGTCAAGCCAGCTACGATGATCTCCAAGACGTCAACATCGATGAGAAAATGCTGCGCGTCTGGCCTCGCGACTTTATCGTGAGCGTCGGTCAGCAGTTGGCTTGGGATGCCGCCCACAAACCGGCACAAGGAATACCAGCATCAGTCGTCGCAAGAGGGGAGAAGGTAAGCCGTCCATCCAAGTGAGCATGCACATGTGCCTAGGCTAACGTTCTCTCTGCTCTTGCTCGCCTCTACCTCGCAGTACGTCCGCAAGTACAGCTATTTCATGCAATTACGCACTTACCAGAATTGTCGTCTCCTCGACTTGCGCTGGCAAGATGCCTGTACGTAGGGCCCCTGACACGATCGCCATCCCATCCCTCATTTCGAGCTGACACTTGCTCCTTGTCTTCCGCAACTACCAGTCGATTCAGACGACACGATCGTTCGTGCCTTCGAGCATGTTACGGGTCTCCGTCGCCCATCTAGTGGCTATCCCTACCCAGTCGAGAACCTCCATAATGCGCTGCGCAGACTCTGCTTTGCCTGCCTGCTCAACGACATGGACGGAGATCTGCGTGGCTACGAGAAGGGCTTTGTCATTCTGCACACGAAGAGATTTGGCTACATCAATGTGAGTTGCGCGACAGAGTGAGGCACTGCGCTGGCAATGCGATCAAGAAGCTCACAAACCTCACTGACCACGACGCGTCGCACTCAGCTCTGTCATCTTCACTGTCAGACATGGGCGGCTGCCACTCGAGGCAAGAATCCCAGCTTTTTGATCTGGTAAGCACTGATACCAGTCTTCTGTCCAATCACGCACGCCTTCCTCGCCTCGCTTTGCTGACGTTGAGCTGTTGCCCTCGCTCTTACCCGCCTGCAGCGATATCTGCCTCATGGAAGGCTCGCGCAACTCATGCAACCATCTCGATGGGAAAATCCTGACGAACCAAGACCTGGCTGTGGGCGATACGGCCCTCAACACGTGCGAGTCCTGCCGCGTTGACCACTTCTATGACGCCTGGTCTCTTTTTCCCGTCACCGTCCCACGCAAATACCGCGAAGGCCTACAAGCCACTCGCGCTTTCTCCCTCTTCACGGCGCACGGGAGGGGTGGAGCGGGCGTGGCTGCGGCGGAAGCGCATGAGGAGTTGGAGCAGATTTGGGAGCGTCAGAGGGAGAGGTGCGAGTGTGGGATCTGCAAAAGGATGAAGAGGGTGAGGAAGGAGGAGATCAGGGGGTTGCGAGGGGACGTGAAGAGGAGGGAGGAACGGCGGACCCTGAGGCAGTAGCTGCGCTAACTCGCGAAGATGCAGAGGATCGAGCTGATCCGCGCTAGCAGTGGCATTGACTGCAGAGGGGGCAAGCAGCGGAGCAACTTGGAAAACAGGCGACATCGTGGCGAGCAGGGCGGGTCAGCTACGAGCTGGTGCCGGGGCTAGGAGAGACTCGACCAAAACGCAGGCGCAAGCACATACACAATACGCACTCAGCACGCAAGCATTCAACGTCACGGCTAATCAGTCACACTCGCGTCACTCAGCTCATGCGCCACCAGTCCTACACTTTACCAGGTCATAGACATTCACCAGCTCGATCACATGTCAGTATTCCTCTCGACTCATCTCGATCACCCATATCACACATGTACACCACGTCATCCGTCAAGCGGACGAGGCTGTGAGATTGCGACTGCGTTTCCGATTACGATCCAGGACGAATGTAGAAGTGGCAGGCGGACGAGAGAAGAGGGTATCTAGTGAAGAAGAAAGAAGAAGTACAAAGGGTGATCGCGCGCCGATCTCGCTCAGCGAGGCAGCTCAAAGTCCAGCGCTGCCGTCTTCGTCGGCCACATCTCCTCCATCCACTGCTGGAACAGGCTCCACGTCTCCTCCTCGCCCTTGCCTGGAATGACGTCGTCATTGACACCAATGAAGGCCAAATTGTGCTGCCTCCTCTTGAGGCTGTCCAGAATCCTCTTCGCCCCCTTGGGCTCCTTGAGCATCTGGAAGTCCAAGGGCGCACCAGCGATCGTGTAGGCGTAGCGTTGGATGAGGCGAGTGGCAAAGATACGGCGCGAGGCGAGGGAGGAACCCGTGTTGCGTGCGACCGACGAGAGTGAGAAGTCGCAGTCGTCCCAACGTGAGTCGAGGGGCAGGTGAGGCGTGGTCTGGTCTGCCTGCACGGGCGTGGCTACCGCGGGGAAGCGGGTGTCGGCAGAGGGGAGGAAGACGTCCAGGCCCTTCTTGCCTGAGCGGGCTACGAGGTATGTGAGGAGGAAGTCACCGCAGGCCGTGTTCTCAAAGGCCATGTGCCTGAAGAGAGCGATTGGGTCGTACGCCTTGTCAAAGGGCCAGCAGACGCGCCAGTTCATGATGGCAGCAGGCTGGTGAAGGTCGTGCTCCTTGGTTCCTGGCTCGGTGTGGAATGTGGGGAATTGATGGCCAGAGACCTTGTCGAAGCGAACACCAGCGAGGGCGTATCCATCCTGCGAAGAGAACTGGTACGTGCTCGCCCCCGGGCGGGGGAAGAGAGACGCATCAAAGGTCTCGTTGACATTCTTGCGAAGCATGCTGTCGCGCTGTGGGGTGTGGATAGGAATGTTGTCCTGCAGCCAGATGGGCTTGTAGTCGGTCTCATCTGCGTCGTATCCAAGATCGAAGAGAGCGCCCTTGAGCTCATCCGTGCTGTACTTGCCATCTCCATCAACGTCCAGCTTGGCGACGAACCAGGACCAAAGCAGGGCCTCACGGTGACGCTCGATCTGAAGGTTGTACGAGAGAAGGTGCGAGTTGGCACCTTGACCATCGCCGCGGAAACGACGGCCAACGGTGCGCGCGAATTGGTCGCCCCAGAGCATACGGGCCTCGTCGACTAGCGGGCGAGAGTGAACCTTCTGCACGTGAATGATGTAGTGACGGTCACGCTTGCCGAAGCGCTGTGCCAGGAGGTAGGCAGAGTAGCGCATGCTGGGAAGCTCGCCCTTCATGATAGGCGGGTGCTCATAGGGGCCAATGACGAAGAAGCGATTGATGTGCATGACGGTGCCATACAGCGGGGAGGTGAAGTCGCTGACGGATAGGTCGCGATTGCCGAGGAAGTGGTCATCGTTGCTGTAGAAGAAGTTCTCGCCCAGCCCAGGAACAAGAAGGCCGAGCGAGGCTTCAGCGGCGAGCGAGTTGAAGGTAGGGAGAACACGCAACTTGTGGGCGAGAGTCTCGGCCTCAGAAAGCGGCTCGGGTCGCGACTGCGTGATAGGATCGACGGAGTGCAGGTCGGCCGTGACTTGCCAATCATGGTGTACTTTGATCTTGGGCGGTGCGGCTCCCTCCTCGACATCCTGCTGGCGGGAAGCTTGACCGACCATGACACCGGGAGCGTCGACATCGAGCCACTGCGGGAGCTGCCCGTAGCGCATGAGGCCCGCCTCGATCTCGAGCACGTCACTGCGGCCGCTGCCGGGCACGAAGGCGACTTGAGCTCCAGAAGTGGCACGAACAGGCTCGACAGAGGGCGCGACATTGGCGGCCGTGGCGTCTGCCAGTGCATTCATCTCCGGCTTGCCGCTAGCCCAGAAGTCGGTAGTGATCAAGTGGCTAGTACGCAGCGAGTCGCCCAAAGCATTCTTGGCACTTCGCATACTGTATCGCAGCTCGTCGTGCTCGCGGAAGCGATTCTCGGAGTTTTGCAGCTTGAGCGTGTCGTCGCGACGAGCAAGGGCGTGGCCTTGCGCGTCTGAGCTTCGAGGCTCAGCGACGTTGGCGCGGTAGGGGTCCAGGGCGTAGAAGTTGCGAGCGGCGTGATGACGAGGGTCGGAGCCATTGACCCAGAACCAAAGACCGTCGATGGTGTTCTGCTGAGAGAGGTCAAGACCCGGCAGGATCTCGCCACGGGCGACCCACGCGTCGAGGTACTTGGCGTCTTCCGCCAGGAAGGGCTCGTGCATTTGCATCGTCTGAGGGCGACGGGCGAGTTGCATGACAGGCTGGCCCGATGCTCCGAGGGAGCCCTTGGCTGCGGTGCTCTTGGATGAGTCTGATCCTGTAGGCCAGAAGAAGATGGTGCGGCCACCGGTGTCGCCATCGGCGTTGAGGTGTCGCTGCTCAAGGAGCATGAGGAAAATGGCGCCGCAGAGGAGGACGAGAAGGCCAAGCAGGAGGGTCACGGGTCGTGACGCGCCCACACGGAGAGTTGAGGAGGATGCTCGACGCAGTGAAAAGTCACGGAGTGATCCGCGGCCCAGTCCAAACCCGCTGTCATGTCTACGTCGCCACAATGATGGCCTTCGCGCTCGCTGCCACCATGGCGTGGCGTTTGGGTCGTCAGAGTACGGCGGTGGCACGCTCTCGACGTCGCGCGCAAAGGGCGTCGATTCGCTGGCATCATCATCGCCATCCTCGCATTCTTGCTTGTCCGAGTGGTACATTGAAGGAGTGGTGGGCGTGGGGGGTACCATGCCTCTCGAAGCCATGGCTGGTGTTGAAGAAGGTGAAGCCGTCATAGGAGTGGTCCAGCCAAAGGAAGGGCGGCGCTGAACAGAGGGGCGAGATGAAGGTGATTGAGAAGGAGATTGACCGCCGAATGGCAGTCGGAGATCGCCGCCCATGATTGATTAAAAGAGAGTGTTGGCGGTGTTGGCGGGGTGTGGCGATGCCGAACGGCGAGAAGCACAGCAACGGCAGGGAGGATGACCCGGCCGGATGGGTCAGTGGCGGTATCGATGAAGAGCAAGGGGATGAGAGAGAAGGAAACGATGAAATGGGATTTGATGGGGACCTTCATCGCCGTACTCGACGTCCATATAACTCTGGCTGGCCGAACTGGGATCACAGCCTCCGCCGGACGCCATTGAGGGTCTGGTTGCCGGCTTCACAGTGCCAGTCGGACATGCAAAAAACAAGCTTTGAGTTGGCCATGGAGCCCTTTTGCGAGGCATGGCAACGACGCCTGCTCACACGAGCTTGCTCTCTCGCACCTCCTCACACGATAAGGATGAACCCTGTCGCAGGCCCTATTTCCCCCAGGCTACCCTGGTGCTGTCCATGATCACACGAGCGAGCAAGTTGAGGTTCCTGCGGCCTACGCTTGTCGCTTGGCTGCTGATGGCGGCGAGCATGACTTGACATGACAGGCCAAGGGGGCCATGTATGCGAGGCACGACTGTCGACGTGCATGCTCAATGCGGGTCGTGAGCGGTGCGTTGTGGCCGGCATCGTGTGAGTAGTCGAGAGAAGCCCGGAGGCTTCCGTGGGTGGGTAATTGAAGAGGCGCTTGCGGGGACTCAATAGGGCGGATCTCGATCCGTCGACTGGCAGTTGCTCTCTCTCCTCGCGTTCGCCGCACTCGAGGCAGGCTTGCGCGGCTTGCGTGTCTCGGCACGCATACACGTCGGTGGACGGGTGAATCGCGGGGTGCTGGCCGCTCAAAGCTAAGCTCAGGTGATTTTTTAGCTCGGCCCGCCCGTACAAGTCGAGGTCCTCGAGCTCTCAGTCGTACAAGGAGGCTTCGCTAAAGTTAACGTTGATATTGAGCATCAAAGTTGGGACCAAGTCGCGTGAGGCATGGCGAATGCGATGGCGATATTGACAAGCAGGACGACGGCGTGGACGCAAGCAGATCGACGAGGGAGCGAAAAGGCGCGGATTCCTCGAAAGGGGTAAGGGCCATGGTCTTGACCGAAGTGCAACCGTGAGCCACAGCATTAGCTAGAAAGTCGACCAGCCGGCATCCATCACAGCCATGCAGCCGCAGCGGTCAATTCGCCCAGTGGCGTCGACGAGCAGCGGCATCGACGGTGATGGCGGTGAGGTGGGTGCCGCTGTACTGCTGCGCAGCCTGTGCTGTGCTTTCATCGGCCGCCGCGCCGCGTCTTGCCGTCCGTCGCATGGCTGCCAGTCCGCCCGCGCGTCTCAGCGACTGAGCTCTATCCGGCCTCCGCTCCTTCCTCTCCTTTTGATCTCCCTCTATCCCGTCTGAATGCTTTGAAACCCTCGCCGATCATCGACGTCGTACTCGTGTAGCTGTCAGCCGTCGTTTGTGGCTGTCGTCGCCAAGATGGACGAATCGCTCCATTGTAATTGTGAGCCTATTAACAAGCTCATAGGCACGCCGATCACGAATCCGAACCAGAATCCGAGTCCTTGACACGCGGCAACTGCTCCTGCCCACGCCCAGGGCTCAAGTGTCGCAAGTCGCTCCTAGTCGAGGGTAAAGCCGTCGCAACCACTTGCAGTCGTGCGTCGAGGAGTAGGCAGGCGAGAGTGCTGCGTCATGTCTGACAGCTGTGGATTTCGCCTTTGCTCGTTGCCTTGCTCGCCCTAGATATCTTTTGCGGTGCGCCCTGGAGATAGTAGCATCCTGACCTTCGTGAGCCACGTCTGACGACGCTGTGCTATCTTGCCCCGCAGTCTCGTGTGCCGAGACCCTCTTCAATGGCAACAAGCAGTGCCCAGCCTGCAAGACAGTACTCGACCAGCCCGACGACGTAGTGCTCAGCTCCCTCAACCCTTCAGCAGACTACCGAACCGTGGGTGCGCCCTGTCCGAAACGCGGCACCACCCAAGCTGCTTCGATCGCCTACGAAATAGAGTTCTGATTTGGACCTTCCTCTTTCCCACACACCTTTTCACTTCCCGTCGCCGTACCCACGACCCCGCAATCCGCATCGAACGCCACCCTACGCCACGCCACCTATGGCGAGCTTCTCTCCACTACCAGTCAGTGCTCGCAGGCCTCGCCCCTGACGTCGTGGTCGATATTGCAGCTCGAAGCCTTGCCTTCTGGCAGTATCAAACCTCGCAGGAGGTGAGCGAGCGGACAACAGAAGGGCAAATTGCGTGTATGCTGCCAGGAGCTCACCCCGCCCCTACCTCTCGGTCCTGTAGGCCGCCTTCCAAGCCATGATCCTCAAATCAGCCCAAGAGCGCAACTCAGTTCTCGAGAAGCGCATGCAGTCTCTAATCGTTGAGGCCAACGGCGAGATCAATATCCTCAAGCAGAAGAATGCAAGCCTTGACAAGGGTGAGCCGAGGTTGCGAGATGCCTGCCAATTCCTGCCTCGCACCTGCCTCGGATCCCGGCTCAACGTCGCGCCTCGCCTCCGCGCCTTTTATGACAGATCTCGCTCACGAGAAGCGCAGGGGTAGGGAGTTGCAGGAGACGCTAAGAGCCGTTTCGAAGGACTACGAGAAGCTCAAGGTCAGCCAGGACATGGTCGTGTGATGCGAATCAGACGCAAAGATAGCAGAGCTGACGACCGCCAATTTGATCTCGCGCTCACGCACGTACGTCGCGATCCGGACCCTTGCTCCTCATTGTCTTACTCGCACTCCGCTTGTCAACAGTCTCGCGCCGATCAAGAGCAGGGCCAAAACCAACACAACCAGCAGCAGCAGCAGCAGCAGCAATCTCAGCGTAGCCTTTTCAACAATAGCAGCAGCGGCCGCCTGCACACAACCACCGCCGCCACGCCGCCCCTTGGCCCAGCAGGCGTGGCGCAAGCTGGCCCTACCCCGTTTTGGCAGGCCAATACGTCCCAGCAAGGTCCAGTGCATCGTCAAAGCTTTGTTGCTCCTACGCCCGTACGAGGCGTCAGCTCGGGAGGTATCGGCGGCGGTGTGGGAAGCACAATTTACAACGATCGAGCAGTATCCAGCCCACAACACGGCCGCTTCACGCCGACGGGGATGAGGTCGAGCGGTACGAGGATTTCGAGGGACGGAATCGGAGCAAACATGCCTAGCGTATTCGGGCAGACTGCCACCTCTTCCGTCATGGGGCCGCCTACAGGTGATGCGGGGGCGGGCACCGGAGGTCTGTTAGCAACGCCCTCGAGGCGCAACAATACGGCTGGCTCTGGGTACGTCATGGGCACGCCCAGGCGTTGAACAAGGGGCCCAGCCGCGATACGATACACATTCAGCACGACGTCGAGCATTTCACAGTCACTACCAATCCACGACTCCCACAGCGATACCTTACCACACATCATCTTACGGGCGAAGTTACCCCTCACCACTTCCGGCTGTGTTTTTGTCTTCTCACTCACTTCCCCTCCATCCTTCGAGTCAGAGAAGCGCGCTCGACTCAGGCTCGAGTTGAGCTGGCCGAGGGCGAGCGCGAAAGCGATGTAAACTTCAATTCGATCAGAGTATTCACAGCCACATCAGCTCGGGTGATTTGCACGAGATAAGTTGAGCGTGAAGTGAAGGAAATCGTTACAGGAGCAAGGAGAGCCAATGCCGAGCGCGAAGATTGAGAGAATAAGGCAAGCAGAGCAGAGGGCTGGATGACGAAAGCAGGAAGTCTGGGGCAGGATAGCAGGAGAATCTCAGGATGAGTCTCGGCGGTGGGGAAGGCTATTGCTCATCAGAGAATGATGCTCCCTTACTCTGCCTCTCCCTGCAAGCTAGGGTGTTCTGCCGCGCCTTGATTGTCCCCTCCCTCCTCCTCTCCTCCCGCACGATCCTCAGCGATGGTTGGCAGGAAGCGAGCCTTCATATCCTCCTCAACTACCATACTCGGCGCCCCTTCTTGATGATGCGGAAGAGCCTGACCCATCGGCTGGAAATGATATTGATGCTGGCCCTGACCGTGGTGTTGAACAGAGTAGGAGCGTTTCAGCCCCGGCAGGAGGCTCAGACCGTCTGCTGCCTCGACTCGAGACGTGCTTGTCTCAGCTGACGACGAGCAGGCTGTGAGCCCAAGTCCTGCTTCAGCGCCGGCACCGCCGCAGTGTATCGTAGGCATGGAAGTCAGCGTTGGCGAGCACGCCGAGGGGCCGTAGTGGCTTTGGCCGGTAGTGATGGGCGCCCCTGTTGCAGCGGTGGTGCTGGAGGAGATGAAGGCCGAGCTGGACCATGGAGCCATTCCAGCTGTAGAGGCGCCGCTGTTCGTGTCGACTGCGTGTTGGTATTGGTTCAGAAGCTGCTCCCCAGAAGTCGCTGCCGCAGTGGTTGAGACTAGCTGACTCGTGTTCCCGCCGGCAGATCCAGTTGTCTCCCAGTAGGCTTGAGACATGAGAGGTACCTGCATCGTACTAGGCGAGGACTCGACGGTAGCTGGAGCGACCCCAGTGCAACCGTGCCCCTCCGCAACTGAGGAAGGCGCATAATTCATCATCCCATCCATGCTCGCCGTAGTTACACTGTCACCGACCCCACCGGTAAAACTAGCCTGCATCGTTGGGCTGGTGGCGGGCAGAGCTTGAATCGAGTCCGCACTGCCTGGGCTGCTAGCAAAACCCGAGACCTGTTGTTGCGAGCTTGAGGCTCCGCCGTGACTGCTGATCGAGATGGTGCGATCCCGACCCGTCGTGACAACGTGCAGGGTGTTCCCACCTTCAGACACATCGACATGTTGTTGATACTGGTGCTGATCCTGCGGATTGGATTGCATCGAATGCCAATTTTGCTGATAAGCGGTTACGTACTCGCCATTCCCTCCTGTCAAGCCTGTGGGGTCAACAGTCGTGCTCGCCCCTACGGCAAAGTCGTGCCAAGCGGCTACGGCGTGATGGGCAGTGATGGGTGCTGACTTGCCTAAGATGGCGCCGAGGGAGGCAGCATTTGCTACCGTGGTGGGCGTGGCGGCAGCGTCCGCGGTCGATGAGGTCGGTGCGATCATGGTTGCGGAGTGAGCGACGGCAGTGATAGAAGGAGGCCACATCGTCGCATCGTTGAATGCAGGGTTGTCGTGAGCGAGCGGCGCCTGCGCCTGTGACTGCCAAAAATCACTGGTACCGCTGTGGTCCATGAAGGGGGCTCGCGTAGCGGACGGCGAGGAAGCGGCTGCTTGAATCAGAGGAGAGGCCGCATTGGTCGAGCTTACAAGAACAGATCGGTTAGCTCGCCCCTCAGAGATGGCAGCGTGGGATCCATCATCTGGCTGCCTGGGCCAAGGCGAAGTCAGAACAGGGGCGACAGTAGGCGACGACAGCGAGAGCGGGGTAGCCTCAAGCACGGCTAGGCATCGTGCAGCTCTTGGCCAAGCATTCGCCTGCTGATGCAGGGTCGCTTTGATCTTACTCAAATGAGCTGTGAGCATGTCCACGTGATGGTGCTCGGTGGCTTGCGCTCGTTGGATGCCCCGCGCTAGCTCGCACCCGGCAACGAAGAGAGACTCGACGCACCAGGGAGGAAGCATGGCTTGTTCAGGGTCCGCAGGGAGGTAAGGGTCATCTAGTGCGACTGAAATGTCCATCGCGGCCCGCGAACTGGCCTGCCTCCTCTCTGAAGTAGTGAAGCGACCATGCAGGAGAATGAAAGCTTGGGACAAGACCAACTTGGTAGAGAGCGATGCTTTGGCCAGTGCGGCGACCTCGTTGGCCTGCATGTCCCCATTTGCCAGGGTAGGCAAGGGTGGCAGCTGATTGTGCAAATTGAGCGAGCATTGAACCAGCTTGCGCTCCATGTCCTGCAGTCTGGTGCGGCTAATTGGCGCGAGGGAGTAGAGGTCGACACAGAGTTGCTCGATGTGAATCGCGAGGCAGCAGAGGTGCTCGGTCAAGCGCAAAAGGAGGTGCGAAGCACGCTCCGAAGTGAGAGTGTCGCTCATACCTACAGCTGAGGTGGAGTCTGGCCCCGCTGCAGGCATGTAGGGAAGTGCGTCACAGAAGCTTGCGTTGATTAGAGGTGGGTGTCCTGAGGCTACTTGCAATTTGTCAAGGATGAGGCAGCCGGCCCAGGCCATGCGGCGTACTGCGGATCCTTGTTCGTCGCCCACGACGAGGCCCTCAACATGCTCGCCGCGATGTAGGCCGAGTGCGTAGGCTGCCGTGATGGATTGAGAGAGGTAGGCGCCACACAGAGACTCGTCATCTTGGCCTGTGGCCCAATAGGCCAGTAGTTCAAGGCAGAGCACTTTGCTGAGGGATGGGCGAGAGCGAGTGGGATCCAGGAGGCACGCGGCAGATCCGCACTCAAGGAGAGGGGTTCCAGCTCCGTTGCTGAGTGAGAGGGCTACAACGACTGGCGAGCGGGTATGACGAGAACGAAGGAGTCAGCTGGCCGCGACTAAAGCGTTGAAACACCGAAGGAAGTATTCACCTTGTTCGAGAACATCGATGGTTGGGTCATCCCTCGCCGCACGCTGAGCGTCAAACCAGCCGCGATGAAGGACAGCGAATGTCGGCTGAATCCGCTCGAAATAGGCGGCAATTGCCTCTTCCTTGGCGTGAGCATCCAGGAGTGCCAAGGGCGTGATCGTGCTAAGCCGAGGCGACGCCAAGGGCAACCGCCACTTGCCGTCGATGCAGAGTGTGTTGCCTGCGGCTACCTTACTGAGTGCGCAGGGGAGACCGTGGTAGCAAGGAACCCCTCCTTCGTCAACGAGAGAGGTCTGCGGCTGCCCGTCAATCAGAGTCACGTCTATAGTGCATTCCTCGCCGTTGACGTCTCGAGGAGCGCCGCTGGAGAAGGGAACTTGATGGGATGAGGAGATCTTGCCCCGATGGTTTGAAGCCTCAGCCAGGAGGACCGCAGCCTGGACAGACGAGTTGGAGCGGCGGGGTCTAGGCGCGGTAGGCGCAGGTGCAGATGTGCCAGGCCTAACGTCCTCCTCGCCAGCGTCGGGCTCGGCGTCTCGCACAGAGAATCGCGCAGAGATGCTCTTCGCTGCCGAAGAAGAAGCAGCTCTAGCCGGTACGCCAGGCATAGCTACCCACCACGAGTCATGCCATGTCACGCCATGCGGCCCAGACCCCTTCTTGAGCGTCTGCTCGCCATCACCTGCCCTCGCCTCCCTCGCAGCTGAGAATCGCAATTTACCGCTCAACACCTGCTCAAGAGCCGTAGGGCCGACAAGGTCAGCAAGGAGGTCCCGGGCACGAGAGTCTTCTTCGCAATTTGCAGCGAGCTTGGAGAGAAGGGTGTCCTCCATTGCTTCGAGGCGGCTGATGACGGCTGAAAGGTAGCCTTTAGGTGGGCCACGCTTGTGCGAAGGCCCTTCGAATGTGCAGCGGAGACCGAGGAGGAGGCATTGCGTACAGGTGTCACTGCGTTCGGATGAAGGGATGCATCGGCACTTCTGCTCGCGGCATTTGTCGCAGGCCTGAACAGGAGAGGCATAGGGTCAACGGATTTGAACCTGGATTGTTCGGAGGGTGCAGCCACTCACCTTGGTGCTCCTCGTCTTCGGCTTCCTCTTGGCGCTCTTTGTCGTGGTGTGGCCTTCATCCACATCTGCTTCGCTGGAGCTACTGCACTCCTCAGCTTTGCCGATGATGAGCGCGGCAGCGTTGGTCGCGAGGTTGCGCTTCTTCACGGGTCGTCGACTCGTCATTGTTGTCGACAATGGGGCAGCCGATTCAGTGCGACTGTGTGTGGTGCTTGCCCTGAGGACGCGCTTCTCGCTGGGCATTGAAATTGCAGCTGGGGGCGAGCCATTGAAGGTTGGGGCGGACATCAAGCTCATTCCGCTGATGATGCTGTTTCGACGAGTGAAGAGGCTGTCGCTTGCCGGCTGCTCAGAGCTGACGGTGACCGCGAGACCAGCCAAGGAGTAGCGCCTAGTGCCCTCGAGAGAGGGGGACTGATGAAGGTTTTCTGGCTGAGGATAGAGGACTTCGCTGGAAGCGCACGTCAAGCCGCCGCTTGAGTGAGTAGCATGACTGATGCTTGACAAATCGCTGCTGTCCCTCGAGGCATGACTGCTTCTCGTCGCGGAGTCTGGGCCGCTGCTGCGGGTAGCTCCATCTACGTGGCCGAGACCCGGCGCGACCAAGGGCCGCTCACCGTCTTGAGTACCATCCTTTTGCTGTGCTTCCTCAACCTGTACGGCATCGAAGCAGCTGTTACGACGAGACGCTGCTTTGTTGGAGCAGAGTGTCGACGATGGTGTGCCAATCATCGAAGACATCTTGCAGTCGTCCTTGCCATGAGCTTGATCGGCCAATTCTTCTTGGAAGATCTTGAGAGCGGGGCAGTTTACGCGGAGGCAGGGCGATATTGAGCCATTAGTGGGGCGATTAGGCAGAGCGGCTGACGTGCCAACTAGGCTTGCTCACCTTGGCGCACATTGCCAACCTAGAGGGGCAGTGAGACAGAAACGCTGTAATGGCAGCTGTGTGGGGAGAGAAGGAGCAGAAAGGCGGTGAGGATTGAATGCGGATCTATGCAGAGGGATGGTTTGATGAAGTAGAGCTAAGCATAGCAGACACCAACCGGCAACGTAGCGTGGCTTCTCGATCCGGCGTGGACGGCAGAACCGTCGAGGGTGAGATACTACTTTCGACCTCGACTGCCCGCCGACCGATTCATTGATTGGAGCCATGCCAAGGCAAGACTATCTCGGAGGCAGCTGAGCATGGGCGGGCAGTCCTGGCCGTCTTTGCCCTGGCGAACACAGGCGCAGCCATCGCGCTCGCATTGTGCTTGCCTCGACGACTTCCAAGACGGCAGCGGCGGCCAGCCTTGGTCGGCAGAAGCGGCGGTCAGGCACCAGGGAAATCTGGCCGGTCGACGCTGCGAAGGGGTGAAATGGTTATTCCTGATGGACCTAGCTTCGTCCGCCGACGGGTTCTCGAGAGCACCGCGGCGAGGATGGCGAAGGCGGCGAGAAGACGTGGTCATGGTCATCATGGTGAGAATGCTGTTGCTGCGTGCGCTTAGATTACAATGTACGTGGACGAAACTTTCGGCGAGATGCAGAGCCTAGATACCCTCCTCCTTGAGGCGAAGAGCCTTGGCCGGCGCCTCGATCTGCGTGGACGAGGACGAGGGGGGGCGAGTCAATGAGGGGTGAAGGCAATGGCACCTCCCATCTTCGCCCGCTTACCTTCCTGAAGAGCTGCTCTACCGTCATCTCGCTGCCCGTATCCACTCTGAGCTTCTTCATGTCGCTATACACTGCCTCGATCCACGCTTCGCTGCCCTTGGTCGCCTGGATAGCCACCTGAGGGACGGCCTGGTGCTTGGGTGAGGGCTTGGCTGGCAATGCTGCGAGGAGCTGGCGTGATGAGCGGACGCCGCTGGTCGTCGAGAGATATGGCAGTCCGAATGTGAGGGAACTGATGTGCTTGAGAGTAAGAGCAGGCGGCATGATGGGCAGGTCAAGGCGTCGTCGAGGCTAGAAGATCACGGGCAACGAAGGATGAGGACAAGGCGGAAGGAGCAAAAGGTGCAGGCAGATCTGCGCGCCAAAAGCCACTAGGCGGACGTGGCCTGACCCTCGCCCGCGCTTCCCTCACGCTTTCAGCCAGCTAGCATTGAAGCACATGAGCCTGTTTCACAACTGAATGCTCATGGGCTTTGCGGGCGATGTCAGTCCTCCTCGCTCTTCGCTACCAGGCCTAGAGATCGCGCGGCTTGTTCGGGCCTGAGTTGGGTCGCATCTCACAGTTTTTTCTCCTGCCGATTGCCCCTCAATCTCACGATGACGACAGCGACAAGCACGCTCATTCAGTTTGAGCTTCGCAACGTCTCCCTCGAGCTGCCTGAAAGGGCAATGTCGTACAAGTCTTCAGAAGTCATGGGCGCAGGACTCGTTCAATGAGTGGGCGACATGGCTGCTCGCCGCTCGCCGCTCGCCGCTCGTCGGACTGGCTCGACTCGGCGCGCTTGCCGGCGACGGCAACGTCGACGCAGCCCGTCCATTGGGCTCGATCTTCGACGTCAACTCCATGCTTGCGACGCAATGGCGTCGACGTCGACGGCAGAGCCACAGCGAGGTCCGGCAAATAACAGCAGCAAGAGACGAATTGGAGAGACTGGCTCTGACGGGCAAGCCGAGCTGTGCTCTGGGCGTAGACTCTCGACTCACCACCTACCGCCTGGCGCATGCGTAGATGTTCGTCTCGACTTCCAAGTCGCCGTTGAGCCCTGGCTAGGCGTTGCTGAGCTCAGTGGTAAGCCTTGGTGAGCGCCTGGCTTATAGTCGGTGGTCGGTGGCTCCGACGATCTTGACTTCCCTCTTTCCTCACCATCTCCTCAACCCCTTTTCTCGTATCCCTGTGTTCCTCGTAACCTCGTTGGCTCTGGTAGCCTCGTGTTCATCCCTCCACCCCCTACCTCTTACCACTTCCTCCTTTCATCGTAGACAGAAGCTGGGCTTCTCATCCACCGCCACTCCCATCACCACCTTCTACACACATCGACCTTGACGCTAGAGCTAGCCTCAACGTCCACTTCGAGACTCCCGACTTCTACCTCTACGAAGAACCCTTTCACGCCGGAGCACCTGCCTCTCTGCCTCTCCTTCATCGCCTTGCTTGCTAGCCAACAAGACCCGTGAAGAGCACGATTCGCAAACGCCCGCTTTTTGAACTCTCTTCCCCTCGTCACGCACCTTTACGTACTTCTGGACTGGTTCCATCTCGCGACTATCTCAGCACTTCATTCACCCACCTACACACCAAATACATTAGCTCAAAATGGTCTCTGCTCGCTCCAACACCATGCTTTCTCCCGCTTTTGCTCAACTCTCCGTGGCCCTCGCCTGCGCGATGCTCCTCGCCAACAACAATGGAGCCCACGCTGTCCCCCTTCGCGCTCGTGACGGCTCCCTGCCTCTGAGTCTCGACAACAACGCCATGTACCAGATGGGTGTCCCCGCTGGTGGATCCGACATGTACCAATCGATGCTCGCTCAGGACCTGGCTGCTCAACAGCAACTCACTGCAAGCCTCGCCGCCACGCCCGTCAATGGCGCCGTAGCTGCTGCTGAGACGAGTCCCGCTACCCCGTCCTCGTCGGTGCTGCCTGGCGACATGTTCTTCCAAGCCGAGGGTGTGGCTCAGCCCACCGCCGCCGTCGCTGCTCCCGTCGAGGCTGCTCCTCAAGATGCTGCCGTTGCCGACACCGTGGCTCCCGCCTCTATGCTCCCTGGCGACCTCTTCGAGCAAGCCGCCGGTGTACCGCAGCAGATTGAGATGGCTCAGAACAACAACGTCGCCAGGCGCAGCATCGGTCACGGTGCTGGTGCACGCAAGGCGTGGCGTCCTCGAGGCTCTTCGAGGATGGCAGCTTTCAAGCGTCAAGAGCCCGTAGCTGCCACCGACGCTACCACCGACCCCGACGCCGTGCCCAACATGTCTGCCTCTGCTCAAGAGCCCACTTCCGCTGCTCCTACGGAGACTCCTGCCTCGGTCGCTCCTCCGGACACCGCTGCCTCGGTCGCCCCTACGGACACCCCTGCCTCGGTCGCTCCTACGGAAACTCCTGCAGCGGACGCCGCCACGCAAGTCACACCTTCGGCCGCCCCAACTGACGCGCCCGCCTCAGTAGCCCCCACGGACGTGCCTGCATCGGCTGCCGATAGCCAGGCTCCCTCTCAAGCTCCTGCCTCGGAGGCACCGTCGACCACCCCGGCCACGGAGACACCGACACCCACGGACGTACCTGTGCCCTCTGCTGGTGTCACTGATGCCGCCAACAATGCCGCTTCAGCACCAGTAGCTTCCTCTGTCGCCCCCACCACCACCGAGGCTGCCTCTGTTGCTCCCACCACGGCTCCTGCTCCTTCTGCTGTCTCGAGCGAGGCCATCTCCCAGCTCAGCCAGGCTAGCGAGGTTGCTTCATCTGCGGCTGCAACTGCTGTCGAGTCTGTCGCATCGAGCTCGCCGTCGCTCGACGCCACCAGCTCGCCGACGCCCGATGCTACCAGCTCGCCATTGCCAGACGCGACACCCTCCGTGGCCTCGCAGGCATCTGAGGTTGCCACCGACAGCGCTACCCCCTCAGCCACGGACGCTGCCAAAGAAAATTCCAGCCAGTCCTCTTCGGCTACGCAAGACGCCTCTGCCGTGCCCAGCAGCGTTGCGTCTTCCATGTCCAGCAGCGAGGCCGCCTCAGCCTCCTCAACCGAGTCAGTGCCCGAGCCTACCTCAACGCCACCTGCTGAGAAGGCGGCTTCGTCTGCGTCTCAATCGTCTACTTCATCAACCATCGACGAGGCCAAGGCTACCAGCTCGCCCTCGCCGGACGCTACCAGCTCGCCATTGCCGGAGGCTACCCCCTCAATGACCTCCAAGGCCGATGAGAAGGACGACCCTCAGACGTACACCATGACCCTGACTCTGGGCAACGCCAAGGGAATGGAGACAGCTAGCGTGTCGGAGTCGACCGCGTCGCCGACGCCTACGACTGACGGTGACAACGACGCTCCTTCCTCTATCGTCGAGCCCACCTCGACCGCTTCGCGTGCTCAGATGACCTCTGCCAGCGAGAGCGCTGCTCCCTCTTCGTCGTCCGCCAGCTCGTCCAGCGCAAGTGACGAGGCCAAGTCTACGGCGAGCGAGCCTGTCCCCACCATCGAGCCCACCTCGACTCCTACCGGAGACAAGGAGGCCCAGTCGACTAACGAGTCCTCCATGGCTTCCTCAACGTCCATCGCTGAGGAGTCGGCCGCCCCCTCTTCGACTCAGTCTACCTCCGAGGCTCAGAGCACCGCCAGCACCGATGCTGAGAAGGGTGCCTCGAGCAGCTCGTCCGCTGCCCCTGCAGAGAGCTCGCCCGCTGACAATGGTGCACCTAACCACATCGCCGGGTCACGCACGACGATTGACGGTCAGATCTGGGAGGCTATGACAGTCATTGTCCCCATGGGCACTACGGCCGACTACAAGCCCCGCAACGAGTGGCGTCCTCGCGACCACCTGCCCAAGGCTACCGGCCTCGCCCGCCGTGACAACAATGGTACTTTGCCCCCTCTCCTTCAGCCCACCACTACTGCTTCGTCCTCCTCGGCAGCACCGACCTCGACGCTGAGCACCGGTGGGTCCAAGGCTGACGACAACTCGGCAGACGACGATGAGGACGACTGTGATGATGGCGAGTCTGAGCCTACGACCAGTGCGGCAAAGACGACGGCCAAGGCGACCACCTCGGCCAAGCCTACCACCACAACCTCAGCCAAGCCTACTTCGACGGCCACCTCCGCCAAGCCGACGACCTCAGCCAAGGCCACGAGCACGACCTCGACGGCTGCGAAGACGACAGCAACTGCCCCCGCTGCCACCTCGACGGGCTCTGGATCTTCCAGCAGCACCGCGGCCTACACGACCTTCTGGAGCAACCTGCAGAAGCTCCTCAACAGCTCCGCGGACACCACTCAGCAGTCTTCGATCTGGGCTTCGCTGAACAAGGCATTCGGCTTCAGCAAGAGGGGAGAGGAGCTCCTCGAGGGAGAGGAGTGGGAGGAGAGAGAGTTTGAGGAGGCCATGGAGGGTGTCTGGTTCGTCAGGGATGAGTAGGTGGTGACGTAAGATGTGTGCTATGTGCTTTAATGTCGTGAATGATATCCTATCCAAGTTACGATGACCACCAAGATGTGATTGGGTGAGCCTGACTGAAACGAGATGAGGTGGGACAGATGGACCCTGATGAGCGAGCTCGCTGCTCGTTGAACCCGCCCGCCAAGCTGACCCAGAGAGGACGCCAAGGACCGTTCGCCTTCGTTTCGTCATCGTGAGCTCATCGAGCACCGCCCCTTGCACTCATTCGCTTGTTCACCACCCCGTGCTCACTACAGACGCGCCTCTGTCGCGCCCTCACGGATGAGATGGCCTTCGACAACAGTGTCCCTTCAATCGTGCTTGCTTGTTTTTCTGCTTCCCATCGGCACCACCCGCATCTTCCCCTCGCCTTGCATCTCAAGAAGCTCAACCTCTCACTGGCAGGCACGCGGGTGCACGTCCTGCCGGCGGGAGGGCGGTCGGGCGTCGTCGTCGTCGCCGCGGGCGGCTCGCCGGGCTCGAGCTCCAAGACGATGCACGACGGACGCGCCTTCGACTTTCTTTCTCCGTCTCGACAGATGAGGCGTGCGCAGACGAGATGACGGGTGGGTCGGTGGGGTCTTGGCACGAACGAGAAAGCGAGCGAGGTGGACGACAGAGCAAGCAGAGCCTTGCATGAACGAGGGACGACCTTGATTGCTTTCATTTATTGCTTCGCTACTCCTCTTCGTCCTTTCTTGCATCTTCACGGTCACCAACAGCATCCTCCTCGTCGTTCATTCCGCACTCACTGTCCCTCCATCGAGCGACCAACTCATAGCGGGCCGTGAACTTTCAATTTCTTCCCCGCCCCAGACGCCGCCATATCTCGACGTATCCGTGCTCCTCTCCGCTTCCTCCTCCTCTTTCCCCTCTCCGCTTGAACCCCTCGAGCGGCTTTCGAAGAAGAGCGGCTTACGCCCTCTGACCATTCACATTGCGCCAAGAAGAGCCAAGGAGTAAGACCTCTCAACAACAACGAGCAGTAGTTGCGACTCGACGTCGTTTTCGTCTTTCCCGACACCATATCCACACCGTCTTCGTCCTCGACCAACAACTCGTCGCGATGGTTCGCATTCAAAGCTTCCTCTTCGCTACGACCACAGCGCTCGTCGTGCTCCTGCTGAGCGGCACAGAGATCGCTCAAGCTGCTATTATCCCCAACGACGTGAGTACAGCTTCGCATCATCCATCTGGCCGATCCGCATCAACCTTGCTAACCACACCTCACCACCCTCATCTCGCGCAGCATCCTGTCCCCAAACGCTCAGACGCTGCTCCATCAACGCGGGACCAATCCAGCTCTTTCCTACCCTTCGGCCCGGGCTCCCTCCCTCCCCTGTCGAAGAGAACGAAACGCTCTTATCTGAGCTCCTGGTTCTCACTCCAGTCCGACCCACAAGACCCCAATAACAATCCCGCTCTCGACTCGTCGTCAGACAGTGTCGAATTTTCGTCGTCGGGCAGCCTCAATCTCCTGCGAAGCAAGAAGGAGGAGCTGCTTAACCAGGCGCAAGAGGCCGCTCAAGAAGCAGAGGCGGAGGAGCTTGTGGGCGGGAAGCTTGCAGCGGCTGCTGAAGGGGTAGACGAGGACGACGAGGAAGCTGCTAGGGTTGAAGGGGGAGGCATGGTCGGTGCGTGGTGGCAGAGCCAGAGGAGGAGACAGAGGGAGAGCAGGATGTGGAAGCTGGAGGAGCAGAAGCCGGCGGCCAAGGGCAAGAAGAGATTGAGTGGATGGTCAGGCTTGTAGTGGACTCTGCGTATGGTCTTTCAGTGTTCTCCCAGTACCCAGTGTCCAATGAGCATGCTTTCGATATCCTTTCCAGCTCGGCGCCATGAGGGCGAGGCGGCGGAGGAGAGTGTGTTGGTCTCTGTGCGGCGCGTATTCGCCTCCACCATCTTCCCTACTCAACCTCAAGAGTCAACCTCTTCGTTCACCCAATCATGGAGGAGCTGCAGAGCGGCATGGTCTCGCTGCAAGTTGGACAAGGTCGAGCAGATGCTATCGTTGCACGGTACATCGAACATTATCATGGCAATTCACAAGCCGCCAAGGCCTTGTGCAGGGAGCTCCGTCGAGGCGCAGAGGGCCAAGAGGTGCCCGACCTTCTTGACGTTCTCGCTCACTACGACAGGTCGGCAGGCCCTGCTCTTCCATCGGCCACAATCAGCCAACATATCTCAAACGCAGCGCTCCCTACGCCTCTACTCCCCGGTCCCCTCCGGTATCACATCACTCACACGCACTCCACCCTCCACCCAAGCAATATTCTCTTGCTCCGCTCCATCCTTCTCCCCACACGACGCTTCGATACTTCACTCCCGGACCCAGACTTCGTCACCTCTCTGACACCCTGCCTCCTCACATCAGGCGCCGACAAGAGGATCCTCTTCTCCCTACCCGACTCGGGTGAAGTCATCGAAGCATTCGAGCCTGCTGCTCGCCCTGGGTTGGTAGATGGGGGACATACAGCCCCGGTGCTCGATGTTGCGCAGCATCCTCGAGAGAAGAGGGAACTGATCACCGTGGGTATGGACGGGAGTGTCATCCTCTGGGACTTGCTGCTCCGCAAGCCCGTCCTGCAGCGCAGTAAGGATCATGCGAGATTTGTCGTGCGTTGCGTTTGGAGTGAGGACGGAGAGTGGCTGGCGACTGCAGGATACGACAAGAAGATAAACATCTACCAGCGCGAGGTGGGCCAGAGTGATAGGATGGACGACGATACCAAGGAGGATGGTATTGAGGTGCAGCCCCTCAATACCAGCTTGACGCTTCGCCAAAGTATCGTCACGCAGGGCAATCCAGAGGCAATCGTATTCCTGCCCAACGACGCTCAGCCTCCAGACGTGCCCGGACCGACATCGCCCTGGCTCGTCTGGACACAGCGAGAGGACTGTCACGTTAACTACCTCCAAGTCGGCGTCGCTGATGCCCAAGCGACGTCGCTGCGCTTCAACACCAACCCTTCACCGACGGATACGCACGTATCCTACTCGCTTCTCTCCCTCGCTCTTCACCCGACGCTGCGCCTTCTCTCCATTGTAACCGGCTCGCACGCTACAGAAGGGGCGGTCAGCCAGATCTTACTGTTACCTCTCTTCTCGGGCGAGCGGGTGCAGACCATTCACACGACGGTACCCAGCTCTTCCTCTTTCGTTCCGCGCCAAGCGTGGTTCACGACCCCCGAAAATGCCAGTCGAGGGGAGGGCGTTTGGGTTGCGAGCGAGCATGGCCGCCTTAAGCTGTACGATCTGGCCACGGGCGAAGAGAAGGCCGACATCGGAGTGCATGGCGCAGCGAGTGAAAGCGTGGACGGTGGAGGTGGCGCAGGGATGAGCGCGGAGGAGAAGGCAAAGAGATGGAGAATGGGTACTATGAATGGAGTTATCAAGGATGTGTGAGTGCGAGCGAGCTGAAGGCAGAGTGAGGACGTTTGCTGACCATCTTTCCGATCTGATGCTTGCTCGCAGGATCACTTTGAGCGACGGACGTGTGGCAACGTGTGGCTTCGATCGTACCGTCAGAATATTGGAGCGCGCCAATTGAACTTGTCCCTCTACCAGCGCGCCTATGTACATCTGTTCCATCATGCTCGCTCTGCAGCCTACGCCTTGGTATCCTGCTTTGCGCCACTCTTGATCTGCCCCTGGATCGTCTCCCTCACACTCTCTTCAAACCCAATCAAACTCCCACCACAGAGCTCCTTGAACCTCGCATTCTTGACCAGCGTCGCATCAATGGTATCCTCGTCTCCTTCCTTCGGAGCAGCAATGATGCCCTTCTTGTCGGGAAAGTCTCTGATCAAGACACGAGTGCAGTCACTCCATCCAAAGGGACCAGTGAAGCCCAAGATGCGCTCATTCCCCACATCATCCCTAGCGATAGCGGCAACGTGAGCCTTGGCGATGTCACGAACATTACAGAAGTGCTGAGGCGAGGCACTGTCATACGTCGCCGTCTCGCCCTTGTACAAGCTCCAAAGCCACTCGCCCGGGATAGAGGCCGCTCCCTTTGGGAGGATGGGTTCGCCCAAAGTGGCATTCGGGTGCACAGTGGTGAAGGTCAAGTTGTTGCTACGCTTGGTGTCTTCGAGCCATTCCCATGCTGCTCGTTCAGAGAGGATCTTGGATGTGGCGTACATGGCCATGGGTAGCTTTCCGGGCGTTTTGTCTGTTTCTTCGCCTTTGGCCTGCTTGTCTGCTTGTTGGCGGGCGAAAGTAGGCATTTCGTCGTCCCAGGTGTCATGGTCCCAGACTTTGGCTGGGTGAGCAGGGTCGAACTTCGAGCGTGGCACACTTGAGGGCTGGCCAAGGGCTACAGATGAGGAGGTGAGGACGAGGCGGGTGACGGAGGGGTGCTTTGAGATGGTATGGAGGAGATTCTCGATTCCGGCCTGCGAGTAGGATAGACGTGAGTTTATGCTGTTTGCTCGCTTCGCCTGCCTGCGGCAACGTACCTTGGAGTTCTCGATGACTTCCCACGTTTCACCAAAGCTGACATCCGTAGCCAGGTGAATGACACCTTTCACATCGTCGTCGATGATGCCTTCGTATGCGCCTGGGGCAGCCATATCCTTGACCAGAGGAGTCTCCAGTCGGCCTTTGCCGAAGTGCTTCTCAACATATGAGGTGAGCCCAGCTGCCTTTTCCTCCGAACGGACAGGGCAGCGGATGCGGTAGTTGTTCGGGTGGGCGAGCAAGGCAGAGGCAGTGTGTGAGCCAATGAAGCCAGTTGCGCCCGTGATGACGACGAGGGAGCCTTTGGGCAGTGCCGGCTGGAGAGGACGCTGCGCTGCGTGGGCGTGGTAGGCGGGCATATCGAGCGAGTGGTGAGAGGTGGAAGTGAGTGGAAGTCGTGCCAGTGTGTGGTAGTGAAGGTGGAAGATGACCTTTACACCCTACATTCATGGGGACGTCTCTCTTTGCTGCTGACCAGAGCCCGGTTGGAAGAAGCGCGGGGTGCCACTTGCCGCCGGCCATAATCCAATGGAATCGCGGGCTGAGCAGTGCGCTCGAGCCACGCGCCAAGCTGCATGACATCACAGTGCGAGACGAGACAAGCCTGCGTGCCTCGTGGATAGGCGGGGCGGGGACGCCGACTGAGTGGAGTTGGGACGAGCGAGGCGAGGCGAGGCGAGCGAACGGAGCGAGAGGCACAGTGAGAGAGAGAGACGAGCAATTGCCCCTTGTCCGCATGGAAGCAACGAGGCAGCCAAAGGCATCCAACCGATCGATCACCACCAACTTCAACACACCTTCTTATCTACCTTACCACCGCAGTCCGTACCACGCCATGACCATCCTCAACATCCACGCTGGCTCCTTGCCCAGCTTCGCCCTGCGACTCAAACCAGCAACCGACTCGCTCACAACGCTGCGCGAGCGCAGTGCTGCAAAGGTCCGGCTGCAGCTGACCGACGGGATCCCACTTGCCCTCAAGTACGGTTGGAAGGGTCAGCGCTACTCATTGGAGGACGACGACGATTGGGAGATCTTCTTGGAGAGGGTTGGCGATGAGAGGGAGGCAGATGGTGAGTCTCAGTCTGGAAAGACTTGAGCGTTCGAGTGTATGCTCATCCTTTCCCCTCCGTCGTCCCCCCTAGTCTACCTGTCATCACCTGAGATTCCGGAAAAAGAAGACAGTGACCATCATGAGGGAGCTCAGCAGGCCAATCTTCCGCTCATCGACGAGTCCACGCTCGTAGCCCGCACGCCCGGCAGGGGCAAGGGAGGGTGAGTAGTCGCGAGGCAGCAGCGGAGCTGCACCGCCCATGTTGGTCCTTGATAGCGGGCTGACATCCTCTCCTCTCATCGCCCTCGCGCAGCGCCATCTCAATCCACCGCGTCAACCGCGATGCCGTCACCTCCGTAGACGAATACGTCGACGCGGGCGGTGTCTCCGGCGGTGGCCGTGATTCGATCCTCTACCCTCCTCCACGCGAGCCGCAGCCCATGCCTGGCTTCTCACAGATTAAAGTCCCCGAGCAGCAGACGAGCAGCAGCAGCATCCACCCAGGCCACGACAGCGGCGATGCTGGATCGGTCCGCACGTCCAAGACCAAGAAGACGACCGCAACGGCAGCGTCCATGACTCCCAGCCATAAGATCGCCTTCCAGGAGTTTCACGCTCAGCTCGGCGTTCGTCTCCTCAAGGGCTCCCTTGGTCCTGTCCAAGATGTGCCCATGATGCTCAAGAGCGGTTATCGCCACGTCTACGTTTCGCGCTCCTTTGCCCTCAACCACGGGTTCATCCCCAAGGACACGACTCCGGGCACCTACGGGTTCAACGGCATCACCAATTTGGGCAAGTGGCCCGTCCAGGTTGGCAGCAAGGCTGTTAGTTGCACGGTTATGTTGGCAGAGGATTCGTACTTCCCTGTCATCTTGGGTAGGAGCTTCATGGAGAAGAGGGGAGTCAGGACCGACCCTGTTGACCCGCTCAATGTCGTCTTCATGGACAATGGAGAGAGGCCTGACGTTGAGGTCGTTGTGGTTAGGGATGAGAAGGGGGAGATTGTCACGGTTACGTAGGCGACGAAAAGGGGTTTAGGTGGCAGGTGAGCGAAGCCACGATGTTCGAAGTCAGATTCAACTCCTCTGCTCCTTGATAATGCTTCAATTGGTTCACGCGCTCTGGCGTCAGGTGTGAGCATCTTTTTCGCGTGGAGTCAAGGAAGGAGAGACGCCGCAGATCACGACCAAATGCATCCGTAGGTCGCAGCAGGCTCACGCGGACCATCCTCACGCCAGTCAGCAGATCGTTGAGACGGCTCGTACCTTCATTCACGCCGTCAATGCCTTGGTGATCGCGTCTAGCAAAGGCTGACTGCTCAGACATTGGATCATGATCGTCGTTCCTCTCAGCACGAAATAGCAGCCACAGACCCCGCATTAGCCCCCGCAGCAGCACCTGCGTTCTGTCTAATCTGCTCCATCTTCTGCAGTATAGCCAGCAGAGACGTGACCACCAGTGCATTCCATTCCCCCTTTTCCTGGGCCCCCGTCGCCAGACCGTAAGCTTTTACTGCGTCCGAATGCCAGACGAGCTTGCCCCTCTTCTTTTGGAATGCCCAAGCTTTGCTGAATCGTCTTGGAGCGACGTAGGTGCAGATTAGTTGCTCGTTGCTGGAGAGGGGGAGGGAAGAGAGGAGGTCTTCTGAAGAAGAAGTGTGCGGGGGGCCCTCGTCTGCTTCTTCGTCGTCGTCGATCTTGATGTTCTGAGGCTTCTTCAGATCGTCCTCCGAGGCGGTGGGGATGACTTTAGCGTCTCCACTGTCAGCGAGTGTGGCTTCGTCCTTATCGTCGTCGTCGTCCTCCTCCTGCTCTGCTGACTCCTCGTCATCTCCCACCTCACTTGCCGGCAAATCGCCCCCGACCACGCGAACGAGGGACCAAGTGCTCATCCAATTCCTCGAACCCTTCCAATCCCCTTCCAATGACTTGCGCAAAGCCACCTTATCCTGTGTGTGAGGCTCTGATCTCCACTCGAAGACCTCGTGCCCACCACCCTGCCCCATCGAGCTCGGTATGACGAGCCGGTACTTGCTCGAACTTCGAGTAAGCCGCTCCATTCTTACTGGCTCGGTGGTCAGCGTTGAAGAAGAGCTGGATGAAGCCACCTTCAACTTTTTCACAGAACGACGACAAGCATCTCGAGCCCCTCGTGCATCCAAGCCCGGCCAGACGCGTAGGGTTGTCCATTTGCTTTGATGCCATTTTGCCCAATCTGCCGTTGAGGACATGAGTGCCTTTGCATCCTCCTTTTGGCCATGTGAGGTGATCAGGAGAGAAGGAGTGCGCCAGTGCCCGAGCTCGACGACTTCGTAGAGACGTCCTTGCGGGGCTGAGGAGGACGAGGTGGTGGGAGAGGAATGCTGGAGGCGCAGCTTCGTCGAGAAGTTGGAGGGGGAGTCGAGGTCTTGCACTAGAGGCGTTGGACCGAAGATCGAGCTCGGCAGAGGCAGCATAATCGTCGCTTGCTCAAGCTGAAGGTGGTGATGGTGAGCGATGAGTAGCAGGCAGCCAAAAAAGGCGGAAGAAGGAGGATTGCTGCAAGCCTCTGACGCTTTCGCTGCTTCTCGGCGCCATTGAACCTGCGAGCAAAGCTGCGCGTGCCTGCATCTCGGCGCACGGACGTATCTTCCTCCCTGCCCGCTCTAGCGCTTGGATCGCGATTGGCAGCCGTCTCCGCTCACCAGTCGTCGTCACAACCGTCATCAGAGCTTGAGCTTCTTCGCGCGGGAGGACAGAGCCATCTTCTTGCGGTGCATGGTATGCTGATTGCATTGATGAATCGAAGGTCGCTACGGTATTAGGCCGGCCGAATCGAGGGCTTCACGAGCTACGCGATTGATGAGCTGCGAGAGGGAAAGGTAGAGAGAGGAGCGTGAGGAGCAAGATGACAGTGGACCTTCTCGCTATGCCTCACCTTGAAACGATCTGCGCCGAGATGAATCCCACCGTACCACCTCGTCACGACGACGAGGACATTCTCGCAACGCTGCATTGCGGCGAAAGAAAAACGACACAGTGTCAGCCTCGAGCAGCCGTCACCTTGCGCACCGCTGTCTGCTCACCAGCGTATCAAGTAGATGTGCCAAACGACCCCCAGCCGCCGACTCTCCATCGTCGTCATTGTCTCGATGTGTCACCTTCTTGCCCTCCCTCTGCTCGGTGCACACCCACGCCCGCATCAGAGGGTGGGTGGCCTTATCCATTCGCGGATACTTCTCCATGAGGGACTCGAGAAGGTAAGGTACCTCAAGGGGCGAGTGTAGAGGAACGGCATGACCCACGAAAGTGGACTTGCGCTCTACGACGGCATCCGTTGTGGTCCATCGCTTGCTGCGAGCACTCAGTGCTTCGGGAGGTACGGGTGCTGGCTGGGATGGCTGTATGCTGCTGCTACTACTTGATGCTCTCGCTGCTTCCTCGCTGTTATCCTGCCGCCGCCGTTGCGCCTCATCTCCGGCTGCTCCCCTCTCATCATTGGCTCTCCTCTCTTTGTCCCGTTTCCCCATCTCCTTCAACCACGCCTCGACCTTTCCTTTCACCTCCTCACACCCCTCAAACAATACCGCCCTGCTCGCATCCCCCTCCTCGCCCCAAGGCTCATCGTGCGACGAGCGAAAGATGCGCAGCACTTCGCTGAAGAGCTTTGTATCCACCTCGTATGGCCCGAGGAAACGGTCGAGGAGCTGCAGCTGGGGTGGGGAGGTCGATGCTGGGTAAGAGGGCGGGAGGGAGATGGAGAGGCGGAGAGAGCTGGGTGAAGGGGAGGGGGAATCAAGGGGCAGCTGGAGCTCGAGGCGAAGCTTGCAGTTTGAGGTCCATTGCGATGATGATGACGAGGAACCAGCAGGATCGATGGACACTACGCTCAACCGATCATCGGCGTAGATCGAGTCCAGCGCTAGGAGCTCGTCCGCTAGGGTGCGGGCAGCCTCGCGGGACGAGTCCGAGGGAAAGGCGAATGACGAGTCGTCTGCGGATGTAGTGATTTGCTCTATGAGCTCCGAGATGCTAGGACGGGGCGCATCTCGCGCCATCAGGATGAGAGGGGCAGGATGGACAAGGTAGGAAAGGAAGAAAGGCACCGAGCCCACGCGAGAAGTCGACTTTCTCTCTGTCCGCCCTTCCTCCCGTCCGTCCGCCTTGCCATCCAGCCGAGTCCAACACTTCCAAATCTCTACGGTCACAACGAGAATGAATGCAATGCGAAATCGTGAATTTGACAGAAAAGGCGTGCATAGAGACAGACACAGGACTCGTTTCCCTCACTCCCTCAGCTCATCTTCAATCTCGCCCCGCCCCTTCCAAAGATCTTCCCCAAATCAACGTATCGCCTATCATTGCGATCGAGATATCGGCCCACCGTCTTCGCAAGCGCATCGAGGGCATCCCTATTCCTGGCGGCGAGGATCTTCACCTCGTCCAGCTCCGACCCAGCCTTGGTTCGCTCGAATGCCCGCGCAACGTCGAAGAGACTGGCGAAATAGCACAACTGGTCGTACAGCTGCTTATCCGAGTACTCTGGACCTACACGGCCCCTACACCCCTTGACGAGGCAGCGCGATGCGTACACGCCCAACAAGCGGGTACGCACACCGCACGAAGGCTCTGTGCATGCCTGCCATGCCGTGTAGTAGCGGCTGATGTGCGAGCGGATGGAGAGCTCCAGCTGGATGATGAGGCTGTTCAAGGGGAGCGGGATGGCGCACTCCACCGAGGAACAAAGGAGAACCCCCTTCGGTGAGAGACACGAGGTGTTGATTCCTTCGAAGTTGGTCGACGTCTTGCATCGCGGGCAGGTGATGGCCAGACGGTCACATTTGGCAAAGCGGACACTGTCCGGTGTCTGGCTGTCTAGGGTCACAAACTCCCTGTCCGGCACAGAGCTGGCGCTCACCGACGTGACTGCGTAGCGCGAGGCGTCGAGTCCCAAGCACTCGGCCAAGCGCCCACGGTCCGTCCCCTGGATGCTCTCACAGAGACGCTCCACGGGCGGCAAGATCTGCAGCGCGAGGTAATGCTCGAAGTCGACTTTGAGCTCCGACCCTTGCTTCCTCAACTCATCGGGATGATGCGCCCGATCCGCTTGTGCGCTCTTTGAGCTCGAAGCCCCGTCCTTGCCCAGACAGAAGATGTAAGGAATCACATCTCCCATCCTCGCGCCCAATCCCCTCTCCTGCATACGCAATGCGACGTGCACATGAGGTTGGCCGGAGATGTTGCTTCCGTAGGCCTTGGGGTCTTTGCCTAGGCGCTTGAAGACGATAAAGTCCTCCAGCGGGATTGTCGAAGAACCTACAGCCTCGCCGATGTCGGTTAGGTAGGAGTGGATAGAGGAAACGACATTCTCCGTTGATTCGCCAGAGAGGATCTGCTCCAGGACGTAGGACGAGACGTTCTTGCTCAGCGCCGAGTACTCGCGACGTTTCATGTCGAGGCCCTGGTGTGCGAAGATGGGGAGAAGACAATGTCAGCTACTGTTGCTCGCGCATGATACTCTCCACGCGCCATGCACTCACCTTGATCTCAGTGGACACCTTCTTCCTCTCCTCGCCGCTCGCCAGGATCTCAACCTCGTCCACCTTTCTCGCGGCGTACTTCTTCTTCTGAAGCAACAGCATGCGCTCAAACACGGCATCGGTATCAATCTCTAGCAACTTGTACCTCTCGTTGACCGCCCGCTTGAAGTCATTACCAATCTTGGCCGCCTGCGCATATGTGGTCGCATTGGTATTGATCATGACCGAGTCCGTGTCACCGTAGATGACGTCCAAGCTCAAGGACTCTGCGAGCTCCTTTGTCGCGGTGAGAATCTCACGCCCCTTGAAAGTGGTGAGGGCGGCCAGAGGGCGAGCGTAGAAGCGTGATCCTTCGAATCCGAGACAGCCGTACATGGAATTGGCGGTGAGCTTGAGCGCCAGTTGCTTGACGTTCCACTGCAACTGCTTGTGGGCGGGAGCGCGCTTGTCCTTCATGAGAGACTTGACTTGGCGACGACGCTCTACGAGCTTTGAAATGAGGTTGGGCAGGACACCTTGAGCCACGTCCGACGACGGGATGTCCGGGACGGTGGACGAGGGGTCCTCTTGCTCCTCATCCTCATTGCCTCCTGCAGCCGCGCTGGCGTCGTTCCAGCGGGCACGGTCTACGGTGGTAAAGTCGATGTTGTACTCCTGTATAATGGACGGATAGAGGGAGTTGAAGTCCATGACCAGGATGTAGCGATCCCACAAGCCGCGCTTGGGGTCGAAGACGAGACCGCCCTTGAACTTGTCCTTCTTGTTGCGCGACTTGGACCCAGCCGTCGTAGCAGGCGCCGCGCCACCATCTTCAGCCTCCGCCTCAGCAGCCGCAGCTGCCTTGGCCGCTGCTGCCCTCTTGCCTCCGGCGAGTTTGTCGGGAACAATGAACTTCCGGCGATGGAAATCGTGCAGCAGAATGTACTCGTTACGCTCTGCTCGACCTCCGGAGAGGGTGCGTGCCCATGTGTTGCCGGCAAGATTGGTGAGCTGCTTGGTGAGGGGGAGGATCTGCACCTTGTGCGCGAGGGACATGATGAAGAAGGAGTCCGTCTCGCAATGCTGAAGGAAAGTGAGGAGCTGCCTTGGGTTGGGAGCGGCCGAGTCGAAGTAAGAGGGCACATCGTCCGGATCGATGTCCTCTCGTTGGACCTTGAGGTGCGTGCCGACCATCTCCGTGAGTGACCAGGTGGTTGATGTAATCATCGACTTGCCGACGTCGCTGCCCAAGTCGCAGCACAGCCTGCCCTTCATGAGGCCCAAGTTCCACCCATTGCGCAGTTTCGGCCAACCTTGCCTCCTGAAACGGCCTAGCCTCGACCAGTGGTCAACGCGCAGCTCCCTCATGCGGGAGAGGAGCACATCAAGATCGTTGGCGGCAAAGTCGTGCGTGAGTACCACGTCTGGGTCGAGGAGCTGAAATTGCGCAAGCAAACCGTTGAGCAGTGCGCGCTCCCACTTGATCGCCTTGATGCGGCCACCTTGCTTACGGACTTCTGCTTCGAAGCCTACAGGCCACTGCCCGGCGAGAGGGCGCACAGCAGTCCAGAGGGAGCTCGGCCGCTCCTCTGGGTTGCGCACGTCTTCCAACTGAGCGTCCGTCCAGGTGCGAAGAGAGACGGCGACAATCTCGCGCTTGTTGGCCGCATGATTGTGTACAGTACGCATCGAGAGAGACATGATAGTGAGGGGCGGGTCGCGCGAGGCATCCGCCGCTGCGCCGTTCTCATCCTTCTTGTCGGTCGTCGCCTCCTGCGTCGCTGGCGAAATGAACTTGGCGTCGTCCACACTCCACTCGGCTTTACACCAGCTCAGCGGCTTCTCCGTAGGCAACGCGTCAGGCGACTCGATTCTCAGCCAGCAGGGCCCCATGATCTTGCGCTTGATCAAGAAAAGCTCCATCGCGCTCGTCTGCGTGCCAAAGGCGTGCGAGAATGTCTTGCCCTGTAGGTCGGAGGGGAGGGCGGGCTCGTCGAATCCGTACTTGACTTTGAGATACGTTCCGGTCGCAGGCACGCCTGGAAGCTCAAAGGCGTAGTGACGCGTCACGGTTTTGCCCAAGAAGTTCTTGATGCCCAGCTTGCCACGCAATGAGTCGAAGTCGTCATAGATGTCGTCCTCACTCGGCTCGACGTCGGTCATGTTGCCTTCATCGTCGACCTGGCGGTCTCGCTTGAGGAGGAAGACGCAGCGCTCCACCCCCTCAACGCGAACGCAAGCTGAGACGTACTTGCCCGTGGTGCGGTCCTTGACTTTGCCAATGAGCAGGATGATCCCTGCTTCGAGCTCAAGGTGATCCATCCAGTAGAAGGGGAGTGTGCCGTCGTCTGCGAGCGCGTTGACCTTTGAGCTAGTCGAGGCGGGAGCGGCGGCCTCGTTTGAGGCAGGTGAGCCGGTCTGTACGGTGTTGAGGGACGCGTTGATGGTCTGCCAGGCTGTCCGATCTACGGGCAGGGGTTGAGCAGCTTTGATCTCCTCGTCGACGGGCTCCTCCTTAACGCTAGCCACCTGCGGCTGTGCTGCGGCTTCTGCGCTGACGTTCATCCTCCTCTTGTTGGCGCTGGTGCCAGCAGGAGCAGCTCGCGTGATGCTCTGCACTGCCACCCCATCATCGTCGTCGCTGTCCTCATCGCTAGGCCCGCCGGTTTGCATACGCAATGCCCGAGGTCGGGTTCCATCGCCCTGCTGTTGTTGCTGATGCTTGGGTCTTGCATCAAGACCCATCGACCCAATCTTGCCGACCATCCCGGCTCCATTCTTGCCCCTGTTCAGCGCTGTGGCGGTCACATCGGCTGCACTGATCTCGCTACTCTCATCTGTGTCATGTAGACCCCACTCGTCACTGCCGCTGATGTGAACGGGTGCATCGGGACCATCTGAAGAGGGCTCGGGAAGATCGCTTGAGGGTGCAGAGCCTTCTGCCGAGGATGAAGAGGGAACGGCACGCTTTGAGCTGCGGTAGGTCACATTGGGCGCTCCACCCGTGCCGAGGCCGATCGTCGACGAGTAGGGGCGTTTGCGTGATGCTGATGCGGGGGAGCCAGCTGCTGGGCTGCCGGAGAGGAGCCCATAGCCAGAGGGACGACCGGGGTAGCCTCGTGCGGCGGGAGTGCGAGACGGGGTAGTCGACGACGCGGGGCCAGATGGCGAGCCAGTATCCGCACCGAGTCCACCCATAAGTCTTGCCATGAAGTCTTCCTCCTTCTCACGGTTGACCTTGGGTCTGTACGCGTCCATTGCAGCCTGAGATCGCTCCTCTTGAGCCTTACGCGCGCTATTGGAGGTAGAGATGCCGCTGCCAGAGGGTTTAGCAGGAGCTCGAGCGAAAGCGTTGACCAGCTTGTCTTCTGTGCTCCCGCTCGCTCCCTTCTTGCCACCTTTGCCGCCCTTCTTCTTGGGCTTACGCCTGCCCGTCCTCTCGTAGTAATCCTGCTCCGTTTCGCTCTCCTCACCGCTCTCCTCTTCGCCTCCGCTCCGCTCCCACTCGTTGCGCCCATCGTCGACGTAGGCACCTGTACCATCGTCGTCTTCGATGAAGTCGTCGTCCATCATTCTGCCGCGAAGGATGGACTTGTACTCGTTCTCTGTTACCTCGTCGTAGAGGTCGTCATCCCCTGATGAGGCGTCCTGGTACGTGGGAGCGGACGCAAGTCAGGCGATCAGCGCGGTCAAAGAAAGCTGGTCCAAGGCCACCGCAGACTCACATCATCTTGCTCGCGTTGGGAGGGCGCATTGACCCCACTACGCTTAGCCTTGAGCGCGGCAAGAGCAGCTGTGCGCTTGGCTCGAAGGCTAGCTGCGCTCATTGTGATGGCGCGAGATCTGCGAGTCGATTGAGCCCGAGTAGCTGGAGGAAGACGATGTTGATGCTGTTGTCTTTCGCTTGGATATCTGGCCGAGTCGTGAGATGATGCGCGTGAGATGCTGCGAGGGCTACGAGAAATGAGAGGTGCGGTGTAATGGCAAGACGATTGAGAACCAAAGGGCTGCCCACGTCCGTTCGTTCGTTCCCCTCACTTACCCGCCTCAGAATGGACGCGTCTCGTGTCGCGAGTCGGGCAGGCAGACTGGCAGGCAGGCAGCGGAACGGCACGCGGAGGCGGAGGCGGGAGGCGGACTGAGACAGCCTTGAGGTTGAAGATGTTGCTTCGTGGGTTCCTCGGAACATCATCCACCGGGGCCGCATTACATACGACAGCTCTACTGGGCATCATCGTCGTAGCAAGGTGGGGATCTGAAGGCTGCCCAGCATGTACGGAGATCAAGCCCTTCGTCTCGTCACAGAATGTCGCAACATGGAGGCGACGGGTAGCTTGAAGCCCTACAAGTGAGTGCAGCCTAGAGCCAAGAAGCGTAGATTCAGAGTCCAAGCGCTGACTCCTGCCCTCGATCTCTCCTCCTCCTCTCTTGCTGCCCTCCTTCACTCGCTACCCGTCACCCGCTCGCAGCGAATCACTCGTTCGCCTCATCCTCCTCGAAACGCGTCAAATCCACACCTCCCTCTCTACGCTCCTTTCCTCCCTCCCACCAGGAACAGACGTAGACGTTGCAGCCCAGTCGGACCTCTCCCTCGGCGCTCAACTCTTGACACTACACCACTCGGCTCAACGAAACAAGCGCTGTCTGCTCGCGTACCACGAATGGCGCATGGGCTGGCTGAAACGCCGTCTCTGGGCGAGGGGAGGGGCACTCGGACTGGTACTCGAGGAGAAGGAGGAGAGGGGATCAACTTCGAGTGTCACTGCGGCTGCGGGTGGGGAGGGACAAGGAGCAGGAGCAGGGGCAGCAGCACGGGCAGATGTACGCTCTAAGCTCTCCCCGCAGGAGCTCACTTGGTTGCGCGATTACGCTTCTCTCGTGACAGCCTTCAAGTCCGAGTTACTCGACATTACAGACCTGACCGCCCCTCTGGGTCAGGCGGCTGGGAGATCCCATGCTGACGGCGGTGGGAGTATCATCGGGTGGGGTCCACCCAAGGAGCTCATGGTCACCGTCGTGGCTACACGGGATGCGCGAGAGGTCATGACTGAAATGGGGATGCTGAACCTGAGGAGAGGTGAGAGGATGAGAGTCAGGCGGACCGAGGTAGAGGGGCTTATCGTGAGAGGATGGTTAGAGGTGTTGGAGGAGTAGCGGCCCAGCAGTCTCTACGGTCAAGGAAGAGCCTCACGGATATCAAGATTGGAACCATCATACCACGTAGACGCTACGACAGGAGGATCCACCCATTTCCGCACCTCCGACAAGTCGTATCATCTTCCCCCTCCTCCTCGTCTTCCTCTTCCACCCTCTCCCCTTGATCGCCCTTCTCAGGATCATCCCCCCCGCCACCGCCCTCTTTCGCTCCACACCCCACGCAGCTCCTCACCCTCATATCTCCTGCAAGCACAGCAAAGGTGACGCTGCATCGCTTCCACAGATGGCCATTCTCGCACCGTGCCTGCTCGAGGCGGAGTAAGAGAGATGACAGGTCCGTATTTGTTGCGGCACCGCTGGAGGAGGAGGGAGGAAGATCCGGAGAGGAGGACGAGAACTGCTTCTCCGCCCCTGGAGGTGAGGCAGAGGGCAGAGGGATCGGGGCCGAGCATGCTGGGCAGACTTCTGCTTCTGGAGCAGAATTCGCACGACGGCCAAGCACCTTTTCCAGTCTCTGGGCCAAGGCTGTACGCCAGTTGGCTCCACCCCGGCTCTGCAGCACGTCCCGCACAGCTCGCGCCATAGCCAGGACTAAGGGCGACTTCTCCGCTCGAAGGACTAGCGTCTCCACTAGCCTCGCGACCACCAAGCGTAGGTGCATGGCCTCGAAGTCCTGGACCAGCGCCGGGGGCGTGTGATGGGCTTTGAGCTCTCGGAGGGCCCAGTAGGTCAGCCAGACTAGCCTTGGGGGAGGAGAGGTGGATGGGGACAAGGAGGAGCTTAGCTCCGTTCGAAGGGCGCTGAGCAGTTGGACGCTAATGTCGGAGGCGGTCAGCACGTCGTGTGCAGTCATGAGCGCAGCGTAGTAGATCGAGAGGGCGGGTCGGAGAGCGTGAATGGTAGTCCTTCTCGGCCTGCTCGCCCTGAAACCAACATTGTGATCGTCATCGTTGGCGAGGCTGTGGCGTACGGCTTGGAGGAAGAGGGAGGCGCAGTGACCCATTGTACCTTCTTCTTCTTCTTCCTCTTGCGCTTCGTCCGCGCTCGCTGGCAATTGCAGCATCATGGTGCATCGACTCTTGTGATTGAGGAGGGAGCGATACGCTTTGATGTCGTCGTCTGATTGGATGGCTGCGCGGATCTGCAGAGCTGATTGGTCGCCGCTATCGTCCGCCGCCCATCCTGGCAAGTTACGTCGCGCCTCGACTTGCTGTAGGAGCGACTCCAGGACGAGTCCTTCTGATGAGGTCGTGCGCGGGACAAGGACTGTGGTTGCCTTGCTCTTCTCGGGTATCAAGGCCCTCTGCTTTCCCGCGGCTCCATCGTCGGTGAGAGGCACGAGGTATTGGAGTCCAGAAGCCAGCGTGAGGCGTAGCTCTTCGCCCGTCTTCTCCAATGAGGTCGCCCTTGCATGTGGCGATCTCTCATCCCACTCCTTTGCTAGCTCGTGTTGGGCCTCGTGCTCACCGAGAAGGCGGAGAGAGGTCCAACCGCCCGTGGGCGCTGCGTCCTCGATGAGTGATGGTCCGGCTTCACTTCGGCGTGCACGCTTGGATGGCGGCGGTTGCGACTTTTCTTCGCTGGTGGGGCGCCAGATATGCACTTGTCCCGCAGTCGCAGCAACGAAAATCGTTCCTTCATCGGCTCTGCCCCGCTCGGCTCGTAGCAGTGTTACCTCTGGCGCACCGCGTAGGTTGGGTGGTTGCACGCTTGCTCCCCCGGCGGTGCAGTCCACCTCGCCGCCCTCTCCGATGCGTACTCGCACGTCGATCAGTTTCGGACCGCGCCCGGGCACAATGGCCAGCAGGCTGAGTTTGATCATCTCTGCTCCCCCATCCTCCGCACTATGATCGACGTCCCCACTCCAGTAAACTGCCGTCACCGGGCGACGTGCCACTTGCACTCTTACCGCCTGCTCTTCTCCTTGGAGCTGAGTAGCGCTATTCTTGCTTCTCCATCTGGTCCAGAGGAGCACCTCGCCCGATCTGGCGGCAGCAGCAAGGATGCACAATGATGAGGGTCGACCTCGACGATGACGACGGCTGCTGCGCATCAGGTCTGGGCTCCAGGCTACGTTGAGGACTTGGCTCCCGAGTGTGGTGTGTCGACGTTTGGGAAGGGTAGTGTCGGTCGAGGCAACAGCATTCAAAGACTCGAGAATGGTGTATGGTCCCTGTACATGAGCAGAAGACGTTGTTAGCTCGTGCTGCGTATGTCACACGACGGTCGCATGCCTGGCGCTCACCTTGTAGGCGTTTCCCTTTGCATGCAACAGCCTTATATCCAAGTCCGAATCTACTGTAGCCAAGACACAAGATCCCATTGGTCCGAGCCCTCTCGGAGACCATTTTGCCGTCTTGAAGCACAGCAGCGACGCATGAAGGCAGAAGGGAGCTGCCGCAGCTTCGTAGTCGTGTTCTGTGAGGGGCCGATGCTGGAACGATGTGCGGTCGGACTCTGGACGAAGGGTGGAGACGGGCACAGTGTGAAGGTAGTGATTGAGCAGTGGTGTAGCGAGGCTGCTGTTTGAGGATTTGGCAGCGGGGCCGGTGGAGCTCGAGGGGCCGGCAGCTGTTGCTGAGCCAGAGTCGGAGAGGAATCGGTCGTACGTGACCGCAGACTGAGCTGTCGTGTCTGGCTTGATGGTAGGGAGGAAGCCGATGGATGGGGTCTGCGGGTGAGAGGGGTCCAGGTAGTCAGTATGTACCCTTGTTTTGCTCCATCGCTCGCCCTCGTCTCACCAGAATGTACAAGTTCCAATCGCACACGATCAGCAGCTGGCCCAGCTCGTTGTACTCCAGTCCACCATGTCGAGTCTGCCCTGCAAAGGGAATGTGACAGAGGGGTATGCGCTTCGCCTCACCGCTGCGCACAGCTCCAGCTATGGCCATGACGAGCTGCACAGGGCGGATGGATTGATGTAGTGGGTAAAAGGGAGACAAAGGCGCCCAGTCCGCCCTCCGATCGTTGAATCAATCATGTTTGAGCGTGGCTCGTGCATGCGTGCGTGCGTGCGGCTTCGACTCTCAAGCGGAAGGGGCGCTTGATGTTCTTGCCTCTCCTCTATTCTTCATCCTCTCTCAATGCCACCAGACCTACAATCACCAGACATGGCCAGCACAGCAGCAGCAGCAGGAGCAGCCTCCTCGATCCGCACTGCCAAGCGCACCCTTCGCAAAAGCATGGCTACTCGCCTCTCCTCCATCGACCCGCAAGACCTTCGCGCCCAATCCCACAAAGTCACCTCACGTATCCTCGCCTCCTCAACGTATCGCTCTGCACGCAACATCTCCATCTACGTGAGCACCGATACAGGAGAAGTGGAGACGGACGAGCTATGTCGTTGCACACTGGCCGATGAGACCAAACGTCTCTACGTACCCCTCTTTGCTACCCCGGCACCCACCGCCCTGGGAGAGCAGGGCAAAGTAGGCTTTGCGCCTGATATGCGAATGTTGCAGCTTCGTAGCTTGGCAGAGTACGAAGGGATGAAGCGCAACAGGTGGGGGATTAGGGAACCGGAAGACTGGGTCGTCGATGATCCTGAGACGCACGGTGCAGTTGAATCCGATGTCAGCCACAGACGACCACGCCCTGACGCCTTGGACGCAGCGTCAGGAGGTGAAGGACTTGATCTCATCTTGGCGCCAGGCGTAGCATTCGATGTCTTCGCCGGAAGGCTAGGGCATGGAAAGGGATACTACGATCGATACCTCTCCCAAGCTGAGGCGTGGGCGGCCAAAAGGGGGAAACAAGGGCCCGTCTGCGTTGCACTGGGATTGAGGGAGCAGGTCTTGCCCGAGGGAGAGAGGGTTCCAGCCGATGAGAGGGACAGGGTCTTGGATGGTATCGTCACGCCTGATGGGGTGTTGAGGGGACACGAAGATAGAGGGAAATGGCAGGGGTCATGATAAGGCGATGATGCGGTGGGTATACAATTGCAAGCACGGCAAAAATGCTCTATGAGTCGCCGTAATCGTCCTCGCTCTCCACCTCTGCTTGTCCCTCCTCGCTACCTTCATTCTCGCTCTCCTGTTCACCTGACCCCTCGTCGCTCCACACCTTTTCAATCTCCTCACCCGGCCAGAACCACTCCAAAAAACAGCTAAACACCACATCCGTCGCCAAGACGATGCAGAATACCAGAGCACCAAAGCTCCCTCCCCTAGCATCGGCGTCTTTCTCCCAGACGCGCTTGAGACGATCCAGCGTGGTGACAGGCGGCTGAGCGAGAGCTTCGAGGTACACCCGCTCCAGGCGATTGACAACGCGTGGCCACGTATAGGTGCTGCGCAGGCTTGCTTCGTCATCCTCTTCGTCCTCGACCATCTCCTTCTCCTCGCCCCTCTGCTGGGCACGTACCCTCTCCAACCCGACTTCAAGCGCATCCCTCAAACTACGCCACTCTGCCCTCTCCGCCAAGATCATCCGGCCAGGCTGAGGCAGTACCTCCGGCACTCCCCCGACGGGAGTAGCAACGCAGAGCAACCCACAGGCTGCCGCTTCCACCAGAGTGGTGCCAAAGGCCTCGGTCAGAGAGGCGGAGAGGAAGAGTTGTCCCGATTGAAGATGCTCCCTTACCGCTGTTGGGCCGAGGACGTTCCCCACCAGGCGTACTCGCTCGAGCTGATGCGGTAATGCGGTATCTTCGGTGGTAAGGGCGACTGTGTTCATCTTCTCCCTCATCTGCTCGAGCACCACTCGACCAGGCCCGTCCCCTCCGATCAGGAAGTCCACATCTGGGTGTCGCCGACAGATGGAGGGGATCAGACGTGTGAGGAGGGAGACCCCCTTTCTATGAGTGAGCCGGGAGAGGATCACGATGGTGATGCGGCTTCCCCTCTCTCTCGATCGCGTTGTTGTCACATCCGGGTAGAAATGCCCCGCATCCACCGCATTAGGAATGACAGCCACCTTCTCCCCCTCCAGTCTCGCCCTTAGACTCGTATTCTCCTTCCCCGTATAACTCACACAAACCACTCGATCCGCCTCCCCCAAGGCGAAGCGGAGTAGCCTATTCGTAAGAACGGAAGCCGCATCCCCTTGCAAGTCGAAGAGGGAGTGGTCCGTAAATACTGCTCTCACTTGCTGCCCACCAGCGTGCAGGGGCAAGCATCGTGCGTGAAGAAGGGCTTCGTGAGCGAGGGAGCTGAGTGCCTGATGCGCGTGAAGGAGTTGGACCCTTTCTCGTAGGAGGATGGTGCGGATGAGTGGGTGCGAGGCGAAGAATTGGGGTAGGGTGGCTTGGGTTCCAGGGACTGGGAGGAGAGGGAGATGGTAGATCTTGAGAGTGCGGACTTGCGGCTCGGAGGTTGTGGGAGAGGAGACGGATAGGTGGCGGATGCCTGTGCGATCCGGGGCGTAGGCGTGGGTGATTACGATCACCTGTGTGAGGAAGGGGTGGAGCAGAGGTGGATCAGCCTCGAGTCTGGCAGCGGCCTGACGTCTGATGAAGTTGCAGTGCTCACCGTGTGTCCTCTTGCGACGAGTTCTCGTCCAATCGCTAGCATGTGGCCCTCTACCCCTCCCACGCCAGGGTAGAAGAAGTCCGATACGAGGCTGTGCGGCAAAGAGGAGCATGATGGCGTGCACAGTCAGTATCGTCCTCTAGCCACTCACACCGCGCTCACACCAACACGCACGCACGCACAAGACGGACGTCGCGACTGACAGCTTTGCCTGCGCATCGCATTGCTCGCCGCGAGAGGTCGTATGTACATGCACATGAGGTGAAGCAAGGTATGATGTGTAAACGACGCGATGCGATTCGATGCGATGCTCACGCGATTCTCAATTTCTCCAATTTCTCCTTCTGCTCATCCTCCACCGTATGCTGCGTAGTTGCCGTCGTATCTGTCGAGGTAGTTGCCGAAGTGGATGGCGAGTCGGATGTGGTCGTTCCGCCTGCTGCTGGGGCTTCGTCTATATTCTCTAGTCCATCCGATCGTGATGTGGGGAAGCCTGTCTCCTCTGGTCCGGCGGAGGCGTCGAAACTTACGCTCTTGCGTCTGCGCATCGATATCGAGGAGGTGGTCGGGGAGGGGGACATCAAGCTGAGTGGGCCCGTAGGTGGTTGGAAGCGGGAGAGAAGAGGGTGTGGCTGCGTAGGCGCGCTTGCGTCTGCCTCATCATCGCTTCCCTGTACCGCAATGGCATGTTCTCCATCGATGCTGACTAGCGTGGTAGCGGAGGCAGGACGCGGTACGCCGGGCCGCTTGAGGCTGTTCCAAGGACTGGGGCCAGGGCTTGTGATGTTATCCGTAAAGCCAGCAAAAGGGTCACCGCCACCGTCCGTCTTGACCCTCAACGAGGCAGGCGGTGAAGCTCCAAAGTCCCACGACTGTCCTGCCCTGAGCGAGGCCATGGACATTGCTCTTCTCCTGTTCTCCTGCCTTTCTGCGAGGGGAGGGAGATTGACAAGGATAGTGCTGGCGAGGTGACGAGGCGGTTTAGCGCCTTTGAGGAAGGGATGCTTGAGTAGCCTTTCTGCGGTGGGGCGTTTCTCTGGGTCCTTTTGGAGGCATGACCGGATGAAGTCGTCGAACTGCTTCGAGTACTTGTGTGCGCCACCCGTGCGATCGAGCTGGGGCGGGTCTTCGCTGAGAGTCTTGAGGAGTACCTTGACCGGAGGCAGGCGGGAGTGAGGAGCGTGTCCTTGACTAAGCTCGAGAGCCGTGATACCGAACGACCAGATGTCGGCTTTCGAGTCGTAGTGACGGCGTTCGACAACTTCGGGGGCCATCCAACAGGGGGTGCCGACAAAGGACTTTCGTTTGCCCTTGGACGTCTTGGCGTCATTGTCACCCATCATGGCACCTACGCCAAAGTCGCCCAGTAGAACGGTGCCGTCGTCGTCGACGAGGAGGTTGGCGGACTGTGATGCGAACGAAAAGAGTGAGCGGGCGACGTATCTCATCATCTCCTGCTGCACGTCATCTCACCTTGAGATCTCTGTGCAGCCAGCCATTGACGTGGAGATAAGCCAGACCCTGCAATGCCTGTTTGAGAATGGCACAGATGACATCCTCTGAGAGCCCGTCCTGATATCCGAACCGCATAATGTCGAGGAGAGATCCGCTGTTCATCAAGCGTGTAGCGATGTGCAGCTTCGATCCAACGACCCAACATCCTCTAACCCTCAGCACATTTGGATGCTTGGAGAGGGACATAAGCTGAGTCTCTCTCCTGAGCTCATCGGTGTCCCTGCCAAATGCCTCGAGGTCGATGACCTTGACGGCGCATGCTCTGCCCTGAAGCGGGTGGAAGGCGGCCTGGTAGACGATGGAGGATGCGCCCAGACCAATGATATCGCCCAAGTCGTAGTCGTCTGGCTGAGAGGAGTACATGGGCCATTCATCGACGACTGAGTTGATGTGATTGGCAGCACGCATGCCATCGACGAGGGATCCGACGAGGTTGTTGCTCGTGCTGATGCTCGTGCTGCCGTTGCCGCTACCGTTACTGCTACCGTTGCCGTTGCCATTGGTTCTGCCGCCGCCAAACCGCGCAGCATCGCGGCTGCTAACAAGGCGGCGAGAAGACGACGAGGACGACGAGGCCATGATGATTGGCGGCGTCAGGAAAGTACCACGGAGCCGCGAGGGGCCGATGAGGTGAGTGAAGGCAAAGAAGGCAACATGGCGTGGCGCTTGCAGGCAGCAGCAGCAGAGCAACCAAGTGCGATGCAGACAGAGGAGGAGCGCGGGCACGGGCCGCCGCCCGCCAAAAGAAGACAAGAAGGGAGACGAGCCCGCGTCATTGGTCCGCCTGCAGGTCCGCTCCCACGCTCCTCATCTGACTTTGTTCTTGCCAACCTAGTCATCAGTTAGGCAGGCTGAGCAATCGATGGACTTGTATGGCAGGGATACAAAGCGCAGGAGGAGGGGCGACGGAGAAGCTGGAAGCAGTACCAGCAACATTGCCGCCTCGTCCTTCCTCGATCTCAAGGCCCAGCTCGCTGGAAGGCGAGAGCGCGAGCAGGCGCAATCGAGTGGGAAATCTCTTCAGCCCAAGAGCGGGCGCAAAGACGAGGAGGATGAATACTCTAGGCAACGACTTCCCCCCCATCTGCGTCATGTCAGCAGCAGCAGCTCATCGTCATCATCATCGCCTTCGTCCTCGTCGAGGTCGAAGCACAGAGATCGAGGTGGAGACGCTTCGACGCTTTCGTCCTGGGCAGAAACACCCTCCGCCCGTCTAGAGCGCGATCGCAAGGCCAACCTAGCACGCAAGGCCAAGCTGTACGATGAGCTACGTCGTGGGCTCAGTGGTGGACTCAAGCCGGAAGATCTCGAGGAGGGAGGAAAGATGCAAGGTCTTCTCGACTGGGATCGCATGATCGAGGAGCGGCGGCAGACAGAGAGGGGTGAGGAGGTTCATCGCGGGCGAAGCGACGATGAAGGAGAGGAGGATCAGCAAGGAAGCGATAGCAGAGACCTCGTCGAGTACGAAGATGATATGGGCCGCACGCGCCTGGTGCCTCGCAGCCAAGTACCCATGGAATACCTCGTCGAGCAGCGCCGTCGCAAGGAAGAGGGCGAGGCAGATGCTCAAGGCACCACCCTGTATGGCCCGCAAGCCCAGTTCCCCATCATGACTCGTGGCGACGTACCCAAGGAACCAGGACAGGACGCGCAACACTTTGATGCATCACACGAGGTACGCAACCGCGGAGCTGGCTTCTTTCGCTTTGATCAGGACGAGGATAAGAGGAAGGAGCAAATGGAGGCCCTGCGCAAGGAGAGGGATGAGACGTTGCGGCGCAGGGAAAACGTGAGCGGCGAAGGCGGCGAGGCGGTGGGAGGAAAGACGATGAGCAAAGCTGAAGAGCGGCTCGAGGCTAGGAGAAGATTTGTAGCCGCAAAGACAGAGGAGCTACGTCGCAAGAGGGGACAGGCAGGCGCAGCGAATGACCCGCAGTCGAGCGCCGTAGACCATTTCCTCGACACGCTCAGCACCGAGTGGGCGGCAAGCCAACGATGACGTGGCGTGCTAAACGAAACGTGGCATTAGCAAGAGGGGCCGAGCATGTAAAGAAGCAATCATCATATACCCCTACAATCATAGTCCGTGCGCCTGCCTCACCCGCTCCCTTGCACAGAGCTATATCCACGCGGGCAGCGCTGTCCTTGTAATGCCGTACCAGAGCGGAGGTAGCACACCTTGGCCTCTACGCACTCCCTCGTGACGCAAGGAGGCGATAAGCTCGAGTTGCGCCCCTGATAGACGGTGAATTGTTGCACCAGCTCAGGGCGGGCGAGCATCTCGTCGGTCGTCCTCGCCCAGAAGGTGGTGTTCAACGGAGCCTCCTTCGGCCAAATTGATCCATGCGACGCTGAGTGATTGGAATACGCCTCCCTCGCCGAGTATAGACGCTGGAAGACGGGGCCATGTCCCTGGTTGGCCAAAGAGTCGAAGGAGTCCAGCTGCGAGTAATAGACTGTATGGTCGAGGATGCGATACGTCTCCGGGTCGATATCGTAAATGCCGAACGAGGGATTGACCCGCGTCAAGGGCGTAATGCTAGGTCCGATATAGGCGTGAGCGAATGCGTCGGACGAAGAGTTGGAAGTGCCATTATTGCGGTAGAAGAGGTTGAAGAAGTCTTCGTGCGAGTGACCCCAGAACATCTCGCGGATCGTGTGCTGAAAGCGCTCCACAATGATGCCAAAGAGGTTCGTGGGAGCATCTCCAGGATCACTGCCTGACCATCCCGAATAGACGTGGCCCTGCACGTAGACTGCCTCTCCGCGCTTCTCTGCAGCGTAGAGCTCGTCGGTGAGCCAGCGCAGCATGCCGGATGGGTCGGCTTGACCGTAGCGCAGATTGTTCCAGGGATTGCGGCGGTACCATAGGTTGGTGTTGAGCGAGATGATGCGCAGCCCTTTGCGCGGTGAAGTTGAGAAGCCGCCATAGTGTAGGCCCTGAGGAAGCCGGGTCAGGGGTCAGTACAGTCCATTCAGCGCACCACGCCTCGCGCACGCTCACAATCTGCTTTGCGTCTTCATGATCGAACCATCCCTCCGACTCCCATAGCTTGGACACATAATCGTAATTCCAGCTGAGCGTGTCGTGCCCCTTTGGCAGCGAATTGGCCGACGCCGCATCCGACGGCGAAGAATCATGATTCCCCAGCGAGGCAAATACGGGGCCCTTGCCAAGGAACTTGCGCATCGTATCAAAGACGGCCTGCTCCGTCATGGTGACAAATGCCTGCGAGATGTGATTCGTCGCATCGTGCGTCACGGCATCGCCCGTGTAGACGGCAAAGTCGACGTCGCGCCCGCCGTTGAGGGGCGTGACGGCTTGCAGACCCGCAATGAGGAGGGCAATGGGTGCGTCGCATTGGTACTCGCCCCAGTAACTGGCCGGCTGTACGAGCGAGGAGCTGTTCAGTACCTGCCCAGTAGGCGCGGGTGACTGAGCGCGCGTAGAGTTGAAGCTGTCTTGCCGGCAGCATTGCCCTGACGTGCACTTGCCCTCGCCACCGACGAGGTAACGGGTATCGAGGTGGATATCGCTCAGGTGGAGCATCTTGAGCGGGCGACGATGTGCCGTCGGCTTGCCAGGCCGGTCGCTTTTACGCGCTGCTGGCGGGGTGCGGCCGCCCACTTTGCTGAACCACCTATCGAGGTAGGCGTCGGTCAGCTCTGTAGCTGGCGGCGTTGGGCAATACGTGAGGATATTGGCGCAGATGGCCTGTCCATCCTGCGAGCTCGCGCTCAAGTTGGCGTAGGAGAGGATCTGCGCATTCTGTGCGCCTAGCGTAGAGGGCGCGTACATTCTCTCGCAGGCCTCGTCGCTCGTCAGACCGTTTTTGGTGCTGGCAAAAGCGTAGCGCTTACAGAGGTCGATCATTACTTGCGGGCCAGCTCGAGGGTTGGCACGCACGAGAGCTTGGCCGACTCGCAGTGCATCTATGCATTTGGTGCAGTTACTGTCAGCCGAGCCGGAGATGATGGCTGTGATGTTGGCAAGGGTATCATTGATGGAAGGACCCGTTCTACTGGCTGGCAGAGGGTAGACTGCGTCTGACTCCGGAGGCGTGACAGGCAATCGAAGCGGGTCATACAATGAGGCGGCGTACGGCTCTTTGTTGATGATGTCGGTGAAGACGGGCCTCGCCTCGCTCCTGTGGTCTGCTGATGGCTTTTGGTAGTATCGATCGTAGGCTTTCGAGGGGAACTTGGCGGGCGCCGTGAAGATGGTCTGCGATCCTGGCGCTACGCCCCTTGCCGTCGCTGCAAAGGCGAGAAGACTTGCAGCGACAAGACTGACGGCCAGTAGCCCGGCGGCCGATCTCAATGTGAGTGTCGTCTTGGGCGCCATGATTTCGACTATTGGCGGCTGTTGCTGCTCAATGTACGAAGCTGACTTGGCCTTGACGTCGTCTTGATATGAAGCCATGCCAAAGAGACCAGCTCGCAGCGCAGTGTCGTGTGTCGCTGCGAATTGAACGAAATCGCGCCCAGCCAGCCAGCCAACGTGCGTCCGTGCTTCGAAGCCCCTCATCCAATTCGAAGCCGCCGGCGCAAAGCATGCCAAGGCACAACCAGGTTCCGGGTGTCGTCCACTTCCGTGTCCCCCACGCGGCGCGGCGAGCTGCAAGGCCGGGAGTCATCGGGGCGCATCCTCCGGCTTCAATCAACGGCTCTGGTGGCTGTGTGCCGCGCTATTACGCCTTCCTCTCTTCTCTGTGTTGTCAACACGCTCTCGCCTACGCCAACACCAACTTGAGCTAGCGTTAGCGTCATGGTCGAGACTCGAGGATGACGTCCGTGATGGGAGCACAGCCCGATGAGTGGCACATACAAAAGGGCTCGTCGACGGGGCGGTTGGGACACCCTCTCACCTCTTTCCCTACGACACCCTAGCGCCCCTTGCCCTACATCATTTGCGACCCTGTCATGTCAACTGAGAAGCAGACTGCAGCTCCCCAGGACGCTACTACGGTGACGTCTTCTTCGTCCCGTCAGATCTACGCTCCGGATGGCGCCCAGACCATCTGGGACGCTGAAGCGTACCGCAAATATGACAACGACTTGTGGGGTACCTCTACCAGCGGGAATTACAACGCGCTTTACGGTCTCTACATCGAGCAGGACTCCCTCTATGCCGAGCCACATACCATCAAAATCACAGATGCCGAGGGCGGGATTCTGTGGCATTTCCTCTTCCCACTCGGCACGTCAGTGAGCTCGCTAGTCAACAGAGGAACAATCTACATGATTCCGGGCGACCAGACACAAGATAATGTGAGCGAGGCGGATTGTCTGGAGGCGCGCTCTGAAAGCTTACATTTTAAGGGTCTTTGCCAGCCTCGAAAGGGGAGGAAAGGACACGGATTCCCGTGGAGCAAAGGACCCAAGCCCGCAACATCAGACGGATATACCTGGAAACTTCCTCTGAGCGCAAACACTGTGGAAGACATCGAAGAGAGAATGTCGGATCTGGCTGGCTCGGTGTCTGAAGATAAGCACCAAACGGTTGCGGATGAGCGAGGCTGCAGGAATCGCGACTACATTGAATTCACGGTACCTTCAGCGACGAATGGTCAAACCGACCGGACCTTTGTCTGGCTTTGCACAGTGAGTTCAATGATGTATAAATAGAGGTTCTCCCACGCTGACGCTTTGATCGAAGGGCATCATGAGAAACTATTGCTATACCAGATGGGATCAGTGCAGGTACTCTCTGGTCGAGAAAGGAACTTCCGTGCAGTACGGCGACTTCCAGTGGTCGGAGGCATGCTCCATCAGGCTCCGCGAGGGTATTCCGCCGGATCTCGATCATTCAATGATCATCTTTGCGCTGGTCACTCTTCTGCTCATGCAATTTGATATGAGCACCGGCTTTACGCCTCAAGACTTCTGCCCTACTGATGGGACCGATACAACTGTACATCGCTTCAATGGCGCCGCGCTCAGGAAGCTAGCTGCGGAGTACGGCATCCGGCGATAGGCAGAGGCGCGCGATAGTCATGCAATGCAGTCGATTCGGAAGTTTGCTGCCTGAACGCCTCCAGCTCGTTGTGACGCTCCGATCGACTGCCTGTAACATCGTTGGGCGTGGCAGCGATGATCCGAGGAGGTAGTGTGCCATCGCCCTACGCCATCGTCATTGACATTTAGCGGCCACATTTGCCTCTGTGATGTCGTCCAAAGGTGAGTCTGGTGGACGTATCCTCGACGTGTGACAAGCGTGCCTTTGACGGCGGTCGTTGAGGCGGCATTTACGCGGTCAGGACAGAGGTCGTTGTTTTATTGCCGTTTGAACGAGCGATTTTGACCGGAGCGGCAAGATACAGGGCGTTACGTGCTGTGCCGGATGGGAGCGTAGTCACTCAGGGCCTTTGAGCATGCCCACTGTATGCCCGCTTCTCACGGTAGCCTACCCCCGAAGCGAGCCGGAGTGGCTGTTGATTAAGAACACGCGCGTGGGCGCCACGGAAGAGCCTCGAGGGCCGCGGCTGTGTGAAATAGGCGCGCCCTCGCTTATGCATCCAAAACGGAGCTAGCCAGCTCGGGGGCGTTGGAGCTCGACATATAAAGTCTCCCGCTTCGACGCTAGCCATTCTTCCCCTGTCCTTCATCTGCTGATCGCTGTTCCTCCTTCTTACTCTCCCTCCGACGACGACGCCCAACATGAACAACAGCGCGGACGGACCGCCTACCTATCAGAGCGCTATCTCCCACGATGCAATGGTTCAACACGAAGGCGAGGCGTACAAGGCGGACGTCAAGGCGGACGCTAAGGCAGATACGAATGGAGCGCAGGGCAAAGCCGATGTGGTGGGCAGTGCTACTGGAGCAGCGTCTTCGTCCCAACTACTTGCACCTCCCGGGGCTCGCAAGATCAATGCCAGATACGATGCCGACGATGGGGATTACCGCCGCCGAGACGATGAGACGTGGCCTCGCGATGATTCGGTTCAGCCAATCTGCGCGGTATATGGTCTCTACATCGAAAGCGACGATCTTTTCAAGGAGCCGCACACATTCAAGCTCACCGACTATAATGGTGGAGTTCTGTGGCATTTTCTCTTTCCGCTTTCCCCATGGGGGAGACACCTGGTGCTTGGCGTGCATGTCACCAACAAGGCAACGACGTGGATGGTCCCCGGCGACCAAGAAGTCGACAACGTGAGTTACCATGTGTAGCGAATGTCCAGTCAGCTGGAGCTTACCGTCTCAGCTACAATCTTCCACCAGCCTCGCAAGGGAACGAAGGGACGGGGACTACCTTGGAACAGGGGTTCAGAGCCGCCGACGCCCGCCGAGTATACGTGGCGACTACTGCGAGGTGGTGCCAAAGCTCCCCTCCAGTGTGCGGACGGGCGATCTTCGCATTACTTTGTTAAGATTCACGACGAAGAGCATCAAGTCTTTGCCGGCCAGCAAGAATTGACGCGCAGGGACTACTTTGAGTTTTCAGTGCCCGGATCCGACCGAGTCTTCGTCTGGCTTTGTGGTGTGAGTGCGATGATAAGTACAAGCCAATTGTAAGGTGCTTAGCTTCGAACCGCTTTCTTCTTCGTCCTCCGTTTATTTCACCTCAGGGCATAATGCGAAACAACCGCTATACAAGATGGGATCGGATAGATTACGTACTGCACGAGAAGGACAACTTCTCAACACAATACGGCCACACGAAATGGGAGCCAGCCTTTGGCCTATATCTACGCCAAGGGCTACCTAAAGAACTCGACCACGCTCTGATCGTGTTCGCCCTGGTGAACTTGATGCTGATGCAGCACAGTATGTGCCAAAAATTCTGGCAGCAGCCGTATATCTTCACGGGTGGCACCAACGCAAATCAGTACCTGTTCAACATCCCTATGCTACAGAAGCAAGCTGCGGAGTACGGTCTCAGGCGACAGGAGTGAGAGGCAACGTCGTTTGCAACCTGAAGCGGCTGGTTCGACAATCATGTTGTGTCTGCTTGGTTTGTAAGCTTGTCGAAGATACTACCGTGGCGTCGCCGTTGCAGCAATGATGAAATCATTCCATCGATCGTGTCCCAGACTCTGCTCGACGACGCTCTGGGTCAGCGAGTGTTGCGGGGTTTAGACGGGCAAGGGTCGGGGCGTGCCCTCGCTTATGCCGGAATGGAGCGAGCTAGTCTATGCATCCAAACAGAGCTAGCGAGCTCGGGGGCAGTGAAGGCTCGACCGGCCAGACGGCATATATACCACCGATGCTAGCCCTATCTCCTGTCCTTCATCCGCTACTTCCCCTCATCCGCTAATCGCTTTTCGTCTTCTGATACTCCTGTCAACGATGACGCCCGACATGACGACCAGTGGCGGAGCACCGCCCAGCTACCAAAGTGCTGTCTTCAATGACGCAGCTGCTCAACAGCAAGGCGAGACAGGAAAGGCGGACGTTGATAAGGCGGATACGAAGCGAGGGGAGGGCAACGAGGTTACACCTAGTAGTACTCATGCTCCAGTAGCATCCTCGTCTCAGCTCTGTGCACCGGCTGGGGCCAATACGGTTGAGCCAAAATTTGGAGGACCTGATCATGAGTATCGCAAACGAGACGCAGAATTGTGGCCTTACTTGGATCCATTCCTTCCAATTGTCGCTGTCTACGGCCTCTATATCGAGAGTGACGATCTCTACGCCGAGCCGCACACCATCAAGCTCACTGACTTCAACGGGAGGATCCTGTGGCACTTTCTCTTTCCGCTTTGTCCCTTGTCGCATCATTTGGTCCTTCTCAAAGAAGTTGAAAACAAGGGAACGGTGTGGATGGTTCCCGGCGATCAAGTTATTGACAACGTGAGTCGTCCTTGTGCGTCATGATCGCTCACCGAAGCTCACTTCCGAAGCCACCATATGCACTCAGCCTCGCAAGGGAAGAAAAGGACCCGGGCGACCATGGACCAAAGGCGCAGAACCGCCGGCGCCCGAGCAATATACGTGGAAAAGACGGCTCTGCGGGAATCATCCACTTCAGTGCGCCGACGGCAGAAAGTCCGACATCGCGGTCAATCTTCACTTCGAGGAGCACCAGGTCTTCAGTGGCGTTAAGAAGCTGCGGCGTAGAGACTCAGTGGAATTCACCGTGCCTGGAAGCAATCGAACGTTTGTCTGGCTCTGCGACGTGAGTAATGAAGCTGGCATCTGCGCTTCTTTCGATGCTCATTCTGTCACCGCTCCCCTTCCGTTTTCTCATCTGCAGGGAATACTGCGAAACAACAGGTACACAAGATGGGATCGCATGACCTACGTTCTCCATGAGAAGGGTGACTATTCGACGCAGTATGCCTATCTCAGGTGGCAGGAATCTTTTGGGCTTTATCTGCGTCAGGGCTTGCCACAAGAGCTCGATCACGCTCTCATCACCTTTCCCCTCGTCTACATGATGCTGATGCAGCACAGTATTTGTCAAACGTTTTGGCAGCAGCCCATGGTTGTGTCGGATGGAAGCGATATGAGTCAGCAACTCTTTAGCATCAAAAAGTTGCAGAAGCAAGCTGCTGACTTTGGCTTCACGCCGTAGCGATGAGGGGCATCATCATTCGCAATGATATTCGGAATGTAATCAGCACCGTCGTATGTCTATCGTCTCGCCTCGGAGTCATGTCAATCATGCTGCTGCGCCGTCGACGCCGGAACGCTGCGTGTCTCCACTTCCACATCGATGTGCCAGGCTCTTGACGCCCGCATTCGAGCTTGAAGGACCGACCGATGGGTGATGCTGGACGCGCTTGTGCACGCGGGGCGTGCCCTCGCTTATGCAGAAATGATGCAAGCTAGTCTATGCATCCAAACAGAGCTAGCGAGCTCGGGGGCAGTGAAGGCTCGACCGGCCAGACGGCATATATACCACCCGGCTTCGACGCTAGCCATATCTCCCGCCCTTCTCCTTCATCTGCTCATTCCTCTTCGTCTTCTCATATTCCCGCCAACGATGACGTCCAAGACAACAGCCAGTGGTGGAGCACCGCCCAGCTACCAGAGTGCTCTATCCAGCAATGAAATCCTTCGGCACGAAGGCGAGCCAGGCAAGGCGAACATGAAGGCGGATGAGAAGGGTGGGAGCGGCAACGGCAATTCGTCGAGCAGTGCTTCTGAAGCAGCCGCATCTTCCTCTCAGATCTTTGCGGCGACTGATGCTGGCAAGCTTGAACCAAAGCTTGGAGGACCCGCTGAAGAATACCGCAGACGAGACGCTGATAGATGGCCCAAGATCGATCCGAATGCCTTGACCGTCGCAATTTATGGCATCTACATCGAGAATATTAAACTGCACGCCGAGCCGCATACTATCAAGATCACCGACTTCAATGGTGGAGTCTTGTGGCATTTCCTTTTCCCACTCTGCCCGTTCTCTGAGCACGTAGTGTTTCTGAAGCACTTCGAGAACAAGGGAACAGTATGGATGGTATTGGGCGATCAACAAGTCGACAATGTGAGTCAGTCCCGCGAATGAAGCTCTTCGGCGCAGCTCACACCCCTCTTCGCCTTCAGCCTCGTAAAGTCAGGAAGGGAGCAGGCTGGCCCTGGACCAAAGGAGCGGAGCCGCCAATGCCCGAACACTATGTATGGCGACGAAGGCTCAATGCGAAGGAAGTAGTTGACTGTGCCGATGGCAGAACATCGATCTTCACTCCCAAGATCAGCGATGCGGAGCGGCAAGTCTTTTCCCACGAAAAGAAGCTGGCACTGACTGATTCCCTCGAGTTCAGTGTGCCTGGGACCGATCGAACGTTCGTATGGCTTTGCAATGTAAGTTCGGCAGCCTGCCAGCTCATTTGTAAGTGCCCGGCCTCACGCGTGTTCCCCCTCCGCCTCCTTCTCCATATAGGACATCATGAGAAACACAAGGCAGTCGAGATGGGATCGATTGACCTACGTCCTGCACGAAAAAGCCGATTTGTCGTGTACCTACGGCAACACTAGGTGGGAGGAGGCCTTTGGACTATGGCTTCGGCCCGGCCTGCCCAAGGAGCTCGATCATGCGCTCATCGCATTTGCCCTCGTCAATCTGATGTTGATGCAACATCGCATGTGCCAGGAATTTGTTCAGGATAATTATCGACCCTCGAACGGCAGTGATACGTACCAACGTCTGTTGGACATTCCTGCACTGCAGAAGGCAGCTTTGATTTGCGGGCTCGCGCCGCCACAGTGAGAGGTGGTAACCGTTGCAATATCATGAGATGAAGCCACAACGACACTGCGATCGTCTGCCGGCCTTCGCGCCTTCGTCGAACATGCTACTACGCTCGCGTCGCAATGATGAAATTATCCCTTCGATTCTGTTTGAGGTCCTGCTCGACGGCGCCCTTGGCCTACAGTTGCATGGTCAGACGGGAAGCTCGAGGCGGCTGTGCACGCGGGGCGTGCCCTCGCTTATGCAGAAATGGAGCTAGCCAGAGCGGACTTCGAAGTCTCGACGACCCAACGGGCATACAAATACAGTAGTCCAGTCGCCGCGTCGTCGCTTCGCCATGCATCCCCTCCATACAACACCAACGATGGCAGACAAAGAAATGGACAGCGCAGCCCCTCCTAGCTACGAGTCGCTGCATCCAGCAGGTACCTCCGATGCAAAAGGCGACTTCAAAGATGACAAGAGCGATGACTTGCTCACGGATGCTGGTCCATCTTCCTCCTCACAACTGCATGCCCCACCCGGCGCTGCAAAGGTGATGGACTGGGAGGAATATCGCAAACGCGATATCGCCTGGCCAAGGGGACCTCGGCTTCGCACCACCGCAGTCTACGGCCTTTATTGCGAGAGAAAGAGCCTTTATGCCCAGCCACATACGCTTAAGATAACAGATTACAATGGCGGTATCTTGTTCCACTTCCTTTTCCCTCTCCAACTGCTCGTTCGTCCATCTGATCCTTTCTTCAAGAGATCTCGACACATCTTCATGGTGTCCGGTGAGCAGACCACATCGAATGTAAGTGCTGACGGATGATCAGACGGCGCAGAGCACATCCTGATAGCCTCTCTGCTACCAGCCGCGTGCCGAGACAAATGTGCCTGGTTCTCGTTGGCAGAAAGGTCCACAGCCGTCGCCTGAACAGGGCTACGTTTGGACCACTTCGCTCCTCTCGCAGCCTCTCGAATTCAGATGCGCCGATGATCGAGTCTCGCGTGTCTGGCCCGCAATTTGTACCCACAAGGAGCAGATAGACAAGCACGACCTGGAGCCTCACCGCCGAGATCTGGTCAAGTTCAACGTGCCCACGTCTCGCCAGTCTGACACGACTCGCACGTTCGTCTGGAGTAGTTCCGTGAGTTTTGTGCAACTCAATTGGTAGATGGTGGCTGTGCTGATGCCTACCTCTACTCATCAATATTCAGGGTCTGGTGCGGAATCACTCTTGGTCGAGGTGGGACGAAGTCAATTACTGCTTGTATGAAGATGGTGACATGACCAGGATCTATGGCATCTTTCGATGGCAAGAAGGTTCAGCGATCGACCTCCGTGAGATTCCCGACGATCTGGAGCATTCTCTAATCTTCTTCGCCCTAGGCTACCTTCTCCTAATGCAGTCCGATATGGCGTCGACATGGCCACCTCGTGGACCCGAGCAGGCTCGTCCCGACCCACCTCGATTCAGTGTCGCAGCTTTACGAGAAAAGGTTGCTGAGTTAATGTCAATCGAATAGTATCGTCGAAATCAGAGGGGCTGGCGGCGCTGATATGTTGGCAATATTGATCATTCTTTGTGGACAGTTCGGACCTTTTGTTGAACTCACCTTTGGCACATATCTGATCTGTCTACTTTCTACCCGTGTGGAGCCGCGTTGCTTTGCATCTATCTAGTGCGAGGTGACGAAGCGCGCGGCCGGGCATAGATCTTTGGGGGCTGCCGTAGATCCGAATTCAGGCTCTGCAGTCCAGGCTCCGTGTGCCCCGAGGCTGGCGATATCCGCGCAGCCTTGGGGGGGGCTGTCTGTCTCGAAGCCTCTGCGAGCACACGGTAGCAGCACTGACCATGGCAGCCTCAGTGCTGCTCAGTACAAAGGACTTTGAAGTCCTCTTGAGGCACGTGAGCCGGGCGGTGCAACTTCAGACGTCCGATGGTGAGTGATGCCCGGCGACGCGCCGCTGCTGCGATCCTCATCTTTTCGTGATCTGTCCATGCTCGCTCGCACCTCTACGAGCGGGCCATAGAGAGCTGATCTTTACGATGCAGGGGTCGGATACACACGTCGCAATGATAGAATCATCCTTTCGATCGTGTGTGAGGCTCTGCTCGTCCGTGTTGGAGCCACGTGGCGTTAACTTGGTCCGCCCGAAAGCTGATTGAGGTCTATCCTCTCCTTGTTTCCTCTCTTCCTGCTATCACCAATACCATCCTTTTCCCTTTCAGTCTGAGCATTGCGCAGAGCAATCGTCCCTACCTTTCAGCTACAGTCCGCGCCCTTGGCTGGTAGCGTTGCAGGGCTAGACGGGAAGCTGGAGGCGACGGCTGTGCACGCGGGGCGTGCCCTCGCTTATGCAGAAATGGAGCTAGACTAGCCAGAGCGGACGTCGAAGCCTCGACGGCCCAACGGGCATACAAATAGTCCAGTCCCCGCACTGTCGCTCCGCCATGCATCTCCTTCCCGATACCACATCGACGATGGCAGATGAGAAAATGGACAGCGCAGCCCCTCCGAGCTACGAGTCGCTCTCTGCGGCAGGGACCTCTTCCGATACAAACGATGCGAAAGGCGACGTCAAGAAGGATGACAAGGGCAATGACATGCTCACGGATGCTCGTCAAGCCGCTTCGTCATCCTCCTCCTCGCAGATGCTCGCCCCATCCGGCGCTGCAAAAATCATGGACTGGGAGGAATATCGCAGGCACGACAAAGGCATCTGGTCAAAGGGCTCTCGTCGTCGCACCACCGCAGTTTACGGGCTTTATTGTGAAAGGAAGCATGTTTATGCTCAGCCGCACGCTCTGAAAATCACAGACTACAACGGTGGTGTCTTATACCACTTTCTCTTTCCTCTTTGCATGATACGCCGGAATCAAGCCTTGTTGAAGAGGCCCGGATACATCTACATGGCGCCCGGTGATCAGACGATCTCGAATGTAAGTGTAGCAAGCGCGCAAAAGATAGCCTACGCATGTTCTGACGGTTTGGAGCCTGTCAGCCAAGGGCACAGACAGACAAAGCGGGACATGCTTGGCAGGATGGGCCGGAACCGCCGAAATCAGACAGCTACGTCTGGAGGGCTCCGCTTCACACGTCTGATAGCCCTCACTTTGAATGTGCGGACGGAAGAACCTCGAGTATCTACCTCGACCTCTGCGAAGCCAAGCAACAGATCCACAAGTACGCTTTGGAATATCATCGCCGCGATATGCTGGAGTTCAGCATTCCCAGCTCCGGGCAGTCCGAAACAACTCGCCGTTTCGTCTGGAGCAGTGGGGTAAGTTGTTCCGGGGCTGAGCACGTGCAAAGCGCTTATGCTGATGCTCATGACCGTCTACATCGACGCTCAGGGCCTGCCGCGGAATCACCCTTGGTCAAGGTGGGACGAAATCAAGTATTGCATGTACGAAAAAGGCGACTTGACGCGCATTTACGCCAAATTCTGCTGGGCGGAAGGATTCGCGATCGACATTCGTGAACCTCCAGAGGCTCTCGAGCACCCCTTGATTGTCTTTGCATTGGGCTATCTTCTTTTGATGGAGTACGATTTCGCGTCACAATGGTCGGCGGCCGATTTCGCTCACGGCGGGAGGAAGGACCATCCCGCACCGCCATTGTTCAGTGTCGCCAGTCTGCGACATTGGGCTGGTCAATGGATGCCGATAGAATGAGATGTGACAGCAGCTACAATCGAAGTGTCTTTCAAGCTCAGCGTTTCGCTCTTTTACATCTCAATGATCTTCTTGCATACGAGGGGCGTACTTGGTGACTGACGATAGAGGGCACTCTTTTGGGGGCAAGAACTCTCGCAGGCGCTTTCTTTCTCACCTTCGCTCAGTGCTCGCCTGGGTCTCCTTCTCATGGTGCGAGAGGCATGGCTGCGGGCATTAATGCACTGGGCTTCCGAATTTCCGACGTCCGGGCGTGACACAGGCGTGACGGACATTCCCCATCCCTCGTCCCTGTCAATGTCCGCGTGTAGTGGCACATTCCCCCTTCGCAGCCTTAGTATCCCAAGGATGATGCAGCAGCACCATTGTGATCTTCGACTTCTTTCTCGCGTGATGCCAGATTGGGATCCGCGAGCGCGGATGTTGCGATTCTCCAGGGTCCGACTGCAAGTGATGCTCCGCGATGCGTCCAAAGCCCGCGCTGCAGGCAGATCTCCTCATCATAGGCGTGCAACGCTCGCACCTCGAGCGGGCCATGGAGAGCCGATCCCTACGATACAAGGGTCGGACACCTTGTGCCATCAACTCCTACGGTGAAGATCCGCCATCGGTCTAAATCGTGCCGCCGAAAGCTTGCACAAAAGGCATAAAAGGACGAGTGTGCCACCGATCTTCCCACTTCTGTCGGCACAGCTGGTCTGTCCCACTTCAACGCACACTCTCACTGTACCCCGATTGTCCAAAGTTCTCTATCAAGAACAGCTGGCCTGTTCTTCGATCGCACTCTCACTTCGATCGCATTCTCACTTCACTCGCGCCCTGCTTGTTTGCAACAATGTGAGCACGCCGAATGCCCCGTTTGCAGATGCATTGATTGACTTTCGCCTTCCACGGGCCCTCAGGAAAATCTCCATCCACTGGCTTCTCTTAGCCGTCACGCTGGCCGTAACCTTCGAGGCGCAGGCGGCTCCCATTGCTACATCCGAGGCGCAGGCGGCTCCGCTTTCTCGCAGAAGGGGAGGGGGCCTTTTCAAATTCCCCAAATTTGGGAACTCGTCCCCGAAGACGGCCGCAACCGGCAGTACCAGCGGCGCCACGACTGATGCTCCTGGTCCTGCCGGCGCTGCTCATGCAAACCCCGCTGGTAATACAAACAGCGGTAATAGCGGAACCACCCGTCCGCAGCCTCAACAATCCGACGCTGCTCCGACGCTCGGGTTCTGGAAAGATAAGGCCAGGATAGACAGACTGACAGCTAACATCAACTCAGGCAACTTGCCGATGCAGCTCGCAAGCAATGGCATGACTGGCTACGGGACGCACCTGATGATAGAAACGGCAAATGATGCCCAGCGCAAGGCTAGTGTTGCTCAGGCAGAAGTAGAGGACGCCCGTGCTTCTCTTGCCTCGACGGCGCCTACAACAACATCTTCTTCCTCTTCTTCCTCGTCATCAGGAATAGCGGCTCAATCCACGTCTTCCGCATTGCCAGTGCGCAGACGCATGAAAAGCAGACCGGCCAGTGTGGCAAAAGTTCCTGCAGGTGGAGCCTCAAGGGCCGCGGCCGCTCCAGTCAGGGGTGCTACGTCAGGGACCGCAACGTCAGGGATTGCTACGCCGAGCGCTACGCCAGGTACCTCTACGCCAGGGGCCGCTTCAAGCGGGGCCACTACGTCAGGTGCCGCGACGGGGGACAGCTCTACAAACGAACTCTCTTTGGGCGGCGGCTCGCCGGGCGCGAGACCGATTGCTCACTCGGGGGACAACGTCTCGCAACCGAACGGCCCTCGCCCCCAAGGGCATCATCCTCTTGCTGCGCCCGCAGATCAGCCAGCTCAGCAACCACAGCCTCACAATATCAACTTTGACAGGCCATTCGGACCACGTCCAGTCAGTCCACACGCTGTCACAGATTCTGACAATTCTCCCTCGGAGCATACAGTGAGTGAATTGGTGCGTCTCATCGCTGCTCGACGCTGAGGTTGACTCGGACCGTTGCCGAGCAGGGGAGCCAAGCGCTGGGAGATACTACCGCCGAGACCCACCCAGCGGAGCCAGCGGAGAGCTCAGTAGACCCGACTCTCGGCACAAGCAAAGCAAACCTTGCTAACGCTCTTGGAACCATGGCAAACAGCTTCATCAACATTGGAGTCGTCGCGCCTAACACATGGTCTGGACATGAGGCCAAAATGGCTCGTGAGAAGCAAAATGCGGCTGATGCCGCGTCTTCTTCGATTGCATCCGCATCCTCTTCCAAGAGCGCAGCCATGACCTCATCCACGAGCCTTTCCAGTACGTCCCATGCTGCCGGGCCAACGTCGGTGCCCTGAGTAGGGGCCAGACTCCCCCCGGCCTGGCCTCGTTGCTCGCCACATTTCCTCCATCCTCTCTTCTGCTCCCTATCCTCTCGCGCGCCTTGCTCGCCCCTCTCGTCACTCACAGCTGGTCTGGAGTGATGGGCCGCGGTGTGACCAAGTGCGATGGACGATCCCTCTCTTCCTGTTCTCTCTTACTGCGTGCCCGTGGACTGGAATGAATCATATCTGTGCCTGACGAACCCTGTGCAGCGCGATGCGGTCCGGTCTGGCGTGGTCGCAGTGCGCGGCCTTTTGAAACAACGATGTTGGTATGATTATGCGACGCAGCGAATCTCGTCTACCAGTAGTAAGTTGGGAAGCTCTTCGAGCGCAGTCAGTGCCTCTCAGGAGCTCCCCTCGGGTCTCTCTCCGTTCCTCCTTGGCAATCCTACCCTTCGTCCCGCCTACGACTGTTCGCCTCAAGCCAAGACGCTCCTCTGCGCCCCTACAAAGGCTCCTGCCGCCTGTCCCCACACCCACAGCCATGCCCAAATCCCAAAACCGCTCAAGATGGGCAACGAAAGATTATCGTCGAGCCCTCCGAGCTCCAATCCCTCGGCAACGGCCGCCACCAGGCCCGCTCCCAGCGCTACGAGTGGGAGGGGCATAGCAGGCACGCCATTCACCGACGAAGCCGCCGAGGCGACTACGCGGGACGCTGCATCCCATGCTGCGTTTAGTGGCCCAGACTTTGCATTGTCCGCCAGCTCGGTGGGCATTCGTCCCCTGAATCCCCACGACCAGCCACACCACCCTGAGTGGGCCCATCCAGGTGCGCTCGCCCCCAGCACGGCATGGTGGCTATTCCAGCTTGCCCCGTCGAAACGTTCCGCCTTCATTGCGATTCCGCCACCCCAGAAGAGGAGGGCGACGCACCCGCCTGCGATCCATGCTGCGAGGAAGCCCGAGAGGGACTTGCGCGCTGCAAAGGGTGGGGAGGGAAGAGGGGGAGTGTACCGGCCTAGGAGGCGACCAAAGACCGAGGCGGCTGTGTCCGCCCAGGAGAGGATCATGATGGAGACGCAGGCGATATCTGCTGGGTAGAAGTGAAGCGAGAAGATGACGCCGATTAGGTACCAGACTACGCCATTGACCTTGTCCTGCGAGCGTGGCGCGACGCAGAGAAAGTTGTCAGCAGCGAGCGATGGCAGTATGTGAGCCTCTCTGAGTGTCCGACTCACCTTCTCGGATTCTCGCATGAGAAAGCCCAAGACTTTCTCATAGATCCGCTCAAAGTCGTCATTGTTGAGGCGGATGATGTCTGCCGTGATGACGATTCCCAGGAAGATGGACAGCCCGCGAACGACGGCCCCGAGGTTATGGTGGGCGAGGTAGAGGTAGAGAACCAGGAAGCCTGGCGGCGGGGAAGCCAGAAAGGGTGAGGTTCAGCATGTCGTAGCATGAGGCAGATCACCCCTCTTTGGCACGACGCCGACTCACCAATGCTCGAATGAAATATCTTCCTCGGAATCTCCCAACTCTTTTTACTCTTCTTTCCCTCGCTCCCACTACCCCCTCTCCTGGCGCCCGGTCTACCGGAGCCAACAATCTTCTCTACCTCCTTCGCCTCTCCCCTCCTCCTCAGCCCCTCCCGATTGGCCCTCCCCTGCAGCTTTTGCTCCTCGCTCAACCCCACGATGGAGCCTGCACGGGACACATCTGCCAGATCCCCTGCACCGCCATTGCCGTTGCGCGGATGCTGGTGCTGCGCGAGAGGTCGTGGGGAGACACCGTCGAGTCCCTCTGGTGCGTAACCGGCATCGTCGTCGGCCGCTTCGACTTTTGTATCTACTTCCAAGTGAGGGGTGAGGGCGCCAGGCGGCGTGTCTTCGGGGGACTCGTCCTCTGGCGCACGTTGCAAGGCGCGTAGGACTGCTGCGCCCTTTTCTGAGAGTGAGCCAGAGCGTGTGCGATTAGGCGCGAGTCGAGAGGACGAGGGCTGGGCGGATGAGGAAGAGGAGGAGCCGTTCATCTTCTCTGGCTCGGCGACGAGTTGACGCGTTGAGTCCATCGAGGTAGAGGGAGGCGATGGAGCGGCGGATGATGTTGATGGGGACGAGGATGAAGAGGTGGCTCCCTTCTTTTTGTTGAAAATGCGTGTGAGGGAGGCTTTGCGGTCCTTGGCCATCTTTGTTGGTGTTGGTTGCAGAGGAAGGAGAGGAGGAGTTGCAGTCGCAGTCAGTCGCACTCGCACTCGCACTGGCAGCTGGATCGAAAAGCGTGCAACGTCGTCGTCGTCGTCCCGTCGTCCCCTCGCCGTGAACAAACACTCGTCAGTCAGGCAAGAGCAAAGCAAAGCGCGGCGCCTCTCATCCGTCTGCGTCTGCCTGCCCGTTCGCCCGCCCGCCGCCAACAAGTCCTTCTGGCGGTCCGAGGGGAGACGACAAGCCACGCGAGCGGCGACGATGCACGCGCGAGGAGCCACCTCTCACCGCTCATTCCAACACACATCGATGCGGTTGGCGACTACGACGCGCGTAGACACACAAAGGTAGTGTTCTGATTATCGAGACACAAGAATGACAGCAGCAGAGAAGCACGACAGCATCGCAATGAGTCACGTCATGCCCCCCGTCAAGCAACCCACGTCAACGTGTGCAGCCCAACAGGCAACGTAACATTCGCGACCATCCCCCTGAACTTGATCGTAGCCGTCACATCATTGTACACTCCCGAGAGGAAATGGTCATGCTTCTGCAGCAGGGTAAGCGACCACCTCCTCTTCCCATCCGACCCAATAGACGTACGGTACGCCTGCACCTTGATTCGCTCCCCGTCGGGGAAGTCGTTGGCCTCCTCCGTCGTCGAGGCACCCACACGGACGGCCCACTGCTCCTCGCGATTACGCGGGCGGATGGCACGACTGAGGTGGGCGAGAACGGAGAAGTCAGAGGTGAGGCGGAACTTTCCGTGCGTGTCGATGGGGCCGCCAGGGGGCACGTAGGCGGGGAGGATGTGGGTGCCAAAGGGCCCTTTGCCCGAGGCTTTGGACTTGTCCGTCGTCACGCCGCTACGCCGGCTAGGAGGCTGAGTTTGGGACTGGATCTTGGCGTTGCCCGTCATAGCCTGTGGAAGCAGGGCAGGAGCAGCGCCTGGCGTTGCGTTGGACAGAGGTGACGGGTCAGTACATGTCGAGGTTCGCGCGCACGCTTCAACTTACAGTTGGAGCAGACGTTGGGTAGGTGGGGCGTAGTAAACCCATTCTCATCAACAGTCAAAGCACAATTCCAGAGCACCACCTGCGGAGTCAAGGAGGAAAATCGATGTCAGTCCTTGCCCGCATCAGCCAACCTGCCACCCCCCGCAGCGCGCACTCACCGCCTGCGTGCCATGCTCAATCGCCTCGGTCAAGAACTGCGAAGCCGACTTGCGCAGATTACTCCACGGCTCCTCGTTATTCTGCGTAATGCGCGTACACTCGCTCATAATTGTCGTGCGACCGGGAAAGGCCTTGTTGAAGTCGTCCTGCGCAGACGGGTCCCCACCGTAGCAGTGCCACGAGACGGAGTCGAAGGCCTTGGTCGAATCGAAGACCTTCGTCGGATACTCGGCGTGGTCCCAATTATGGTCGTAGGCCGTGAGAGTTACGTCTTTCAGGCCGTAGGCGTCGAGATACTGGCGCGTGTACCCGCCAATGGTCGCCGCGTCCGTCGCGTTGATCTTGTTGCCTGGGTACTTGTCGGGCAGGTACATGGGCTCATTCTGGATGCTGAGTTGCCAGGGCGAGCTGCCCAGCTTCTGCTTGATGGCCTGCATCGACCTAGCTAAGTACTTGGCGTAGACGTCGTAGTACTTTGGCTGTAGCTGCCCGCCGATCATCTGACCTGAGCCTACGGTGCCATTGTACTTCATCCAGTCGGGAGGACTCCAGGGCGCCCACATGCGCTTGACGCGGGCGTTGATCTTCTGGATGTCCATGTGTGTCTGCCACATCTTGGGTGCGCGGTCGATTGTAAACAGGGAGAGGCTCGTGTCGGGCGAGTCGTCAGCCGTGTCATCGTACGAGTAGACGGACGTTGCGAAATCGCTCGCGCCGATGGGGGAGCGGACGATGTTGAGGCCTGCGCCTCCCTTTTCGATGGCCCACTCGGGCGATTGGTCGAAGAAAGTGCGCATCAGCTCGTCGTACTGGTCCCGGTTTGCCTGCTTGACGGCTTGTAGCGCAATCGAGGCAGAGTCGGTTATGCCGCAGCCAGCGCCGATCATCTGCTGCAGGGCTCGATTGTCGTGCACATCGATGCCGATGATGGCGTCGCCGTTGGTCAGGTTGATCGATTTCTCGGGAAAGTCACCCTGAACAAACGGGATCGAGACCTTTTGATACTTGACGAGATTAGGGTCAGCGCCGCCCACGGTGCTGTAATTCCATGCCGTGCTGAAGATGGTGTCCAAGACAATCTGGGTGCCCGCAGCAGCCTTCGTATCGCCGCCGGCATCGATCTTCTTGGCACGCTTGACGAGGCTAGATGCAGCTGGGTCAGCGAGCGCCGCTGCGACTAGAAGAACGGACAAGAGGCTTGTCCACTTGACGGAGAGCATGACTGCGAGACAAAGGGAGGAGGGTGACGGGTCAAGGAGAAAGGACGGCCGTATGGACGACGATGCTTTCTCTTAAGGGTGCGTGCGGGCAGAACAGAGAGGGTCAAGATGCCATCGTTGAGGGGCGACATTACATTGCGAGAGGGGCGCGGAGGAGAACAACAATAGGAGAAGGGCCGTCGTGAGGCGGCTTGATGGAGTGACCAGCGGCTCCTAATGGAAAGCGGAGCGGCTCTAGCGCCGGCAATGCGAGCGATGCGGCAATGCGGGTCAGCGGAGGGCGGCTCGCATCGAGATTGGGTTGCGCCTCTGGAAGAAGGATGGGCTTCCATCTTCTCTTCGTCTAGGCGAGGAGCGAGACGAGGTTCAGGGTGAGAGAGGTAACAGGGTTGCCGCTGCCTTCGAGGGGAACAATAAGACAATGCCTCGAAGCAGGCTAGCGCGCTCGCCGTCTTGGCCCTGGGGGAAATGTGGGGAAACCTGCGCTAGCCTAGGATGAGCTAATGTGCAGGAACATGCCTGTCAACAAGCAATGCATCGCAGCAGCGAAGCCGGGGCAAAGAAGACGAGGACGAGGGCCGACGAGGGCCAGGAAAATGACGACGAGTTGACCCTTCGCTGCTGGCTCGTGACCAACCCTCGAGCCGATCATTATAGGGCAAGCGTGAGAAGAAGGACTGGAAAAGCAGAGGTTCAGCCGGCGGATGGAGCTCAATGAGAGCCTTGGCGGGCAGAAGTGGTGTCTATTCGAAAGGCAGAAAGGTACGCTGTGCTGCGGAGGTCCCTCCTTGATCTCCTCGCTCTCGCCGATGAGAAGTCCCGGCAGTGAGGACGTAGCGGGTGAATATCGAAGCCGGTCTCTGTCTATCGCTTGTGAGGCGGCGCTGGAGGTTGCGCTGGATGTATGCTTGGGCGCCAAGAAGGCCTGCTGCGGGTTTCGCGAGCTCTCAAGGAGAGAAGAAGGTGACACTGAGGTTCGATTCTCCATCGCCCTAGGCTTTGAACTTCGACTCGTGGAAGGCAAGCCGGACCGATGCCAAGGCGATTGTTTCGCATCTCTGTCTGAATGCTATACTGGTATAGAAGGACCCATGCCTGTGTGGGACACAGCAGTCTATGTCGCGTATGCTTCGATGCTGGCTGGCTGAGGTGACGATGAGTGCGCGAGGAGGCTGATCCACTATGTCCAGGTGCTTGCTGCGCCGCCTTCTCACCGCACACCACCTCACACCCCGACGCCGTGCCAATAGGCCCACGCCCTCCTCAAACAAACATAATGCGCAAACGCTGCCCCGACAATCGCGCAATGAAAGAGTTGGTGACTTGCCCCCACGTAATCGAACCTGCCAGGAGCAAAACGTTCCGGCCCCCTGCAGGCGTAGGTGAGTGCCCCCACCACGTACAAGCTGCCAGATAGGATCAACCAGTCAAGCCCCATGGTGAGGCGCAAAGTAGCATAGTCGTAGAGTATGTAACCATGCGCCACTGGTACGACGGCGCTGAGTCCCAAGGCGAGGAAGATGGCAGTACGTACAGGCCTGTACTCTGGTGTAGCGTAATGCGGGGTAAGCACGGCCCAGGCCGCCACCCCTCCCAAGCTCACGATGCCCAATCCGTAGAAGAGCTGCCATTTTGGATGCTCGTGAAAGCCATAGTGTAGTGCAGGTAGGAAAGAGCCTACGATCATGACTACTATGCCTACGTAGTCGAGAGCGTTGCACCTTTTTGCTAGCTGGCGGGAGTGGCAGGAGAGGGTATGGAAGGTCGAGGAGAGGGTCAAGCAGGTGACGGCTGCGAGGAGGAAGGTGGTGAAGCCCGCTATGTCCAGCCAGTCGGAGGGGGTTGGAGTGCGATTGAGGGAGGAGGAAGAGGGGAAGAAGATGCGGGCGTGGGCCAGGGGCAGGAGGAAGGATGGGAGGGATCCGAGATGGTCGAGAAGGTGGGCGCTGAGGATGAGGAAGGACAAGAGGGCGCCCCAGAGGTGAGAATGAATATTGATGCTGCGAGCGCGGGTTGCGGGGGACAGGTAAGTCCAGCCGGGCATGATGGCATTGAAGCGCATGGGACGCTCTCACCTCTCATTGTGAGCATACAACCAAATGCTGGCCCAGCACTTGGCGATGGTATCGTGACGAAAGAGCTCTGCTCTTGCTGCTCCGTTGATCTTGTTCTTCTTTTCGCCTGCCTTCACCACCCTACGCCTCGTCCTCGTCTCCTTCTCACCCGTCCTCTGCTCATGCAACGGCACAGCAATGACCTCGTCGTCTTGGTGCCCGGCATCCCCATCCTCCTCTGCTATACCAGGGCGCCTATATCCCGTGACAATGAATGCATTGTCCTTTGCCCAGGCAGGCAGCTCTTCGTGAGAGCAGAGGTGGGTGTTGAGGCCCATTGTTGCTCCTGTAGAGGGGCGAGGAGGAGGTGTTTGAGGAGAGGGGGGAAAGGGGAGAAGGTCTGATCCCCGGATGTCAAGCGACTCCACTTTCGCACACGAGGGAGTTGAATTATCTCGGACGGACAGAGACGGACAGACCAGATCGCGGGCGGAAACAAGAAACGGGAAGCTCATCTTGTCCTCGAATCCATTCATCCATCCATCCATTCGATATCCCTCGCAGCATGCCTCGATCAGACTCACCTCCGCGAAGGAGGTACGAGGATGACAGGCCATCCACTTCAGCGCATCGTGGATACAGGGAAGAGGAAAGGCGCAGACCAAGAGATGACGAGGAGAGGCGTAGGCCTGCATATAGGGACGATGGGTACGACCACCGAAGGCGAGAGGATCGCAGCCGAGATCAACACCCGCGGCGTGACGATGGCTATCGGCAACGCCCTCGCTCTCCACCAGCATCTTTTTCACGTCGTCGTTCACGCTCTCCAGACTTCTCAGTCGATCGTCGCAGAGAGCGAGAGCGCTACGATCGCTCCACGGGGGGCGGCGCTTCGCCTGAAGAGGAGGAAGAGGACGAAGAACCCTTCATCGATGAACCGGACTTCACACCATCAGGACTCCTAGCAGCCGAATCCAACCAGATCAATGGAACAGCGCTCAAGTATCATGAACCGCCAGAGGCCAAGAAGCCCAAGAGGAAGTGGAGACTCTATGTGTTCAAGGATGGGCAAGAGCTGGGTATGTACCAGCCGCGAGCGCTCGTTCCCCTCGTCGTTGCCCATGAAGGCGGAGGAAAGAGAGCTGACATGACTTGCCTTTGCATGCCTGTAGATCTCCTACACGTCTCTCGCCAATCGTGCTACCTCTTTGGCCGTGATAGGGCAGTAGTGGACGTCCCGCTCGACCACACGAGCTGCTCGAAACAGCACGCCGTCCTCCAATATCGTCTAGTGGTGGAACGCAACGAGTTTGGAGACGAGAAGCGAAATATCAAGTGAGTTGTGCGACACATGATTGATGAAAAAAGGAGACGAAAAGGCTGACACAAGGCTTGCCCTCCTGTTGCGCACAACGCAGACCTTTCATCCTCGACCTGGAATCAGCAAACGGCACGACGGTCAACAAGAAGGCGGTGCCCGCTTCGAGGTACTATGAGCTCAAGAATGGGGATACGCTGCGTTTTGCGGCGAGTGAGAGGGAGTGGGTATTGCTTTGCGAGGATGTTTGAGTGAAGGATGGAAGGCATCGATACCGTGATTTGATTGAGTGTGAGAGCAATGAGGCTGGCCCAAGCGTTGCGTTGCGTCGCTCCGTCGTCCAACACCAAGCCAAAGCCGCGGCCCGCTCGCTGTCCGTGCGTGCGTCCTTCTTGACTTCCTTCACGTCACTTTATTCTATCATCCTTTTCCCCCCTTGCATAGCCATGAGCAACAGTCGCAATGCTTCATCACTACTGCACGACCTCTTCTCACGCTCCGAGCTTCACCTACACGTTCCCCATTACCGCGGCGACTCGCCGACCTCGTCTTCTTCTTCCTCCTCATCACGCGACATAGCATTCTACGACGAACATCTCGAGGCGCGGCTCCGCTTGCGTTTGCCATCCTCCCCCACCCACCTCCCACCACCAACGCGAGGCCACGCGACTTACTCCATCCCACTCACGCTAGACGACGACGAGTCCGACGATGTAGACTGGGAAGAGCGAACAGAACAGGCTCGCAGCACCCGCCTCGTCTTGCTGGCCGTGCTCTGCAATCTTGCAATCGAGGCAAGAGGAAGCTATGTATCCCCTCGTCCACCGCTTGGGAACAGAGATCTGGTGATACCGCCTACCACGGCGAGGGCAAGTGCGGGAAATGCTAGCACGAGCGTCGTCGTCGAGGATCATGCAAGGCCGAGACCAGCGATGAGTGAGCATGAGAGGGAGGGCCAATATCAGAACATTGAAGCAGGCTTGGGGGATGAGGTTGCCTTTTACTCGATAGCATGGCAGGGCAATAAAGTGCCAACACGACCGGCTGCGAGGCAACAACACCAGCAGAGCAGCAGCCAGACCGCCACCCCCGCCTCTCAGCCAGAAGGAATGGGCTGCACAGTCACGTACCACCCGCCCACAGCCTCATGGCACATCGAATGGCCGCTCCTCCTCCCCATCACCTACGCAAGACATCGACACCCCACGCCGTCCCTCCTCTTGACCGCTTCCCTCTCCCTTCGACTCTCTCCTACCTCCCCACTCCTCTCAGCCTTGACCGCCGACCTGAGCGGACAATCACAGTACCTCGCCATGCTCCCCGCCGAGCTGCGGCCAGCCCTCACCTCCGGCAATGGCGAGGAGGACGAAGACGAGGAAGAGGGGGCCAGTTGGGCGGATCATGATCTCCTCTCTCCCCTTTCATCGGGCCCCGTCTATCCAGATGAGAGCCCTTCCCAACGAGCAGCAAGAGCAGCTTCTGCCCTCGCCAAGTTGCCCTTGAGCCGCCTGCCGAGCAAGGTATTGGGCAGCAGGCTCGTCACACCAGGGAGGAGCGCGAGGGATGTGGGGGCGAAGATGCGACGGGGACGCGGGCTTGTGGGCATGGGGGACGGTGATACAGAGGGAGAGGAGGGGGACTTGACCGACCTGAGCGAGGGGAGCGAAACGAGTGCTACCACCGCCACTACATCCTCTTCGACCACATCGTCTTCTGCACGATTATCCCTCACTCGCGCTTCGAGTGCCAGCAGCGATATATCGGATCCAGCTCTGTACGGCCGCTCCTCCGACGCAACGCAAGGCAAGCCCGCCACCTCGCGGGACAAGGACGATGATGCCGACGATATAGATCGGGGCTCTTCGGTCGTCACGCTGACACGCTCCGTCCGGCGTGGGTTGGATGTACGATCGGCCGTGGGGGTCAGGATGAGGACCACCATGGTGGACGATGTGGAGCTGCCTGTTCTCAAACATGAGCAAGTCGGCGAGGGCATGGCAGTCGGACGTGCAGCATCTTCGAGGAGTCGCTGCCTGGTCCTCTCGGTCGAAGTGGACAACCCATCCGACTCTGGGATGGTCTTTCAGGTGGACAACTGCGAGGTAGAAGTCGTCCAGCCCACCTCTAACGGGCAGGAAGCCACCGCATCAAGTCCACAGGGATGGCAAGCAGAAGCGCGCCTCGTCCGTGGCGGGGAGACGGCCTTTGACCTCGAGCAGGGGGAACAGCGAAATCTCGTCTACTTTGTTCGATTCGTCCCCACCTCAACCCGCACGAGCAACAGAGGAGCAAGCGAAGCTCTGGCCTCGGGTGGCAGCACTATGCGAAGCATCTCTATCGTCGTACATGGGAAGCCCGTCCTCCTCCCCTCCAGGAATGGCGAGGAAGACCAGGCAGACCGCCTTCTCACGCCGGCTTTTTCGTCCGTCTGGTCCTGCACGTTGGACTTCCGTTCCCTACTGGAGGACGCAGCAAGACGTGAAGCGTTGCAACTCAATGAAGCTCAGAGCAGCTCGACTCGGTCTGCCAACACGGCCGTAAGCACAACCATGCCCGGCGCAATGAGCGGCAGTTTTCGCCATTCAGCCAGCGCCCTTCGCCAAGCGCGCGCGAGGGACGAAGAAGAACGAGTGGCAGCAGCAGCAGCAGCAGCAGCAGCCAGTACCCCTGCCACTACGCCGACAACGGCCAGGCCAGGAATGGATCGCACGCCCTCCGGTCTGGCCAACGGTCCGCTCGCTCGCTTCACCTCCGCCGGGAGCGCGAGGAATGTTTCCACGACTACTTCAGCTTCGAGGGGCTCATCCTTGCAGGTCGCCACTTCCCCATCAACGACGGCCGCTCTACCATTCCCCTCCTCACCTTCACCTGGACCCTTACCCTCTCCATCGCCCCTCCGACAGGTTTCCACCTCCTCATCCTCAAGCAGTACGAGTACCATCTCCCCCGCCGGGCTAGGCCTGCTCGCCCAAGCCAAAATGCGCGCAGCAAGTGCAGCGGAACGCTCTGCCTCTTTCTCTGATCAGCAGACCTCTCCGGGAGAGCATCAGCGCGTCTCATCTCTGGCGTCTAATAGAACGAGGACCAGTTCGACCTCGAGCGGTAGGAGCATGTCGATATCGACGTCCTGGGATCGAGCGCCTAGTGGCAGCTTGAGCGTCGCTGCGAGTGGAAGCGGGCCGAGGGAGCGTGTGAGGAGGAGCGTTTCGTCTGCCCTAAGCATTGCAGAGGAGGAGGGGCGACGTGCTTCCACAGAGCAGGGGGTGAGGACTGTCACTCCCTCTAGCTCGTACGATGGTGTGAAGGTGCAGGAACGGGGTGGTGCAACTAGCCGGACGGTTTTGCCTGTGCGCAAAGTGGGTCGACCGAGCACGGATCTTCCCTTGCTGATCTCGAGTAGGGTGGTCCTCGCCCCGAGCGCAGGTGGTGAGGAGGAGGGCAAGCAGGAAGGTGGGAGGGTAAGCTACGCGTGGGTCAGCATAGAGGTCTCCCTTCCCGGCCTGGACCAAGCGGGAGGTGAGTTGGCGGGCGAACTCAACATCAACTACGTCCCATCGGGCAAGGAGGGGCAAGATGCTGAGTACGACACGGCAGTTTCCTCACTCTCACTGGAGGGGGCTAATTTGAGCCTCGCAGCCGTGCAAAAGGTCGTTGAGCGGCACAGCTCATCTTCGGCTTCGCTAGGTAGGAAGGGCGGGAGCAGCGTTGTGACGACTGTACTTGCATTGGAGCGGAATGTGCCCCTCAATCTGTTCGCGACTGGGCATGAGGGCGGAAGACAGGGAAGCGCTGAGGTACCGCTGTTGATTGTTCGAGGCGCGAAGGGTGGGGAAGATGATGAGGGGGATGCACTGCTGCGCTTGATCGAGGCGGGATCGCTACAATTGGGATGCGCGGCGATGGACCAGCCCGCATGGACACTCAAGCTCGGCGCTTAACCACGTAATGCAATGCCAATGCATCACCCACCCCAGCCACTCTCCTCCGCGAGTGTGCAACGAGACGAAAGAGTGTGGTATTCCATTGCAAGCCGAATCGAGAATCGAAACGTGAAAAGTGGAGTGTCCGTCGCTTAGCAAGCGTCGTGTCGATCAAAATGGGCCTCGCAAGTGTGTGGCAGGCCCAAAGTAATAGTCGAGGTGGGTGAAGCATCGGCTCACCGAAGGAAGGCTGTGGTGGTCAAACGAGGAGATCAACATTCAGCCCTATTCGCCCACCACGCTAGCTTGCTCGCTCGCTCGCTTAACTCACCTCTCGGTAGCATAAGTAGTGATCTCACCCAAATCATGCGCCTCCTTCAATGGCATGCTGACCGGCAGAATGATATCCATCTCCACCGTCAAATCGTCCCCCGTATGATAAACCTCACAACTACTGACGAACTGCACGCTCCTAAATCGCACAACTAAGTAGAGGATGCGCGCCAATTCCTGCGTAGAAGCACGAGCGCCCGAAAGCTTAGTCGTCGTCTCGACCAGGGTTCCCAGCCACTCGCTGATAATGTAAAGCGAAAGGACTATCCCACCAATAGGGTCCAGAGCGGGCATCTTGAGCCACGAACCCAGGAAGGGGAAAGTGAGAGAGAAGATGTTGAACACAACATCATTCTGACTATCCTGGGCAACAGCGCGTACCCCACTCGAGTGGGAGTGACGATACAGCAACCACATGACCGTCTTGATTCCAATGGTGGCCAGCATGAACCCTACGCCCAACAAGGGTAGACTGGCAGGTTGACCATCCTTCCCTGCCTCAGGGTCGCGACCTGTCTGTACGACTGTCCAGAATCTGCCGCAGGACTCTACGAGGACTTGACAGAAGGAGGCGATCATTAGTACCGAGAAGATGACTACGCCTAGGGGTTCGAAGTTCTTCTTGCCGCGAGGGTACTTGAAGTACGAGGCTGTGCTCTTGAATGCGACGAATTTTGAGGCGGCGAAGATGATGATGGTGGAGAGGAGATCGAGGGCCGAGTCCACTAGTGAGGCGAGGAGGGAGACGGAGCTGGAGGAGAGGACGGCGACGGCTTTTCCGAGGAGAAGGAGGATGTTGATCAACCTGCGCGCAGGGAGAGATGTCAGCTTGACGACCAGTGTTACCTCGAAGGGAGGCGAGGCGCAACCCACAGATTGAGGTTGATCGCAAACTGAACAGAACGCTCCTCCCCTTCTTCCCGCTCCTCCCACCCAGGTACAGCCTTACGCAATGCTTGGCGATCGCGCTCTCTTCGGCCACCAGGTAGGTCGGCCAGCTGGTCCCGATCCTCGTCGGTATCCGGTGGCGTCGTGGCTGAAGAGGCATTGTTGGCGCCCACAGTGACGGCGGCTTTGGCTTGATCGCGGGCATCGCGGAGCTGTTGCTGGTCTTTGAGACGTCGATCGAGGGAGCCCTGCGCGCGCGTGTGTGTGAGCGTGAGGATCGTGTCAGTGGAAGACAATTGCGCGATGCTGCGCGCTCGCTGCTCACCTCCTCGGACCCTTCTGGCCCCTCGATGGCAGCGATCTCCCTTCCAGCAGGCGTGGTAGCTCTGACTACGACATGAGTCGGTACACTATTCCCGCCCCCATTCTGCGCCTGCGTCTGCGTCTGCGTCTGGCCCATCCCTCCATACTGTCCCGTACTCTTGCTCTTCGGCCTGCCCCTTTCCCTCCTCTCCTGACCCTCCAAGAGGCGGCGTCGCTCCCCCTGATTCTGGCTCTGACGGGGCCGTGGTCCCGCCTCGGACGGCTCCGGTTCAGAGTCCGAGTCGAAGCCACTCTCATCCTCGCTCGCTGTGCGCTGCGGCTTGAGTGGAGGCGGCTGGGTGATTGTTGTGGACGACTTCTTGCTCAGCGAGGAGGGTGGAAGAGGTGGTGGAGTAGAAGGCGGTGGTGTCGCTTCACTGTAGCGCAGCCAACCCAGCCCAAAAGCGTTTGCCGCTCGAGTGCCAAAGCTGTTCCTCACATCTCCTTCGGGAAAACGGCGTGTCCCAACTCCGTGACTCTCTTCATCCCCCAGCACACTAGGGCGATGCGCTCTTCTCCCTCTCCTGGCGCGATGAGGCGCACGAGGAGAATCATCGTCATCGCTGCTCGTCGCGACATAAGCCGGACTGCGCCCGCCTTCCGGCGTCCCATTTGCAAGGAGATGCATCAATCCTGTATGACTCGTCGTCCTTCCACCCAACATATCGATGCGCCTACTGACCCCTACTCCCGGATGCTTCTCGTACTTTGCCGCTCTCCCCAATGCCTCCTCTACCTCCTGCATCGTCCCAAAGCGACGTAGCACCTCAGCAGGGAACTGCGAGTCGAGGATAACGTCTGCGGTTCTCCATCCATCGAGGACGTAATTCAAGTCGGCATAGTAGCTTCTGAGCGCGGCTTTGATCTTGCGGGGTTTGCCCTTGCATTGCTCCTCGATGGCTTCCTCCGTCATTCGTTTCTCCTCGTACCAGCCCGACCGCGAGTCGACCAAGTCGGTGAGGCCGGCGAGGGAGAGGTCCGCAACCGAGGACGAGGCGGCGTAGGGGAAGGGATGGTGCTTGTGGGCGCGATGCGGGTTGTGATGTGGGGAGGGAGAGCGGGTCCGATGGCCGTGATGCGCATGGTGGTGGTGGTAGTGGTGGTGTTGGTGACCATCTGCCGAAAACCGATAGGGGTCGGGCTGTGGATCGTAGAGGCTGCTCGTCACATGGCTGAGTGGGGTCGCCCTCTTTGGCGCTGTTGCAGGTCCTGATGAAGAGGAGGTCGGAGGCGGTGGATCGCTGGATGGCGATGAGGCCATGACAATGGGCTGCCCGGGTGGAGATGTCGAGTGACAAGGGAGACGGGGAAAAAGAAACAAGACTCAAACAGATGCAGACGCAGACGCAGACGCAAAGACAACGGCAACTGCCAAGTGCCATCTGCGACGCCAGCCACCTGCAGCCCAGACGCCGCCCCGCTGGTCCAACTCATCTCGCCTGGCGAGTGACAATTCCTGAGGTCCGTGCTCATGCAGACGAGTGACGATTCGGACAAGTCCCAAGGACTCCACGTTTCCCTCAGGACGTCGCTGCTCTGGTTCTCTCCCTCTATCTTTGCTCCTCGACCGCATCATCAAACAGCCCCCTCTTCAAAACATGTCGACAACCAACAGTCTCTACGCCCCCTTCCACGACGTCGGCTTCAAGGCCCACGACGTCAAGATCCCATCACCGGCGCACGACCCTACGCTTGACCTGACCATTCATGCATTGGTCTTTGAGCCCGAATCCCCCGCCCAGCACACCCTGCTCCTCCTTCATGGGCACCCGCAATCCAACCTCATCTGGCTGCGCGCCGCTCCCAAGCTCGTTGCAGAGCTCAAAGGCACTACGCGGATCATCATACCCGATCTGAGGGGACATGGTAAGAGTACGGCAGTTTCCGTCGAGAGGGACGAGAAGGGGCAGTATAAGGATGAGGTTGCGAGGGGAAGGTACACAAAGAGGGAGATGGCGAGGGATATGGTGGAGCTGGTCAAGGCGGTGGGTGGGCATGAGAAGTTTTACATCCTGGCACACGACAGAGGAGCTGTGAGTACCGTACATCACAGCCGTTTGAGCAATGCCCGCGTATGTGTTGAACCAATTCTCGGCCTCCCCCCCACGCTCCCCTTCAGCGCGTCGCCCATCGCCTATCTCTAGACTACCCCGAGAGCGTGCACTCCCTCCTCATCTTGGACATAGCACCCACGGTCGACGTGTACCTCAACACGGACCTCCGTTTCGCCCTCTACTACTGGCACTGGTTCTTCCTCGTCCAACCCCACCCGATTCCGGAGCAAATGATCCTCGGAGCTCCTCAAGCCTATATCAAGAAGATGACCGTCATGAATCAGAAGGGCGGGGTGCACGGAGGAGAGGAAGAGGTGCATCCCAAGGAGATACTGGAGAGTTACACCAAGACGTTGCAAGATCCGGCGTACGTGGAGGCTACGTGCGAGGATTATCGACAGTCCAGCCCTCTTGGTCTGGACTTTGAACATGACAAGGAGTCACGAGCGAAGGGGCAGAAAGTACAGGCCCCGTTCAGGGTCTTGTGGGGTGCTAATGGGATCGTGGAGAATCTCTATGGGAGAGAGAAGCAGTTGGCCTTTTGGAGGGGGTGTTGTGAACGACTGGATGAAGAGGGGAGCAAGGCTGTTCCGAGTGGTCATTATATTCCTGAGGAATTGGTGAGTGTCGGTCTTGTTGAGCGAGGTCGTGGTACTGCCATGTCGTGTGCTGCTGTGCTGACGCCAGGCCTCTTTCCGTCCGTGCGTGCCTCGCGCTCGCTCAGCCCGACACTGTGGTGGAGAGTGCGCTCGACTTCTTCAAGCTCACTTTGAAGTGAGACATACGCTCGCTCGCGGCTCGGCACGCACGCACGTCCAGCAATGACATGCATCTCGTCGTCCGTCAGGTCGAGTTGGGTCGACGCCTGGCTGCTGCTGCTGCTGTTTGCCTTTGCACCACACGCCTCGATCTCGACCTTGGGCACGCGCCCGCCTGGATGCCAAATCGACCCAGCGATCAACTGAGCTCCTCGCCCCTTTCATCCCCTCCCTCGCCTCCCTCCTCATCTTCTCTGATACCCTTTCCTCGCTCCCACTCGCCACCACCTGCACAATTCGTTCCTGAGCCGCGTCCTTCTGCTGCTCATCAACGGCCACGCACCTCCGTCGCCGCCGCCGCCGCCGCCGCCGCGCATCCCGCTCCGGGCCTATCACTGAGCGCCACTCTGTTCCTCTTCGGCCTGCCAGTGCGACGCCTCATGTCTCTGCCTGCTTCTCCCCCTCATCTCTTGCCTCTTGAGCTAACCGCTCACGGCTTTGTCCCAGCGAGCAAGACGATAGCCAGTACGTCGACGTCTTTCTCGCTGCCCAGGACGCCTTGGGTTGGTCCCCCGCCTGGAGGAGCGACAACAGCAGCAGCAGCAGCAGCAGCCACGCCTACGCACATACGCTTGTCACTCTCACCAGCAGCACCAGCAGCAGCAGCCAAGACACGCAACACCATCGTGGCGCGTCGCTCCCATCTTACCATTCCATCGCGCACCACATCTCTCCCCACCAAACGAATCCTCACGGCTGTGATCCGCAACCACTCTCGCCCCTTTAGCGCTAACGCTACGACGAGCCACAGTCACGCCGCGGCCCTTGCTGCTGCCCAACGCTCCACCAGGCCCAAGAACACGGTCCGCCCCTTTTCGGCTCCTTCGCCTACTTTTGTCCGCTCGACTTCCCCTGCCCATTTTATGGGTGCAATCGTGAATGCGAGTACCAAGATCACAACGCACCGTAACCAGGGGACAATGACGACCAGTACGACGACGAGGCCCGTCTTCCCCATGCCTGCGCCACCAAGGATGTTTGGAAAACAAGACAGTGCAGAGAGGCCCAAGTCGAGCAAGCTGGACGCCGTGGGCGATGGGCCCAACGTCAACAGGAGCGCCGAGTCACCCGTTGATACCCCTATTTATCGCAAGCCGCCGCCTCCCCGCCCTCATTACACTGGCACCAGCACCAGCGTCGATAGCAAGGCGGAGCGAGATCTGCCCACTCCACCTTCTCCACGCTCTCCCTCGCACCATCAGCCCATGTTCGACAGCGTATCCCCCTCTGCCCTCTACATAGTGGACAAGACCATGAAGGGGCAAGGCTTGCCTAATCTCAAGTTCATCATCGATGGTCATTCCACTTCGAGCACGACGGGCATGGCGGTTTATGCTTGGAGGGAGGTGATTGAGAGGGTGTGCCCGAAGTTGATTGATGGTAAGTCGAGTTGGCTGCAGGCGAGAGAGATCGGAGGGGCTGGCTGGCTGACTGCGATCCTCTTCCTCCTCGTCGCCCGCACACAGAGATATCAGACGATGGCCTACTCATCCTCGAAGGGGATCTCACCATCCCGCATCCAGCCCGCGCGCTACAGCACAATCGCTCTACCACGACGACTGCCACTCACAACGCCCGCCGCATGAGTGCCTCGAGCCGCACGAGCGCGCGCCACCCCATGCCCACGCCAGCAAGCGTGCCCCTCCTCTCCCTCCCCGGCACCGCCAATACCGACAATGACATCCCCAAGCCAGACCCAATCCCGCGCACCCAGTCCATCTCCCAAGCCCAAGTAGCCGCACTGGCCGAGCTGGCGCTCAACGTCGAGCTAGAGGCGGAAGCTGCCAAACAGCGTAGTCCACCCCGCGCCATCTCGCCCTCTTCTACCCCTGGCCGCAAGATTCGCGCACGCCTCCTCTCCCTCCGCAAAGTGGGCGGGGCTGGTCGACATGAGAGTGGGGGCAGCGATTCGACCGAGCGCAATGACTCTGCTGCAACGAAGGGCGTGAGGCGTGGGTCGGCTTGGTGGGATCAGCTGGCCCACCAACCCATCGTGGCTCCTCCTCCAGCTCCTCCTCCCCTACCACTGCCGCCGCTGGGCAGAACACATCCCGGCTCAGAGAGGACGCAAAGTGCTCCTAAGCTCAGTGACCCTTCGAGCTTCTCCGCCAACGGCAGTGGTCACAGCGGCGTTCAAGAGGAGAGAAAGCGATCTCTCTCTTCGCTCAACAGTCTGCGCCCCAAGTCACTCCTCTCTGGTGCGCCTCGTCCTCGATCGAGCAAGGTCTCTGGTGAGGGTAGTAGGAGTTTGCTCAAGATGAGCTCCTCGAGGAGGGGGAGCAGGAGCATTCATAAGGAAGGCGAGGAAGGGGAACAAGATGCAGAGGAGATGGAGATGGGATTGATCCCTCGTATGGGGAAAGTACATGGCGAGCTGGTAAGAGTCAGGGGCTGCGACCTGGAGACATTGAGGGCTTTGATCTTCTACTTGTGGTAAGTCGTCATGCACCCTCCAGCTTTATCGTTGATCCTCCTCATCTCAGGCTGACCCCTCCCCTCTCCCCGCACACAGCACCAACCAAGTACACTTCCACCCCTCCGCCACCCCGACGGGTCCAACCCCCCCATCACCCCCCCTCTCCCCCCTGCACGGGTACACCCTCTCGCTTCAACTCTCCCTCCCCTCCCTCCTGCACCTCTCTCACACTTCCCTCCTCTCCCCCCCCTTCCTCACACCAAGTACGGTCCTCTCCCACCTGCTCAGCCCTTTTGCTCAACGTTTCCCGGCAATTAGGCGCGAGTGGCTTCGTTATGCTAGGCAGAGCTGGGATGAGGTGAGGGGGTCAGAGGGGAGTAAAGAGGTGTGGAGGAGGTTGGCCAGGGGTGAGTTGGAGGGAAGTGAGGGAGCGTTGATGGAGTTGATGGGTGGGTTGGGGGTGGGGAAGGGAGTGGGGGTGTGAGACGTTCTCCGCATCTCCACGATGAACATGACGACGAGGTGACGATGTTTATCTTTTGCACACCTTCTTCCCTCCATTCCATCCTGCGAGCTGAATGCTCGACGCTGCGCTATGGTCTACACTATTTTTATTCGCCTCCACTCACGCACCTGTTATTCAGTATTATCGTCTTGTCCTTCTTCTTCGACTCTGCATAGATCTCTTTATACCTCGCTGCTCTTGAAAATTGCGTACCTGCTTATCCCTTACACAGGACCGGTGTGTGCTCTGCGAATTACGAGGTCGAGATCAAGGTCGACGTCGACGTCGAGGAGGAAGCCGTAATGGCGATTAAGGTCGCGCCTCGTGCCTCTCCTCGCCTCGTCGCTACGGTACTGTACAACACTCTTCCTTGTCCTCACAAGCTCAACCGTCACTCATCGTCAGTACCGACCAGCATCGAGATCAACTCGATTCTGAATTGATGAATGCTCAAGGACCACGCCACAGAAGGGGAAGGCTGAGTCAAGAAGAGGAAAAGAAAAGAAAGGAACGTAAGGTGGGGCAGGTGGGAACGCGGCCAAGCCTCTACCGGTATGGATGGAGGCTGGTAGGGAAAAGAGAAGAGAGGAGAGAGGAGAAGGAGCAATAGACTTCTTTTTAAGCTCAAATGGTGCTTTGAAGCAGCCTCGTTGGGGCCTGGTGGTGTGGTGTGGTGTTGGGAGAGAAGGGAAGGAGTTGGAAGAGGTGGCCCGTTCTACGGCGATGAGAGGTGAGGAGCAAAGCTTGTCAATTTTGGGTGGGTGTCTTGCAGTGGTAGTTGAGGTCATGCTCATTGTTGAGCTGGTGTGTCTTGTCGAATCGAGTTCGAGGTGATGGCATTGTGCCGTAGGCTGGTATCACGGTGCGGATGAGCTGAGGTAGGTGGGTACTGTATTGCTGCTGCTGGTCGTGTCTTTGCGGCTGGAGATCGAGTATGATTGGGACTGGTGAGCCTGCTTCTAGGCTTAGTTTAGTGAGCGTTGATGTAAGGGACAGGGACCTGCCTGTCCTGAGCAGCACGGCGGACTGCGTCCTCAGCGAGCCTAGCGAGCGAGCGACGAAGGCATGAGGAGCAGAGCCAGAGTCAGCTTCCCATTATCTCGACACCATCTGCCTGCTTGGCAGCCACGACAGCGCGCACTCACTTGGCTGCTTTCTTGATCTCCTTGCCCGGCTTCTCGACGTGGACAAATTCGACGGTGTGGCCAGCAGAGCGACGCTGCTTGACTGCCTTTTTGATGTCAGCCATGAGCTCAAGGGTGGCAGGAGCCTCGTCCTCGAAGGCGGTGAAGCGCACTGTGCTCGTGACGCTGGGCGGCGAGGGGAGTTGATGTGGTCTGAGTGCGGAGAAAAGAGACAGAGTAGTGGCGCGGCACGCGGGTGCTCACCACTTGACAGCAAAGTCATTGTCTGACTTGATGACTAGGTTGGCAGAGGGGGCAGCATCGAGGAGACGATTCAGGGCCTGTCCCGCGAGGAGTGGACCGCTCGACGATGTTCAGCTCGAGCTCAGCTCTATCATCTCCCCGCCGCTCGCACTCACGTAGAGCTCAGCCCAGTGACTATTGTCAGTACGAGGCGCGAGAACCTGCTCGCTCAGATTGTGGTGTCGGTAATGCCCGTCTTCGTAGTAAATGCCAATACCAGCACGACCATCGGCGGCGATGAGGCGGGAAGGAGAGGAGCTGTTGCTGTTGTTGTTGCTGGTGGGCGAGGAGCCGCGACGGCGGTTAGGAGTCGTGGTGCCCTTGACCGGCGAGGACGAGCCGTGAGTCCAAATGTTAATGGGCATCTTGATGAGAGAGTGTGAGGCAAGGCACGTCTTTGTGAGAGGAGTCTTGAGGGTGATGAGGACGAGAGACAAAGGGAGTGATGAGCAGGAGGGAAAGAAGAGAAGAGGGATCCAGCGAGCGAGCAGTCGCTGAGCTGGCTGAGTCTCTCACTCCGCCAAGAGACTCCGAGTCAGTGTCGTCACCGCCACTCAGCGAGGCTCAGCCAAGCTCAGTGGTCGACGAAGCCACCGTCAGCTCTTCCTGTCGAGACCAACAAGGAGAGCAATTTGCTGACGCCCGCTTGACATCAGCTTGCCCGCCCGCCCGCCCGATTCTCGTCCTTTCCGAGCTCGAGTGTTGGTCTCGCATCCAGCCAAAGACGGCCTGTGTCTCCCTCCTACTTCCGTGTCAGGGTCCGCTTTGAAGCCGCGATGTCAAGTTTAGTCGCACATCGAGTCGCGGCTCTCGCGACGGCACATCAAAGGCGGCTCGTGCGGCACCAGATGGAAGGTCCATCAGCACCCGTCTCACACACGCTCACCTTCGCCTCCAAGAATGCCGCTTTGGCCCCTTGTTGTATCTTCTGCATCTTTTACTCCTATCCAACCCATCCTCTGATCATGACTCTTCCAACGACCACCTATATCATCTACACCGACGGGGCCTGCCACGGCAACGGCGCCAATCCAGCGCTCCGGCAGGCGGAAGGTGCCATTGGCATCTATAGCGAAGATCTCGACGTCATGGAGCGACTTCCAGAGCAGATGCGTCCTCATACTGCAGACAAGTCTGAATTTTGGGCGAGTGGAAGCAGCTCTTTGTCCCATCTCTGTACAGTAGCTGACGATGCCCCTTCTCCCCCTCGCGACCAGGCCATCTACCGAGCGCTGCAGGAGGCTCCGCCCATTCGACCGCTTCTGATCAGGACGGACTCAACACAGTGCATCAATACGCTCACCATCTGGTACTACGAATGGGTCGCACACGGCGGGCTCAAAACGAATGGGCGGAAAGACAAGAACTACAACTTGATCCGTGACATCATGGATGAGATTCTGCTGCGCAGATCACGAGGCCAGATGGTCAGCTTCAAGCACGTTTTGGGCCACTCGGGAAATGTTGGCAATGAGAGAGCGGACATGTTGGTCATTGGAAAAGAGCCTTCATCGAGACAAAAAAGATAGTGAGCTGACCGCTGCTACCTTCCTCCCTGCACCGGCCTCCTCGTCCGCTCGCAATCAGGCTTGCTCAATTGGCGCTGCAGTATCCAATCGTTGACGATGTCATTGGTTGGACCTATAGGTACCCGGTCAGGAGCAAGGAGCAAGAGCGCGAACTTCCCGATGTCTCTCTCTAACCACACGTTGGACGGCCGATGCTTCAAGCTGCGATACTGTCCAGCGGCATGCGCAGCGCAACCCAGCAATGGGCTTGTCTCTCTTCTTGCTTACAGTAGCGTCGCCTATGAGTCCAGTTTAACACCGTGGCATCGGGCAAAATTTTCGTCTGTCTCCATGTACTGTAAGCGCTGTCACCGTCGTGTCTTGATGCATGGTACCAATCAGCACTTGTGACCCAGCCGCGGCTTGGCCGAGCGTAACGACAGAGCAAGCCGCTTTCCTGCCTTTCCGTTTGCCCCTGCTGCGCGTTTCTCATCTTGTCCTCACGACCATCACACTCAATTCGCTACCTCAAGAACAACACGCGCTCATGGCTCCGCTCGTCATATACACCGACGGTTCTTGCCCAGGCAACGGCTATCCATACGCTCGAGGCAGCATCGGTGTCCACTGCCGCTTGTTTGAGCTCAGCGAGTCGCTGCCTGAGGACATGCGTCCTCACACCAGTCCAATGGCTGAGATGTATGTGGGTAATCAACTTTGCGAGGCAGCCTCCAACTTTACGAAGGGGAGAAAGCTCACCCCTCACCTCTCTCGCCCAACACACGCAGGCCATCCTTCGCGCCCTCGAAACGGCCCCCTGGACTTCCCTCACGATCCGCACCGACTCCGAGCTGAGCGTCGACATTTGCAATGGCCTCGCTGACCGCTGGAAGAACAATGGCGGCAGGACCTCGTCGGGCAAGAGGCCCGCCAATTGGGATCTCGTCGTTGATGTGATGCAAGAGATTACCAACTACCGCTGCAATGGGCATCTGATCAAGGTCGAGTATGTGCCTGGCCATGCTGGTCATCCGGGAAATGAGAGGGCTCACAAGTGAGTCTGTAGGGCTATGACCTCGCACATCGAGCAGCATGCTCAATCCTCTTGACCTCCACTATTGGCCTCTTGCACCCAGCCTCGCTCAGGGGACCGCCCTTCCTCGTAGCCGCTAGGCTCAGAGCATGCCGCGCACCACGGCAGACGATCGTCCTCCTCCGCAGACTTGTCTTGCGGCCCAAAAGCTCGACATTTTTGCCCCTTATCCTGTTTTCTCGACAAGATCTTTTCACCTCGCCAACTTGACAAGATCAACAACAGAGGCAACCTAGCATTGAGGTGCCTCGTCTCTCTCTCTTGCACTCGTGCTCGCCGCGAGTTACAGAGCATCCCATGATTCCTCTTCTTGCGATTCGCTTGTGTTTTCAATGTCAATCATTCAGCCGCCTGTTGAGCGTTTCTGATTCGACACAGTAAAGTAAGACATTGGCTGACGCCTGCTTGACGCTCGCTCGCCCGCTCAAGCCCGCCCGTGTTGGTCTCGCATCCAAAATGCCACCCTTTGCCTGTCCCCCACTTCCCACTTCCAAATCTCACTCCTCTCCTTGACGCTCGTGCGACTCGACGCGGCGACACGGTCAACGATGGCGGCCCGTGCGGTGACACATGGAAGCTCGCTCAGCACCCGCTGATCCCATGTTCCACTCAGTGGGTCGGAGGCGACGCTTGGACCTCTTCTCTCTTTCGATACGACAATCATCTACAACTGCTCTCTGCAATGAGCTGGTACATCATCTACACAGATGGGGCTTGTCGGCGAGGAAAAGACGCTGATCCGCGATACTCTGAGCTACAATCGGAGGCAGCAATTGGTATCTTCACGGAGGATCACGATGTTCTCGAACGACTGCCAGACACTATGCGTCCTCACTCTGCTATCAAGGCTGAGTTCTATGTGGGTCAATCGAGGCTTCCAAGCAAAGTTGGTCTGTTCCATGCTAAGTCTCTACAATTCCTCCGCACGACCAGGCAATCTTCCGCGCTCTCGAAGACGCCCCACCTCTGCGCCCTCTCCTGCTGCGCACCGATTCAATGCAATGCGTCGACTCTCTGAACAAGTGGTACCACCACTGGAGACTCAGCGGCGGCTTCAAGACGGATGGAAGAAGAGTGGCCGATTGGGGGCTGATTCAGTCGATCATGCAAGAGATCCTTCAACGCCGAGCCCGCTCTCAGGTGGTGAGGGTCGAACACGTATTGGGGCATTCGGGTGAGAAGGGAAACGAGAGAGCAGACCTGTGAGTCAGTGGAGGTGCAGGCGATTGCTCACCTGGCTCATCACGCTGCTCCTTGACCCGCTTCATTCCGCAGGCTGGCTAAGCTGGCGCTGCAGCAACCTATCATCGACGATGTCATTGGCTGGACCTATACGTACCCAGTCGCAAACAAAGGGGTAGAGCGCGGCGGGCCCCATCTCTAGTTCTCAGTGGTCGCTACATTCACGAGCAATGCTATTGCCAGGCTCATTTCATGCTCATCTCCTCTGTACTCTTATGATTCACCTCACATTGAGCAGATGACGACGCGGGTTGGCTCTGCTCTTTTTGTCCTTCACTGTATCGCAAGCTGTTGCACACATTGAGCGTCCCTTTGACAATGTCTGCGCAGCTACGTCAGGTAGACCGTGGCGATGCTGTGACCGAGCAAGGCCAAGTCGGCTTTGCGGTCTCCCCGCCCGGCATCGCAGCACGAACAAGCAGATACATCTTCTCTCGCCCCTTTCCTTCCCTTCTCTCCACACAACATCGAACGATCACAGACATTGCAAACCATGAGCAACAAGTACGTTGTATACACCGACGGAGCTTGCCGCGACAATGGCTCTCGCACCCGTCGCCCCGAAGGCGCCATCGGTATCACCTCTGAGCTCGGCGACGTCTCTGAGCGCCTGCCTGAGAGCATGAGGCCCCACATCAACAACAAGGCTGAGCTTTGGGTGAGCGACCGAGTGCAGTACTGTGTTTCCTCAAAATCGCCCACTTGACGACTGACAGTGCCTCTTTGCCCGTCGTGAACCACCACCAGGCCATCTACAAAGCCCTCCGCGCTGCACCCTACCACAGGCCCATCGAGCTGTGGACCGACTCTTCGGACTGCGTTAACACCTTCACCGACTGGTTCTGGGGATGGGAGGACAATGGAGGACGCAAGGCGAACGGTCAGCCCGTCGCCAATTGGAATCTGATCTGCGACATAATGAAAGTCATTCGCTCTCGCCGCAACCAGACCATCAATTTCGGTCATGTCCCTGGTCACGCTAACGTGGCCGGTAATGAGCGTGCTGATCGGTGAGTGGCCGCAGAGACGAAGGAGATTGAGAGCCGCCTTGAGAAGAGTCGACCTGACAATCAGAATACCCCGCCTCTCTTCCATCTTCACTCAGTCTTGCCCGCCAGGCTCTACCCTCCGAGACGACGCACATCGAGTACGCGGGCTACGCTGCCGCCTACTACTAGGTAGTGTCGACTGAGCCACAAGCCACTACAGTCTGAAAGATGACGACTCCGCGTTCTGCTTTTTCCCCTGCAGTCACTCCCTCCAAGACCGCCTATCTGGGTTCCCCCATCGTGGCTAGCAGCGCAGGCAGTCCAGCGTTGAGTCTTTTCTCTCTCTCATTCAAGCTTCGATGTACTTTTAGCACGACCGTCTCTCCCCTCAACACCAATCCCATGTTTCCCCTCACCAATGCAGCGCAACGCCATCTCCCTCTTCCTTCTTCCCCACACGCGCGTCGCGACGAGCTGAGGATCGCCCTCGCTCCCACGGTGTTGCTTTGTTCGCCTCGACACGCTCGCTCGCCCCGCTCGATTAGGACGCACCAGCCTGCCTGCCTGCCTGCCGCCCGGCCGCCCGACCCAGATCCGCCCCGCTCCCACTTGACTTCCCCGCAGGCGCGCTTGCTTGCTTGCTGCACGACGTGCATGACTCCGAGTAGATTAGACGAACAAAGAAAGCTCTCACTAGCGCACGGTGCTCAACATCCAAGTAGCTGCGCACGAGGACGTCCCGCTTCTTTCCTTTCTATCCTCCCCATCACTCCTGCCTGCCATGCCCCCTGCCTGCATCATCTACACCGACGGCGCCTGCGTCAACAACGGCTCGAAGAACCCTTACAACCCAGGAGAGAGCGCCTTTGGCGTGTGCGCTCCTTGGGGGGATCGCTCTGGACGTCTGCCAGCCGATTTGAGGACTCATACCAGCCAGAATGCTGAGCTCTACGTGAGTAGTCGCTGAGCGAGCTCGTCCTGGCATCTGTGCGCTGACCACCTTACGTATCTCTCTACCCTCTCGGCGCAGGCAATCTACATCGCCCTCCGTCAGGCGCCTTACGATCAGACGCTCCTAATCCGCACCGACTCGAGCTACAGTGTCAACACCCTCAATCAATGGTGCTGGAAATGGCGCAACCGCGGCGGGTACAAGTCGGATGGTAATACGCCTGCCAATTGGGGCCTCGTGCAAGCCGTGATGGGCCAACTCGAGGATCGACGCGAGAATGGTCAGAGAGTCCATATTGAGCATGTACGCGGGCATGCTGGATTCGCAGGGAATGAGAGGGCGCACGAGTGAGTATCATAGGTGAGGCTGTGCGCCACTTTCAGCTTCTCCTGCTGACCACCCTTGCCCTCCTCTTCACCCACACAGTCTCGCCCAAAAAGGCCTGCCCCTCCAGCGCAATGACTCGCCCCAGTCTTCGTACGACTCCGACTCCGACTACTACTACTGATAGTCTCGTCGCGAGTCAGATGAGCTCGCTGTTGCGTCCTCATGCCGGGCCTCTGCCGGTGGATGTCCACAGCAGCTCGTCTGTACCAAACGGCCCTGGCGGCCATGTTCTGTGGCTTCTTCCTTTCCTGTGCCCCTTACCCTGCCTATCTTTCCAGCTTGACCTCTTTCATCCAATCCGATTTTTGGCCCCTTCCCCGCGAATGGTGTGACGTCGCACCTCACAGCCTACTGTACTTCGAGCTGCCGAATCTTGAACATCCCGTTTGTGCAGGGGAGCAGACTGAATGAGCCGGAGGAGTCGTCGTGCACAACAGGGATGGATTGCTGTAAGCCGCACCGCAGTGCGAAACAGGGTTGAGCGCGAGTATGTGAGTGAGGCGTGGGCCTTGGCGTCATATGAGGAGCTTCCATGGCTCAGTAGTAGTCGTCCTCGCTGTAGCTTTCTCCGTCGCTGGATCCTCCTCCGTCGCTGGAGCCTCCTCCGTCGCTGGAGCCTCCATCACTGTACCCTGCCCCATCATCATCCCCTCCGTCGTCGTAACCATCATCAGAGCCTGCAATATCAGAGTCGGACCTGTCAGCAACATCTCCCTCATCGACCACGTAGTCGGAGATGTCGTACCCATCGATGGTGAGGCCTTCGGAGTCCTCACTACCGCTATCGTTGTCAGCATAGTCAGCGCCACGGTCGCTCCCATCGTCGACGACTGCCTCAGCGTAGCCGCTGCGCCCAACATGGCCGTTGTCGCGAATGTCGATCTGAGCAAACCCGCTCAAGGCCACAACTTGATCATTGTGACGAGCCTCGTAGTAGCCGGTGTGCGCTCGGGGGGTCTCCCTGTGGGTGGCGGCCTGAATGTAGCCGCTTGTGCCCCTCTCGTGCTCCTCGTAGGGGATGTGCTGAGAGTAGCCGCTGTAAGTAAAGGAGGTGCGATGGCTCTCCTCGAGACTCGAGCTCGGGCTGACGCTGCGAGGACTGTCCCTCTCGTGCTGATAGATGCTCTCCCGATGGTGTTCGCCGCTACATCCATCAGATGCGTTGCTGGTGCTGAAGTATTGATCCTCTTGATCGAAGCCACGTTGAGCGAGACTGCACAGAGGGGAAAACAGTAAAGTGTGAGCAAGCAGGTGCTGGCAAGCCCCTCGATTCTCTCAGCCGTTTCACTCACTCGTGCGCCTTTTCATTGCCCGCATCCCCGCTATGGCCCCTCACAGGCTCAAAGAGCACCTCCTGGCCATACTCCCTACGACGCTCAATCTCCCTCATCGTATCCTGAATCAGATCCCAATTGGCAGGCTCGGTTCCTGCCTTGGTGCGGCCACCCCGTTCAAGCCACTGCCTACCTCGCTGCTTAGGGCCAAATGTCTTCTCGCGATGGTCCGAGTCGGTGCGGATGACAACGGGTTTGTCGTCGAGAGGGGCAAGCTTGAGACCTCGATTGATTGCCTGTCAGCCAGCGTAGGGTCACACAAGGACATGAGCGTCGATTGAAGGCAGGATGTATGCACGGGCTACTCAACGGCACCTGCTCACCGCATGCTCAGCCCTATTGCTAGTCTGCCTCTCAGTCGGAGGAAGACGCTCTGAGATGTCACCGTACTTGGAAGAGACGCCAATAGCCGCACGAGCACCATCTTGGCCATTGCCGCGGCAGGCGCCATCGACGTCGATGACATGCTTTGACATGTTTGTGAAGGATTGATGGCGAAAGAAAGAACGAAAGCAAAGAAGAAAGAGCGGCAAGGCGGCAAAACGCGTTTCCCGCTGCTTTCCGCTGTGACCGTAGAGAGAGCCACGGGTGGGCGGGCGGATCGGTCCTGGGCTCATTCAAGTCCGCGGGGGCGGCGACGGCACGACACAAGGGCGCACGGCAGCTCAGCACGCTCAGTCACACCTTGCCTTCGCACCACAATCTCCTCCCATCCGCATCTTGTCCGAATCATTGCCCCAGTCTTCGATACACGCAGACCAGTCTCGCGCATCAAACTCTCTCTTGGCTTCTGCTTGCCTACCTCGAGTCGTTTGCCACCATGTTCCGTCTCGCCGAACCCTACATCGTCTGGACGGATGGCGCCTGCCACAACAATGGCCGTCATGATGCCGAAGGAGCTTATGGCGTCTATTCGGAGTCTGTGCTCATCTCCAAGCGTCTCTGCGATGTCTGCATGCGCCCTCACACTAACAACAAGGCCGAACTCGTGGTGCGTACAGTACCGAACCCGAATCTCAATCAAACCAGTGCGCTGACCAACTTCCACCCGCACTCGCACCCCCTCTCGCAGGCTATTCAAGCAGCTCTTCACAGCCTGCCCCCACGCATCACAGCCGTCATTGTACGCACCGACTCGGAGCTCTGCGTCAATATCATCAACCGCTGGCACTTTGACTGGGTCAAGAAGGGTGGAGTCAACGCTCAGGGCAAGGTTCCTGCCAATTGGACCTTGATCTGCGACCTGATGGAGAGGATCCACCAGCTACGCAATGATGGTATGTCCGTCGAGGTGGAGCACGTCAGGGGGCATGCGGATGATTTTGGTAACCAGCAGGCGCACATGTGAGTAGAGAGCGAGAGGGCAGGGAGTGGCAGGGATTGACTGCTAACGCGCTTCTGCTTCACGACGACACCGTACCAGGCTTGCTCAACGAGCACTCAAGGCTTGAACTGAGCGTGCAAGGCTCAGGTTGCCCTTCAAGATTGCATCGTCCGTACACACTCCCACTGCGCCGCTCACCAAGGCCAAGACACTCAGCCGTGAACACGCAGGCCAAGCCCCAGTGGCATCAACCAACCAAGCACAGCGCTTCCCATGCCCCGGTTTGCGCTCTCGTCGTGGCTAACACGAGCCCCGAAATCTCTACCACGCATCTTCATTCTACCCCTCTGCATGTAATACCGCCTCCTCATCCTCATAGTCTCCATTCTATCCTGTTGTCCTCTGATGTGCCAGCTTCGCTTTGCGGCAAACAAAGCTAGCAAGTCTGATCTGATTCTTGTTTGCCTATGCCGGCCTGAGAATGTCCCACAGAAATCTGCATCAGTGCTCACAGCTCACCGCCACGGCTCTGACCCCCTGCTCTACCGTATCCATCTCCGGCCCAGGCAAGGTCGTGGTACAGGAGTGTTGGTTGGCCTCCCCGCCGCTTCTCCGCTTCTCCGCCTCCCCGCTTCTCTGCTTCTCCGTCTCTGCGCCTCCCGCCCCCACCTCGCTGCCCTGCAAGAGTGAGTCCAACACTTTTGGTCCGATCCGCCCTACACCGCCGTCGCGCCGCTGGATGCATCTTGACTTGCTTTCCATCTCACCACCCTCACCCCACCCCACACCGCACCACACCACATCATCGTCACGATGGGCAAGGAACACGTCATCCACACCGACGGCGCCTGCCGTAACAACGGGCGCGACAACCCTCAAGGCGCAATCGGCGTCCACTCTGAGCGTGGCAGCATCTCTGAGCGTCTTCCCGCCTCCATGGAACGTCACACCAACAACATGGCTGAGCATGCGGTGCGTCTCCTGCTTTTGTGCTAATCGTAACGATTCACCTCCGACTCAATCGGGCCCACCCTCCCATCGCACACAGGCCATCAATCGCGGCCTCAAGTCCGCTCCCTACGACAACAACCCCGTAGTCATCAAAACGGACTCGGAGCTCTGCCAAAAGACTTTTGGCGGGGGCTGGGCACAGCAGTGGGAGCGCAATGGCGGGCGCACGGCTGGAGGCAGCAAGCCAGCCAACTACGACTTTGTGCAGGACACAATGAAGGAGGTCAACTATCGCAGGTCCCAGGGACAAGATGTGCGCTTCGAGCATGTGAGGGGCCATGCCGGTGACAGCGGAAATCAGAGGGCGCATGAGTGAGTTCAAGGGCGCGAGGGTTGAGGGAGAGATGAGAAGATACAGTATGCTCACTTCACTTTACTTCACTTCACTTCACTTCACTTCACTTCGCTTTCAGCCTCGCTCAGCAAGGACTTGGGCAGGGAGCACCTCAGTACAAGTACGGGGGCCGCTACTAGTTTCGCGGCACCCGCACGGGCACAGCTTCAGACTCAACCCAAACGTGATCTCGTCTACAATTCCTCGTCTCACGCCGTTTCGTACCCTGTCGCTTGACACACTGTACTTCAGCGGCAGCACAAGCAGCGTTGCGTCGAGATGATCCATCTGCTCCTTTCTCCTCTCTCTCTGTATATCCAACTCAATGAGCGACCAGGGCTGCCGAAGCGCTCCCTCGCCGCTATTCTTTCTCGCTCAAGAGCTCTCATCCCAGTCAATCAAAACAGCTTCATTACTTGAACCTTTGGCCGACCGACGCTTCATCATCAACCCTCCCTCTCCCACACAATCTACTGTACTGACGGTCGCCCAGCTTCGAGCCAAGATCATCTCGATCTGCCGAGGGCTTCTACACCATGATGGGACTGGTCATAGGCGACGTTGATCAGGCGCTCTACAAGCGAGGAAAGCTACCGAGTCTTTCTCATCAACTCAGCTTCGTGGTCATCACTCGCAGCAATATCAGCCCGACGAGAAGCTGACCTGCTTTCTCTCTCTCGAGATCCATCTCAGGTGGTCTCGCTCGGTACAAAAGCCAATCACCTCCTTTTCCTCCTTTCTCCACGAAGCTAACCAGTCTCTTCTTCACCACCATGGGCAAGCGCCATGTCGTCCACACTGGTGGAGCCTGCAAGAACAGCGGGGGCAGCAGCCCAAAGGGAGCCATTGGCGTCCATTCTGCTCGCAGCAACATCTCCGAGCGTCTTCCTGCTTCAATGGGACGCCACACCAGTAGCATGGCCGAGCATGCTGTGAGTCACGCTTCGAAGCCAAGATGCTAAATGGCCTGGGCTGAATTGTGATCTCTCACGCGCTTTGACAGGCCATCAACCGCGGCCTCAAGTCTGCACCCCACGACGGCAAGCCCGTGGCGATCAAGACTGACGCGCAGAGCTGCCAGAAGACCTTGAGCGGCGGGGGACGGGCTCAGCAGTCCGCGTCCAGCGGTGGTGGTAACAAGTCCGGGGGTGGCAAGTCTGCCGAGCAAGCCTTGGTGAGGGACACGATGCGCGAAGCTGGTCAGGGTAGGTCGGAGGGACAGAATGTCCACTTCGAGCACGTCAAGAGTGGGGGCAGCGCGGGGAATGTTCTTGCTCACGAGTGAGTGCAGGACGGTCGCGTGTGAGTGTCGCGCTACGACTCGCTGACGAGTACCTCCCTCTGCTCTCTACGCGCGGCAGACTCGCTCAGCAGGCCCTTCAGCCCGGGCAGGCCCGGTCTAAGCCGACCAATGGCCATTAGCGCTCGCATCGAGTCACGGTGCTGATCAAACCCAATCTCGTCACACTGAATCCTCGTACCGCTTCGTCACCGTCCGCTACTCACTTCGACGGCAGCTCAAAGCTGCGTCCAGATTGTGCTCTGTCTTTCATTCATTTCGTATCAATTTGACCATCATCGCTGAAGTCTGCCGACTCATCACTTTCCTCAAAGCTTTCCAAAGCTCAGCCTTCATCACGCGACCACTGAGTCGACCCGTCTCATTTGCCGCTAGAACCAACCCGAGCTGGTTCGTTCAGCTCACTGGCCAGCCCACTCGCTCGTCGCTTTCATTCCTCGCTCGTGTCGTGGTTCTACAGTACTCCCATCCAGCGAAAGCTGTTTAATCACTCGTCCCTGCGTGTGCGCTCATCATCTGCGACTCGTGTCTGCAATAGGCAAGTGATATGATCTGCAAATTTCAGAATGTGAGATATGAAAAGGCACCACCACCACACATTCGTGAACACCACCTTAAGATCACCCCCTTCAGCGATGAGCTACGCTGCAAACACATTGATCGTCTACGCTAAGGGTGTTGTCCACTCGCCTCCCAGCACTGGTGGTGCCATCGGCGTGGTATTCGAGGGCACGTACTGTATCAAGAACTTTTCAGAGGAAATATTTGATGCAGCTGGCGATATGACCGAGACCAGAGCTGCCTACTGGGTGAGTTTGGAGCACAACGATAAGCCTGCATTATTGCTTTGCTGAATCCATAGCGAGCAGGCCATCTTGCGCGCTTTGGAAAAGTCGCCCTCGTTCGATCTTCGGACGCTCGGCCGCGAGATCCATATCCTCACCGAAAATGAGCTATGCGCTACGACGCTAACGCTGTGCAAGCTCAAGGGAAACAGTAAGGAGGGAAGCTTCCTAAGCTCCAGGCCCTCGGACGACGACATGATCAGGCGCATCATTCACCTGCTCAATATTCGCTCATCGGACGTCGTATACTTCGATTACCTGGACTCCAAGCGTCCGCGAGAGGCCAGTCGTGCAACAGAGCGAGTTCTGTGCTATCAATCACGTACAGGAGAAGACTGACTGAATCGCTCTGTGACAGCCTGGCCAACCAGGCGCTGCAGCAGACCAACGGCAAGGACGTTGAGCAGTCTGGCAAGTCCGAGAGCAGGGTGGAGCGCCTCAGCATCCAGAGCGAGTCCATCGAAGACGGGCAAGTCGCGCAGAAATAGGCTCTGCTCCAACCTGTGCAAAAGTTACCGCATGGTGACGTTGGCAAAGTCACATCCGGCTCAGGTAGTTTGCCTTCGTGACATTCAGGTCTCTGCGTCTCCTTTGCCTGTTGATTGCCTTACTTCCTTCCTGTCGATCTGGCCTCTTGAATAAACGTGCTTCTCACGATGCAAGATGGACGCGTGAGCTCATCATCCGCAGGATCGACTTCGCGCCACCTGCGAGATATGCCGCAAAACGCGGAAGTGGCGAGACAAGGATCAAAGGGTTGGCTACTCTTTCTCTTGCTTCCCTACCACAACCGCTCAGCTCTACCCTCAAACAAGTCCCCATCTAAAGCAACATCATGGGCGACTCGAGCGAGGAAGACCACCTGCCCCACTTCGATATCTTTACGTACGGCGAGCTCGATTCGGTCTCCTCTCGCGCAGTCATCGCCGTCTACTTTGCCGCGCGTCACTATGGCGACCACGACATCTCTGAGCTCGTACCTACGGACATTGGTCCCGTTACTACCGCTGCGGCAGGTTACTGGGTGAGCATGCTGAGCAATGTAGCACGTCATTGAGGGGTGCCCCATAGCTTACTGGGCGCTGTGTCTCTCTCCTCGGTGACGCAGGCAATTGCACGCGCCCTAACGCGAGCCCCTGCTGCCGCCAACATTGTCATCTATTCCCAGATCGAGGCTTGCGTCCAGAATCTCCTCCTTTGCATCAAGACGTGCAGCACCTATCACGACCACTCGCAGAGAAAGCTTGTTGAGCGCATCTTGAACAATCTTCGGGCGCGCAAGAAGGCGGGAGGTAGTGTCAAATTCAAGTTCGTCGATACAGACTTGACTCCCAGCCATTCGAACACGAAGCTTGCTAGGCGTCTTGCTTGCCTAGACATTGCTCGTCAGTGAGTCCGCTTGCGGGCGTTGCAGAATTAAAAAGCCACACCGTTGACCTATAGCTGCTGCTCTACGCTCTTAGACTGGCTCGGATCACTCTACGCGATGCCATCGAGAAGTCCGATAAGGCTCAAGAAGAGAACGCCAGCGATAACCAAGGCGAAGAGGACAATGAGGACGGAGCCATTGACCTCTTGAGCTGCGCAAGCACCTCTACCTACACGTGAAGCTGGGCGCCATCCCAACCATCAAGCCTCCTCAGCACGACTCGGCGAGCTCCTCACAGCGGTGTGGCTTTCAACCTCGTCTCGTGCTTGCGGCAACTGTACGCGAGCAGGCCCACTCGTGCGTCAACCCCTGTTCTCCATTCTGCTCTTTTCTCCTCCAGGTCCATGTCCAATACAATCACTTCTCTGTCGCAGCGGCGATGCACGGTCGACAGACCCGCTTCCATCCCAACAGCACTCATGCTTTCACCGGACCGCATCGCCAAAGCTTCACCCTTGATCCGTCTCAGAAGCGCATGCTGCTGCTCCAGCTCGCCATCATCCCTGCCTCCGCGTGCTAGAGCTCAGCTCAGCGTGATCACGTAGGGAGTGCAGCAATGTCTCGACTGGATACTGAGACACGAAGCAGCTCGCCTGTCTTCGACCTTTGACGTCAGACAATGGCCAGTTTGAAGCCGGGCGCAGAACTGCGAGCGAGCTATCCTTGCTTCCCTCATCTGCCGGACCTCGACGCTTTGCTTCTGCCTCCCCACAGCTTCCTCACCACTCCAGCCCATCATGTCCTGGTCTAGCAAGGATGACGTGCCAATACTCACCGTCTACGCTAGTGGAGCACACGACGAAGCCAGTGGCCAAGCAGCCATCGCTGTCTTCCTGGCCCAGCGCGAGTACTCAGACTACGACAAAAACGAGCTGATGACTCTCCCTCTTGAACCATTTGACGTAGTCCTAGCCGGCTACTGGATGAGCTCCTCGACTAAGGACATGGACCGTGAGGTGTTGACTGACGCGCAGCCGGCTCTCCAAGGCTATTGCTCGCGCTCTGACGCGCATGCCGTCCGTCGCCCGCATCTCCATACGTTCGAGCAACGAACTCTGCGTCAGAGATCCGCTACTCGCCTCTACGTGTCTTTCGCCCTCGTTTCCACATTATGATGCTCATCTGTCTCTGTCTCTCGTCGCTGCTCAAGAGAGGTACATTTAAATGTTTGGTCGAGAAGCAAGAGAAGAATTGACCGGGGGGCGCGAGATGCTGATCTGGCCTTGCCTCTTCCTCTCGCACGCACGCACAGCCTGGCAGGCATAGCCTTGGATGATCAGGACGCAGAGCTGGCACGAGGGCAAGCGTGAGCGTGAGCGTGCCTGAATGCGGATGATGAAGCAAAGAAAGAAGGCGCGCTCGCCCGCTGTCGTCTCCCCTCGTGAGGTTGCGAGCTCGTCACCGGGTGGAGCGAGGGAGCAACTGCCGCTTTCCATCTCCATCGAGCCCGCTCCCCTCGTCACGCCACTTTTGTACCTGCTTAGCTAGCCGCGCTTTCCTTTGAATTATCTTGTCTCGCCCTGCTCGCGCATGCTGTGGTGGTGGAGAGAAAGGTGAAAGGACAGAGAGAGGGAAAGGCCAAACCTCGGAAACACGCAGCGGGGGCCTGCGTGCGGGGAAAGGGCGAGAGCTCAAGCCGTCGCCTTCGGTAAAAAGCTCGAGTCGGATCTTTGGGCCGCGCCCATCTGCTCCCTGCCCAGCGCGCTTCTTGCCTTCCTACCACGACGCATGCATGGCGCACGACATCCAGCCTAATCATCAGCGCCCTCACCACTTCCATCTCCATCGCCATGCCACCAGTCGCATCGTCGAGCTCATCAGCGCACGCACGCGGTCCCTACGCGCGTCTGACCTGCCAACAATGCAGGAAGAAGAAGCAAAAGTGCTCCCTACCAGTGGGCACGACGCCTTCCCCGCATCCTTTGCCGGCCGGGCATAGGTGCGATCGTTGTGTAGCAGGTGGTCTGGTTTGTGTACCTTGGCGCGGTCAAGAAAGTGCTGCGAGTGCGAATGCAGCGGGTGGGAGCGGGACACAGACTCCTCGTCAGATAGCTGATGACTTGGCTCGAATCGCCCCACGGGCATCCAACGGAGCAACGTCTTCTTCAGCTGCCTCCTCTTCCTCTGCGGCGCTCAACCCTCCTGAGCCTGGCAGACCGCTCAGCTTGATCAACACGCACGTCACCGACTTGCTGCCTGGGATGTGCTCCTTTCTACTTCAACACGATAAGTTCGGTAGCGATGCGCTCGGTGTGCCAGAGGGAGAAATGACCTCGCTGCACGACATGGCAGGAGGCGTCTACCCTCCAGGCATTGATAAGTCGTGAGTATAGCGCGCGAGCAGCAGCTGCATTCAGCCTCCTCCTGACCATGCTGTGCTCTCATTCTCGCGCACTTCGCCACAGCGTGGAGCAATTGCGCCTCTTCCACCCTCACATCTCCAAGTTCACAACCGTCTACGAGGAATGGCAAGACCAAATCCTCTCTCGCGATGCGTACGGGCGACGCCTCACTTCGAAGCCGCACCTATCCAGCCAACTTCTCCTAGCTACCCTACTCTGGCTAGCCTACCAGCGTATGGGCGGCACGAGTCTCATCTACGAGGAGTCGCTGATCGCCATCATCAGGGAGACGGCCGAGCAGCTATGCACGGTTCCTTCTCTGGCCGACAAAGGCTATGCCCCGCAGGCTTTCGAGCTGCTCTTTGCTTACTTTCCCCTCGCACTGCGGCGTTCCCCGCGGGATGAGGCCGGGCTAGCCGGTGAAGCAAGGCGACGCCCCCTTGTGCTCGGCAGCGAGATGCTCCGCACCGCCTACCGTCTGGCGCCTACAGGGACGGACCCGGACTGTCGGGACTTTTGGTGCACTCTTGCCAGCATCACCCTCCCGTCAAGCATAGACAACGTTCCGCGTCAAGTACCGAGCAGCGTGACCCCCTTCCAGGAGCTAGGCTGGGCTTGTATCATCAATCGGACGAATCTGATGCGAAGCGCTATAGATCAGGAAAAGGAGGCCAAATTTCTCAACGACGACCATGCTGATCAGCCGGAGCGATTCGCCCGCAACTTGCAGGAGTGTTTTGAGACGTTCAAGGATCGGGTGTGGGATCTGCAAGGGGACCTGACCGACGAGCTCGAGGCGGCGCAGTTAGATTGGAGGGATGGCGCTCCACCGTCGGGGGAGGTGAAGCGCATGTTACACGCCCAATTCGAGCAGCTCTGTCTGTGCGTGAGCGTTAACTTCGCGACGTACGTGGGCTGTCTAGCTCTGCGGGCCGCGGGCTCCTGGCGTGGGAGGATGACGGCGGGGACTTTTAGTCGGGAAAGGGCACGTCGAGTCATCGCGGTGGATGATGAAGCGCTCAGTTGGGTCAAGGAGCTTCTCGCCACCCTTTCGTCCCACATCGACCAATGGGTGTCACGAGCCCTCACCCTCTCCAACCTCCTCACGGACTGCGCAAATCTGCAATGGTGCATCCCCAAGGTAGAGCGAGCCTTGATGCTCTCATCCCTCACCAGACTCACCTTGCAGCGCGTCGGAGGGTTGATCCTCTTTGCCTCGGAATCGGACCCGCACTCGGACAGCTCGCAAAGCGCAGAGGAGACGCGCGCGTTTCTCGACTCGCTCGTCATCCTCCTCGAGTCGGCCGCAAATGCCACACTCAAAGGCGCGGAGATTGTTGGCGGGGATTTTGCGCAGCAGCAAAGGGAGGAGTGGATCGAGTGGGCGATTAAGGAGGGGGACGTCCTCGTTACCGCGGGCGTGATGGCGCTGCGTGGTGTCGAGGTGTTGAAGGGGTGGAGAGCGAAGATGTATGATGCGAGGTGGGGCGAAGGGAGTGGGGAGGGGCTGGAGAAGTGGTGCAGGTTGGACGGGTTTGAGGAGGGGGAGGTGCTGCGTTTGCTTACTGGTGGGGAGGGAGGTGCCGGGGCCGCTGCGATTGGGAAGGAGGAGCTGAAAGACTTGCTTTTCTTGGCGGCGCAGGGAGGCGTGGAGGCCGAATGAGCGCGAAGGCGAGCATCTATTAGTACGAGGGAGGGGGGCTGCAAGTGACCTCGAAGGGGGTATCATGCTTCGTCTATGGTAGATCTCCAACTCTATCAGTGAGGCTCGCGAGCCTCATCCCCACCGCCGTTCATCTCGACCGCATCGTCTTTCTTCCCTGCCTCGCCGGCCATCACCAACCTCTCACCATTCCAGCGACAGGGAGCGTCAGGCATCTCTTGGACGCCCAGCAACTCCTTAAAGCCCTCATCAAGATCCGGCTGATCAAAGTACGTCCACTCCAACTCCCCACCATACCCAACAGGCAGGTCTTCAGGCTCAACCAACTCCTTGAACTTTCCCGCTCGCATCTCCTCACCCGAGAGGATAACAATCTTCTCACGTGTTCCCTTATCGAACCACGCCTGTATCCAAGACCAGATCGTCGAAAAGAAGCTCGGAGTATTTACGAGGACGAGGGTGCCTAGCGTCTCGGGGAAATGGGCCGAATTGAGCTTCGAAGCCGATCCGAGGTGGGAGCGCAATGTCCAGAGTGTACGGAACGAGAGGCCACTGAGGTCTACGATGCTCATCGACTCTGTGACGGGGCCGCCACCTCGCTGTTGGTTGAGGGTTGAGGCCATGGGGATGTACAGAGAGGTGAGGTGCTCCGTGAGGACGGCTCTGCGTGTGCGTGAGGACGAGAATGGACGCATCAGTAGGTGCGATTCGGCATGGCATGGCGCGTCGCGGCGTCCTGCTGATGCTGCAAGCCTCACCCGCACCCAACCCGCACTCACATTGTGCTGAATCTCCTCTCCTCGCTGGCCTCCAACAAGTCTTTATGCTTGGACGGATCAATCGCTCCAGGTTGGAAGACGAACATGGGTCTCCCTCTTCGATCGCACCGCCCGACCAAACGCGGGTAGCATTGTCGTGCCCTTCTGAGCCATGCCCCATCCATGTCCTCGAATCGCTGCGCAAGATGAGAGTCGCGACGCCATTTGTCCGTTGTGGAGAATTGGGACAGGGCCGCAGGGATCGAGTAGGAGCGTGCACGGAGGAAGCGACTGAGCGTGCGGTGCGGTGCGGTGGGGAGACGAGAGGTTGGGCGATCAGCCACAAGCGTAGGGATTATTGCTCTACACGCCGGGCTCACTCTATCGTCACATCGTCGTACCACGTCTCCCCCTTGACTACGGGGCCGAACTGCTCTTCTATCTTTTGCTTCAATTCTTGAAAGGCCTGCGCATGCTGGTCGGTCATGGGAGGGAGCGTCGTTGGGGAGGGGAGCGTCATGCTTGCGGCTTGGACGAGATTGAAATGGAAAAAAGGGGCGAATGATCAAGAAGTCATCTAATCCGCGGAGGAACGTGATGGGAAGAGGCGCAAAGGGGCAAGGAAGAATATGAAAGAGAGAAGAAGGAGCAACAGAAAGGCGGGAACAGATGCCGCATCGTTGGCCTCGATGTATGCACCTCGACGCCCTCCGCCTGCACCTCGGACTGAGATTTGAGTCGATTCCGCTCAGCTCAGGCTTCCACGCGACGAAGGGCACGGGCGGGCCTCGTTCCGCTCTTTCTCTGTCCGCCCACTTTTGCCTCGAGACTTGTTGGCTCCTCAACGCGCCGCGATTTCAAGTAACCTCAGCCAGCACGACCATACGACACACGCAGGGATGGCTTCAATCTATCAATTCTATGCGATTTCTTCTCATGCAAAGCGCGCAGCCACGGCGGCTCCTCCTCTCAAACGCTGATCCACCTGCCCATCCACGTCTTGGTCACCTGCTTGGCCTCATCCACCAAACCCAGCTCAAGCAACAGCTGCACTGTCCCCCTCACGGCCGACTCCAAAGCCCCCGACACCCATCCATGCGTGACGCTCGTCGAATCACCCACCCAAATGGTCCCATTGTGCGTCTTGTAGTACTCCGGCAGGTACAGCTTATGCTGCCCAGCCATGGGCGCTGCCCAGCTGGCAGCCTCGAACTCGTCGATACCCCAGCACTTGCGCATCCCACTGACAAACTCGTCGTACACCACCTCCCCGCCATGCATCTCCGCCACCCCATCCAGCACGTGCTGGACGTGCGCATCCTCCGGCCAAGAGGCCATACGGTCCGCATCGTCGTTGCTCACGTACTCTCCGAGGATCACGGCAGGACCTGTGCTGTTGAGCCCATAAGGTGGGTAGCACACGTTGCGGATCCCGGGAAGGTCAGTCACACTGCATCCGCCGTAGATGGGAGGGGAGAAGGGAGCTCGCTCCCAGAAGCGCGACTTGAAGTGAAGCGCGACCTTGCACGCCGAGGAGTACTTGAGCGTCTTGACCGCTCGGGTGAAGGAGGGGGAGATGTTGGGCATACGCCAGAACTTGGCGACTGAGAAAGGCGCAGAGATGACGGCGTAGTCAAAGGACTCGCTCTTTGCCTCTCGTACGGAAGCGGCGTTGCTAGGTTTCCAGTGAAGACGGACACGACCGTCCTCCTCGTTGTCGACGCGGTAGATCTTCCTCCCCATGACCGTCTTGTTCGCAGCAGGAGTCCCCCAAAAGGCATTGGGCAGCTGGCTCATTCCGCGGTCAATCGTCTTCCACTGTACCGTGTTGTTCGAAAAGTAGGTATTGTCGCCGTACGCTATGTCCCAGAAGTTCTCTGCCAGGTTGTAAGACTGGCCAGTAATCTGGTCGACGGTGTCGAGGGTGAAGTTGTTCTTGTTGTGGAGATAGGAGAAAGCAGAGAAATCGTCGAGACCATGCGAGATCCACTCCTCGTGCGCCTGCCAGATGTTGGTGGCGATCGAGGCGCGCAGCGCTGCGGTGCTGGTCATGTTAGCCACGAGCTTCTGAGCGGCCGCGAGATCGTCAGAGGGCTTCGTCGTCGGGATAAGATCCGGGTTCTCCTTGAGCTGCGCATTACTCGGGGGCAAACCGTTGGGCATCTTGAAGTTGGATCGATACACCAGGTTACCCGGCGCACTCTGGATCCAAGGGATAAAGTCTACGCTCCTATTCCTGTTTCCCGCGTTGATCCTGTTCAATTCCTCGCCTAGCTGGAAAACGATCTGACTATCCCTCATGGTAAGGTTCTTGCCCGAGATGGGATCAAAGAGCAAGTCGGGGAAACGCATGCCTCCAATCTCCTGATAGACGTGCTTGTCCTTGTCCTCGTCAAAGTACTCCGTCTCCAGTCGACCGCCGTAGCGCTGCGAGGCCTCAATGAGGGTGTAGTTGTGCAAACCCACCGAGTCGAGGAGGAGGGTCGTCATGAGGCCGGACATGCCTGCGCCTACCACGGCGAGGCGAGATGACTTGGCGTTCTGCGTGACGAAACCCGGCTTGACGGACGAGACGCCATCGAACCAACTGTGCGTGCGTGCGGGGTGGTGGCAGGTGAGGCGTGGGGTGGGTTTAGTCGGTGGTCACGCGAAGGGCAGGTGAGGTGAGATAAGTGCGCAACTCACGTTCCGTAATGCTCCAAATCCGCCATCTTCATCTTCTCGCTCCTCTTCCTCCTCCTCACCTCCCGCTCATTCTCCACCACCTCCACTGGCTCAGAGCGAGCCACGACCTCTCCGTCCACGCGCGCGTACAGGCAGCCAGAAGAAGGCAGGTCTTCCCTGACGGTCCAGACCGCTCGGGCGGGCAAGGCTTCGCCTTCCCTCAGAGGGGCGGAGGCAATCGTGTCGTGTAGGGTTGCATCGTTGGAGCAGTCGGCGTAGACGAGGTCGAGGGTGCGCTCCTTTCTGCGGGAGAGGGTGATCTTCTCGTGCTCTTGGGCCGACCAGTCGAGGTGTACGTTACTGATGCCGTGCTCTACGGTTGTGGGGGAGCGGATCGAGAGGGGGGAGGAGGGGGTGGGTACGGCTCGTGCTAGGGTGAAGGCTAGGGTTAGCCAGAGAAGGGAGAGCATCGTGGGCGGTGGACGTGGTTGGGATGCCTCTTCATCTTGGAGTGAGGAGCAACGGGCGAGACTTTATAGTGTAGGGATGGCCGCCAAGATAACGAGGAAGAGAGTGAGAGAGCCAGTCAGGGAGGGACGATAGGCAGCCATGGTTGCAACTTCTCGCGCCCCCGACTCGCACTAGAGCAACGAAGCACGCACGGCTGTGCTTCATGTGCGCCCGCCTCCCCTTTCATCTCCAAACTGCTCCCACCTCTCTTAGCCTCGTCTGGTCCATGCAAAGCTTCTCTCGGCGCCTCTCTTTCCCTCTCTGCTATCAAGCTTTCGACGCGCCCCTTCTGCGCCCCCACCAGCCATTGCTCGCACTGCACCGCCTATCAGCTTGGTTCACCAGGTAGGTGATCGCGATCCCCGTCGCGGTGATCCCTATCAGTCTCGAAGAACCCTCGCTCGCTACGAGGGTGCGCTGCTCCCGCCTCGCTGCGCATCTATTGACCGAGGAGGGCCAAGACCCCGATTTGGTTCTTGGTCTTGGGTATCGCTGTACGACGGGCGGACGGACGCTCGGAGCGTCGAGCGTCTCGCTTCATGAGTGGTGATTATCGCTCATCGCAGGGACAGACGAGGCGACGCGGTGATTGAACGGGAAGGCAAGACGATGACGGGTGGATTTAAGATGCAGGAGCTCATTGCAGGGTGCAGATTGAATTGGGCGCCGGCGCGAGGCAATCGGCGACCTACAGTCATGACGACGCGTTCGTGCACGCGCGTAGCTGCAGCCAAGGCTAGTGGATGTAAGCGTACGTACAGCGGGCCGCGATGCCATTCTTCCGAAGGAGCAACAGGCGCGCAGCGTTGTGTAATCTCTTGGTCTCGAGGTGAGATGTGGCCCTGATATCTCATCATTAATTCGATCGCACGTCGACGTCAAACCGATATGATACGACGAAGAAGCGGGGACGAGGCGGGATGGGACCGAGAGGGGGCCGAGGGAGCTCATCACCACGCGATCACGCTGACCGAAGTGATCTCCGTATCATCGTATCGACGAGGAGTTGCTAAGCAACAACTCAAAGCCTGGGTACGTGATGCGCGCCCACCCGCGTGCTTGCTTGTCTGCTTGCTCTTTGCTCCTGCACGATCGAACAGCCGCGGCCCCTCGAGCTCGATGGTGGCGGCGCACGGCAATGAAAGTTGCTGGGTCCCACGCCCGCGCCCGCACCCGCACCCGCACCCGCACCGCCTCTTGCACCTCTATGGTAGTGAGCGATGAGCGGCTCATATCCAATTCTAGGCATCACACTCCCATGCCATCGCCCGTCGTGACATTCACACCGTAGCCCCGAGCTTCTGCGCTGCACGGCCTTTGCTTGCTCTTTCTCCCCTTTCTTTCCTTCCTTCCTTCTCGGTGAAGTCGCCGTCTCCGGCCGGGACTCCGCTCGCGCCGAGCCTTTTTTTGTCCGAAGCTGCGCTGCGAGCGAGTCGAGTGAGGGAAGCGACTCGCGGACTCGCGATCAGCCCTTTCGTGTTTTGCTACTCGCACTCGATTACTAACACCCAAGTCGTCTCATCGGGGTCCGGCCTTGGCAAGGCAACGAACGTAACCTCGGTCTGCGCGAGGACGCTCGCCTTCCCCAGCTAGGCAAGGCAAGTCGAGGGGACAATGCTGCCAACGCCAACGCCGACGTCGATGGCACCAGCATGGCACGATGCTCCACTAGGCCGGCTGCTCAACGCTGTCAGTCACGGACGGTTCTGCCCAGCGGTCGAGGAGCGCGATGGGTGGGAGATGCCCAGCGAGCTGGCTGCGCGACTTGCTGGTGAGGGAGAGTACGAGGAAAAGGTCGCCGGGGAGCAGACTGGCACGCTCATTCTCGTCGACTGGTACGGTCCCACGGACCCGTCCAATCCGTACAATTGGAGTGCAGAGCACAAATGCTACGTCACCGGCCTGGTGTCGCTGCTCACCTTCTGCGTCTACGCCAGCGCCTCGATTGTAGCTCCTGCCAACCTCGGTCTCGAAGAGCACTTCTCCGTGCCCCCCATAAAGGCCACGTTGAGTCTCTCTATCTTCCTCTTCGGAATGGGAATCGGTCCGCTCATCCTCTCCCCACTCTCCGATCTGGGTGCGGTCGGCCGCTCTCACCCGCACTGGGCCGCCTCGCTCTGTTTCCTCCTCTTTAGCGTGGGAGCAGCAAGTACGGAGAGTTACCCGGCGTTGATTGTACTGCGGTTCTTGGCGGGATTTATGGCCAGCCCGGCTCTCGCTGCGGGTGGGGCAGCGTTGGGGGATATGTGGATGGGCAAGGCATTGCCCAAGGCCATTGCGATTTGGTGAGCGTGGGGTGCGTGGAGGCGGCACGAGTGTACGGCTGACTGACTGACACGATATTCCGTTTCTCGCCCTCGCCGTCGCCCGCACTCGCAGGGACACGGCGGCCTGTGCAGCGCCCTGCTTCGCACCCGCCATGGCTGGCTGGGCGGCTATGAACGTCTCGTGGCGTCTGCCCTACTGGCTCGCCGTAGCCTTGGCCGGCATAGCATTCATCGACGTCACGGTGCTGTTGCCCGAGACTCTCGGGGCGAATATTCTGCATCGTCGCGCCTCTCGCCTACGAGCCATCACGGGGGATGAGCGGCTACGTGCGCCAGAGGAGCTACGCGAGGGCAAGCTGCTAAGCTTCATGGCTTCACGCATCGTAGGACCCGCGCGCCTCTCGGTGGAGCCCATCGTCCTGTACTCTGGCGTGCTCATGGGACTCGAATACGGTGAGCAGCGCGCGAGCCGGCACCTTCCATGCTGAACCGCAAGCTGACCCTTGCCGTAAACGCGCGCACACAGGCATCTTCTATCTCGCCCTCGAAGCCCTCCCTCTGATCTTCGCCGATATCTACGACTTCAACATCGGCCTGCAGACCCTCCCCTTCGTCGGACTCGGCGTCAACACCTTCTTCCTCTCCGGCCCGGCATACCTCCTCTGGCTGACCTACTACGTGGATCGGCAGCCCCGCCCGCTATGTCCGGAGATATGGATCATCCCCTGCCTCGCCTCTGCCCCGCTCGTCATCATCAGCCTCCTCTGGACGGGCTGGTCAGCCAGAGAAGGGGTAAGCTACTGGTCCCCACTCCTCGCCCTGTCCCTCTATATTACCCCGGTGTACTTCGTCTTCCTCTCCGTCTTGACATACCTGGCCACCATCTACCCCGGACAAGAGGCAGCCTCCGCCCTCGCGGCGAATGTCCTTCTTCGCTCATCAATAGCGGGCGTCTTCCCGCTCTTGTCCGGGCCCATCTTTGGCAACCTCGGCTTGGGAAAGGGATATACGCTTCTAGCCGGCTTGTCACTTGCGCTCCTGCTCCCGCTGTGGGGATTGTACAGGTATGGGCACTGGTTGAGGGCACGATCACCGCGAGCGGTTGGGGCTAGGCCGAAGAGGGGGGAGTAGTGCGGCGTGGTGAGAAGGGGGAGAGAGGAAGCCGATCTAGCATTGTGTGGGGCATCGCATCGCTAATCTAAGCATCATCGCAATGTGCAGCCGTGAGGGTTAGGTCGGTATCTTCTTTGCCCACACGAGTGAATCGGGGCGACCAGGAGACGGGGGCTTGTGGGGCTGATGTCGAGCGGAGAGCGATACGTGGGCGCGGCAAGGTACGAGGCGGGATGGTGCAAGGCGGCAGACGGGGGATGAGTGAATAGGGTCAAGCAAAAGCGATGGGTGTCATTGTCAAGAGACTACAGGGGCTACGACATCGCGGTCTAGCCTACTGCTTGTCCTGGATGGGGACGTCCTTGCCCGTGAGCTTCTTGAAGCCTGCGAGGAGGTGAAAGAGCGGCAGAGGGTCAGCGCTGCGATGAGAGAAAGTGTCGAGAGAGATGAGGGCACGCGGACGTCCTCCTCATCACAACATCATGCTACACCTCGCTACTCACCTGAACGGATGCCGTCGGAGATCTTCTCGGTAGTCGAGGCGGCTGCGGTGCGTTTGACGAGATTGAGAGGTGAGCTGGGTACGGCGTGGAGGCGCTGTACGGTCGTTGCGCCAACTCACACTGGCCGTGTCCCGACTTCTGGAGGACCGAGTCGACTCCCTTGTCGAGAGCGTCTTGCTGGGGGGCACCGCCCTGCTGAGGTTGTTGCTGTGCGAGTGCAAGGGAGGGAGGTGTGAGCTCGACGACGCTTGTGCTGGAGATGACGCGAAGGCCGCGGCTGGGGACACTCACGTCTGCCATTGTGATAGTCTGAGTTTGGTAGCGAAGTTGATTGGTTGTGATGGTTGAGGAAAGAAGGTGTGACTGGCCGCTTCTTGCTCTGCTATATACGTCCTCTTCGCTCACCTCGTCGCTCGCTCACCACACATCTTCCATGGTCTACTGCCGCTCCACGCCCTCGTGCCCATTCGTACACGAGGAAGAGCTCTGTTTTCCCTCTCCTCTGCCGCCCGCAACGACGCTATCTCGGTGGGCGAGGTCGGTGGGCGAGCTCGGGCCACATTCTCTTGCGTCACTCGGCGCAATAACAGGCCTCCACCCACGCACCAAACGCACCGCCCCGCCGGTCGATGTGCATCGCGATCCTCGTCGCTCCCCCCGAAATGCCTCTCTGCCAGTCGTCGAGTTTCGGGTCAAAAGGCGCAGCAAAACCGGCGGTCTCGCTGCGATGAGCGGTGCGATGAGTAGGGAGGGATCGATAAGGGGGCGGCGACGTATTAACATATTGCTACAAGAGCCGGACGCAGGAGAACGATGACAACATAGACGAGACGGGGTGCGGCTGCGGGTCCAGAACGAGAGAGTAGAGAGAAAGAGAATATCGAGAAAAAGTGTCCGTATCGCTATCGCGCCGCTAAACCCAAACCAACTCAACAACGCTATCCTGCTCCTCATCAGCGATTTCCTCCTCGACGATGCGCCCTCTCTCCTCTTCGCTCATCGAGTTGCCCAACAAGCGGTCCACCAAGCCACGCAGACTGCCCTTTAGCTCTCGGTGACGACGAGCTTCGGCGCTGACCACATCGAGGCCTTCGTCCTCCTCGTCACTCGCGCCCTCCCCATCATACACTCCTGCAGTCACATAGCCCCGCGCTCTCCCGGCCCTCTTGATGTAAATTTCCCGAATCCCACGCCCATCGTCATCCCAGCTATCCCCTTTGCCCAGCTCCTCACCCTCCCTCACATCCTCGAGTAGCCACGTCTCCTTCCAAGCGCGCGGACCCGTCCCTGTACCTGTACCGTCGCTGTCGTGGAAGCGGCTGAGAGGCGGTCTCCCCTCGCGAATGCGCGGTCGTGTGGGACCGACGGATTGCGAGAAGTCGGAGTTGGCCCAGATCTTCCACGTCATCTCGGTGCGGGCAAAGTCCGGGAGTGGCGTGGGGTGCAGAGTGAGGGAGAGGCCGTGCACGAAGTGGTAGGCGAGCGAGGCGCGCTTCGAGGATGATGAGATATCACCGCCCGCGACCTCGCTTTGCGTGGACGCCGGCGTGGTAGCGTTATTGGGACCTGAGCTCGCGGCGTTTGAGAGGAAACGCTGTAGCAGGCACTCGCTACCGCACGCTGCTCCAGCTCGCGAAAGGAGGATAGGGTCCAGCCCGGTATTCCAGCTCTTCCAGTGATGCCACGTAATGATATCACGCCCACTCTCGAGCATCCCGCGAATATCGTCGTACAGGTCCGTCTGGTGCAACCCCCACTCGATGGTCAATCGCGTATGCGTATGAGCATAGATGCACGCAGCGAGACGATAGTCGCCGGCCTTCTCCAGCTGGCGGCAAGAGGACCAATGCGGGCTCAACTCGTGAAGCAAGGGCATCGAGAGGACAACGCCCGCCCCACCGTAGGCGATCATGCCCGAGCCGGCCTGCCTCCAGTCGTCCGTCAGTGCGCCAATGTAGTGGCTCTCCGTATGGTCGTACCGATCCAGCGCCTTGAAGAGCTTGGGCATGCTGAGGAACACCGTATCGTCGTCGGCCACCATCGCCCATCGCGTGAGGCCTGGGTCGGCAAAGTCCAAGAGGAGGGAGGGGAGCTCCACCCATCGACGCAGGTAGTCCTCTTCTGGGGAGAGGATGATGGTGGCCCGGATGGAACGCGCGCGCAACGTCTTGCGGAGCTCGGGGATGCGCGAGTTCTTGGGGAGGTTGAGGACGAGGTGCAGGTTCGAGTGGGCGAAACTGTACGCGAGGATGGGCATCATCTCCAGCAATCGATCGGCGTCGGACGCGAGGCCGAGGATGACGTGCTCCGGCTGGGTTTGGGTGCGCGGGATTGGGTAGGTAGGGATGCGGAGCGGTTCGAGGGAGGACGAGCAGGAGGACAGGCGCGTGAGGCCTTGCGGAGACGACGCCGACGTCGACGCGGACGTGGTATCGAGGGCGCCACGACTGACTCGCATGCGCTGCTCCTTGGCGATGCAGGCGCCCATCTTGTCGCCTTCCTTGCCCCTGCAGGCTTCGTCGATTGGTACGCCGTGCCAGGCCATCGTTTCCCAGCCCTCGACGATGGGCGCAGAGAGCTCGCGCGGGTGAGGATCGAAGCCGCTAGGCTTGTCCGGCGCGGGCGGCCGAGGCGCTGCGGTGACGTATCTGCGGGAGTACTTGAATTTGGGGGTGAGGCGGTACCGCGAGGCAAAGGCTGACGCGTCGAGCTGACACGGGATATCCAAGGGCGGACGAGTCGCAGCCTCCTCGTAGCCCAAGCTAGCGTGTGTGTTGGAGTGTGGATTGGCGGCAGACGGCGGCGTCGTATCCCTCATCCCCTCTGCGAGCCCCCACCCCCACCCCTTGCCAGAAGCCATCCGTTCATTACGCCAGTCGTAGCGCGCAGTCTCCCCGGCGAGTCTGAGCGAGTCGCCGCGATACCACACGCTGAGCGGTGATGTGGCGGGCAGCATGGCAGAGAGGACCAGCAAGCCGGTCAGGACCGCGAGGACCTTGAGCACCAGTCTCATCCTGGATGGCGTCACCCTGCCCGCGCCTGCTGGAAGATGCTGCTGCAGCCGCTGAGAGAGCAATCGTGGCATGTCCGAAATCTTGCGCTTGTGCCGGCGAGATGCTGCCCACTCGTGGTAACATTGTCCCTTTTCTGCTCCCTGCTCCTCGTCCGTGGCTGGCGGTGACGCAACGCCATAGCTGCTGCTGCCTGGCGATGACGAGATGTCGTAAGAACGCTGCTCCTCAAGACCGCCGGCGTCGCTATTGCAGCATGTGGACGAGCCTGTGCTTGCAGAGGTTGACGAGGAGGGGAAGAAGGCCGAGGAGCCTGGGAGAGGGGAGGCGCGACGAAGGTGGTCCATCGCGGCGCGACGAGGCGAGGCGAGGCTAGAGAAGGTGGTCGGATGAATGAATGAATGGATGAAGGAAGGAACGAATGAGAGGAGCGAAGAGAAGAGGAAACGAATACAGAGGGGAGAAGAGGAGGTGCGACAATCCACCAAGTGCACATCGTCGCCCACTAGCGGCTAACTGCTGCTCGCTGCTCGCTGCTCGATCTCACCATCCCATCCCCGACACCCTGCTCTGCTCTGCCCTGGCCTGGCCTGGCCCTGCGTTGCGTTCGTCATTTCTTTTCGTAGCTGCACCACACGGTGACCAAATTCGGAGCAGACCCTCTAGCTGCTCTCTGCATCGATGCGTTTGTAGGCGGGTGGCTGTCTCTGTCTGACGTCGCGAACGGCTCGCTCGCTGCTCGCGTGCCTCACAATTGAGCCGGACCCCACATCGTCGTTTTTTCCACGGCCGGCAGCGCAGCGCACAGGGTCTGCCGACGGCAGAGGCGTGGCATAGCCTCAGCCAGCCACGCCGCACACGCGCGCGCATGTACGCATCCTGTCAGCACAGAAGGCAAATCTTGGCCTCGCCCAAGTTCATTTCCAGTCGCTAGCTAGCGGCTTCGTTCGTCGTTTGAAAGACAGAGAGAAATGAGCATGTCGCAGCCTCGAACAAAAGTGGTCGCCGCACTCGGAGGCCGCGCCCCGCCCAACTCGAGCGAGGGAGGAGCGGCTTTCCCACCCTCGGCCAGCCACCACGACAATCCCCGCAGATCGGCACGGCAGATGAGTGATGAGGGTCCAACGTACCGTTCGTGCGAGACACGGCAGCAGCAGCAGCAGCAATGTGCGACGAGAAGCACGATTTCAACGAGAAGATGACCGCTCGTGGTGCCGCGTGGTGAGACTGAGGCCAGAGACCAGACACAGCGCAGCTATTTGTGGACGTCTCAGGCTCGTCGTGTTCGCTCATGGTGACTGGGCGTGGATCATCGGGCGATGGTGGATTATCGAGGTGAAGAGAGAAGAGAGACGAAGTGGATACAAGTACAGGCTAGCTCGGGGGGTCTGTCGAGCGAGGGACGAAGGAGTCGCGCGGGCTGCAATAGCTGGACAGCAACCCGCGAAATCGTCGCCATCATCACCATCACAGGCGGCTGGGCGTGAAGCCAATTGCTCCCATTCTTACCGCCCTCACATCGACATGCCCATCCCTCCTACCATGGGCATCCCCATAGCCTGTCGCTCAGCACCCAGTCCCCTCGCATGTTTCTCCTCGATCGTCCTCCCCAAACGCCCAATCTCCCCACACCACTTATCGAGAGCCGCATACCTCGCCGCAGCCCCCCCTTTGCCCTTGCCCTGACTCTTAGCCGCACCGCCCGCGTGCAACTCCAATCGCTGATTGACGTGATCGATACTACCCTGCACGACCCCATCGAGGATCAAAGCCATGAGCAACTCCTCTACCTGCCGCGCAGAGACGTTGAGCTGTCGACTCAAGAATCCCAGGTCTATGCGCGTGTAAGGCCCAATCAAGTCAATGAGGTACTGCGTTCGCAACCCCTTTAACAGCTCAGCGATGTGCTGCCTGATAAAGGCGTCCTCCAAGATCGTCTTCGAGTTGTCCCTCAAAATTCGCTCCGCCTCGTGAACTTCGCGACGCTGGTACGCGCCGACGAGGGAGGTCATGGCCACTATCTCCGGGTCTGACTTGTAGGGTTTCGTCTCCTGAGAGTCAAAGGGGTCGATACTAGAGCCCATGAGCATGTGGGCCAGGACGAGGTACTTGAGAACCGTTATGCGTGAAGGGGAGCCGGCTTCGTCGTATAGGCGGAATGCGGAGAAGAAGTCGGATTGAGCTGAGGACCAGTTTTCTGGGCGAGGCAGGCGGGGCGTATGGGAGCGAGAGGCAACGATCAGTGTGATGCTCGGGAAAGGGAAGGGATCGTTCTCGCTGGCTCCCGCGCACGACTCACTTTCGCTCATGTGCATCTTGCCACCACACTCCCTGATCACGCCCATGATGCGCGGATGAGGGATGGCGCTCTTGACCTGGAGCGTTGCGTCGTACGTCTCCTTGAGCCGTTTGAAGTTGGCTGCGTGGGCGCCACGGAGGACAAGTGCGGAGAGGTAAGGTCAGCTTCGTCTCTTCTGCTCTCTCGGAGCGGTGTCTGGCATCTACGCACCCGTCTCGCTATACATCTGAATCTCAAGTGCAAAGATCTCAAGCAGGATAGTCCCTTTACTCTGATCGTCCTCCCCCTCCTTTGTGGTGCAGTACGCTCGGAGTTCACGTAGGCTTTTTGCCAATCTCCCCCACTCAGCGCGCGCCAACCATAGTCGAGCGAGTTTCAAGTCTGTCTTGACGCTTAGTCTCTCGTTCTTCGCCTCTTCTAGCGCTGTATGCGTGATCTGGTAGAAGCGCTCCATTGTCGCCAAGGGTACGGCGTTGGCGGATGATGATGAGGAGGAGGTGTTGTGGGAGGAAGGGGTGGAGGAGGAAGAGACATAGTCCAGGATATTGTTAATGGACTTTTCGCTGTAGTTTCGGGTTACGGCGGATTTGGTGTAGGAGAGGAGGAGGGTGTATGACGCAAGAGCTTCGTCGTGACGTCCACGATGGAAGTTGATCTTCGTTTGTTGCTTGAGGGCTTTGAAGCCCCTGCGAGGGAGCGAGAGCGGAGGAGAGCGATGAAGATTAGCAGGAGGGAGTGAGTGGCTGTATGCCACCTGCAAGGCGCAACTTACCAATCCCCCTTTGGCTCCTCCTTGTCCACGACTGCCTGAAGGTCCTTGATGGCGGCATCTGGGTCTTCACTCTTCTTGTCTGCGCGGCGCGAGTTGGCAAGATCAGTATATGCATATGCTACCTCAGGGCTGGGGGTGGGGGCAGGCGCGCGCCACTTACTCTTGGCATTGTAGTACATATTCTCGATATCAGCATCCGCTTCCTGCTCATCGTCGTCCTCTTCGTAGTCGAAGTCGTAGTCCTGCGCGTGGGGCACAGCGACATCAGCTCAGCAACACTCAATATAGCACGTCACCTCGATGTGAGCCAGGTGGGTACGCACCTCGTCCGCTACATCGTCCATAAGGAACTGCAGGCGCGAGAAAGGAGGGTAAGGAGCTGAGCACGCTGCTGAGCTCATTTCGGCCGTACGACGACCGGCCGTACGGTGACACTCACCTCATCGTCCGACATCTTTGCTGATAAGTTGCAATGCTGGTGTTGGTGCGTAAAATCGAGACGCAACTCCAGTCCCGCTCGCTGCCTGCGTCCAGTTCATCAACTTGGAGTGGAATGAACGCGAACGCAGGGGCCACCTCATCAAATCCCACGTGGCGCGGTGCGTCTACGCCGCGCTTATGCCCGTTCACCTGTCAAGCCAAGGCCGTGCATCCGTCTAGGCCCTCCACACACGCGCACGCACCCCGCCCTCGTCATGATCCTCGGCTGCCGCTGCCCCGCTGTCAAGCAGCTCACTCAATCCAACCACAGGACGCCGACAAAGGTACAAAATGGCCGAGCGAAGGTCCGTCTTAACTTCTTCCCTTTCTTCCCACACAACTCGAACCAATTAACTCAAGTCAATCAAAGCCCCAGTAGCGTCACTCCAAGCGTCACTCGCCCAGCATGTCCCTCACCCACAAAGCCGCCTTTTACAACAAGGTCGACGGCAAGGCCGACATCCAATCGCGTCCCAACCCTCTGCCGGAGAAGGGCCAAGTCTCCGTCGAGATCACAGCCACCTCGCTCAACCCTGTGGACTGGAAGATCCGCGCAGGCGCTTTCCCCTTCACGCTCCCCGCCGTAATCGGCGGCGATGCAGCCGGGGTGGTCCACTCGGTGGGCAAGGGAGTAAAGAACTTTAAGAAGGGGGACCGAGTCTTCTTCCAAGGTTACCTAGGAGAGAACGATGCGAGCACCTTCCAGGGCAAGGCCGTTCTGGATGAGAAGCACATTTCGCATACTCCGTCCAACGTCAGTGATGCCGAGGCGTCGGGCATCCAGCTGGCCAGTATGGTCGCCGTCGTCGGCCTCTATCACGAGAGTGGAGCCCTCGCTCTTCGCCCGTGCCCATGGGAGGAAGGAGGAGACAAGGCTGGCGAGGGAAAGGCCATCGTTGTACTGGGGGGAAGCTCCAGCGTAGGACAATAGTGAGTTGAGCGCGCGCGCGCGAGACGATCGAGCTCCAGCTGACTCATCTGTGCGACTTCCCGTTCGCCGCCTCACCCACGCAGCGTCATCCAACTGTGCCGCCTCTCCGGCTTCAGCAAGATCATCACCACCTCCTCGTCCACGCACTCCTCTCACCTCCAATCCCTCGGCGCCCACACAGTCCTAGACCGCAATACGGCCACTCCCGACCAGTTCATCGAAGCCGCAGCCGGTATCCCCTTGGTCGCCGTGTACGACTCCATCGGGTCGGACGAGACGTACAAGCTCGGTGTAGGTCTTCTCCAAGAAGCCAACAAGGAAGGTCAGGGCCAAGGTGCCAGCCATTACATCTCCGTTATCCCCGGTACGGAGAGTCAAAACTTCACAAACCCAGACGTAACGGTACGAGCGGTGATGGGTTTCAATAAACATCCGGACCATGAGGGTATTTGCCCGCCTTTCATTGCTGCGATTAGTGGAGAGGACGGGTGGGTTGGTAAGGGGCTTTACAAGCCGAATAGGATGGAGAAGATTGAGGGGGGACTGAAGGGGTTGGATGAGGGCTTGGACAGGCTTAAGGAGGGGGTGAGCGGGGTCAAGCTTTGGTTGGACCCGAGGGAGACGTAGGTGGGCGAGAGGCGCGAGTTGAACCGGGAAGGTTGCCAAATATGTAGGAAGAAGCGAGTCGTGATATTAGGGCTACAATTCTGGAATGAATCAATGAGTGAAATCGAAGAATCGATGGGCACATTAACCCCGCGCTGCGCTTGCCTTTGAGTGGGTCCCGTCGTGAGAAGACGCGCTCCCGCCGCCCAGCCTCCTTCCCTCTGACTCGCAGCAATTCGACGCTGCCTTGCACCCACCCGTCCCGCCTCGCCTCGCCTCGCGGCGTGCCAATCACCGCGAGGAGCACGAATGAACAAGCCCCCTGTCCTGATCCTCCTCAATCAAGACTTGATGACACGGCGGGCTCGGGGATGTGCGATGTTTGAAGTTAACCGTGCGAGGAATGACTAGGAGCGCGATCCGCTGCGGAAGAGGGAAGCGGGTGCGGTACGGTACGGTACGGCCCGCCACGGCTGTCGGCTTTGTGCCATTCGGCTTGAGAAACTTCGAGCTGACCTTGAGACTTGCGGATGCATCTCTCCTGTCCTGTATGAGCGCAAGGCTTCATTTCATCCCTCCCATCTAATCACCATCTCAATCTCCTCGCATCATCTCGCCTGGCCTCGCCTGGCCTCGCCACGCCACATTATGCGACACCTCAGCGTCTTCCCACCTCTCATCTTCCTCGTCTCTGCCATGATGGCTGTCGCGAGCGCACGACATGTCTCTCTGCCTCGCGGCGCCTCTCTCATCCATCTAAGCCCGTGCGGCTCATCCCCAGGCGTGGTCCCCGCCTTTGTCAACTCCGGGTGGGCCCACCCAAACCAGACCTCGCACGCCACAACGGCATACATAACGCAGCATGGTACGGGTGCGCACTTCGACGTCGACTTTGCCGCGGTGCACAACGTCGTCGGCGACCAAGAGGCAGTCGTGATCGCTCCCGCCTTCCACGTAGCGACGGCTCCGCGGTCGCGCTACTACTCGCCGGACAAAACCCTCGCCTGGGCAGACGGCGAGGTCACCTGGGCAGGCGGGTACGACTCTGTCTCCCCTTTTGCCTCGTCGTGCTCCAGCTTCCGCACGTACGAAGCAATCCTCGCAGCACTTACGGACCGGTCTCGTTTCCCTGCGCTGCACACCATAGTCTGGGCAGGCCACTCCGCAGGGGCGAGTATGGTGCAACGCTGGTCTGTCCTTTCACCCGAGTCGGCAGGGCATAGGACGCGATACATCCTAGCTAATGCTCCGGAGACGACGTATTTTTCTGACGTGAGGCCTCGAGAGTACGACCGAACTGCCTGCCCTGGGGCAGGGCGCTACCCCTTCCAGTGGACGAGGCAGGGCGGGGGTATGCCGCGCTACGTTGCTGAGCGGGACGGAGGCGGGGAGGAGGCTGCGTTCAGAGGGTGGGCGGGAAGGGACGTTACGATTTTGATCGGAGATAGGGATACGGAGTCGCGTTTCCCTGGTGGGGATGAGGGGTGCGCTCCTCGCTCGCAGGGGGGCGTGAATCGAAGGGAGAGAAACTATGCCGCTTGGGCGTACAGCGTTCTTCTGGCTGGAGCGGGTGCGCGAGAGGATGTGAGCCGATACACTGGGTACGACTATCTGAAGTCGCGCGTCAGCCCAGTGGGTGGGGTGACGTTCAGGCACAAAGTCTGCGTTATGGGAGGGGTAGGGCATGATGCCACAGCGGTGTATGCGAGTCAGTGTGGACGGGATGCTCTCTTCGATCGAGGATTGAAGGCGAGCGTGGGCGCCAGCTACCCTTGATAGCGGGCGATGCGATGTGTGATATCTGGCGCCCGTGTTGCGACTGCCGCTCATCGTCGAATGATTGAACCCTCGTAGCGGCGGCATCTGGTTATTTGAGTTAAGGGCGTGCCGCCGCCCGAGCTGAGTTTGAGTCGAAGCCGCTCAGTCCGCCTCGAGAGAATCGAGATGGATGGCGTCGTCGTGCGTCTGAGATGCAGGGCGGGCCGCAATTGCATTACCGCTCGGCGCTCCTTCCCCTTCTCATTCTCATTCCCATTCCATCGATTCCCCTTGATCATCACCGCCTCGCGCGTCTCGCCACCACCACCATGTCCTCGTCCGGTCGCGACGGAGAAAGAGTCACTCCTCGCTCCCCCACCTCCCCCTCCACCGGCTCGCAGCACCTCTCCGTCGCCTTCTCCCCTCAAGAGCGATTACCCCTCGAACGCCTCGAGTCGGTCGTAGTCGCGGGACCCTCGAGCCTTCCTTCCCCACCTCAGCGTGCAGAGGAGGAGGGTTTGACGTCCACTACCGCCTCGCATCGGCCACATCGCCGGGACACGCCGCATTCCCGCCGGCCAAGCCGCAGATCAACGCGAGGGTCTGACGGCGAGTTTGCGCGCCCCTCTCGCTCCTCGACGGCGCGATCGCGAACGGGTCTCGTAGATGAGCAGGCAGTAGAGGATGGCGAGGAGGAGTCGCTTCGCTCGCATTCGCACGCTCACGGTCTGGCCCGGCTGAAGCCTACGCGCCTCATTGATCTGCACGAGCTACGCCCCGACATCAAGAAGTTGTCTATCTTGCCTACGGTGCATTTCCCTGGGCAGGGGAGTGGGAGGGAGAGCGAATTTCTGCAGGAGGAACCGATTTGGGCTAGGAGGCCGTGGAAGTGGCTCTACATGGTGAGGAGTGGCGGCGGCGGCGGCGGCGTGTAGATTGAGTGGTAGAGATGATGGGCTGACCGAGCTTCAATCCCGGCCCGCGCTGCGCCAGGTCTACTTTGGGCTTTCAGTCGGTCTGATCTTTCTGCCTTACTTTGCCATCGCTTCGATCCTGCCGAGATGGAGGGCAAGACCATCGTGGACGTGAGTCCGCGCGACGCATTCAACCCCGCGTATCTGCTCTGACATGCTCACGTCTCGCCCCGCGCCCGCAGCTGGAAGCGCTCCACCCTCGTCCGCCTCTATCGTCACGGAACGCGCCTGACCTTTCGCACACACACCAACCTCAGCCGCGATCTCTCCAAAGCCGTCCCGCACTCCTCGACGCTGCGCTGCAAGTTCGTCTGGATCTCCCCGCCGCCAGAGGCCGAAGTACGCGGCGAGCTCAAACGCGCAGCAGAGCAGCAGGGCATCTCAAGCGTGCGAACCTGCGGATTCTGGTACGGCGAGCCTTTACCCGGTGAAAGCTGCGTGCCCGGCGGGCCAGCTGAGGGTCTTTCCCAAGCTTCCCCGCCGGGTCGAACGACGGTGGGTGTAGGCCGCGCTGCAGGGGTGGATGAGAAGGTCGTATACCACCTGCACGGCGGGGCGTACTGGATTGGGACGGCGCACGAAAAGGACGTGACTGCTGCGGTGAATACCGAGGTGCTGCGTTACCTCGACGAGCTCTATCGGAGCGGTGAGGCGAGATCGAAGCCGGAGAATCGATGCACGCGCTCCCTCTCCCTCGACTACAGGCTATCAGTTCCACATCGCCCGCGGCTAGGCTCGTACCCAGCTGCCCTCCTCGACGCCCTCGCTGGCTACCTCGACCTGGTGCGCACCTGTGGCTTCAAGCCGAGGAACATAGTCGTCGCAGGCGACTCGGCGGGGGGCAATCTCGCGCTAGCCCTGTGTCGCTACCTACGCGACGAGCGAGTCGAAGAGGTTCCCGGTGCCTGCCTACTCCTCTCCCCTTGGGCGGACATCTCTCGCTCTCATGCCGGCCCTCTACATCGCCCAAATCCATTCAGTAGCGCCGCTATGAACCGCAAAGTGGACATCATCTCCAACTCGACCGCCTTCCGCAACACGGCCGTCCAAGCATTCCTCGGCGCCCTCCCCGCGCGCGAAGCGTATCGCAATCCGTACCTCTCCTCTTGCTCACTCCAGCTCCCTCCTTCGCAAGGCGGAGATGGGCCGGACTGGGGGTTTAGGGGCTTTCCCGGGCAGACGTACATTGTTAGCGGGTCGGGAGAGATCAGCTACGATCAGCACCTGACACTCGCGCATCGCATGGCTGCGGGCACGAGGAGGAGGGTACCGCGCTACGTTGGGGATGCGTTGAGTAGGGGGAGTGATCCGTACGAGTTGGCGGCGCGGTTGAGCTATCCGAGGCCGATGGAGCATGAGATTTCGTTGTGGCCGAGCGCGGAGCGCGATGCGGGTGAGCCGGGCGCGGAGCCGGGCGCGGAGCCGGGCGCGGAGCAGGAAGAGGGAAGGGCGAGGGAAGGCGAGGAGCAGAGGAAGAAGGCAGAAGTCGCCCTACCGCAGCGCGACGAGTCCGGGCACATCAATACGGTCGTGGCCCTTCCTGATCCCGCGGAGGAGGGGGAAAGAGATGTGGCTGCACAGCCGGGAGAGGCGCCTACGACGCCGGGGGCCAAGCATGGCTCGTCTGCGCCGGTCGAGGCGGGCAAGGAGGAGCGCGAGGAGCGCGAGGAGCGAGAGGAGGGAGCTAATCAGCAGCCACACACGGCGCCCGCCGTATCCAAGGTCCCGACAATGACGGCCCTCTCCGTCCCCATGCCCACGCCCAACGGCAAGCCCAAGGCAGGTTCTTCCCTCCTCCGCCCACCCATGGTGCCCCTTTCGAGCGGGGGCGCCTTCATGCGGATGCAGAGTCGCTCCAACCTGCCCACACCCGGGTCCATCGGTGCGTTCCGTTTTGCAGGGGACGGAGATCACGATGCCGACGCCGATCACGAGCGCGAAGGCGATGACGATGCGGGCGCGGGGACTGACGACTACTTTGGGGCAGCGGCAGGAGCGGGCGGAGCGCCGCAGAAGCGTACGGTGTACCTCGACGAGGTGAGGGATGGGGTGCACGATTTGCTGCTTTTCCCCTGGCATGAGCCGGAGAGGGGGGAATGCTGGCGCCGCATTGTCAGGTGGATCGATGCGGGCGGTGAGGGGCAGGGCGACGCAGCCGCGACGCCTGCCGTGTAGGGTGGGAGGGAGGTGTAGACACGACACGATATCGCGCAAGAGCTAATTGTATCACGCAGCATTACATTGTGGCAAGAATCGCTTCACGCCCCCGCTGCCCGCCTACTCGAACACGATGACGTTCCTGAACTTCGGGTTGCCCTTGATGACCTCCTCGTACGCCTTGTTGGCGTCATCCAGCTTATACGTCTGCACCATAGCCTTGACCTTGTTGTCTCCCAGAGCAGCAAAGTTGACGAGCTCCTCGTTGTTGATACTGCATCCGCACGTAAGGCCGCGCACATTGAGGCGCTGAGTCACCATGGCCAATGGGTCGAACTCGAAGTTCTTGCCGTCCGTAGGCACTCCCACGATGACTAGATCACCGTTGCGCGCAAGGAGGGGGAGCAAGGGTCCAATGCTCGCCGCAGAAGGGGCAGTAGCGACTGCCAGCTTGGCACCGCCGTATTTCTCCTTAATCTTTGAAGCGTCCTTGGCCGCGAAGTAGTCGTGCGCGCCCAGCTGAAGGGCGAGGTCGCGCTTGCTCTCACTGCCGCTCACGGCTACGACGTGGAAACCTGCCTTGCGCGCGAACTGCAATGCAAGGTGGCCAAGACCACCGATGCCCTGGATGAGGACCACGTCGCCCGCCTTGGCCTTGCCGTGGCGGAGAGCGTCGTTGACGGTCAAACCCGCGCAGAGGAGAGGGGCCATCTCGGGGAGGGAGATGCCGGTGTTCTCTGGCAGTTTGACGACGGCCGTCCAGTGGGCCAGCACATACTCCTGGTGGCCGCCGCCCGTGTGAGCCGTAACTCCCGTGACTTGGAAGGAGTGGCACGAGTAGAACTCGCCTTTACGGCAGGCCTCGCATTGGTGGCAGTAACCGCCGTTCCAGCCGAGTCCGACGAGGGAGCCCTCCTTGTATTCGTCAGATACGCCGGAGCCTTTAGAGACGAGGTGACCGACGACTTCGTGACCGGGAGTGTAGGGGAAGGGGGTGCCCATTACCCCCTCGACGGCAAAGTGGTCCGAGAAGCATACGCCCGAGGCGGAGACCTTGATGAGGACTTGGTGGTCCTTGGGCGTGGGCGTGGGGACAGTCTTGACGGTGAGGGGGGCGCCCTTCTTCTCTACGACGGCGGCGCGGTGTTCTTTGGGGATGCTGGAAGACATGGTGATGTAGTTGAGTGTGTGTGCGTGTGTGTGCGCGTGTGTGTGCGCGTGTGTGTGTGCGTGTGTGAGAGTGTGCGTGGGTGTGAGAGAGGCTGGGATCGGGGGTGATTCGCCTTTTTGTAGGCTTCGCTCACGACTTGAGGGCGGGCACAAAATGTCGCACGACAGCAGACGCCGGACCGTCGCTCTGCCGCCTCCTCCACTCTGTGTGCCCGCTGCTACGACCGTGGTTTTCGCGGACCAGAGACGCGGGACGGCGGAGCGCGAAGAGAGAGCACACGATGAGGGCACCAAGAGCGAACGCTGCTAGGCAGATAGTGAGCTCTCCATGGACATGGTAAGATTGTAAGATTGTAAGATTACCGTCGCGGATGAGCATGACGTATCGCCGGGCACTACTCAACGCTTGGCGACCCCCGTCATTCCCTCTACGAGCGTGCGCCGTCGCCTTCTCTGCGAGCGTGCGCAGCCTCATCTGCTCGACCGTACCATTGCAATCATACTCGCCATCGCTTACCTTGCCGATGCCTGCTTGCTTGTTCATCATCCGCCGCCCTTCGTACCAGACGGAGAAGCCATCGTCGACGGGGCGGCGCGGAGTGGAGGTCTGACACGCACGCAAGCTCCCACGTGGTCTCAGGGCGGGGCGGGCGTGTGTCTGGCCGGGCTCGGCGAGGGGCCGGCGAGAAGAAGTTGGTTGGTTGGGCGTGGGACGCAACACTCGGCGCGGGACTGACAGCAACGGTTGCTTCTTCACCATCACCAACAACGACTAATTCGCAACCATGACTGGACAGTACGAGCTCATCGCCATTGGCAACCCTCTGTGAGCACCGCGAGTGAGCAGGAGCAGGATCTGGCTGCTGACCCACACCACGTCCTCGCACCCGCTCTCACAGCCTCGACATGCAGGCCCGCGACGGCGGTGAGGAGCTTCTCAAGAAGGTGAGGCGCCGCGTGAACAGACGTCACGCCAACACACCCACTGACGCCTCGCGCCTCTCTCCCTGACCCCTCGCAGTACAACCTCAAGGCCAACGACGCCATCCTCGCCGGCCCCGAGCACATGCCCATCTACAAGGACGTTGCCGAGAACCACCAGGTGACCTACATTGCCGGCGGTGCCTCGCAGAACGCCGCCCGCTGCGCACAGTACGTCCTCCCTGCCAACTCGACGGCCTACTTTGGTGCCGTCGGTGAGGACGACCTCGCTCAGCAACAGCGCAGCGCCAACGAGCGTGAGGGTCTCAAGAGCGTCTACCAGGTCATCAAGGGCACTCCTACGGGCTCGTGCGCCGTCGTCATTACGGGACACCACAGGTCGCTCTGCACCAACTTGGGTGCGGCCGAGAAGTTCACAAAGGACCACCTCGAGACGGCCGAGGCTCAGCAGCTCATCAAGGGGGCAAAGTACGCCTACATGGAGGGTTACTTCCTCACGCACGGCCTCGAGTCGGCCATGATCCTCGCCAAGCACGCCGCGGAGAACAAGCAGGTGCGCACAGGCACTAAAAAGACAGCGTGGTCGTGATCACTGAGCTGACCCTTACGCTGCCCTCACGGCGCACACAGATCTTCTCCATCAACATCTCGGCCCCCTTCATCGCGCAATTCTTCAGCGCCCAACTCGACGAGATCCTCCCCTACTCGTCCCTCGTCTTTGGCAACGAGACCGAAGCCGAAGCCTATGCCGAAGCGCACAAGCTCCCCAACACAAAGGACCTTGCCGCCATTGCGCAGCACATTGCCGACTCGCCCAACAAGAGCGCCGCAAAGCGCACCGTCATTATCACGCACGGCGCCGAGCCTACGATTCTTGCGCAGGAGGGCGGTAAGGAGACGAAGACGTTCCCCGTGCAAAAGGTCGAGGACATCGTCGACACCAACGGCGCTGGGGACGCTTTTGCTGGTGGTGTGCTGGGCGCGAGCGTGGCTGGCAAGAGCATCGAAGAGGCCATTAGCGTGGGGCAGAAGTTGGGCGCCATGTGCATTGGCCAGAATGGGCCTGTGCTCGCTTTCCCCAAGCAGAAGGTGATGTGAGCGAGCGCGCGCGATGAGGCAGGCGTAGAGGGTTGCGCGACGTAGAGGGTTTTCAACACCACCCGTGGGACACGACTTGATATATAGACATCGAATGAGAGCTAATGTTCAACACAAACCGCCGCGCGCGCCTGCGGTGATCAACGACGCTTGCGCACGTCTACGAGGGCGGCAGGAGGGGCGCTCTCCTTCTCTACCACGCCGAGCACGCGGGCAGGGAGGAGGGCGAGGTGGAGGACCTGCTCGAGAAGCCAGGCGAGGGCGTTGAGCCAGCCGTAGAAGATCTGCGTGCGCGCGGGGCGAACGCGATGTCAGTAGGTGGTCGCTGTCGCACCCTCTGCGCGCGCACTCACCATCGGGATCACGCCCATCATCAAGTTTCCACCCACTCCACGCCTCACAATCGTATCCCACAGCTCGCGCTCCACCGTCTCCTTGACTCGCGCGTCCTTCCACGGCCCCTCCAATCGATAGAAGACCGTGAAAGCGGCCCCCAACGCGTAGCACAGCATCGTCTTGACTCCATAATCGCGCCACAGCTCCCACAGTCCCGGATCGCTGTGCATATCCCTCGCCAACTGAGAGACGTAAGCCGAATAGTCCACCCCGTACGTAATGCGGGCCTCGGCCGGTTGGAGGAGATTGTAATGCCCTTTCCCCCTCGGCGGGCTCAGCTTCCCAGCGAGGACCAGCGACCAGAGCTGAGCGCACATCTCCGCTTGAGGAGGGATGGCCCCCACGCCCGGTCGGGTGAAACCGATGAAGGCTACGCTCGGATCGTCCCGCTTCCACACGCCTCGCACGTCGGCCTCGCGGGGCAGTGGATAGTCGTCGGTAAGAAAGGGAAATGACTGAGAGTACCCGGTAGCATAGACGGCCACGTCTGGCTTGAAGGGCTCTTCGCGGAGCTTCTCGCGCATGCGCAGATCTTCCTTCCTGCCGTTGCGCGTGAACACCACCTCCCCCTCTGGCGTGACATGCGAGGGAAAGGGGGCAAGATCGATCCCGACTTCCTCCTCTGTGTAGTCGGGCGGGTTGAGATACTCGGCGAATCGCTCTGCCCACCTGGATCTCTTCTTGTAAGGCCGATTGATGTACGGCATAGCCTTTGCGCTCTTGTTGAGAAACACGTACGCCCTCCCCTGCTTCTCCGGCGGGAGCTCCCCGACCCACTGGGAACAACCAGCTTTCGTACCCGTCAAGGCTGGGAGGACTACGTTGCGCAGCCCGAAATCGCTCACGAACCAGCGTAGGCGTGAAGCCCCGATCCAGGGGTGGACGTAGGCCGTCTCGCAGAGGTTGGAGATGAGACCGTCGATGGGTAGCTTTCCCTCGAAGCGTTGGCCGAGGACGGTGAAGTCGGAGAGGACCGCGGGGAAGGAGAGGAACCCGCCGCGAGTGCAGAGGACGATTGAGGAGGCGCGAGCTTTGACTGCTAGGTAGGACTGTGCGGGCGCGCGGGGGGAGGGTCAGCGTTTGGGATGGTGCGAGGCAGCGTGGTCGTACGTACGAGGTCCATTCCCGTCTCCCCTGTCCCCATGATGAGCACGCGCTTGCCCGTGAAGATGGCCGGATCCTTGAACGTGGCGCTGTGCAGGGTCGTGATACGTGCTTGATCCGGCGTGAGGTTCGGTGGCGTGTACTCCTGCTCCTTCTCACCCCGCTTGCTCCCCTTCGCGCCCGCCGTACTGACGTGGGGGAGCCCAGGAATCTCCGGCACGCTAGGCTCGACGTGCAGACCCGTGCAGAGCGCCAAAGCATCGAAATGTGCGCTCTCCACCTCGCCGCCCTGCCAGGTCACAACGTGATTCCCATCCTCCTCCTCCCTCGCCCTGCGCACCTGCACCACCCGCGTACCAAGCGCCCAACGTTTACATCGTTCCGGGAGGCGAAAATGCTGCGCGTACGCCGAGAGGTAGTCGCAGTACTCTGGTAAAGTCAGGTGGTCATTGTGCGCAAATGGCATGCGAAAGTCCGAAAAGCTCGTGAGCTGTTTGGATGAGACGAGGGAGGCGTGCGCATAGCTGCGGTACCCTGGTGCGCCGCAAAGGGGAGGGGGGGGCTCTCTGGTCAGCTCTCACGTCTTCCATCTGCGCGCCGCACATACGCACGAAAAGTCCCGCCTACCTCCTTCTCCTGCTCAAAGAGGCTCACTTCCACCTCGAAGCCTTCCTCTCGCCACCTACTCGCCCCGTCCAGGAGAGTCTTGGCCGTCACGAGTCCGGAGGGACCACCCCCGATGATGGCTACGCGGAGAGGCGGCTTCCGCGAAGAAGAAGAAGAAGAAGAGGCGACTGCGGGCGACATGTTGTCGGTTGGCCGCAAGATCTCTCAAGTTGAGTGAAGGCAGAGGCGACGTTGGTGTTGCTCAGGAACGCGGGAGAGGCTAAGGTCGACGGAGGGGCCCACGTTACGCTACGCTAGTCCGCCTCAGCTTGCCTGCCTGCCTGCCTGCCTGCCTGCCTGCCTGCGTCGGGGCGAGGGGATGCAGCTGAGGTAAACAGAGCAGAGCACAAGCAGACCCTGCATCCTGCGACGCCCGCTGAGGCTTTGCTCCGCCTGCTCCGCCCTTCCGCTGCACGCCGGCCCATCTGTCCGTCCGTGCGTGCCTGGCGATCTGGAGGACCACTCTCGATGCTCGACTCTCGTGTCCAATCATCATCATCCCATCACCCCAATCACACTCGTATCCATTCACGCAGACCAATCAGCTCCATGACTCGACTCGACGCCGCAGCGACGCCACACCTCCGCATCGGCACGCTGCCAAGCCTCACAGCCAGCGACCGAGCCGGCCGCCGTCGTCCGTTGTCCGGTCGTCGAGTCATCGCTCGCGGCAGCAAAGTGCGGAACCAAGAGGGGGTGGGCTGAATGTGATTTGATGGTGGATGCGGAGGGATGTTGGGCAGGGCTGAAAAGTGCGGAGTCTCGTCGCTGCCTCACAGCCAGCGAGCGAGCCGCTCACGTTCGTCGTCTGCTCGTCGAGTCGACGCTCGCGGCAGCAAAGTGCGGAGCCAACATGGGTTGGGCTGAATGTGATGTGGTGGTGGGTGCGGAAGGGTGCTGGATGGGGCTGAAAAGTGCGGAGTCGTCGCTCGAGATTGGTGCGGGCTAATCAGTGTGAGGTGATTCGTCTACCCGCCTAATCACGACGAACCTCTCCGCCCGCCCCTCGTCCCCTTCCCCCGCCTCTACTCCTCGTCCTCGAAGGGTACTTAAACCCACCTCGCCGACGTCCCCCTCCCCCTTTCTCTCTCCTCATCCCCCCTTTCCCCCTCATCAGCAGACACCACCACCAACATCGCATCGAGACGCACGACAAGAAGTCAACGTGCAGCCCGCGGTAGCGGGGCGGCCCCCCCTGTCCCCAACACCACCTACACCCTCCTACCCGCCATCATCCTCATCGCCACCACCACCGTCACCATCACCATCGACGCCAATATCATCCGCCCCCCGCGAGCGACATGCGGTGAGGGCAAAGCCGTCCTCCACATCACCAGCCGGCTGAAGGGAAGCGAAGAACGTAAGTCTCGAGGCGGAGCACTCTGCTACGGTTTGTGGTAGCATGTACTCACATCCATACGCACCCACTCTCTACGCAGTAGGACACCAAGCCCGGGACGCGGCGAGGGTGACTGGTGCGAGGCAGCCAGGACGTAGAAGGAAGGAAGCGAAGAAGGTAAGTGCACAGACGAGGAGCCCGCTACGGGAGACGCAGCGCTCAGTAGCTCACCACCTTGATCCTCACCGCCACCTCTCCACGACAGGTTGTGAAGCCCAGGAAGCGGTCAGGTCTAGTGGCACCATGCGAGACGACCCGAGGCGGCTGCGCGGGTAGAAGGAGAGGACGCAGGTGAGTCGCGAGTCCAGCCGGCTACGAGTGGACGTGATGGCATATACTCATCTCAACCCTCTCCCCTCGCTTGCTCGTGTGCCACGCAGGATAAGTCTCTCCCATCCAAGAAAGAGCATGGATACAACGAGCCTGCCATTCAACAGCAGCAAGCAAGCGATCACGCACAGCTAGCCGCGAGGCACGTCAAGCATCACCTCTGCGAGGACTCACGACTTCACGCCCGTCACTTCCAAGACTCGTCGCCCCGGCGCTGCAAAGAGAGAGGACAGCAGCCCCGAGAGGGAGCTGGGCCCCCTGAGGATCCCCTCAAGCTCCTCCGCGTCCTCAACGCCGGCACAATTAAGCAGCGGCGACATCGGCGCCACCCGCTCGCCCGTCCGCCCGCCCGTCCGCCCGCTCGTCCGCCCCACAGTGCAGCCCAGCCCCCACCAGCAAGCCCATCACCGCCTCGCACCCTCGCAGGCAGGGCTCCTGGCTGGTCTTCGGTTGTGCGCGGCCCTGCGCCCGCTGCTACTTCTCTTGGGCCTGCCCGACTGCCTCCTCATGCTCAACGCCCGCAAGCACCATGGGAGCAGGACGCGCTGCGCATCCAAGGCCTGGCCATCTCTCTGGACCAGGCTCGGGACAGGGCGAGGGCGGCAGAGGCTGACCTGGTGGGGGCACAGGCGGCCTTCCTCTTCAGCTGGGGAGTTGAGTGCCCACTGAGCCAGCCTGTCCCCGCTGCCGCCCCCCGACCTCCCACGGGCCCTGCGACGCAGCGCAGCGCCCTCTCAGCCTCGCTGCCCGCCTCGGTCCTCCTCCTCCTCAGGACCCGCCTTGCTCTCGCCCTGCTCGCGCTCCTCCAGCGCTCCCCTCCGCGCAGCCAACTCGCCCAGCTGCGGCTCGACCGCCCCCTGCCGCCCCTCAAGCTCCTCGGGCAGGGCCTTCTCTTCCCCGCGCGGCTGCGCCGCCAGCAACTTCGTCGGCCCCGGCTGCTCGTCCTCCCTCCGCCCAGCAAGAGGCAACGCCCGCTGGTCCCTCCTCGCTCGGCTCGGACGAGCGCATTGCTGCGATCCTGGCGAAGGATGCGCAGAGGAGGGCAAGGAAGAAGGAGGTGGACAAGCTGAGGAGGGTGAAGAAGAGGGAGGTAATCCGCGCTGAGCGTGAGGTTGCTGGAGAGCTGCGTCGCGGGGAGGCTCTCGTCTTCTTGTCCAGTGATCACCAGGGATCATTCAACGCGCTCACTTCGATGTCAGCAGCTTGTGCCCAGGGACTAGCAACTGGAGGAATGGTCAAGCCAGTGGCTGAGGCTCGCATACAGCCATGTACTCCCTTCCCTCCTCACCACCAACAACAAGACGAGATACCAAGCAAGAAACAAAAAGTAACTCGTCAAAGCCGCCCTCGACCATGCCAGCACGATGCTGCCATGACGAGATAGGCGGCACACTCTACTGCGTACAGATCCCGGCAAACATCGACCCGCCCGCAACAGGGCTCAATCTCCGCCTTCCCGTTCGTCGCTGGCGTAAGGGCACCGTCAAGCCCAGCCCGTGCGCAACCCGCGCCGGACTGAGCGACGTGACCGGCTCGCTCGTCGACGACGACGACCTCGAGCACTCGTGGTGCAGCCACGGTAGCTTTGAGGTCTCTTTCCCCCGTCCCACCGGCGAAGTAGAGACTGCCACTGTGCAGACTTATCTGGCCGCGGTGACCATCATTCCCCTGCCTGCTGAGCAAGCAGCGAGCCCGGCTGACAACGCTACAACAGCGGGTCCAGCAAGCGGCACGACGCAGCTCCCTGCGGCAGCCTCCTCTTCTTCGTCTTCTTCATCTGGCTCGGCGGCGAAGGCAGCTTCTACTGCACCCACGCCCACGCCCTCAGCCCTCGCTCGCTCCCTAAATATCAACTCTCTTCCTTTTTCGGCGCGAGTGAGTGAAGCGGAGAAGCTACGGGTGGCGCGCGAGAATGCGGCTCACGTCCAGGCGGCATTTGCCCCTGAGATTGCCGCTGCCGCCACTACGTTTACCTCCCGGGCGGCTCGTCCCGTCACCCCTGCTGGCTCTTCCGCCACGCTGATGCGGCCCCCAGCGGCCCGAGCATCAAAAAGCGGCGGATCTTCTCTTCCTCTCGGGTCAGCATCATCATCATCTTCTGGAACTTCGTCAAGGACGACGCCGCCAGCCGCAACAAATGCGCAGGCAGCAATCGCACAGTCGAAGTCTCTCCAGCAAAAGACGCCTCAGATTCCTCCTCAAGATGAGCCAATAGTCATCGAAGACTCAGACGAGGAGATGGACGAGGCAAGGAGCGGGACGCGAGCAACGGTGTCAGCATCAGCGACGGCGAACGCATCGGCGAATGCGAAGGCGACAGCGACAGCGACACCTGCGGGGCAGCCAAACAACAAGCGAGCGAAGACGACGGCCTCGAAGCCAGCAGCTTCAAGGCCCAAACGCACCGCTCCGACGACGACTGCTGCCTCTTCTCGACCGAAGCGCTCCACGCGCCCGCCTCGCCGTGCCCAAGCCACGCCGCTCACCCTGCTCCAGCAGCAACGTAGGGCAGCGAAAGCAGCAGGCTCAGCTGGGCCATCCGCTCCGACCACGGGCAGCTCAACCTCCGCTCGACGCTCAACGCGCAACAGCAGGAAGGCTCATCTATTTCTGGGCTGGGAAGCCTGTCTGTGTTGGTTGTTGTGTGCGTCCCCTGGTCTGGTGCACCATAGCTCATCTATTTCTGGGCT